GCAGTGGGTAAAAGAAAGTGGAGAATGGGAAAGCAGATTTTTAACCTCTCACCAAGCAGCACATCCCCTACAGCAGTATAATTCCACTATAGGGAGGATAATCATCAACATGGCGGTAGTTAACTTTTTCCACTACTACCCACACTTACAGGATTACCACTGACAGAGTGGCACCATGTGGAAAAACTGGACCACACTTCTCCCAAGAATTCACTGCAGGTTTTTACCCTAAACACAAACATCTGTTTTGAGTTTGGAAACCTGAGCATTCGCCTTTGAAAGGATCAGTTTAAACAATTTTTTTTGATTCATCTGATTGCCAGTATCATATATTGCCAAGGCTGCTGAAACCACATGGTAAGAAAACTGGATTGTGTCAAACAAAAAACAGCCAATTTATCCCATTTTTTAAAGAAAATTAAACCTCCTATCGGTTACATAAGGCAACCATCTATTTCATTGTTGATTTTTGTTTAAACACTTAAAACATTATTTGGAGACGCTCTATGTTTCCAAATTGAAAACAGTAACTTTTTACTATATTTTGAGCCTCACAAATCAAAACCAGCAGTTATAGCGTTCCGTATATTCTTCCATAATCTACATCGATGTTCAAGATTTCTACCTCATGGAAACAGAATGTACAGCCAAGTTCTTAGATATCTTCCATATGGTCTACAGATTGTGTTCTGAAATACTGTAGTTAGTAACTGAGTACTGTTGCCGAAACAACAACAAAAATAGGATTCATTAGTTATTTACTCTTCAGAAGCATTCACATCTGCTGTTAAAAATGCTTAGCTTGGATGTTTTGGGCTTCATTGTACATTAAAAGGTCAATATCACTGTGTCACAATAAAAGGAGGCAACTGGACACACATGCAATGTATGAATAAAGTCAGGGCTTGCCAAATAAGATATACTGTAGTTTGGACCCCTCTTCTCACTTAACTACTATTAATCCTGCCATCTGAATTCCTAATAAGTAGGATGGGCCTAGATGGTCAAGAAGAAGAAGCTTGCAGTGTTCACAACGGAAAGTTGTGGGGTTTTAGCTGTTTAAACTCCCGGCACAAATTGAGGTCCCAAAGCTCTGGCTCTTGCTGACCTGTGCCTAAACTCTCCAGGATTAGGTAAGCAATGTGAATCCCAGGTGAAAGTGCACAGTCCATACCAGACAAAAGGAAATTCCCATACACAAGTAGAACTCAATCTGATTTGGATGCTCTTAAGCACGGTAATGGCTTTCTGGCTGTGTCAAGCAGCGGTCTGACTGAAATAAAAGTACCTGGGTAACGACTCCTGCATGAACTTTAAGGAGAAAGGGGATAAACAGCAAAAACTGGGGAGGAAAAAGATGGATATCCCAAAGGCATCAAATAGTGACACTTAGATCTTTGTTGGTTAGTGTTATTCTGTAAGAAAGTGAATGAGGCACCTTCACAGTAGATATTTAATGTTCTCTATTTAATGCTCTAATAATATCAAAAGGAATGCATTAATGAGGTACATATAAAATCTTTATAACACAGATGTTAAGATTTTACGAAAATAAACTATAATGTATTTGGCTAACTTCACAAGATATTGCAGGGAATAATTGGAAGGCTGGCAGTACCAGCAAAAATATTTATTTCATGGATTCACAACAATTAATCAAGTCTGAGGTTGTATGAGTTTTGGCAATAGATTACACTCTCACAACATTCTCTGCTTGTCAGCTCACTGAGCTACAATAACTCCAGTTTATATCCTGGAAATGCCTCTGCTTCATTAAACTGATGAATGTGAAGTCCAAGCAAAATTCCTAGCATTCTGTGCTTGGGATCCAATGGTAATTTCCAAAGAGCAGGGACTGTAAACTTTTACAGTACTGTTCAGTTTCAAAACAGCAAAATCCATCAACTGCCCAAAGCCTGCACAGAAGAAACTTAAAGTGAAAACCCTGGGGAAACTAATAATAATTCTATAATGATCCTGGTATTTGGTACAGCATCTTTCACAATAGGGAGGTTGTCCCAAAGCGATTCACAGGATTTACTGTAAAGTGGACTGATAGTATTTGTAGGTGAACCTGGCAAGCCAATTTTGCACACCAATTTCCCACAAACAGCCATGAAAAGAAATTAGGCTTGAAATGAATGACCAATTTTATTTAGGGGGGATTTTAGCCAGGATTCTGGAGAAACTTCCTTTTCTTTTAGAATAGTGCCATGGGATCTTCAAGGTCTGCGCGAACTGGCAGACGAGACCTCAGTTTAGCATCTTATCCGAAGGACGGCACCTCCAATAATACAACACTTAGCCAGCGCTGCATTGGAGTGTCAGCTTAGATCATGTTCTGACGTGGCACTTGACCCCAGAATCTTCTGATCCAGAGATGAGAGTGCTACCACTGAGCCAGGCTAAGAAAAATGGGAGCTGGTAAATCTGAATAAACACACTGAGTTTATTTACTACCATTAGCTAAACTACCATTAGGTAAAATAATATGTAGGTAACAATATACTATATTCATACCAGCAGCTGCTAATAACATGCTCAGTTGATATTGTTTCCCGTTGATATTCATTTAAGTTGGCTATACTGATGTACTGTGTGTAAAACAGAGTTGATTGAAGCAAATTCAGTCAGCCTGTTTCTGGTCATTTTCAACCAAATGCAGCCAAATTTTTCATATAAGTTGGAAAATGGCAATAGCAGATTTAGCAAAAGATACTCCTGCTGGTAACTGAAAATTCATCGCAGAACTTTTGCTCCAGGGATACACACTTCTGGAGGAAAGTCTCTGCGCGTCACTGTAACAAACTTTTGGTTACTGGAAAGAGTCACAATTTACAATACGTTTTCACTATTCGGAAATGGAGAAAGCAAATACTGCACTACATCTTGAATCTGATATAGAACAGTGTCGGCCACAATGGGGCCAATGCAAAGCTGCCAATTCCAGAAAGCCCTCCTCTGCCAATATATTCAGCAGTGTTCACTACTGTAGAATACCTGTTAACCACACACCTATTATCCTCAAGTCCATTTATCTGCATCCGGCTATGATGCAGAGGTGAATGAGGATATTGCGATTACTGGCAAGGTAAATTGTAACAAATTTGCATGGGGTTTGGCAAAAGGTAGGATATAGGATTGGAAGATGCACATACACAGTAAATGGAGTCCACAGTGTTATAAGCAAATTTACATATAGTAAACTGGTAAAACAGTAAAAGCTACAGTAAAGCACATTATAATAGGGTAGTTTTACAATGCCCTGTGGTGTACATTGTAATACAATGCAAAATTACATTTGTATAGGGCCTTTCACGTTGGGAGAACGTCCCAAGGCATTGTACAATCAGGGATTTGGATCTGAGGTGGGGATCGGGATCAGGGAGGGTAGGAAGGAGGCCGAAGGCTCGGTCGAAGAGAAGGGTTTTGAGATGTGCCTTGAAGAAGGCAAGGGTGTGAGCGAGGCCAAGGGAATGTGGGATGGAGTTCCATAGGGTGGGGGCAGAAAGGCTGAGGGCCCAATCACCGATGGACAGGTTGATACGGGGTACTTGGTAATCATTGATATTGCATACTTGGCTCCAAGACACACAATTAAATAACAGCAGATTAATCTATCTCAACCCATTAAGAAACAGTTAACAACTGGACCATTAGCAGACAGCTAGATCAATTCTAAATACTGTATCTTTTTACTCTGTGGTTCTTATCCCGAGACAAACTGGCACCTAACAAACATGAGATTTGCACAACACTGGTTTATGTGTTGAATAAGTGCTAAAAATAAGGTTCTCAATATGAGTTGAATAACTGGGGAATGTTGCTTTACCAATATTTTTGCAGTCCATTTAATTTTGCTCTTCACGTTCAGGCACAATATTAAATGGACTGTGAGAAATAACTAAATTGAAACTTACTTTAATGGGATAGCAACCTCAAACCTTAGTGGTTGATTAAAGATACAGGGCAAGAGTCAGGCCAGTTCCACAAAAAAAATCGCAGATGCTGATTTAAATGGAATTGCAGTATTCATGCCTTAATTCTGTTGATCACAGAACAGATCGACTTCAAGATCCTCACACTTGTCTACAAACCCCTTCATGCCCTGGCACATCCCTACCTTTCTGAACTGCTTACTCCCCACAAATAATCCCTCCAAAAAAACAATAATAAATTGGGCATTTCAATCCACTGCTGTTTGTGGGACACTGCTGTGCGCAATTGGCTGCCGAGTTTCGTCCACAAATATATGGTCAATTCACTTTACAGCCTATTCTGTGACGAGCTTTGAGGCATTCGAGAAGACGTGAAAAGCGCTATATCAAATGCAAGGATTATTATTTATTATTATTATTACTTCACCACCTGCCGCCTCTGACCTCCTGCTTGTCTCTCATTACCTCTGCTCCACCATCGGCTGCCATGCTTTCAGACACTGTACCTCTCAACTTTGGAACTCTCTCCCTCAATGTCCCTGCCTATCCCCTTCCTTCCCCAATTTCAGATCTTGCCTGAAGATCTTCCTCTCCGACCGTGCTTACAGTCATCTCCCTCCTCCCGGCTTGGCATTAGGCTCCACCACTGTTAAGTGCTCCAAGACACTACCCTGCATGAAGAGTGCTAAATAAATGCAAGTTGTTATTGTTAAATCACGATCAAAATTCTCAAACACGTCCTCTACCTCGTGGATTGATTCCTTTTCCCTCACAGCAAGTTTCTCACTTAAAAATGCTGAATTATATGATTTACAATTGAAGAAGCTTTATATAAATACAAGTTGTTTACGTAGCCAAGAAAAAAAGAACAATTTACTCTATAGCTTTCCACTCCTGAAAATATCACAAATTACAGAATGCAGGTTTGACATTTGATGACTATAAAACATAGCCCATTTTTGTAGATAAGAAAAACGAGCAATGCATAGTGTAAGATTCAATTTAAATACACTTTACAATTAAGTGCCTGGGTTACTTTGATCTCATTCTTTAGGCTCTTACCTAATGTCTCCACGTATAAAGCCTTCCAGCCTCTTCCACTCACAATGATATCAGTTGTAAAAACAATGAACATCGAATTGCTGCTACTCAGGAGAGGTGGTGGAATAGTGGAGCCGCAGAACTTGCCCAAAGATGGCGCGAAAATGTTTGAACCATCATGAACCGACACATAATCACTGCACAACAATTCAAGGTCAAAATCGCTGAACCTAAGACAGGGAACAAGGGTATTAAGTTGTACAACACACACATTTTTCAAAGGGATGAAAATTTTTCAAACGCCCAGATTTTATTATTATTTTTATTTATTTTTTATTTATTACTATTCATTTATTGTTGTTGTCTCTTATTAAAAAATTTTAAAAAGCCATTTAAAAAAAATGGTCATTTCAATCCACGACGATTTGTGGGACACTACTGCGCGTAATTGGCTGCTGCATTTCGCCCACAAATATACAGTCAATTCACTTTACAGTCTATTCTGTGAAGTGCTTTGAGACGTCTAGAAGACGTGAAAAGCGCTATATCAAATGCAAGGATTATTATTATTATGATTACAAAGTGAATCCACTGCAGTGAATATTTTTTCTTTTGCCATTTCAACTTGCTAGATGCTTTTTAACGTTTATAATAATCCATTTTGCATTAGCTTCAAGGTTTAACAGTATTTGATCCAGTTTGTACTTTACTCTTGCTCTCAGAACAATTCCAAGACCTAACTGGGGTTGATAGCTTAAATATGTCAATCCCCCAAATCAAATGTGTCAATGGCTGATTGTTTACCTACAAAATATAGTCATTACACCTTGTAATATATTCTGTGAACGGCTTTGAGGCATCCTCCCTACGTGAAAGGCTCTATACCAAAAAGATTCTTCTTATTATATGCCTATAATACATTTAAAATACTTGGCTTTGTTCTTATTATTGAAAACACAAATTGGAACGGTGAATTACATACTGCAAATCCATAATTTTACATGTTAGGAATATTGGGAGTACTTTTGTGTTGAAATAAATGTTGCACTGGTCAGCTTGTAAAATAAGAATCCTTGCATTTGATATAGCACCTTATTACGTTTTTGAGACGTCTCAAAACGCTTCACAGAATATCCTGTAAAGTGAATCGACTGTATGTTTTGTGGGAGAATTGCGGCAGCCAAACAGTTATGGATTGAAACAATTTATTATTATTATTTTTTTAAAGGAATTATATTACCCCTGGAAAAGTGATCCACCAATCAACTAACAAGCGGGTTCCTACTTACTGCAAGGTAAACAGAGGCGTGTGGAGTGAGGAAACTTGCCCATCGTTTTGCCCTGCCGGGAATCAAACCCAGGTCTCTCACTTGCGAGGCGAGTGCTCTAACCACTCTCCAAGTTCAGCACTTTACTAAATGCTATGGGGTCGACTTCCAGGCCAATTAAACCTCTAGATTTCCCGCTCCAAACCAGGCTGATCCAATCCAACCCAATCTTCACTTCCATCCTTCTTATTTTAATATAATATGATTCACTATTATTAAGAGACATTTAACTACAGAGGAAACCTGTTATACCACTCCATTTTACACTAACCATACCATTACTGGTGAATACTTACTTAGTTTCCGATACATTTTAAGGTTCATAGCTAGGGCTACTGATACACAACAGTGAGATTCTTATGCTGCATGACTTACTTCAGCTCAACAAGGCGGTTCTCTCGAACAATGATGTGGTAGGTACAGTTTATCTTGTGATTGTAATTGGTGTAGGAATAAGCCGGACTTGTGACTATGCCAGATGATTCCTGGAATGTGCCACCACAAGCTTGAAAGAAAAAAGCATAGATGATTAGCAAGCAACCTGCCCACCAACATAACACACAATTACATAGCACTGTTTATAGGTTATCACCCCAAAGCTTTTTATAAGAATGCAGTGATTCACCAAGCAAGGTGAGAAGGGAATAAGAGGAAGATGGACAGAAGCATAGTAAAAGAGGTACATTTTTAAGGTAGTTTTGAAAGCAGGGAGAGAGGGCACAAAGTAGAGCTATTTTGGGAAGGAGCAAGGGTGGGAGGGAGATAGTGTGGTGACTCAGAAGAGGAAGGAACATGTAGAGTTTGTGAAATGATGGGAATGGGGACGAGAGTGGTGCAAGAGCAGATTACATAGTAGGATGAGGCAAAGAAGTGGAGAGATTTGAAAGTCAGGACAAGGGTCTTGAAGTTGATCCTCTAAGAGACGATGGATCTTATTGAGAATGGGGGTGATGAGCACAATGAGCTTGGGGAAGGAAAGGATATGGGATATGCTTCTGGATGAATTGTAGTTGGAGAAAGGCAGAGATTAGGGCTAGAAAGAAAGGTGTAGGTCAAGGATGTACAGAAGATGTGAAGGTTGCATACTCACTAAGTGAGCTTGAATTAATAACTGGGGGGGACTGATGAGATAATAATAAACCTTGCATTTGATATAGTGATTCTCACATCTTCTAGACATCTCAAAGTGCTTCACAGAATAGAATGTAAAGTGAATTGACTGTATATTTGTGGGCGAAATGCGGCAGCCAATTGTGCACAGCAGCGTCCCACAAACAGTCGTGGATTGAAATGACCAATTTATTATTGTTTTTTTTGAGGGATTATTATCAGGCGGTGTGGAGTAAGGAAACTTGCCCAAGGTTTCACCCTGCCACCCTGACCCAGGTCTCTCGCATGCAAAGCGAGCGCTTTAACCACTGAGCTAGAGGACTCCACATATTGGCGAGAGTCAAGAAGGATGACTACAGTTTGAATAATATCTTATTCAGCGTAACTTTCCATGAACATTAAATGCATTTAAATCAAATTACATTTAAAAACAAAATGAAACATCAATGACACTTCATAATAACCAGGACTAAGCGAGCTAGTATGAACCGAGTAACACAATCAAAGGGTGAATGGGCTATTGATGAAGGATTTTTATAATGGACAACAGACAACTATTTACAAGATCACAAGGGAGAGGTTTGGTTGAAGAATACTTCTTCTGTACATCAAATATTACAACTGACTAAAATTATTTTAATAAAATATCAGATTAGCAATAAGCAATACATATGGAAGTTATGCTTTTATTATCTCATTATTTCAAGATTTTTTACATTTTCAGCCAAATTGTAATCAGTTGCAAGACCCATCTTGTAATGGAGTTATAAATGAGTTATAAAAGGCACTTGTGTTTTAACAAGTGAAATTCAGTTGGAAAAAAACTATTCAGACCATTTCAACTCACTCTTCCTGAATTCCAAGGCGACTATCTTCTCATTACAGCTATATTCTGTTTCTTAAATAAATCCATTGTCTTGTCCACAAATACTCTTCTTGATAGGTTGTTCATTATTCTCTGTGTAATGAAGGCATCTATTGAGAAATTGCCTTTCACAACTCTGAACCTTTACGTGCATTCCTACTGCCTTGGCAAAGCTGAAACTATGGTTGAGTTTATAGGTCTCCATAAGACTGAGATACTGCTTTTCAGGGCTGAAGAGCCTTTTCTTAAATACAGCACACTGTCAAATGTGGACAATATAAAGCATATTGCAGTATTGTTACGTTTGTTACTGAAGTGAACAAGTTTCCTCTATTCATTATGGCTCCTCTGACACTGGATCAACTTCTGCAGATAAAGAAATGCACACATTGCAAGCACTATTTGAAATGACTCAGTACTGTACTGTCAAGTAATGCATTTTCTAAATTTTGCTGATTTATTCATTGGAAAGGCACCAATGAAAGAGTTAATGAAATGGACGCTAGGAAACGCTTATTTTTGGCACTTTGACAAATTAGAAAAATTAGGCAAAGGAATAAACTCCCCAATAATAGTTTCTTCAGTGAAGTACTCCTACTTCCAACCTCCCTCGATTGCCCGCATGCGCTGGAGTAATGTTAGTGACAAGTGTAAGTGTTCTGCCTCCAAAGCATTTTCACTCAGAGTCAATACTGAGGTCAGACCAAAGCCAATTCAATCTGAAGTTCTGAATCCTCATTGTCTTATTTGTAGGGTGGGACCAGGAGGGAAGTCAGCTGGGACAGAGGTTAGGGGCATATTAATTGCAGCACTATCCTGCGTGGTTTAAACCATTTCCACCCATTTATTATAATGGATTGGAGAGCACATTGCAGTCATGGACTGAAAGCTATCAATTAGTCACTGCAGCAATATTGGGGAAGGGGATGATTCAGGGATGTATTGCATCGATCATATGGATGATAAATTAAAGTTAACGCTCACTTAGTGGAAGGCATGACAGTCAAGACTCATCACTTCAACAAAGACCTGTGAGATCAATATTGTTGATTGGTGTCTATGTATATGCAGGAAAAAAAATGTTTCTGCATCTTAATGCCTTCACTGGAAAGGTTAGTGGGAGGAACATGGGAGAGAATCAGAAAGGAACCAAAAATAACGGGAGAAGGTTTGTTAGAGGGAGAGGGCATGGGAAAGGGAGAGGGAATTGGAGAGGGACTGAGAGAAACGCGTGTAGTCATTTTATAAAATCCTGGGTACACACCTAAAAGACTTCAAATCTCACAGAACTACATCCCAAACATTCCAATAAGTGTTTTGGTTTCACAGAGAGCATTGGCGTGTTTGTATTTCCATGGTATATTAACAAAAGGGAATTATTTAGTTGTGAACTTGAGCTTTTTCAGTTAATATATTTGCTGACTCAGCCAAGGTGTCTTTTCAATAGGCAAAAGTTCCACATTGCAGTTTGGATTTCTGCACAGTCCATCTGCAGTCCTATTTTAGAATAATTAATGATCTGTATGTCCCATAAGATACAGTCATATAGTTTGAATTACCCTGGGTCAGCTGTGAGACCACTGTAGAGAAATAGTGATCGCCATTTTAAAAAAAATCTAATTGTATCAACAAACCTTTGGGAAAATTCTAGTGCACATAACGTCATCTTGGTTCAAAATATGTACTATTTCTGTACAACCCAATATAACTTTTGACATAATTTTGGATTTGGCAGGAATAAAATGGGACACAGAAAAAATTACTGTTCCTGTGGGAATGATAACATTCCTAGCACACACTGCATTGTTCTGTGGGAATGTTTTTGCAAGAAACACTGGACTATTAAGGTAATCTTTTCAAATTTCAGCTTCTGATTCTGTCACACATAGTCAGACCATGAAAGGTTATAAGTTAAAGCACCAACATGCACATACTGCATATCACTTACTGGCTAATGGGATTGCAATATTAACCAGATGTGATCTTTGCCCAGTAAGTTAATGGATTACTGCCGTATCATGCAGGAGTGCATTGGCAACCACAAAAGAATTTGAAGAATATTAAAATGGTGCGAAAGACGCATTATAACGCATACCAGGCAAATACGATTAGGAAAATTAATCACCTGCATGTCCTAGTAAGATAGACAGAGTCATATAGTTTGAACTAGCCTTTATCCATTATATTACAGTCGATGAATTATTACTCATAAATCATTTTGGAAAGGGGAATTAAATATAGACACTTGATAAAGCTGAATATTAAGAATATATGAAGCAAGCAGGTGAAAGGGATGAGATGCCTCATAAGAAGAAATCCATCAGCACAGATGACATGGACACAAATGACTTTCTCTGCTGTAAGATTCTTATTGGGGAGAAATTCCACTTGGGTCTAGATTCACTCTGTTTTCTTAGCATTTCAGAGGATCCAGAAATTGGCAATTTTTTAAAAAATTGTCTTATATTTTAAGTTGATTCTCTGTAAATTTCTTTTAAGAACTCTCAAAACACCGATTTCAAAGTTAAGACTAAATTGGACAATTTTGCAATTTACCTGAACTGAAATATTAAAAAAAAGGAGCAAATCTAGAACAATATTGAATTTCTCTCTCTTCAAGTCGATAACTACTACCACATTCACTGGGATATTTAGTAATTTTCACAATATGTCTCAGCCACAATAAATTTTAGCGACAAGACAAAAAAGTCTTATTTTGTCTCTGATAGGAAAATAAGATACTCCCTCTTCCTAAACGTTATGAAAAGTTACCAAAACCCAAATTTACACAGGTTCTGGAAAAATCGTTTTAGCAAAACCATTTGTAAGATGCTCAGAACATAATGCAGTGTGAGGCTACTGAGAATTGCAGCAGAGAGTGCAACTTTGAGACTGACTGAGGAAAAACATTTCACATGACAGAACAACATTTAAATGTAAACAGAATTGAATGGGGCTGATTGGCAATGCTCTTGTATGTCTGGGAAGAATATGGCATGCAGAATCAGCATCAAAGAATTTAAAAGCAAGAGTGATTTATAATAATAATCCTTGCATTTGCATTTTTGATAAAGCACCTTATCACTTCTTCGAGACGTTCCAAAGTTCTTCACAGATAAACTGCAAAGTAAATTGACCATATTTTGTGGGCGAAACACGGCAGCCAATTGCACACAGCAGTGTCCCACAAGCAATCGTGGATTGAGTGACCAAATACATATTTTTAAATTTTTCTTGTTTTAAGGGATTATTAAGCAATCCAACAATAATTTTCTTCAATGTTTGCTCTATACAAAAACATTCTTTGATGAATCGAGCATGGAATGTATCAATCACTCCCTGGTACCTCACTATCTTGCCAAACGTCTACTATCTGATCCTCCGCTCAGCTAACTCGGGCTTGCTGCACTTCTTTCATCTTCTCTGTGCCACCATCAGTGGCCGAGTCTTCCTTTGTCCCTAACGTCTGAAACTCTCTTCCTCTACCACTCTGTTCCATCCCCTCTCTTTCTGTCTTACTTCTTCAAACACACCATTGGCCACCTAGCTCCCATTGTCCCCCCTCCACCCTCACTTGGTGTCCAAGCCTATCCCTTTAAAGTGCTCGGAGTCGTTACACTATGTGAAGGATGATATATAAATGCAAGTTGTTATTGAAGTTGTTGCATCTTGTTGAAGTTGTTGCAAAGTCTTAAAATTAAGGGTCAGCTTTTTAGAGCAGAGTTGAGGAAACATTTCTTCCCTCAGGGGGTAGTGAATTTATGGAATTCACTACCCTAGAAGGCTGTAGATGCTCAGTCCTTGAATATCTTCAAGGCTGAGACTAATATATATTTAAAAAACAGAGGGATTAGGGGATATGGGGATATGGCAGGTAATTAGAGTTAGGTCTGAAGATCAGCCATGATCTTATCGAATGGCGGGGCAGGCTCGAGGGGCCGAATGGCCTACTCCTGCTCCTAATTCTTATGTTCTTATCAAAAGCTCTTCATAAACCCAATTTAGTTTGCATTATTATCATTAATTAGCACATCATGTGGCAGCTTCAGTGAAGCTGCAGCACATGTTTTAAACACAATGATCTGATCTCACAAAGAGGATAGAGCAGCACTGATTGTTATTGCAGCACCACCACAACATTACATGAAGCAATGGGTGCACAGATGAGACACTAAGTTCCTGACAATCTGCCAATACAGGGCAGCACCAAATATAAATCTGGTTTCTTCCCCGCCCCACCCAGATGGAGAAAAGAATCAGAGGAAGAGTCATTACAGGGCCACTCCCAAGTGCGTTTTTCCTTAAGGCATTTTATAATATGATAAAATGCTATCATTATTTCTTTCTTTCCAGTTGGGTGGAGGTCTGAGAGTATATTATATCTCCACTCTTGACATTTAAACCGCACCTTTCATGTCAGAAGGATGTCTCAAAGTGCTTCACACTGCTGGCTGGGAACCCGAGCTGGGTGGAAGGTGAAGAGAGTGGGAGAAGAATGACTGAAAGCGGGATCAAACAGGAAAGTTTCAAGTCAGGCTTTGAACTTGGGGAAGGAAGAGGCAACAATATTTGCTGCATGAAAACCAAGATAGGGAAAAGGTACATTGTAACATATAAACCAAAGTGGGGAAATCCATTATTAAAACAAACAAATTTGTGCAAACTCATTGTAAAGGGTGCTTTACTCACGGACAAGATGGTATTTGGCAAGGAAACCCATGTCTGTTGTCATGTTGTTTGTTTGAAAGGTCAACAACATTGGACCATGAACACTAATTGTTGCAGGGAGGACAGAACCACAAAGGGTAATTAAAAGCTGAGTTTCATCACTAGTTGCAGTGGTTTCACTGTAGATCTTTAATGCATCATGTTCACACTTGAAACCATCTGAAAGAGATTTTGAAATAAACATGTGACTTTAGTTATAATAATAACACATAATAAATTCTTGCATTTGATGTAGCATCTTAAAACATTGTCGAGAAGTCTCAAAGCACTTCACGGGATACACTGTAAAGTGCAGCGGCTGTATTTTGCAGGCAAACACGATAACCAATTTGCACACAGTTATGTCCCACAAACAGCAATGAAGTGAATGACCAGTTTTATTTGGGTGTATTGTTGGTTAGGAAACTGGGAGAAATTTCCTCCACTTTTCAAATAGTCCGTGGGATCTTTAACATCCACCTGAACAGGCAGATGGGATATTGGTTTAATGTTTTATCCAAAGGATCAATTGAAAGGTTTCATGGTGGTTCTTTCATTTTCACTCACAGCATTAGTTTAGCATTATTTTAATGCTAAACTAGAAATAAGTTAATAATAGCTGGTATGGCTAGTCTCAAGGCTGGACTACGGGAACTCTCTCCTCATCGGCCTTCCCGCCACCTCCCTCCACAAGCTGCAGGTCATTCAGAACTCTGCAGCTCGTGTACTGTCCCGCACCAGGCTTCGGGACCACATCACTCCCACCCTCGCTCGCCTCCACTGGCTCCCCATCCCCCAGAGGATTGATTTCAAGATCCTCATCCTCACCTACAAGGCCATTCACGGCCTTGCTCCCTCCTACCTCTCCAACCTACTATCCCCCTACCTACCTACCCGTACCCTCCGTTCCTCCGGCTCCGGTCTGCTCCACGTCCCCCGCCCCAACCGCCCTACTATCGGTGGTCGGGCCTTCAGCCTCTCAGCCCCTAGGCTCTGGAACTCCATCCCCCAGTGCCTTCGCCTTGCTTCCTCCCTTTCCTCCTTCAAGGCCGGTCTCAAAACCTTTCTCTTTGACCGTGCCTTCAGCTCCCCTCTCGACTCTCTTCCTCCTCCTCGCTCCCTCCCTTCCCTCCCCTCACCCTGACCATTTCCCCCCTCCTCTCTCCTCACCCTGACCATTTCCCCCCTGCTCGGGTCATGACCCAACTGTGCAGCGCCTTGGGACGTCCTCCTGACGTGAAAGGCGCTCTATAAATGGAATCTTGTTGTTGTTGTTGTTGTATGGGAAAGCATCTAATGCATGCCCTTACATCTAACCCAGACACTGACCTAATTGCACTCCCTTGCCTCTGCATTCATAAGAAAAGATTGGATAAAGGCTTCTTCTGCCCCTTTAGTTTCCTCCTTCCAGAAGATCCACCCTACCATTTTCCATTATTTTTGTTTCATAAGCCAGGTATCTGACACATGCAGAAGCATATCACCATGCTTAAAGGTATCCAAACTAGATTGAGAGTTCCACATATGTATGTCATCTATACATGGATATTTCCTTGGGTTACTGCCACAGTTTAATCATCTTAAAAAAAAGAAATTGCATAGATCGCCAATGAAAGCATTGTCTGGGAAGCTTCCTACAGCTTGTTTAACTTTGACCACCCTACCCATTAAGGCTTTGGCTTGCAGGGTTAACATGAGCTGAGTCCATGCTCCCAGTGACAGGTCTATCCCTTCAAGTCCTGCCAATGCTGGTCTGTCATCAGGAATGCCCTGGAGTATCGCAATCCTCCTCTACTCAGGAACTGGATCACTGCCACAGAGGATCAACTCACTTCTGATATTCTATTGCCAAAAATGTCACCTTGGAGCTGGCTCAGTTCCAATGAGACCTCACTTACCTCCCTTTAAGAAGGATACTCTTCCCATGACACCATCAACTCTTAAGTAATCCAGCAACCTGGCCTCAAGCACCTAAAGTGACAATTATCCACTATTCAACTCCTCCATTCTTAAGACATCAAGACTCATCACTAACTACAGAGATGGGATTTATTTTAATCAACATCATACCGGCAATTATAATTCTTGACTACGCTTAACATATTTTAAAAACAAAAACTCTGCTACTTAGAAGTCGCATTCCATTTAATCCTAACCATCCCTCAAATAAAATTGGTCATTCACTCTAAGGCTGTTTGTGGGACATTGCTATGCTTAAGTGCTCCAAGGTGCTACCCTGCGTGAACGAAACTATATAAATTCAAGTTGTGGTATTGTGCGCAAATTGCTGTGAGCAAATTGGCTGCTGCATAAGACCACAAAATACACTTACACCACTTGACAATATATCCTGTGACACACTTTGACATAACTCAATGACATGATAAGGTTCTATATCAAATGGATGGATTATTACATTATTAATTCCATGTTGGTAGATGCTTCAAATTAGTGCCTATAAAGTTGTAACAAGTAGACAATATTCGAAATTACCACAGTTCTCATAAAATAGCACTTTAAAGTAATCCAGTCCCTAATATTACTCACATATGTACCTACATTCTGAATATGTTCTTATTATTCTTCAGTCAACAAGGGGTTGAGCTGTAGAATGAAAACAGCTGGGAACAGCACTAATGGATCTGCACATTTCCATTTGCCATTAGCAATCATTACCAAACAATTCAAATGATACCACTGACTCTCCTCAGTGCTCTGCTCTGTGCTCCACAGGCACAACTTCCTGCCCTGAACTAAGTGCCCTGTACATGAACAACAAAGCTATAACCAGATTACAACTAAAAAGCATCATGCTCTAAATCATAGCTATCAGGGCACTGAGAGGTGACTTAAGATGTGATCAATTTTTCATTGTGTCCAGCTGAGCAATACAAGGCTGTCCTGATGTTAAGAATGAAGACTTGTTTTTCAATTAGCATCATTCTTCCCGAGAAGATTTACTGCATGCTATAAACCTGTTTCAGAGACTTCTGGTATTGTACATAGTGATACTGACTGTTTTAATAAATAAGTTAGTTTTTAAGATAACTAAGTTGTAACAATGTGTATGTTTTCTTAAGTTGATGGAGAATAAACATTGTATAATACAATTCAAATTTCAAGGTACTTAGATATTATATTATTAAACTGACATACCACAAGCTGAAATGCTGGGATCTGATAGCAGCAGATTCAATGGTGTTGCCAGTTAGCTCAATGGCTGCTACAAGCAGTATAATAATTTTAAAAAATGGGTGCGGAGGGAGACAGAGAAATGTTCAGAGACACAGTCATCAGCTGAGACATAGTGAAGGGTGGAATGTCCCACAATGTAGCACGTCACATATTGAATTTGTTTCAACGTTAGCTGTCATCATAAGGGTCCAGTAACACTTTTCCATCAGGTAACATTTTCCATCTAAAAAGGAGTAGGCGTCAGGAGTATGCGGAAAGCGCAGGTAAATGGGACCTGAAGGAATTGGTTGCAATAATAATCCTAGCATTTAGGAAAATGCCTTTCACATCAGGAGTCGCAAAGCGCTTCACAGTATATAAAGTAAAGTCGTGTGACTGTGGGGGTTTGAGAGAATGCCTCAGCCAATTTTGAACACAGCAATGTCCTACAAAGAGCCATGGAATAAATGACTCATTTTATTTGGGGGTTTATTAGTAAGGATTCCAGGAGAATCTCCCTTTTCGAATAGTGCCATGGGACCGTTAAAGTCCACCTGAAAAGGCAGACGGAGCAGCAGTTTAATGTGTCATCCGAAGAATCTCCAATACAGCACACTCCCAGCACTGCATTGGAGTGTCAGCTTAGACTATGTGTTCCAAGACCCGATGTGGGACTTGGGCGAGAGTCCTACCAACTGAGCCAGCACAGACACATGGGCCGAATGGCCTTCTGTCCTATAAATTTCCACGGTTTCTTTCTATGGTTAAGTCATAAGCTGAAGCTGCCTGGAGACAAATGGAATCCAGATTTTGTTGCATATTGATGTTCTTGAGACCTCCCATATAGAGCAAGCCACATACCAAACTATACAATGCATGGCTTGTCTTCTCTTTGATGTTGCAACAGACCACTAGATATTCTGGCTATGAATCAATTAAATGGTCTACAGTGCAACACATTTTTCAATGCATTTCAGGTACACCCCTAGACATTCTGGTTAATTCTACATCTAAGTACTTTGGACTTTAAGGTCAATCAGGTCATCTCCTAGTCATGTGTTTATCTTTTTTTTGTAGTGCAGTTAATATCCATAAATGAGAAGCTTTCAAAGGTATCTTTGATAATATATCACATGTAGAATATATGCAACTCAACTAGAAAGCCTGATTTAAAGCATGATGCCCAAAGTGGTAAACTCAACATGTGTTATTTTTCATATCAATGGAATTCTCACTCTACTCTCGTTTCGCCACTTGTGCTATAAACATCCAAAGTCACATATCTGCCAATGAGGTCCTGAAACCAGCAATGAGAAGATGCAAGAAAAGATCTGGGAGGAATTATCCTTCCAATGTACTTTTCCTCTGAGCAGAACACACAAAGTCTGTATTTCAATCATCCCTACAACATGTATGAGATCAAGAATCCAGTGGTGTGGAGATTAGCCCCACTTCATGGTGTAGCGTTCTATGCACTACAAGATGCAACCCAGCCACAATGCAAGTTGTTGTTGTCAGCTTGTCTACTCTCCAATCTATATCCAATATTAGGCTTGAAATCTATAGCAAGTTTATTTTGTTATTTTATTTTGATTCTAATTAAAATAATTATTGAATATTCCCCATCCCTGAAATTGTAGAAGATTTTCATGTGTACCTTCCAAGGCAAATGCTTCAAATTGTAAGATTACAAACATGTCTTTGGAAGCATCGATGAAGTATTCACAGTTCATGTTGATGTCATAATTATGAGGGTAGTTTGGTGACATGACAAGGCCACTCAGGTCAGTGAAATTGGCTCCACATCCTAAACAATTAAAAAAGAGAAAACATTATTTAAATTCAGAATTGTACAATATGGTCAGTATAGAGTTTGCCCCCAAAAAACTGGTTTGTGAGACAAGGTGGCATCCAATTTCCCCACAGCAATGACCCACAAACAACCATGAAATGAGTGACCAATTTTATTTGCTGTCCAGGATAATGGGAGAAAATCCTTTCTCTTTTTTTTTGAATAATGGGTGTGATCTTTAATGTCCACCTGAACAGTTAGGTAGTCCCGGTTTAACATCTCACCCGAAGGGAAGGACCTCCAACAATTCAACACCTCCCAGTACTCCATTGGTGTGTCAGCTTAGACTGTACAAGTTCCAAATCCCAGTGTGGCATTTGAACTCACAGCCTTCTGGCTCAAAGGCGAGAGTGCTAATATTGAGCTATGCTGAGACACAATTTATTAAATAATTAAAGAAAAACAATTAAACATATTTGTAAAGATTTTTGGGTAGGAATCTATTTAAAGACAAAGGTACTTACGGCTTGTGAATGAAGCTGAGAAGCCTTTACCCACACTATCTGCAGACCTGAATCGGGCAGTCATAACATTGGCTGGAATGGTAACAAGGCTTGGAGGAACATCTCCACAAGCTGTAGTCAAGAGCGTTCCATCCTGTTCAGCATCACCTGCCCACACCTGTGGAAATAGATGCATGATGAACAATATATTATTTAAAAGGAAAGTAAACCTAAGAGGAATTGTATAAGTTTTCTATGTTCTTCCCATCACCAAGCCCCGAATATCCACAGCCCTATCTTTGCCAGCCTCACTGGCTCTTGGTAACCCCCAAAAACGACTACAAAATCCTCTAACTAATTGTCATGATCTTTCTCCTTCTCTACCGCTGCAACCTCCCCAGTTCTATTCTCCTGGCCAGTATACACATTAAGACTGATTTCAAGTTGGTGTTCCAAAATTCTGCACATCTTTTAAGACGATCATCATAATAAAATGTACACTATAATCCTTACAGTTGACATTGTGCCTTTCATGCCAGGAGGATGTTTCAAAGCACTTCACATTACCCATTGTAAAATGTAATGAATGTAATTTCAAGGCCAATTTGGCAGCCAATTTGTACATAGATATGCCCCCAATCTCTGGAACTCCCTGCCTCAATCCTTTTGTCTTACCCCATTTTTGCCCATCTTCAAATCACACCCAAAGACTTTTCTCTTTGACCATGCTTTCCATCACCTCCCCCTCTCTTTCAAGCTCATTGTCAAACCACACTGCTGTTAAACCCTCCAAGACGATGTGAAGGGTGCTATATAAACGCAAATTATGTTTTGGAACATCCAGCTTGCTCTTGAAAGCATCTATACTTACTTTCACATAGCTGTCCTCACAGTGACCACTATTGTCAGGAATCAGGAAGTTGTCATCGAATGAGAGCTCAAGGTGTTTGCTCCTATGAGCTACAATTTTCCATGTGCATTCACTATTTTTGGGAAAGTCGACTGGCCAGTTTGGTGAATCAAAGGAGCCATCATCTGCATGCAGGATCCCCCCACAACCTAAGAAAGGAAATATTTTTGATTTAGAATTGCAAAGGTTCAAAAGTGTAGATCTGGGCAAATGTGATTTCCATCTCTAAATCACAAAAATGTTTGTGCCTGTGGAGGGTGAGGGTTTGATATATTTGTCGTCTGTCTCCCCCACCGCCCCCCGAGGGTTTGAAACTGAATTCAGTGACATATCTCACAATGCCAAGTCACAATGAACTCAGTAGCTCCTGGTTTGCAGGTGTTGCATATTAAACATTAGCTACTGACCTGCTTAGCTATTAAAAAAGCTCATTTTGTGCTGCACATTTCAAAATGTCCAAACCATGTGCTCTTTACTGGGAATGACATTGGGTTTATGTGACCATCCATATTTAATTGCAACTCTTTGATAATACCCAACAATACATCAACATGAAATGTAATTGAATTTCCTTCCCATGAAATACAATCCTAATACATATATCTTGTTAAATAATTTATTACTGCAGTCCTAAAAATGTTCTGATGGTAAAGCGTGACATTTTATAGTAAGGTTTGAGCTGATGAAATGGATATAACCATAATTAAATAATACTGTCAGGATTTCTTTGCACAAGTCTCTTTTACGTATTAAAATCTCATCTCAGAACTGCTACACTATTTATCAGTTGAATTTAAGACCTATTTTCACAGTCTGGTGCCATCAAAAAGTAGCGAATGTCTTAAAACTGTTAAAACTGTTAACGATTAATAAACAATCAGATTGTGTATTAAAACTGCAGTTGGTGGGGGCATACATGGCCCTAATTAAAGTTACTATAAATTCTGAGCATCTGAAACTACTGTACTGGTTTTACTTTCTCAATCCTATTTGAAATCCTGTATGCCTCTCGAAGGTCTCCTCTCAGACTTTAATATGGAAGTGCTTTTTAAACATTCTAAACATTGCTATGGGAGCTGGGAGCTGTATGTGGGGGGAGCTGACTGCATACCAGTGGTTTTGTATTTGCTGCTGCAACTTCCTGTCCTAAGGAAGTGCTGTTATGTCCAAAGAACATTAAACCCGCTGCTGGCTTCTATACAGAAAACGATTCTCCAAATGTAATAAATTGGAGAAATGAAAAGAAAAACTGAACCAGCAAATGCTATAAAAGCAAGAGTGGCAACTAGTGTCTGTGACTGCAACTGGACTATCAAGGGAGAGAGATAGATATATAATAATAATCCTTACATTTGATAAAGCTCCTTATGTTGTCAAGACATTTTAGTGTGCTTTATATCCTAAAGTGTTGCGTATGTGGCAGGCAGTGGGTTAATGCGGCAACCAAATTGCACATTACAATGAACGCGACAGGCAATTTGCACATAGCAATATCCCACAAACAGTCATGAAGTGAACAATGATTTTATCTGGGGAGATTGTTGACCAGGACACAAGGAGAAACTCCCATCTATTTTCAAACTGAAGCAGGCTGCAGATCTATGCAATCATTGTAAAGGCTTGTTGCCAAAGCACTGGGGAGTTTTCAAGGTACGGTCTCCTAATGAGAAAGAACAATTTCCAGGTATAAGCATTTGAATTGATTCCGCTGTTATCTACTCTCTGAACTGATTAAATTAAAGTTTGAGGAAAACGTCTAGATGAACTGATTAAAATAAGCTAATAAGGAACTCTGGGGGCAATCGTCGGTTTTGATTGCCAACACGTCATGGACTAAAATGATAAGGTTTGTATGTTTTGTCATTAAACATCATATTTGAAAAAAATAAATTTCTGAGCTATTTATTTGATTAAAACAAATCTATCAATGAAAACCATCAGCTATTTCCAACTGGAGAATGGAAAGGAAATATAGGCCACCCCGGCAATATCAGATTATGTGCACAAGGGAATATAGGACTGGTGTATTTGCAGTTTCAGTGACCATTATCTCTGCAAGCAGCCCCCCATTAATGAGATTACTCTCACAGCAGATGTCATGGTCTTTGCTGCTGACAGTACTTCTGAACTGTTTATTTTCCTAATGACTTTATCTCCTCGAAACCAGCTGCCAGAACAGAACACAACAGGAAGCTGCACTCACTTTATTGGGGAACGTTGCTTGAACCCAATAAACATTTATCCCTCCAGAGTGAAGCTCGAATCATGTTCAGAAATAAAGAACATATTGAATTATATAGATCAACACGTAAATTAAAGAAAGGCAAAAATGTATAATCCTTGCATTTGATATAGTGTTGTGATAAGACACCATATTAAATTGCAAGGTTTACACATTATTGCCAGTGTGCCTGCAAATATAGTCATTGCACTTTACAGTAAATTACACAAAGTCATGTGCCACAAGTAGCCTTGAAGTGACTAAGAACCACAGATGCAATTGGTCACATGCAGTTTGAAAGCAGCAGAAACCCAGGGCAATATTGAATTCCAGTGTCCATATTAAATTAAAGATAAATGAATTTATAGTTTTTACAAAAGACACTACCAAACAGATTCACTTATTCAGACTGGATATCTGTAATGTAATCTCACAGTCATGGGTTACTCCCATGAGTATATCCACCATATGTTGCGAGTGTCAGTGCTTTTAGGCTAATTCCTCGCCTTTGCTAAAAGATATTAGTAATAAGCATTGACTTTTTTTTTAGAATGGTGCAGTGCCTAACACTGGATAATGTTGTCTGCTAATGATCTGCAAGATGAATGTTGAGGCTGTTTCCTGATGATTAAGTGCCCCGTGATGTGATTGCACTGGCCTCGATATCGAGCTGGGAGTTGGTGCAGGTTACACAGCACATGTTGAACCAAGGCTGAACTTCCCTCAGAATCAAAGCTTTCAGAATTAATTGCTCCTTCTTCCCACAATCTCTTCACTTGTTGATCTTGCTCTCAGTATCACATAATCAACTGATTGGGCATATGGTAAAGAATATTATAATAATCCTTGCATTTGTGTTTCACATTGGGACAAGGTCGCAAAGCACTTCAGATTTACACTATAATGCAGTGACTATATATTTTATAGGCAAAACACAGCAGCCAATTTGCACACAGCAATGTCCCACAAACAACCATGAGGTGAATGACGAATTTTATCTGATAGATTGTTGACCAGATGACCAGAAAGAAAGAAATTCCTTTCTGTTTTTGAAGAGGGCCACTTCAACAAGCTGACAAGACCTTGGGTTAATGTCATCTGAAGGTTGAACCTCAAAGAATGAAGCACACTCTCAGCACTGCACTGTAGTGTCAACCTGGACTGTGTTCGTAGATTGTCATTGCCTTTGTACAAAATAGGGCTGTGACTCTCTTTTGTGTGCACTTTTTGTTAGGAGCAGAGCTTGTAAATTCAATGATTGGAACACATACAAAAAGAATCACTTTCACCAATTCTTCAGCTAAAGTCTTTTTCCTCATACCTGCTGAATCGGAGGTCCATGTGGCATCAAATCCCTTGTGTGGCACAGTGTTGTTAGAGTTAAAGATCACCAAGAGTCTGTTTGAGCCAGATTTTATGGTTCCTGGTGAGTTGGTCCCACAGTACTGGCCTATTATTGGGGAGCTGGAGGAGCCGCCATTCTTGATTGTAACAGAGTCCACGGTACAAGCAGAGTGAGGCTCCAACTCAAAGACTGTGAAGCTGAGCTATTAATGCCAAAGGACAGATAAAGTCAAAAGGTTACAATAATAATACTTAATAATAATAATCCCTGCATTTGATATAGCGCCTTATCATGTCTTTGAGATGTCACAAAGTGCTTCATAGAATATACTGTAAAGTGAACTAACTGTATATTTTGTGGGCAAACACGGCAGCCAATTGCTCACAGTAGTGTCCCATAAACAGTCGTGGATTGAGTGAACAATTCATTATCTTTTTTTAAGGAATTATTATTTACGGAAAAAACGATTCGCCAATCGATTAACAATCGGGTTCCTACATACTGCTAGGTAAACAGAGGCACGTGGAGTAAAGAAACTTGCTCAACATTTTGCCTTGCTGTGAACTGAACCCAGGTCTTTCGCTTGCGAGGCAAGTGCTCAAACCACTGAGCTACAGGACTCCATGGTTATAGCATAGAATGGAAATAAAACAATACAGAGATCCCACAGCATGAAACGTAACAGTCAACTGGAAAACACCACAAATTATGAACTTGGAAATGTTATCATAAAGTATTTTCCACACTACCGCTTCAGTGTGTTAAAACAATTACAATGTAATCCTTGCATTTGATATAACGCCTTATCATGTAAGACGTCTGAAAGCACGCCACAGGATTTTACTCCAAGTACTGTAGTAACTCTGTATATGTAGGCAAACGTGGCAGGCAGTTTGAACACTGCAACATCCTACAAACAGCCATGAAGTGAATAACCAATTTTATTTGGGAGAATGTTGGCCAGGACACTGGGAGAAACTCCCTTCTCTTTTCAGATATGACCATGGGGACTGAGGAACTATTGGCAAGGACAATTCAGCACTGATGAACTGCGATTATTAGTCAAACTTCAAAAACTATGAGAACTGATCTAGAGTCTCTGTATCAGACTTGGGTTTAATCGGGACTTGGTTTCTGTAATTTCTATAACAGATAAAATATAATTAAGTTAAACTGAAGATTTATATTTTCACTCTTTTTCCTTCACCTACATCCTCCCGTTGCCCCCTCCCCACTTCATTTTTCACCTCTTTTCTCCCACCTTTGCTCATTGACAGTAGAACATGCCAGGTTCAGCTAAGGTGCAGCCAGTTTCAAGGTCACAGCTCCCAAATTCTGCCCCAAATAAGCAATTTACAATGAATGGAGCTAAAAGTGGAATATGATCATATCAACTGTAATAATAATCACATGGGTCTTGATTCCACAACCACAGTACAGTAATTATAAAATAAACGTGTGTGTGTGCATATACAGACACATGCATAGGGAGACTGTATAAATCATCTATTTACAGATCATCATGGAAAAGAAGTGATCTATGATCCACTGAAGCTCAAACCTCTAAACAGAAACATGATAAATGAAACATATTTAACCAGGCAACTTAAAATCAAGGCTAAATTCTTCTGTTTAAAATCTGGTTTTGTTTCAAATAAAACATACTCACAGATATTGTGTGTCCTTCTGGGGCCTCCAGGAGCCATGCACAATGGGTCGAAGCAGTGTATGGGGATGGGAAGTTGGGGCTCGAAATCCTACCAGTACTTCCGGTCTGAATGCCTCCACATTCTGAAAGGTAGTGAGAAACCAAACTGAAACCAACAGATCAAAGGTTTTAAAGAGATATGACAGCTTCCTAAAACGTTGGTTGACAAAAACATTTTCCATTTGTTTACGAACTCAGCACAATGATCCAAGTCATGTCCAAGTACATCCCTTAGTTTTTATTCCAACCTTCTCCTCAACTGCTCACGTGACAAGCCCAAGTTAATGCTTCTTGGTTACCTATTCACTTCAATCACAGCACCCCCTACTTTTACTCACCTGATATCAGCTAACTCAGCATAGACTGGGGAATTAGACCAGGTTTATAAGTGTCAGTTCCGTGCTGGATGGACAGTACTGTTGCCAACAGAAGCAACGGGAGAAACCATGCTTTTAAGGTTACTGTATAATTTGTTTCTGTTCCCACAAGTATATGTTCAGAAGAATAAAATAGAAATTGTCTTACTGTATAAATATATATTGGGATCTGATTTGTGATATTCGCACACCAGATTTGTGGTGCTAATTCTAACTACCAGTCTGTGAGCACAGGATTGTGAACTTAGTCATTAGAATTTTTGATGTGTAAAACACAGCACAGGGATATATCCATCTGAAGAAAAAGAATACAAATGTGACAGCCTTTTAACAATAACATGTGGCTTTATGCAGTGGTGAAACGTTTAAGAATTCAATTATCATTTCTTAGTGGTTACAATAAAATAGGTTCTATTTTAAAATGGAGAATAGAATGATGTTGAACTACAAACCCGTAAATCTGTATTTGGCATTGAAACCGATATCTTCCACCGATGGGTTGGACATGAAATGTACCCAGACCTGGGAGTTGGCGATCACCAATGAAAGTCCAGGGGTTAGCTCCCCACACAGCTGGACTAAGAGCTCCCCGGCAGAATTTTCTGAGACATGAACAAAAAAGAAGTTTCTTTTAAAATCTCCTTTAAAATTGACAAAAATCACAACATAAAATACTTGATATAGCACCTTTCATGTCAGTGGATGTCACGATTTACTGTGAAGTGTAGCGATTGTGTATTTGTAGGCAAACGCAGCAGCCTGATTATGGACAGCATGGTCCCATAAACGGCCTTGAAATAAATTTTATTTGTGGGATTGTTGGCAAGGACATCCGGAGAAACTCTCTTCTCGAGTATATTTAACATCCACTTAAGCAGGCAGACGGGTCCTTGGTTTAACATTTCATTCAAAGGACGGCACCTCCAGTAATGCAACACATTCTTAGCTCTACCTTAGCGTGTTAACTTATACTATGTGAGTTCAAGTCCTGAGGTGGGACTTGAACTCACAACCTTCTGACTCAGTGATTTGTAATCACGCTGCCTGTCTGATTGCTAAAAATGTATTGCTTTTACTCCTCTTCTCCTCAATGTGTTTAATCCCATTTTCCTTCCACTGAGGCTCAGTTCAACAGACATTTGTTGTCTAAGTGGGATTACTCATGTGTGAGCCTTGACAGTGAGTGTTGCCTGCTGTTTCACTATCAGCTTGGGGGGTGGGAGGGGACATCACAGCTGAGCTACAGCTTGTCCGCATGACCTCCACACAATGCTCTTTGAGAAAAAGATGCTGTGTGTTGTACAAGAGCAGGAAGCCTGTTTGTTTCCCCTCACAAATCTAGGGCATTCCTGCTAATTGTAGTGTCGCACTGACTGATACACAGACATCTGTAGCGCAGTCACAGTCAACGAGTACGAGACTGAGCCATACCCATCAGGTCGAGAGTAAGGCAGGGCTGTCCCCTATCCCCCACCCTGTTTGTCTGCTGCATCGAACCCTTTGCACAGGAGGCCATCAGGAGGGACGAGAGCACCAAAGGCGTCACCATCCTGCGCAGCCATGGCACACAAGCCAAGGTCTCTCTGTATATGGATGAAGTCACCGTCTTTTGCACTCACCAAAAATCAGTCTCGAGCCTGCTAGGCATTTGTGACCGGTTTGAAGAAGCCTTGGGAACCAAGGTCAACCATCAGAAAAGCGAGGTGATGCATCTTGGAGACTGGAAAGAACGCAATCGCAAAGCTTTTGCGGTTTCGGCATCTGGTTCGGGGCTGCCGGTAGGTGCTAAAAAAGCTAGGAGGAGCGTCTAGGTTTAGTGAGAAAGAAACTGGTGATGTGGTGCCAGCGCTCGCTGTCCATCACTAGGAAAAACCTGGTGATAAAGTGTGAGGCCCTCTCGATGTTACTGTACGTGGCCCAGGTCTGATCTTTGACCAGGAACAATGCCACTGCAATCACCGGATAGGTCTTCCAACTGATCTGGGGGTCCAAGATGGATCGTGTCCACAGAAACACGATGAACAAAACCCTGGAAAAGGGCAGGGAAAGGGGTCCCTAATGTAGCCCTGATCCTCATGGCTACCTTTGTGTGCAGCTGCCTGAGGCTGTGTTGGAGCCATTCTATGCCAGCAACAAATGCCACCATGTGCTGGGTTTCCTACCTGTACCTGGTGCTGAGAAAGATGGGTCTGGCAGAACTGCCTCGAAACATTCCGCACAGTTGGAGCGTGCCAAAACACCTATCCTAGGTAGAGAAATTCCTGAAGAACACCATCCCAAACCCCCGCCCAATCACCGAGTGGTCTGCGCGACAGGTAGTTTAAACAGTTCAAAAGGGGGAGAGAGCAGACCCGATCGGGAGGTACCCTGTGGCGACAGCCAGCTACGTCTGGCAAAATGCCCTGACCAACAACCATCAGGACATCGCCTGGTTGGCGATAAATGGAGTCCTCCCCTTCAGGGCTTTCATGCATGGTCGAGGTCCGGGCCAGTCAGCACTTTGCCCTTGGTTCTGTAGACCCGCTGTCACGCCACTCGGTGCTGCATGGCCTCTTCCCGGGCACTCCAGAAAAAACCCACATTGAGTGTGCCTGGAGGATCATAAACTCGGTAAAGGACGCCCTTTGGCTCCTGAAACCAAGTGTTCTTCTGGCAGAACGAGGGGACAGTGAGAGCCTGCCTCAGGCTCGCCCACACTAGGATCAGGGACTATACACTGAGGGACAAGCTGAAGTTCGGGTCAACCGCAGCAAAGGCCAGATGGGGCCTGACCCCTGCAGGAGCCACTACTGCACAACCCACTCAGGGAGCACCCACCGGGGAGCCCACGAGTGCATCCAAAACTGACTGAAGTAAGGGTACAGAAGGACACTCGAGATGTAACCAAAGAGCGTCCTGAAAATGTACGTACAGTAAACATGTTTGCATACGGTGCACCTCGGGGGCGCCTTCCGAAAGCAGCAAGTGCGCCTTATCAGGGTGTGTGCTGGGGGGCACATGGATGTGGTGTACACAGGGGCTTCTCCCAACTGTGCCAAAGGGAGCATCCCATAAACATATGCACCACCTGTGTACGATGAAGGAGCGTACCGGGAGCACAGGAAAGAATTGTAACAAGATACTGTGTTGTTTTGGATTTCTGTTGTACTGAATATTATACTTATAAATATATTTTCATGAAAAAAAGCACCGACTAATTTCAGCTGATTCAGAACATGAACTGAACATGGGAATTTCCCTGTATGTGGAGTCCTGTAACTTAGTAGAGCACTCGCTTCGTAAGGACCTGGGTTCGATTTCCGGCATGGCGAAATGTTGGGCAAGTTTCCTTATTCTACATGCCTCTGTTTACCTAGCAATAAGTAGGAACCCAGTTGTTAGTTCATTGGTGGATTACTTTTCCAAGCATAATAATCCCTTCAAGTAATGAACAATTTGGTCCTCAATCCACGACTATTTGTGGGACACTGCTGCGTGCAATTGGCTGTTGCGTTTCATCCACAAAATTACTTTACAGCAAATGCTGTGAAGTGCTTTGAGATGTCTCGAAGACGTGATAATGAATTTGCTGAGCCATTAGGGAACTGAGGATATCAAATACATTGATAACTTACTTAATTTCCATTCAGGATGGTCAATTTACCCATTAAATAAACTGTGAAGTTCATTTTCTAAGAATAATGTACTGGCACACACATCAGACAATTTGTCTTTTTAAACATCATGATGCAGATACAAGTTATATCAATACATAAACACATTTCAGAGACACAACAGATTGTTACTGAGTGGTTACTGAGCAGTTTGAGTCAAAAAACTATAAAATATCTTGAATCATTGCTTTTAAAGATTGAAATATTGATTAAGGATCTCACATCATCAATGAATAACACTGACTTTCAGTAATTTCAATTCTCTGGAGACTTAATCTCAAAAGTCATCATTTACCTGTTCAGTGGAACTTATCTCTTTAATTCATTAAGTTGTGTTTTAATACTTTAGAATCCAATACTTGAAGAAGAAAAATATTTTGGTCCATTGTATCTTGCAAATGCTACCTGACCATAATTATGTGCTCCAATCCTATTCCTCTGCTCTTTTCCCACACTCTAATATTTTTCTCAAACATTAATCTATTTCCCTTTTAAATGTGATTATGGGCTCAACTTCACCCGATGCTTGTGTTAAAGTATTCCACATTCTAACTTCCTTTTAATATTGTCAACCTTAGTTCACTGACCGGATCGGATTGCAACGTGATCCTGCTCACAGAGAGTGTGGTGTTCCAAGTGGAAGTTGATGAACTCGATGTAGATAGATGAACCGGTGGAGGAGGGGTTCTGGATGAGCCACTCACAGTTAAGATTACTCATGTAGTCCAATTTGCCATTATAGCCTGGTGAAGTGAAGGTCCCTTCATTTGGATCGCCCAATGTACCTCCACACACTGATTAAAAACATAAAAGATAAAACCGCTCAGGTTCAGAAATAGCTTTATAGTAATCCAGTTACTTCATTGGTTGTTCATTGGAGTATTTGGTCATCCGACACAAGCTGAACTAAAAGTCCATTGATACGAAAATGTAGATTAGTCAACATTGGAAAGAAAATAGAGGGGTGAAAATTGTGACATTTGTTAATGGATTCAATGGGATGTATTGAACCTTTTATGAAATATCGTAAATTGTTCTGACATCCCCAATATCCAAAATGGCAACAATTCCTTTTCAAGGAGTCAACAGGAATATTGCAGTGCATGGAATTTGTAATAGAAGTGTTTAGTACTATGGCCTTTTTAATAATGAGAATTAAGTATCATTTCATACAATTCAATACAATAATTTCTCACAAATATCTCCCAATAGATTTTCTTTAATACCATGGGACATATTTTCATATTTATTTCAGATCTTCCGAATTCATTTTTTAAAAAATACATCTGCACTAAAATTCCATTGCTTAATTGGTTGAAATGGATTTTCCTCTCACTCCCACCCAGTCACCTGCGGGGTAACCCAAGGCTCCACTCTTGGCCCACTTCTTTATCTTATCTACATTCTCCCTCTCGGCGATGTCATCTGCAGACATGTGGTCAACTTCCATGTGTATGCGGATGACACCCAAATCTACTTCTCTTTCTCCAGCTGCGACTCCCAATCTGCTGATGTCCTGTCAGCTTGTTTGATGGCCATCAAGGCCTGGAAGAGTGCAAAATTCCTGCAGCTGAATGTCGGCAAGACGGAAGCCATACTCTTTGGTTCTTGCCAACGTCTTCTCTCCTGCGGGTCTGAACTCCTCAACCTCCCTGGCCTCTCCTTCAGGCTCTCTGAACCCGTGTGCAACTTAGGCGTCAGGTTCCATTCCCCGCTTTCTTTTCTACCACATATCCATTCCTTGACCAGGGCTGTTTTTTTCCACTTCTGCCATATTGCTCCATCCGTACCTCACAACTGACACAGCTGAAACTCTCGTCTAAGCCATTGTCACTTCCCGACTGCACTATTCCAATGCCCTCCTCACTGGTCTCCCCAGCTGCACCATTCACAACATCAAATTAATTCAAAACTCCGCCTCTCGGATACTCATCCGTACAAAACTCCACACCCCCATCACACCAGTTCTTGCCAGCTTCACCGGCTTCTAATCACCGAACGGAACAATTTCAAGATCATCTCACTCGTTTTCAAATCATTTCATTCCTTTGCATCTCCCTACCTATCTGACCTGCTTGTCCCCCACTCCACCACCCATTGCCTCCGCTCGGCTGACTCCGGCCTCCTCCTCGTGCCCTCTGTTCCACCATCGGTAGCCGTGCCTTCAGCTGCTTTGTCCGAAATTCTGGAACTCTCTCCCTCAATCCCTGTGCCTTGCCCCCTCCCTCCCCACCTTCAAGTCCCGCCTAAAGACCTTCCTTTTTAATCGTGCTTACGGTCACCTCCCCCCTTCCCCGACTCGTTCGTCAGACTCCGCCACTGTGAAGCGCTCTGAGACTCTACCCGGAAAAGTGCTATATAAATGGGAGTTGCAACATTTAACAGAAATCCTTTTGATGCTGTTGGTTAACCTGCTTCAGAGCATAAAGTTAAGGGATCAAATCCACTTGAATAAGATTTAAGAACAACAGTAAAAGGGTTTATAAATACAGTAAAAGAAAGGAAGAGTTGGGTGATTGAAGCAGGTCTCCAAGTATGAGAGTAGTAGTGGATAAGAATGTGGCAGAACTGTCAAATTAATATTTGGGTTTTTGATACTAAGGCACAGTACGCTGTACATTAGAGGCTAATGAAGCAAAATAAAGGAGATTAATATAAACAAGAACATCTTAATGATTGAACTAATGAAGCTGCAAAGGCAAATCTCCAGTTTTTCATTGTTTCCACCCCCAGGTATCAAAAAAAATTATGAAGAAATTGTAGGGGATATAACTGGATTGAGTTAAATTATTGGCTTGCCAAGCAGCACTGAAACTCCAAGCTCAGTGGCTGGCAACATTGGCACTACAGCAACAACTGTGGCTAACACTGACAGACACAATAAAAATAGTTAGAGGCAATGTAACATAGCTTGATCCAAATCAAGGGTGTGTTAGTAAGCTTCTTTATTTGTCAATCTAATCACTCATAAATCACTCATAAATCCACCACTCTTTGTCCCACTCCCACTGTCCTTTTATACTTCCTGCTCTTCTTCTTATTGGTCCTTTTATTCATTGTCAATTTAACTTTAAAGGAATATCCATCAGATATGACAAGATTGGTTTGGATGAAGAAGGATCTTAGCCCACCCAATCTCATCCTTTCAGAACACCCAAACCTACCTTCCCTCCATCACTGCATCAAACTGCTCTATTAAATGAATCCAGTGTCCTGGCCTCATCAGTCAATGAAACTTTGAGAACAATATATGTTCTCACTTTAGTTTTCAAGCAAACCAAGTGCCAGTGTCCCTAGAAACCTACTCATTATATAACTTTGGAACAAACAAACCTTGCAGTTAGTGGTCATTCGAGGACATGCATTGATCAGGTAAGTGATTCCAAATAGAGCCAGGGGTTGGTTTTCATGTCAAGAAGGAAAAATTACATTAAAGTGATAAGTCTTGTGATTTTATGAGTGTCCCTCTCTAAGGTCAAGTGGCCTGACCCAGAGAACAAAGTCAATTAGCATAAAGCAGATCAAACACATTTTAGATTCCACACCAGTGCTGTCATAGCCTGCAGGATTATCAAGTCATACATAAAGCTGTGCTATTGAAAACACCACAGTGGGGATGATGCGAGGGAGGGAGAGGGTAGATTTAGAACAGATAAGTGGATGACATGCAGATCACAAAGAGATACTGTGCAACTGGGGGCAAAGTTATAACCACTTGAACTATCACTAAAGAAGTTATAAACATTTGAACAATCACTAAAGATGTATTTGCTATTTTAGAACTGAACAGAGGAGAAACCTGATTCAGCCTGCACCGCAGTCCCCGGAACTCAATCCGTCTTCAGACCCTGACCTCACTTGGCCCGTGACAATCCTTTTTATCGGGAAATTTGTTTTACATTCTTGCTTTTAAGATGGCAAGAAATGTAACCCTGGACGCACTTAATTAAAATAGTTTCCATGAGAAATCCTTGGCCTCCCTCTCTCCCTCCACCCAAACTCTCCAGTATGAAATGCAAGGATGTTTTAATGCTGAGAACTACACACACAGCATCCCCCATCTCAAATGTTTATAAAGATATAATTCCTCAAACCTAAACTATTAGATGTCTTTCAACTAACCCAAACTTTCCTCTTCAACTGTGCCTTTGGTCACCTCCCTCTGTTTCCAGTTGGGAGTCAAACCACACCACCGGTAAGTGTTTTGAGTTGCTCTCACGTGAATAGTGCTATATAAACACAAGCTGTTGTTATTGTAATAGATGCCCTGCCCTTAACCTAAACAAATGGAGGCCCTGCCCTTAACCCAAACTAATTGATGTCCTGCTCCTAACTCAAATTACAAGGAGCCCTGCCCCTTTGATAATAAACATGTACTACAATGTCAAAAGACTATAGCTGACTAAGCTAACATAAACTACTGTTGACATATAATATATATCTCAATTATAATTGAGAATTAAATATTTAAACTACTCCAAACAAAGGCTTTTGGACATCAGACATTCAACAATTTAATAGTACCCCCTTTTCCCACACCCACATCTGAGGCAGCTCTAGTCGACAGGCAGAACCCAGACAGCAGTGGCTGGCCTACTAGTCATGATGCAACTTAAACTGACTAATGTGATATAAAGCTGTACGTCCGTGTCAAGGTACTATTTAGCATATATTGATGAATGTCAGAATAGTATTGACAAGCTGATGAATTTCTTGGGTATATGTAAAATAGCTGTAAAAATCACAAATATAACTAGAATGGTACAATGTGATGTTCAAAAGAGTATTGCTTGTTGTCTATTACATAACTCACCAGCGTCTTCTTCTGATGTATAGGTAGCGCTGAAGCCTCCATTGGAAACTAATGCATCAGTTACGAAGACAAGCTGCATGGTGTTTCCAGAGGACATCACGCTTACGTTAGAATTTAAGTTGCCACAGTATTTCTGTAGCCTGGGAGAGTTGGGCTGCAGGCCGTTGTATATCTGTTGATATTTTGACACAAAAGGATAGCATTAGGATTGCTTATATTTTTAGTGTTATGCAATCGTTGGAGACTGAAATGCGATATTCGTCAGTCCTGCCAGAAACCGCTAGGCACCTCACGCTGATCTTACGGAATTCTTCTCCGGATGTCGATCACATCGGGGCAGAGTTCCTATCATTCAGCCTGAGGCAATTTCAGTTACTACAGGATTTTCTATTTGTAACTGTTACAAATTTATATCCTTATATAACAGGAACCTTACTATAAGGCACTTTGGTTTGGAAAAAAGAAATACCTCCGCTATGCCAAAATTGTGGATCACTAGGCTCCACACTAAAAATGGCCACCTTCTGGGTCACAGGTTACTGCTGATGTAACTTCTTGCACTATGCAAAGGAAGTGCCTCCAATGTCGCATCATAAATGAAGCGACATTATTGGCACATTTTGCTGATGTCAGTGGTGATGTGCTGACCCAGAAGGTGGCCATCTTTTCACGCTTTGTTTTAATTTTGAGGTCCTGAGTTTATGAACCCAGAGCACTGCTTTATAATAGGATCGTCCTGTACTACGCATCAATATCTTGTTCATTTGATGTCGTAAATCTCTTTTCTCAGTGGATCCATTAATGAGAGTCAGCGGACTTGGGTCCCTTTTTAAAAAAATCTCCTAATTGAAACTGTGAATTAGTCATCCTGACCTGTCTCTATGGTCTCCTCACTGGGCTGTCTTTGAAAATGATTAATCGAGCCTGTGGTCATTAAAGGCAATGCATGAGTCCCAGTACAAGAGGTTAGGTGATTGTGAAACTGTTCCCATTACACAAATAAGCAGTGCTGGAAGGCAAAATGATTTGTAGAAACACAAGCCCCCGACCAGGGACAAGAGGACTTGTAGTTTACTGCTACTCGAACACAAAGAGCTTTCACCCCTTAATGGACCTACTGAAAGAACAGATTTATGGCACCAAATGAACAAGTTCCCAATGCCTAATATTATAAAGTTGTGATCTGAGTCCACAGCTGGAGAGCATCATTGTGTGTTACAAACTTACAGCAACAAAGTCGAGGTCACAATTCTCATGTGCTTCCAAGTGTAGGTCTGTGATGCTCAGTGTAACTCTGCGTCCTTCTTGCACTGTGATTTTCCACACACATCGACGACTGTGAGGATAGAGGTTTGGGTAGTTTGGAGAAGTGATGGTCCCTGTGGATGCAGTCAGTTCACCTCCACACCCTGTAAGACATTCATTTCATTTGGTCTCACTGCGGCTTCAGAAATAAAACTCCAAGACCTCTAATGTGCTAAATACAGGCTATTTACGAAAGTTTTGCATTTCCATTTTGAACTCACAGTAACAACAATAAATACAAAAGTGTGCAATGTTCTTAATTATTCAGGAATAATTTTTGGGGGTCTGACACATGCAGAAACCCATCACCATGCTTAAGAGTATCCAAACCAATCAGAGTTCCTACACATGATATTACCAGAGGTGTTTATTGGAATGGAATGCATATTCCCTCCTTAAGGTAAGCATCTTACTTATCTTATGCAATAAAATATTAGGCTTGGGGTCCCAGAGTGTGTGTTGGGATCCTACTGGAATCTAACCAGCTAAAATTGCATAGCTTACCATTGATAACAATGTCTGGCAAGATTTCCCACTGCTTGTCCAGCTAGGACCACTCTAACTCATTAAGTTTGCAAGGTTAACAGGAGCTGAGTGGGATAATTCCCTTTTCCCGGTGACCCGTCTGCCCTTCCAAATCCAGCCGATGAGCCAGGCTGGCTATGCGGTCATCGGCAGTGCCCTGGAAAACCCACAGAGGGTTCACTCAATTCTCCCATTCCATTGCCAAACATGTCACCTTGGAGCCAGTTCAGTTGCAAGGAAACCCTGCGTACCCCCTCCCCCATCCCCCAGGGAGGCACGAACATTTATAACAGGAATGTGTCATTTCAGATCAAATTTTTGTTATCCATATAATTATGGAAAATCTAGATCAGCACACCAGATCGTCATCATGTATCAGCTTGGTTTGGGTGGTAAAACTCTCACTTCTGAGTCAGAAGGTTGTGGATTCAAGCCCCATGTCTGGACTCATATATATTCTGACACTCCAATAATGTGCTGTGGGAGCTTTGCTTTGTTGGAAATGCTGCCTTTAACCCAGACATTGATAAGCACAAAATTAATGTTAAAAAAGATTTTTACTTTGTAATTTATTTCTATTGGGAAAAACTACTAATTGGGGAAAACTACCAATTAGGAAACATTACCATCAACACTCGCTTCAAATCCCAGGCGGAATCCCTTCTTGGTGTTGGAGGCATCTGTGTGAAAACGTACATAGGCGAAGCTGTCTGAAGTATCCATTGGGTCGAAGGTTGTGCTACCACAGTGTTTCCCCAGTAATCGGCCTGTGTGACCAAATCAGAAATTAATTACAGTAATATTTGGAACTACAAGATCCTCGTAATAATACTTGGGACATCCTCCCAATCTGAAAGGACCTATATAAATTTGCAGGAAATGATGTCCACAATGACCTTACGACCCAGAAGTTGCCAATTTTTTGACAAAAATATCATTGAAACTGAAAAAAAATTAAAACATTGATATCATCTATCGAAAATTAAAATAAATAAAAGTAGAAAAANCTATAATAAATATAAATTAGGATCACAATTATTAATGTGGGAAAGAGTCAGTCACGCTAAAAAAAAAGTTGAAATGTTGGATGCTGACATAGTTGGTTATTTCTGGTGGTAATTTACACAACAATGTCAGTGGAGTTCACATCAGAATTTTTATTTGTATATTCTTATATATATATACACACACACCCATAACATCTGTAGAGTTTAAATTACGATTTTCATTTGTAAATTCTTCTTTGCATGTATGTCAGAAAGTCTTTCACTGAACAGATGCTGTTGAGCTTTTTATTAAACCTCTGGTGCACTGTGCCATATTGGCCCACAAAATACACAATCATTATACTCCACAGTAAAATCCTGTGAAGCGATTTGTGATGGCCTTCTGACATGAAAGTTACTATAATCAACTGCAAAGACTATTATTATTAAATATTATTTCAGTAAAATTCACACAAGTCGTATCAATCAGGACCATAACATTTAATATGACTTATGCAAAGTTTGAGTTGCATTAGTCATATAAAATTCAATTTAATTAATAATCTACACTGAGCATGTGTAATTCAATGCAGCCAATAAGTGCTCATGCAGTAGTTTGTTACTGCAGCCCATGAGTGCGCCTGTAGGGTCTGGTCAAGACGTCATTTCCCGCGATTCATTGCAGCCGGTAAGTGCGGGAGTAATTGAGGGTAGAGGTGAGGCATTGCGGGTTAGGAAGTGATTAATATGAGTAGTGCAAATAAATCTAAGTGGTTTTGACAGGAAACCAAATGGGGCTTGGGTGAATGTACAAATCAGTCGATTATATGATTTATAAAGATAAGACTTATGTGAGTTTTACTGTATTATTATTGTAGTGTTAGGCCATTCCCCACACAAGGCCTGAGCTGTACCACCAAAATAGCACCCAGATCCTAAATATTACCAAAAACAGAGTGCGGGACATGCCAGGCTATTTACTTAGGTGAATGGTTTATGAGCAGGTGGCTTATCTTGCTTTTGAGTCAGAGTGGTCATACAACACACTCACACACCATAGACTAGAATATCCCAGTTTATTAGAAATAATTTATAATTGATTTCTGCCCAGTCAGGTCATAAAACACCATTAATGCTGTTTGGTGCAATATGTTTTATGTTCTCAAGTGCTTAGCTATACTCACCAGTTGAACTGTACTCGCGGATTTCCACAAAATCTTTGGTACAATTCGGCGTATCTTCCAGGTCCAATGCATCATAAGTAATGGTGAGATAATGGCCAGTGGGTCCCTTCAGGTACCATTCACATTGCACGTTGTCAGGGTAATTAGATGAAGGATACCCAGGGCTCTGCAGATATCCATCAATTCCAATTAAAGTCCCACCACATCGAGCTATGAGGGAGAAAAGGATCTAATTTTACATGTGCATTATGGTTACTATTATTTTCATGTCATGGCTGTTTGTGGGACAATTGGCTGCCACATTTGCCCACAAAACATAAAGTGTATCCACCTTACAATAAATCCTGTGAAGAGCTTTGGGAGGTCCTCCTGATGTGAAAGCGCTATATCAAATGTAAGGATTATTATAATTACGATTATTAATAAATTATTAAGGTTATAATATTTCATTCTGAAATGAATTGACTTTACCAAAAAAAATCAAAACCTTCTTCACTCAATGTACCACTGCTGCAATCAAAGTCAGGACTAATATGAATAATAATTAGCTACATTGCATTTACATGCATTACAAATGGTTGTTATAAATACTATTACGGGTGTCAAAGTACACTGATGGCTACATGTTTTTACTATATCTTTATATTGATTATCTTTTTTAAGGATGAAATGAAAAAGAACCATTATTTTTAGTGATGAAAGTACATTAGACTTTATGTCTGGGTTTGAATGAACTCTCATCATAAACTGGAGAATTTATAAAATAAAACAAATGGAAGCTAATATGATCATGGTCTGGCAAAGATGATTTGCCCAGTGAATTATTCAATCTCATATCCTTTGAAATCAACTGATTAAGATCCAAGATTAAAAAAAGTCTCCATGATTGACTTGTTAATGACCATGTGTAATGTTACCTATCGAATATCTGGCTTTGAATCCGGCATGAGTTGTTCTGGCATCAGTGCGGAACCTCACATGCATGACGTTGCCTGTAGACTTCTGGGTGGATGGGCTGGTAGATCCACAGAGACGGCTAATCAGAGGACTATTTGAAGAAGGCCCATCGTGCAGTTCCAGGTAATCAAACGCACATCTAATACAGGAAACAGCAGCCTTGTTAATTTCGCCGGAAAACAAGGTGCATTCTGATAATGGCTGAGGTTTACTTACTAAATGCCTACCAAAATATTGATGGGTGACATTTTGTGAGTTTCTAAGAGCTGGATATTAAAGTTTCATTAAAGATAGCAGTAATCTTTGTCAGCTGTTATTAAATGGATAGAATTTTGAGTGTTTGGTATTTAATATGAAAGTCATACAGAAACTACACTTTATAGTAGATTCTGTGAAGCACTTTGGGATGTCTTCCTGACGTGAAAGGCTTTGGCACAAATACTAGATTGTAATTATTATTATTAAATAACTACTAAGGCAGTAGTACACCGTTACCCACCCAGAGAGTGGTTCAGTTTCAGCAATCATCTTTTTGGGTTTGCTCACAAAATATACAGTTAGTCCACTTTACAGAATATACTGTGGAGTGGGTTGAGACGTCTCAACAACGTGATAAGGCGCTAGATCAAATGCAAGGATTACCTTTTATAATTATACAAGTGATCTTTGTCTACAAGCACTTCACAAGGGCATGGATGGACATTGAGCAAGGGAAAAGGGGGGGAAAGGTGGGTATTTGTAAGTAATGTGTCTGTAAATTGGGTTTACCTGAAGGAGCTCAGGTTTATTGATCAGTGTATGTGTAAGGGTGAATGGTTGTCCAACATTTCAGCACATCAAGTTTGACTGTGTCATGTACATGCTTCTCATTTAGTAGAAATTAAAACAATAGTTTATCAGTGAGGCAAGTAAATGTACAAGCTTCAATCTTACTGTGAATCAGGTTCAATGTAGAAGAGATCTTCAAAATCGAGCTGAACTGCTTCCCCAGCTGGAACAGTGATGGTCCAGGTACAGTCTATGTTCTGAGGGTAGTTGTTAGGGTAGTTCATGGAGGAAATGTTGCCAACGGGGTCAAAATCAGAAACATAAATGGTTGCACCACAGGCTATAGGAGGAAGAAATGGAACAATGTTGATCATCCAACAATAATAATAATCCTTGAGTGCCCAAGATCCATTTTACAGTATGTCTTAATGAGATTTCTTTATCACTAATTCCATGAAAAAACAGAGGTACTTCATGTCGTCTCAAGGGAATTGTGCTCTGAAAATACACTTGAGTCGGAGTGGCAGTCACGTGAGTCAGGTTCTTGGATATAACCTCTGTAATGAAGAAATCCTGTCAAAAGAAACTGCAACATTGCACCCCTCCTATCCTTCCCACGCTTGATGTACTCCTTTAGAATAAGATGGCACTTAAAGTGTCATAATTCTTACTGATGACAACACATAGGAGATGCACTTCTTTTTTGATTGTATCAGTGTGACTCCCAACAACCGTAACTGCTCAGATTTATCATACTGCATTCCCTACGGACTTCATACGACCTTCACCAGAACGACAGGCTGAACATTTTAAGCTATGAAATTGCTCTCAGACAGTCTCAAATGCACAAAGGTGCACTCAGACATCCTTTCACAAGTTTTCTTCCAAGCTAGCTCTAATTTCGTCATTGCATTGTTACTCATCCAGGACTATGAACTGACCATTATATTACACAAGGGATTTCGGTGGGATGAAAGAGTAGTTGGGAAGAAGTGCCGTGGAAAATTCTTCCTTTACCCAGTGGAGTTCTAAAGAGTTACCGAATTACATTATGAAGGGCGGAATTATGGTCTGTTTTGTCAACAGCACCACTGTTCTCAGTTTTTCAAACAATTTCATGTCTGTATTAGCTGAAAATTCAAGTCTGATTGTTAAAATGTTACTCAGTCATGTTCCCAGCTACAAGACAGAGGTCAACTCATTGCAAAGAATTTTGAAATCCTAAGCAGCTCAGTAAGTCCCCTTTGAACAGTTACATTCAGCATCTCTTCAAATGCTCCACATTCAAGGTCTTTGCTGGGCTTAGCTTATTCAATTCATAGTCACAAGGAAATCATCTTAATACAGCAGAGATCTGTGAACAACTCTTCAGGCAAACAATGCCACAGTGCTGTGTCTATACATGATGAATACCCCCACTGTGAGTCATTTGGAGGTACACCAATGCTGCCATTTACATCACATTCCTGGTATTATGGTTTCATCACATTTCAGATAAGTCACTGAGCTCTTTCATTGTAATAAATGGCATTAGATCTTTCCAAAACTAGTCCTTCTCGAACTTCTCAGAAAATTACTGCAGTCAGAAGCCCTAAAATGATCCATCACATATTTACGTCTTCCCGCATTAGGAGTGGTAAGAAGGGAAGAAGGTGGAATTTATAGAATTTTGCAGCATGAAAGAAAGATATTTGCCCATTGTGCCTGTGCACATTTTCTGGAAGAGCTTTCTGTTTAATCACACTTAACAGCAATAACAATTTACATCTAAAGTGTCTCTCACATTCAGAGGACATCTCAAAGCCACAACTTAATGAGAACCTGTGTCTGTGGGTATATTACCCGGGTGTGGGGGGTGGGAAGAGAATCTGCGGAGGAGGAAGAAAGGAAAGGTGGTCCAAAGTTTAGATGAAGAAATAGGTTTGAAGGTGGATTTGAAGGTGGGCAGTGAGGGGAAGGTGGAGTTTTGGAGAACAGAAGCAGAATGGCTGAAAGTTACCCACTGATGATGGGGCGGAAGATGTGAATATTGCGGTGTTTGCTGAGTGTGGGGAGCGGTTGGGGCAATATGGTGGCGGAGGTAGAGTTGGATGAGGCTGGAGGGATTTTAAAGTGAAGTGAAGGTGAGGATTTTGAATTTGATCTGCTAGAGAATGGTGTTGACGGGCTTGTGCAACCTAGTACAGGAGAAGACATGGGCTGCAGAGTTCTGGATGGTCTGCAGGTTGTGTAGGGAGTAGCTGAGGAGTCCAGTAGAAGGGATTTGGGATAGTCAAGTCTGGAGGTGATGAAGGTGTAAATGAGGGTCCCAGGGGGAGAATTAGTGACCAAGGTGGATAATACTGTGAAGGAGAGCAAAGGCAGAGTGAAAGAAAGCCCAGATGTAGGGTTTGAGGATACCTGGGGTTGAACAAGACACCAAGGTTCTGCACTACCTCTGTGAGGTGGAGTGAGCTCAAGGATAGAGTCCTGAGGAATATTACATTATGATTATCTGGGGATAGGAGGAGAAACCATTGGAAGAGACAAAGTGAAGACTCTTGGATAAGTATGAGTGAAACTTGGAAAGGATAAGACGACAGAGGTGGAACAGGGAGGAGAGATAGTGGAGAGGAATGGAGATGTTAATGCTAAAAAGAGACAGGGTTTGGAGTAAAGAGGTGAAAGAGTTAAGCAGGACCTCACTGGAACGAGTTAGCTCCAAAGTGACATGCCTGAAAATGAGAATATTGAATTGAGTCATTTTTCTGTGGTGATCTCAGTAGTCTGGTTCCTCAACAGATAGATTTGCAGAACTCCAGGGCATTGTTGATGACAGTGTTGATGACAGACCAGCCAGCCTGGATCACTAACAAGATTCGGAAGGACAGAACAGATATTGGGAGCAGGGATTCTTCCCATGCAGCTCCTGTAAATCCTACAAGCCAAAGTCCTAACTTTTAGAGTAGTCCTAGCTTGAAACCTTCTATGTTCACAATTACAAATAGTCAAACTCCATCAGTATCCCAACACATGTTCTGGGGTCCTCAAGCCTCGATTCTTGCCATACTGTGCCAAATATTCTCTAGGATTAGGTGAACATAAGAATTAGGAGCAGGAGTAGGCCATTCAGCTCTCGAGCCTGCCCCGCCATTTGATAAGATCATGGTTGATCTTCTGACCTAACTCTAATTACCTGCCTTATCCCCATATCCCCTAATCCCTCTGCTTTTTAAAAAATCTATCAATCTCAGCCTTGAGGATGTTCAAGGACAGAGCATCTACAGCCTTCTGGGGTAATGAATTCCATAAATTCCATGAAGTGAGGGAAGAAGTGTTTCCTCAACTCTGTTCTAAAAGGCTGACTCGTAATTTTAAGACTGTGACCCCTGGTTATAGATTCTCCTACCAGGGGAAACAAACCCTCAGTGTCTACTTTATGCAGCCCTTTAAGAATCTTATATGTTTCAATAAGATCTCCCCTAATTCTTCTATACTCTAGAGAACATAGCCCTAGTTTATTCAGCCTATCCTCATAGGTCAGTCCCCTCATCCCAGGAACTAACCGAGTGAATCTACGCTGCACCCCCTCTAGGGCAAGTATGTCCTTTTTTAAATAAGGAGACCAAAACTGCACACAATACTCTAGGTCTCACCAAGGCCCTATACAGTTGCAGCAAAACTTCTCTACTCTTGTACTCTCAACCTTTTGCAATGAACGCTAACATGCCGTTCGCCTTCTTAGTTGCTTCCTGAACCTGCAAACCAACTTTTTGGTTAGAGCAGTGTTCTTCCTGGAGAGAATGTGTACTTTCCATTCCAGACACAAGAACATTTCCATACACATGTGGAACTCTCAGTAGTGTAGTTTGGACATGGTGATGGGCTTCTGTGTGCGTCGGATATAATGGATAAAAAAAAACTTGTTTTTAAGTTAGATCCACATCACTTTACAAAATAAATCACATTGCTGTAATTCACAAAAGGAGTCCTATAGCTCAGTGGTTAGAGGACTCGGCTCTCAAGGGAGAGACCTGGGTTCAATTCCTGGCAGAGCGAAATGTTGGGCAAGTTTTCTTACTCCACACACCTCTGTTTGCCTAGCAGTAAGTAGGAACTGGGTTATTAGTCGATTAGCGGATCGCTTTTCTGGAGGTAATAATTCCGTCACTTCAATCCACGACTGTGTGTGGGATGCTGCTGTGCACAATTGGCTGTCGAGTTTCACCCACAAAATATACAGTCAATTCACTTTACAGTATATTCTGTGAAATGCTTGAGACGTCTCGAAGACGTGATAAGGTGCTATATCAAATGAAACGATTATTATATACAAATTCATGGAGCTGTCACTGAAATGGATAGCGTTGATACTGAAATGGCCAGCACGAAGCACTGAAGATGCAGTCACAGTATATAAACCTAAAATCAGGTGCCTCTGGATCCACTCACCCATATACGAAGCCTCATAAGTGAACTTGAAGCCCTGACCCTCACTGCTGCCGTCAGATATGAAGCGTACAGAGAGCCGATTGTCTGTGGTACGCATCGTGGAGGGAGGGACCTCTCCACAGTAGCGCCCGTTCCCGCCACTGGACGTCAAAGGTGGTGAAGACGAGTCATACCCATTCCTAAACTAGAAACAGAAAAGGATATTCAGAATAGAAATAGATTGGCGCCTTCATTTAACAATAACTGTTATGCAAGAACTTTTTTTAAAACCTTGGAGCAGCAGAACTGCCTTTCCAAAATGACAGCAGCGACAAGTTATATTTATATTTATAGAGGGTCTTTCATATCTGGAAGACATCTCAAAGCTCTCCACGTGCCTGAGTAACCAGTTTGGGGGGAGGAGGGCAGAGTGCTGAGGAGAGAAGGGGGAGGTGACCGAAAGCATGATTGAAAAGATGGGTTTTACAATAGGCTTTAAAGGCAGAGAAGGGAGCGGGTAAAGCGGAGGGACACCAGAATGGATTTCCAGGGAGGGGAGCAGAATGGATGAAAGCTCAATCCCAATGATAGAGTGGATCAGACTGCGGATATGAAATTGTCTGGCTAAGTGGAAGTGGCATGAAAGCAACAAAGGTGCTAAATGGCAAGACAGTGTGGCTCCACACAGTTTTCTGTCTAGTTCTTCAAAGCAAGTGAATTAATCCGGATTATAATATCAACAACTCTTCTAAAATTGCTCATGCTATCTGATTAAACTACTTTAGGCTTCACTGAACACCACTAAAGGTTGCTATTGTCATATCTCTTATAAGGTCAGGACATGCCATTTATGGATTTTTAAACATGATTTCCATTCAGTGTACGGCTTCTTCAACACTTGTAATTTACATGCGATGTTCAGATATCTGGCAGTGGAGTCCTGTAGCTCAGTGGTTAGAGCACTCGCTTTGTAAGTGAGAGACCTGAGTTCAATTCCAGGCAGTTGTGGGTGAAATAATTGAACACATTAACAAGATAGTTGCATCAAGAAAAGATCACCAGTGCAGAATCAGTATGGGTAGTGAGAGTAGCTTCAGCTTTACTTCAACATGATCTCTCAAATAGTTTACTGAACAACCCAAGAACTTTAGTGGACAGAGGGATTTTAAATCTTAATAAAGAGAGAATTATACTCCTAACATTTAAAAAGAAAGTTTGAGTTGTGCGTGCAGAGCTCTCGTCAGCTCCTGGCTTCAGAGCAGGAAATCTGAATCAGCCATCCTGTTGCTAATTACTTTAATGCTAGGAGCAATAACACATGAGATAGATAATCTATGTTTTTGGTGAATTTGAATGAGTCAGAAATATTTACCAGGACTCCTGAGAAAGTTTATCCAGAATTATTTGTTGTTCATCTCTGAAAATATGCTTAACTGATTTCCAAAGTATATTTGCTCTCACTTTCCACAAATCTCTCTCTTTGCTCTTACTCTACTGAAGATGAGGACCCATTACTGTGAATGGTTCCATATGTGGATTTTGAGTGTTAGAAGAATGCTTAACCACAAGAGCTTGACAGCTTATGTACGTGGGCTGATAACTGGCAAATGAAGTTTAATACAGATTAAACTTTTAATATATTTAGCATCTTGTTCTGAATATGAAGTACAGTACTCCATGGATGGGATAGAACTTACCAAGGGGAAGCTGAAAGTTATCTAAGGGTGTTAATTAACTTATTGCTCATTATGTCAAAACTGTGTGAGGCAACAATGAACAAGGCAAACAGGATTCTGAGCTATATTACAAATAGGTTGAGTTTAGATCCCCAGATGTTGTACTCGGGTTGTATAGTGTTCTTGTCACACCGCACCTTGAGTACAGCATACAATACTGGTCCCCACAACATAAAGAGGCTGCCCAGACCCCAGAGGCAATTTGAGTACTGCCTTCAGAAGTCTTGCTGCTGTTTTGCTTTACTCTGAGTATTGTGTTACATCTTGGCATTTCTTCGGCAAAGTGTCCCTGAACACTTTGGTCCAAAATGCACACATACATCATGAGGTCAATGATCTGTATAACATTTTTGACCACAATGTTGCTCTTTAATCTGGTGTTTTATCTTTAATCAATCACCGAGCTGTAGAATGCAGGTTAATATTGCCAAACTGTAGCTGTACAGTGCTCTAGTCAGACTGCACCTTGAGTACTGCATACAATTCTGGTCACTGCGACATAAGGGGGTAGTGCAGGTAATTGGAGGCAGCATAGAGGACAGCAACAAGAATGATATTAGGAGGTGATATGAGCTGTGAACAATGAAAAGTGGAGCTGGTGCTCTTCAGTCTTTAGAAAAGCCGACTTAGAGGGAACCTCATAGAGGTGTATAAAATTTTAAATGGGATTGAAAAAATAAACCCAAATCAATACTTAAGGATTCACCAAGTCAGTGGAACAAGAGGTCATAAGTGTAGAGTTGTAAACAGAAATTCAGGACAGATACCGTAAGTTTTTATTCTGAGAATAATCAACAGTTGGAACAGGTAGCCAAGACATGCGTTTGAGGTCACAATACTGGACTGTTTTATTTAAAAAAAANCAGTTTGATGTTATGATGGTGGTGTTAGGGTGGGAGTTCTGCAAGGATGAAATCAGATGGGTCAAAGGACCTTCTTCATCCAAACTAATCTTGTGATTTTGTGTGATGAGGATAAGCACGACTGTGCCCAAGTATGCTCTCACCAGTGTCCATGCATATTTGTTCTAACATGGGTAGATAGACAGCAGCCAGGAATTAGGGAGGTTTCTTTATTATCTGGAGACACAGATCCCATTTACACTAAAACCCTGGCTAGCCAGACTAATGAAGGGAGTCCTGTGGCTCAGCGGTTAGAGCACTTGATTTGCAAGCGAGAGACCTGGGCTCGATTCCCGGCAGGGTGAAACCTTGGGCAAGTTTCCTTACTCCACACGCCTAATAATAATCCCTCCAAAAAAACAAAACAATAATAAATTGGTCATTTTCAATCCACGACTGTTTGTGGGACATTGCTGTCCGCATTTGCCCACAAATATACAGTCAATTCACTTTACAGTATATTCTGTGAAGCACTTTGGGACATCTAGAAGACATGAAAAGCGCTATATCAAATGCAAGGATTATTATTATTATTATTATATCTTTTGAACGAGACATTAAACCGTGGTCACTTCTGCCTGTTCAGGTGGATGTTAAGGATCCCATGGCACTTTTCAAGACAAGAAGGGAGTTTCTCCCAGAGTCTTGGCAAACAATTGCCCAAAATAAAATTAGTTATTTGTTTCAATGCTGTTTGTGGGATATTATTGTGTTTGCCAACAAATACAATTACTCCACTTGACAAAAAATCCTGTGATGTGCTTTGGGATATCCTCCCTACGTGAAAGGCACTATACCAAATACAAGGATTATTATTTTATTATTAATAGTATATGAGTCAACAACAGCAACTTCCACACACAGTAGCGTCTCAGAGCGCTTAACAGTGACGGAATCTGACTCCGAGCCAGTGGGCAGGGGGAGGGGGTGTAAACACCGTCGAAGAGAAAGGTTTTCAGGCAGTACTCAAAAAAGGGGAGAGAGGGGGCAAGGCAGAGGGATTGAAGGACAGTGTTCCAGAGTTTCAGGGTTCAGTGGCTGAATGCGCGACCTCCGATGGTGGGGTGGAGGGTGTGAGGGATGAGCAAAAGGCTGGTGCCAGTCGAGTAGAGGCCCAGGGTGCTGGATTTGGGAGTGAGGAGGTCGGAGAGGTAATGATAATAATAATAATCCTTGCATTTGATATAGCGCCTTTCACGTCGGGAGGACGTCCCAAAGCGCTTCACAGAACACACTGTAAAGTGAATTGACTGTATATTTGTGGGCGAACGCGGTAGCCAATTGCGCACAGCAATGTCCCACAAACAGTCGTAGATTGAAAATGACCAATTTATTATTGTTTTTTGTTTTGGAGGGATTATTATTAGGCTCTGTGTGGAGTAAGGAAACTTGCCCAAGGTTTCGCCCTGCCTGGAATTGAACTCGGGTCTCTCGCTTGTAAAGGGAGTGCTCTAACCACTGAGCTACAGGGGGGTGCCAGGGAGTGAAGGGATTTGAACACGAGTGTGAAGATCTTGAAGTTGATCTGTTCAGTGATGGGGAGCCAGTGGAGCCTGGCCAGAACTAGTAAGCTGTGGGTACAGAGTTTGGTCCGGGTCAGCATGTGGGCAACAGAATGAGCTGGATTTTTTCAATATTCGAGCTGGGGAGACTGGCGAGGATTGTGTTTGAGTAATCCAGGCGGGAGTCAACACAATCTTTCCACTTATTCTCCAAATACCCTGTTGCATTTGCTGCGGCATTCCGCTCAACCATATCCTGGGCAATTAATTCAACTTATTCTCTGCACTTTGTACAAATAAAGGTGTAAAGCAATTCAATCTGTCCATCCTTCTCTTTCCGAGCCTCAGCCTGTTCTTAGAAACAGCAGAGAAATGCTCTACACTGAAGAGGGCCATTCTGCCCTTCGTGTCTGTGCCATTGTGTTTTATTAATCCCACTTTCAAGTTCTCTCCCAATATTGATACTGTTCAGATTATTTTCCAGTTCTCTTTTAATCAATTCCATCAATCCCGCTTCAATAGACAACTGTAATGAATTACAACTCCAAGCAACCCTCTGAGCAAATAAATTCCTGCTAAACACTCCACTAATTTTTCTGCTTGGGATGTCCTCCCGACATGAAAGGCGCTATACAAATGTAATTTGTTGTTGGTTTTACCCTCATCACCAATCCCCCACTCCAGCTCGAGGGCCTAGCCTGTGTTGAACACTTTGAGATGTCTTCCCAACATAAAGGGCGTTATCTAAATGCAAATTATATTGTATTCCCCAATGTCACAAAGTTGCATATATAATGGAAGGTCAGTAGGTTCATAGTTGTATCTTTGAACCATTTTGCTTTAACAAGAAGTTACCGGGATGGAAAAGGTGGAGAATCTTACCTCTAAATAGTCTCCATTGCTGCAGCTGGAGCCAGAGGCTTGTACCTGGAAAAGCTTTTCGAAATGTAAACTAATAATGGACCCACTAGTCGCAAGAACATGCCAAGTACAGTTGAGATTTGCTGTATAGGGTTGAGGGTAGTTGGGTGAAGTAATTACACCACGATCAGCGTGGAGCAGGCCACCACACACTGCAAGGATTCAGAAAATAAAATTGATTAAACAATTACACATTATCTGCAAGGCATATTTCTGCTAGTTAGTAGTTGTCAGAGAGTTGAATTCTAATCTTGGTGTCTAATTTATGTTTAATCTTCCCACAAGAACAGATAAAGCATTGGTATGTCTTGGAACATCTTCCTGATATGAAAGGCGCTATACAAATGTAAATTTGTATTGTTCCATTCACCGGATGGTACAACACTGAATAAAATATTGTGGATGATCTTTAGAGCGACAAGAAACTAAATCTGGTACAACGTTTACACATTACTGAAGAATCTGATGTGTCAAAAAGAGATAAGAGAGTCATATCAGAATAGTGAACTTACTTTTATGGTAGGAAGCATTAAAACCACCTCCACTATTAGCTGTATCAGCTATGAATTGAATGAACATTGCTTCGCCAGTCGATCGGATCGGTCCAGGCAATTCTTTGCCACACAGTGTGGCCAGTACTGGAGAAAGGCTATCGTCTCCTGGGGTTTGAACAAAGAAACTGTGTTAATTCCAGCAGTGAATGACTTCACCAAAACTCCACCAGGAGATTATAAATAAGGTTTAAACAAATGTGTGTTTGATATAGCATCTCTCACATCGCGAGGACATCTCAATGCGCTAACTGGGACATCCTGTTCAGAGTAATGATTGTGTATATTATTGGCAAATACAGCATCTTATTTACATACAGCAATGTCCCACATATAGCCTTGACGAAAAGAGCCATTTATTATTCGGGAGATTGTTGGCCAGGATAACCGAGAGATACTCCCCCTTCTCTCTCTTTTTTTTAAATGGTGTCATAGAATTTTTAGCATCCATCTGAAAAGGTAGACAGGACCCCAGTTTAACAGTTCATCCAAGAAGGCAGCACATCTCAGCACTGCATTTGTGTCAGCCTAGACAGTGAGTTCAAAGTCCCAACATAAAACTTGAACCCACAGCCTTCTGGCTCAGAGACATGAGTGTTGCCAACTGAACCTGGCTGACACTTAACTGGTTTGAATGAAGAAGGCCTATTGACCCGATTGTTAACATCCTTTCAGAATACCTACCTGATGTTCTTCCTATCAATATGATAGTATAAAACATAATAGTTTTATACTACATAAAGTATGTATTGCTGAATAAAGAATTATAATAAAGTGAATTTATTTTTAACATATCTATTTATGGGTTAATACTACTGGGGGATATTAACTAAATAGATCAGAATATTTTGTGCTTCGGCAGTAACCTGACACCAGATGTCTCCCCTTTCAGGTGTTCAACATAATGTGTTCACCTCTACCTCAATGCACACTCTGGTGTCTGCAAGCCTTGGCTCTTGTCAACCTGCGCCTAGTACTTTCCGTACTTAAGTACGGATGTGTCCCTCCAGGGAGAGTGCGCATTCCATTCCAACAATCTGTCTCTGGGATTTCCATGTGTAGGTGGGATGCCTGGAAATCTCAGCTTGGTTTGGATACTCTTAAGCATGGCGATGAGTTTCCGCATGTGTCAGACATCGATGGGAATTCTAATGGGATTCCTTATTAAGCAAGCTCATTAAGGAAATACTGCAAATTAGAATCTTAGAGATATGCTGATGCTTTAAGCATTAGTGTTTAGATAATATAAGTTGTGTATACCGTGCCTCTTAAGTGAAAACAAATGTCTTAAATCAATTTCCATAATCAATAAATGAAGTGAATGTTGTTATTTAGGCAAATGTGACAACTAATCTGTATCTACTCCATTCCATCAATGGCCAATTAAACTGACACTTAGAGATAAATTTGGATTGGATTCAAATAGTAACAGTAGGCAAACCCCTTATGTCCATTTGAATCCCGAGGCAGACTAAATCTAAAATTAATAACACAATTAAAGAATGATGGTGTATAATTCTACAGTTATAAACAGTAAAAAAACAATTCTTACCATCTCTGATTACTAGTGAATCAAGGCTACACTTGCTGTCTGCTGACTCAATGTCAAGAGCCATAATGTTGAGTTCCACTGTACTTCTTGGTGACCAAATGACCCACATACAGTTCAGATGTGTTTGATATTCATTGGGCCAGCCTGGTGAATAGAGGAATGCAGGGCTCTCCCCTGTCATGACATTTCCACCACAAGCACCTGGAAGGAAGGCAAGAGTGAGGTATTTATTCGTTACTGAGTAAAATGCCTAAACAGTTAAAGCAGATCATGCAAACTGCCGCAACAAAGAATAATGTTTGTGTTTAATGATGCTTCAAAAGGTTTCATCTTCAATTCCCCCCTTTAAATATCCAATTATGATTACCTTTAACATCATTTGGGCATTTCCTCTTATTGTTCAATGCTTAGTTTAGCGATACAGACCTGCTAGGTTCCAGATTTAATCCCCAGTCTTTGCTGCGATTGTTGATCTCAGATAAAATGGTATCTAATGGTGCTACAATTGGCCTCAGAGTGAAGAATCAACCAGCATTTCCACTCTTGATCACAATGTAATGATCCTAGCTGATAGGACTTGTGTGAATGGATTATGGGGAAGGACTACAAATCAGGCTTGGATGTAATGCTTCCCTGTCACTGAATAGCCTGCTGATGCACAATGTTAGGGATCGGACATGAATGATAGGGATTTGATCACTGAACCGACAACAACAACAATTTACATTTATATAGCACCTTTCTCGTTGAGGGGATATCTCAAAGTACTTCACAATAGGTTTCAGGTCAATTTTTAACATGGAATTAGAGGGTAAAATTTGCCTTCAGTATAAATTTTACCCTGTTGAATGGACCAGAAGCAGAATTCCCCCCTTTTTTTTAAGTGTGTTTAAATATTTCAAAATCCTTCAAAAAGTAATTACTATCTTGTGCAGAGAATTGCCTTTGTAAGCAAACACTGCAGCAATTAACCCAAAGAGCCATGAAACAAATGATCTAATTTTTATACCATAAGTAATCTTTACATTTGACATAGCGTTTTTTCAAATCTTCTAGACATCTCAAAGCGCTTTACAGAATATACTGTAAAGTGAATTGACTGTATATTTATGGGCGTAATAATAATAATAATAATTTTTGCATTTGGTATAGTGCCTTATGTCATCGAGACATCTCAAAGCACTTCACTGTGCTGTGTGTGTAAAGTGGATTCACTATGTATTTTGGGGGCTTCTGGAGGATTATTGCGCAGGACACTGGGAGAAGCTGCATTTTATTTTTGAAAAGTGTCATGGCAGCTTTGATGTTCACCTGATCAGGCAAAGAGAATCTGGCTTTAACACCACATCATATTTAAGATGATAACCCACTCTCCCACCCCACCCAGCCCCACGTGTCAAATCAACCTGGACCTTGATCTTAACTACCAAATCCCATGCTTAATAGTCTTGTACTAATGAAGGTTATTTAAGTTTCTACACATACCTAATACTATCATACATACCGATTCTACTTATGTAAAACAACGTGCATGTGATCACAGACCTGGTGGAATAGTTGGAATTGCAGTTGGGTTAATGGTATATTGTTGTGCATGCCACTCCAGTAAGAAACCCTGTCCGTTGCTGCTGTCATCACTGCTAAACTCGATAGTCAAGGTGGTTCCAAATGAAACGACTGGTGGAGGTGGTTCATATCCACAATATGTCACAATAAGACGTGAATTAACATCAGGGCCATCATAGAACTAGGAGGAACACATTCGCAATCTCGTCAATTGTAAAGAAAATTGCTAAGAATACACTACAAATTTACATTTATATTGTGCATTTCCCATTGGGAGTATGTGCCAAAGCACTTAACAGCATTGGCTGGGGACCAGACGTGGAGGTGGGAGGGAAGTGGGAGGATTGAAGAATAGAAAGATGATGGAAAGTGTGGTGAAAGAGGTAGGTATTGAGCAGACTATTAATGAGATGAGGATGGGAGCAAATTGGAAGGACTCCAGGATTGAATACATATTGTGGGGTGATAATTCTATGTTTTTTGGTTGAGAACCACAGTAACATCTGTAGACAATGACTTTTAAGGCAGCACAATTAAATCTGGTGTGGGAACAAGAATATTCTCAGGATAGTGAGATCAAGTGGATATTATGGAAGGCAAATAGGTATCATGGTTGAAATGGAACCACTTTTCCTGGAGTCAGTAATTAAGGAATTTTTCCAGTCTGACCTCTGGGTGGAGAAGGTGCATGATACAGATATATTACAGCAGACTAAGTAAAAATAAAATACATATTGCAATACACCCTCACACACAGACCCCCCACCACCACCACCTATATACACCGATTAAAACACACTTTAAAAATATTATTAATATATGTTGTACAAGATCATAATAAATTTAGGCAGAAATAGATTATTAATCCTTCTAGCCTATTCAATTTCCTGTAGGATTCCTTCAATGTCTCCACCCATAAGTCCAAAAGCTCTGATTCCTTTTAATTAACAGGAACCTATCTTGTTCCTTTTGGAGACTGTAGTTTTTGTTCCATTGTCTGTGTCAGTTTGTTCCATATTTCTATCACCTTTTGTCTCTTTCAGTTCTCAGGAAATGCCATTATGAACTTGTAACACAATGATCAACAGCATTGGAGATCAATGCACCATAGACTTTAAATGATGCCCTAGGAAAATACGCAAGTTAATTTGAAGATTGCCAATGAACCACACAACAGCCACAATTTGTCCATGGGCTGGCTGTATGATGAGCAGTTCCTGCTTTATAACACAAGGAATTGTTTGATTATTTTGCTCCATTTGCTATGTATAGTGAGTCTTGCAACAGGCAGTGTTAAATGTAAATTACCCTCATCTGATTGCTTACGGTAATTGTAGGAACTGGAAGACTGATAGCTTTGTTGGGGGAAATGTCTTCAGTTCTTCATTTGAAGTACATTTTAAAACAATAACATATATTGTAATAATATTTCACTCTAGTTTTTAATTTGTCACTGTAATTGTAGCACTGCTTTATTATTCTAAGTGTGATTGAGTCCTGGATGATGGCAAATTTCGTACAGTTGAATGTGAACAAGACTGAGGCCCTACTGATTGGCTCACGCCAGCGTCTCTGCACCTCAGACTCAGGCAGCATCAACCTCCCTTGGTTGCACACTTCAATTCACCAGGCCAGTCAGGAACCTAGGTGTCTTGTTTGACCCTCAACTGTCTTTTCTTCCCCACATCCAAGCCATGACCCGCTCTACCTTCCCTCACCTCCGTAACATTGCCCGACTCCACCACTACCTCACCCCTCAGGCCCCTGAAACTCTTGTTCATGCCTTCATCACCTCCAGGCTCAACAATGCAATGCCCTGCTTGTTGGCCTTCCCAATTCCTCCCTCCATAGGCTGCAGATAATCCAGAACTCTGCAGCCCATGTCTTCTCCTACACCAAACTCTGTGACCCCATCTCCCCCACTCTCATCCGACTCCATTGGCTCCCTATCCTTCAGAGGATCCAGTTCAAGATCCTGGTCTTCACCTACAAAGCCCTCCATGCCTCATCCCAGCCTACCTCTGCGACCTCCTAACCCCCTTCCAACCTGCCCGTTCCCTTCGCTCAGCCGGCTCTGGCCTGCTCCACACATCCCCCGACCCACCTGCCCCAACATTGGCGGCAGAGCCTTCAGCCACTCTGCCCCCAACCTCGGGAATTCCATCTCCCAGTCACTCCACCTCACCCCCTCCTTAGCCTCCTTCAAGTCCCGCCTCAAAACCCTCCTCTTTGACCATGCCATCGGCCACCGCCCTTCCCCTCCCCTACCTTATGCCTCCTTGACCTCAGCTCAGGTCTGAAATGCTGTACACTGTCCAGCGCCTTGGGACGTCCTCCCGACGTGAAAGATGCTATGCAAATGTAATCTTCTTGTTGTTGTTGATTGCCTGATAATAATAATCCTTGCATTTTGATACAGGCTATAATAAAGCTTTGTGTTCGGTTTAGCAGAGTAACAAAAATAGTTCTGCTGCAATTATAAACTGGTAATTTTTATAAGTTTCTCAAAGCTTAGAAAGTTTAGGATCTAGTTCTCCGTTAGAGAAAACTAATGACTTACTCTCAACCTGTTCCGTGCACATACTGAAAGATCATCAATATCCATCACTAGTATTTTGACGTGGATGATGTTGCCTTCTGGAGCAGTGATTGTCCAGTGGTACCTGGCGTTGTTTGGGTAATGGTGAGGCCAGAGGGGAGATGTAATTTGGCCTTGAGTTCCCATAATCTCATTACCGTACACTGTAACACATATGTTAAGTCAAGACAAGGCACAGTTATGTAATCAACTGTTTCATTAACTCTACAATAATATCCATTTAACTATCCTAAACAATTAGTTAAATCATCAAAGCTGGTCAGTGAGGTGCGGGAATCAAATCACTGTTAACTCCAAACTTCTAAGTTATACAAGTACTGTATTCTAAACAGTCTATAGACATTATATACAATATACATTTTCCTACATAATCTAGACTTTGTGGAAAGACATTAACCAAAATACAAGATGAATGGTAACCAATAAATATCTGCCACAAACTTAGTTTACTCCCAAATGTATTTGTTTTATATAAGTGAATGCCCTACAGTGCTAATACCATATTGCTGCTATTATTTGGGGCCTTTCATCACTTTCCCCCTTATTTACTAAAAGTATCCGACTTCTCTTGAGTTATAATTCCATCGACCCCTTCCTGTACGAGATCTAAACAGACATTATTCATATATCAAGCTTGACATTGAATCTTGACACTCATTATGCCCAAGATGGTCACCACAGACGAATGTGATCCGGTCTTCACCCAACAGTTATATTTTGTAGAAGGGGCTTCTGCCTAGCAATTGTAAGAGGAAACCTTGGGCGAGTTTCTCTTTCTCATTTTTTTGAAGTCACTCAGATGTTCCACATGTGTGGAAATCCAGGATCATACGTAGGAGCATCCAAACAAGATTGCGAGTTCCACATATGTATGTCACCTACACATAGACATTTCCCCGTGTCTGGAATGGATATTCTATCACTAGAGGAACACACCATGCTTACCTAATTCCAGACAACATCAGGTGCAGAAGGCAAGAATCAAGGCTTCAAGGCTTAGGGACCCCTAGAGTATGCGCTAGGGTATTGGTGGATCTCAACCAGCCAGAACTGCATAGATCAGCAATGAGATCACTGTCTGTAAAGTTTCTTGCTGCTCATCCAGATAGGATCATCTTAAGATAACGTTAATTGGAGCCAAGTAAAAAAAATTGCTACTCCTAGTGATTGATCTTCCCCTCCAAGTCCTGCCAATGAGCCAGGCTGGCTGGCATTGTCATCAGCAGTTCTCTGGAGTCCTATGGATATGTTGTATTCTTTCTCACCAGGTGTGTTGAAATTGGCTAATTCAAGATAGAACCTGGGTTCTTTGTGGTGAAAATGGATAAGCTACCCACTGAGTAAACTCACTGAACTATTAGAGGAGGTGAATTTACTTTTAACCTGTCTAACAAATAAATATACACAGTTTACAACATCCAGTACTCACAATGAGAAAAGGTGGCCTTGAATCCAGCATCATTTTGTGAACTGTCAGATACAAACTTTACCCACAAGATATGTCCCGTGACTGATGTGTAATTTTTGGGTAAGGAAGACCCACAAAACTTTCCATATATCTGGCCGGTTGCATTGCCTTCTCGTATTTCAACGTAATCTGAGGCACATGAAGAACTATCCGCAATCTGAAATGATCTGTTCAATGTAAGATAAGTCGTATTATGTCCTACACAATTATTTACTGAATTTTAAATGTTCAGCATCTCTTACTTACTTCAAAGGATCTATTTAACCAAAACCAATTGTCACCGATAGTAGTTTTGCACTGAATTAGGTAACTAAATAAAAACTTTGGTGCCGGTTTCAAACATGTTTACTTAAATTAGATAAATGCAAATTACATGAAGGAGAGTTGGACACGGTTCCCAGGGGAACCGATGAGGTTCCAGACACACTCATAGTTGGATGGATAACTTTCGGGATAGTTAGGACTGTTGAATGCTCCCGTCTCCGAGTGATATGATCCACCGCATGCTGTGAACAGAATCATAACACACAATGCTGGTAAGTATTCAAACTCCCATACTCTATAAATAAGTTGAAAATTAATCTGCTCAAAACTACCAAGAAAATGTACAAGGAGGTATAAATTTAAACTCAGAACAGATGTGAACACACATTTGTGAATCAGCATAAACACATAAACATAAACACATAGTTATCTTTTTCCAGGTATTGGGCAGATAGTTGGAAAGAATCTACCAGTAGAATGAGTGTATTTCTTGTAAGAGAAACTTCCATTTAGAGTATTTTTTTGGGTTGGAAACATTACATACTATGTTATACTTTATTTAACTTATTTATTGCCAGAATTGATGGTGTTCAGTGTGAACCTAGCCTTTCTAGTTCACACTAAACTGTTGTAAGCAATGTTAAGGATTTTTTTGGTCTGACCTGGATCTTTAGAAGATCTTCCCACCCAGTAAAATGTCATTTTGTTCTTGAGATTTGTGTCTTAGACCTGGGACCCGAACCTCTATCATAGTACAAAATTATGCTGACATTATCTGGGGCATTTTACTTCTATTTTAAAAATAAGGCCATAAAAATGCTATTACAACAAAAATACCTTACCACGCTCTCTAAGCGTGGCTCACACCACACACCACAAATTATGGATTTAAAATCAGTAGTAATTTATGCTCATGCTAGTTTAAGGAATACCGCAAATTTTATCCCGACAACCTGGTTTTAAGAGGAATTTCTCTGTAAACTGCGGTATTTCACAATGTTATAAGGATTCTGGACATTTCTGTGAACTCTTCAATATCAAACTTTTACTTCCTAGATCCTCCAGGGTGGGGTGGACGGACACGAATGTCAGAATCGAGTCAACCCTCTTTGTTTGTCTTGGTTCCTGAGCCAGGTGGATCCACAGTACCCCAGAACGCTCCTGTCAGCCATTAGGAATCAGGAGGGGCAGACTCATCACTGTAAGGATCCTTCCCAATGGGTAGGTCTGAGCTGAGCAACTAATAGGAAGCTTGTCATAATCTGTTTTCCAGGTAAAGTAACAGCAGTTTATTTCACTTTACTCTCTTCAGTCTCTCTTTACTAGATCTTCACTGAGATTTAGAGGTGCAGTCCTACCTGAGTTGGAAGCAGCATATGTGGTTCGGAAACCTTTGTCTGATTTGCCACTGTTAGAGACAAAGTTGACAACCAAAGCATTACTCTCTGATGTGATGGGTTGAAGGATAGTGGCACCACAGTAACGACCTGAAACATATAGAAGGAAATTATGGAAAGCCAAAACATTCTGAACCTTATTATTGTACTGATCAAGCTGAAAAGTGGACAGGGGAGAAACTATTCTCTGGAGGTTGGAGAACAGAGCATGTTGTGGTCTCCAGAAGTATTGTGTTAAACACAAAACAAATGCAAATTCTATCATTGTAATGATTGTCACCAGTGGCAATTCTGATAATTATTACATTGATTGTAAATAAACCTTACTAACTATGCTCTATTATTTTAGCTCTATACAAGATCTTCACAAGATCAGTTTGGATGAAGATAGCTCCTTTGATCTCATTTGAACACCAATAAAGTCATCTTAGATCACCATTTCATCTTCCTTAACTCCTCAATCTCTCGCCCCACCACCACCCAACCCACCTCCATCTCCTACCCCACCTTGAAAAGAATCTCCCCACACTCCCTCTCCGTCATCTGAACTCCTTTCCCTCTGGCCTGCCTTCCACAACGACTTATCCTCCTCGGTGACTCTCCTCCACAATTCCCTCTCCAACATTCTCGATGCCCATGTCCCCGTCACCTCCACCCTCGCCTCCACTAAATCGTCCTTCAACCCCAGGCTCCTCTTCCCCATACCAACTGGCTCCTCCATCCACCTTCTCACCCTTCACCCATCCTCTCCTCCAACTACAACTGCGAGGAGATGCTGTATTTCCTTCAGACCAAAATCGAGGGGATCTGTTCAGCCACCTCTGGCCTCCCAACCATCAATCTCTCCCCATCTCTCTCTCACACTCTACCACTGCCTAACCCTCAGGTCACCCAAACCCTCATATATGCCTTCATTACATCCAAAATCGATTATGCCAACGCCCTGCTTGTCGGCCTTCCCAACTCTTCATTCCACAAGCTACAGTCTATTCAAAACTCTGCATCTCACACCAGGCTCTGTGACCCCATCACGCCCACTCTCGCTCGGCTCCACTGGCTCCCCATCCCTCAGAGGATTGAGTTCAAAATTCTCATCTTCATGGCCCTCCATGGCCTTACCCCCTCCTACCTCTCCAACCTGCTAACCCTATTAACCTGTCCTCTCCCTCTGCTCAGCAGGCTCCGGCCTGCTCCATGTCCCCTGCCCAGCATGCTCCACCATCGGAAATCAGACCTTCAGCCTCTCTGCTCCCATCCTCTGGAACTCCATCCCATATTCCTTTTGCCTTGCTCCCTTTCTTGCCTCCTTCAAGGCACACCTCAAGAAACTCCTCTTCGACCTTCAGTCACCCTCTCAACCGAACCCCCCCCCCACTCGGGTCCTAATCCCTGACTGTTCAGCACCTCGGGGCATCCTCCCAACTTGAAAGGCGCTTTACAAATGTAATTTTGTATTGTATCCCTACAGAATATCCACCCTACCATCCTAGTATCACAGCTGCACGCTGTTTTTAAATGAGTCCAGTTTCCTGGCCTCAACCATCCTTCCTGCCAACCTGTTACAGCTGTTAATTATCGTTGAGAAACTTCCTGGTATCTGCCCTTTGTCTACTCTTTACTTACCGATAGGAGGAGCTTCATAGTTGTCCCCGTCTAAGATCTGCAAAGCATCTGTTGAGCAATTCTTCCCATTGCTTTCAATTGCAAAGTCCGTAAAAGAGAGGGTAACGTGTTTAACTGAACAGGAAAACAAAAAACACACACACAGCTCAAGTTCAGTGAATCAGTAAAGATGCTCAATATTAAAAACACAAGGGCTTACTTTTCTTGTGGTTTATTCTACATATTTGTTCTCATGGAGGCATTTGGAAAATTTCTCCTGTAAACAGTCTAGCACTACATATAATTCACCTGCACAATATACAGTCACTATACTTTACAGTATATCCTGTGAGGCACTTTGAGGCATCCTGAGACTTGAAAGGGGCTATATCAAAAACAAGGATTATTATAATCATTTTGTTGTTTCAGTATCTCTATTGATTCCACAGTTGTGCATTTCGCCCACAAATATACAGTCAATTCACTCTATAGTATATTCTGTGAACAGCTTTGAGACGCTTAGAAGACGTGAAAAGTGCTATATCAAATTCAAGGATTATTATTATTAGGTAAATGAAATATTTAATTTTAGATATTGCTGAAAAATAGAGGCAGTATTCATTACGTGTGAAATCACCTAAACTGCAAAATATGAAAGTTATGTCTGGAATGCGGAAGTACTTAAACAACCAAACGATTTGATGCATTTATATGGGAATTGTTTTGTCCCTCAATAAATTGAAGTTTAGTAATATCTGGAACTCTCTCCCAAAGTCTCTTGGTCACCCAAATTCCCTTAAAAGAACATCCCTTTGACCATTCCAATGACAGCCTCAAAATCCCCTTTCTGCTCTCCCGGTTCAGTTGACAGTCATTGTCTTATGTAAAGCATTTTGAGACATTATTGTCCATGAAAGGCCATATACAAGTGCAAGTCATCTCGTATTCACTACAGTTGTTCTGATCTCATGGGATATTCTGAACAGCACCTGAAATATGAGGTTAAAGCAGAATGTTTGCAATTAATATAACGCTTTATCATATTGAACCGTCTTAAGCCTCTTTACAAAAGATTTTGTAAAATGAAGTGACTGTATTGGTAGGTAAATGTGAAAGTTTATTGGCACACAGCGGTGTCCCACAACAGCCATGGAGTGAACGACCTGTTTTATTTGGGGGATTGTTGTCCAGGATACAAGGAAATCCCTTGTCTTATTCAATAGCGCTATGGGATCTTTAATGGCTGCCTGAACATGCAGATGGGATCTTGGGTTTAATGTCTCCTGACAGTTCAGTACTGCACCCAGCACTTAGGTGAGAGTGCTATCAACTGAGCCGGGCTGGCACCAAGGTTGTGAAACTTCACATCAAAGTACTTAACATTGAGTGTGATCACACTGAGCAAGATGTGAGAGGAAACGAGAGGTTGAAGAGTTAAGACTCTTAGCAGGTTACGAGAATCAGTGAGCATAGCAAAATGAGTTTGAAAGAGCATTCCAGGGAACAGGGGTGTGGTGTCTGAAGGTTTGATCTCTTATGGTGGAATAAAGGGACAGCACTAAGGCTACAGTTTTGAGTGAATGCTTAGCAACAATACAGTGACTGAAACAAAATGTGGATGGTGATTGATTTCCATATTAGAAAACCACATGCTTTAAGGGAAAATTATTCAGCCCTATCCAATGCAAGTATATGGGGGGAAAAAAAANTTTCTTATTGGAGCTTTGTGAGGGCATGCATTATGTGGGAATGTACAGGACTAGAAAATAAAAACTATGGTAGATCCGAGTTTAAAGAAAATCGCTACTCAATGGGCAACCATGTAAAATTTCAAAATCTGTTCTTTGTGTTAATTAACACAGGGTCACATAATTAATAATAATCCTTGCATTTGATATAGAACCTTATCAGGTTTTCGAGACGTCTCAAAGTGCTTCACAGAATATACTGTAAAGTGAATTGACTGTATAATTTTGGGGCAAAATGCCGCAGCCAATTGTGCACAGCAGTGTCCCAGAAAAAGTCATGGATTGAAGTGACCAATTTATTATTTTGTTTTGAAGGAAATATTACCACCAGGAAAGTGATCCGCCATTCCACTAACAACAGGGTTCCTACTTATTCTAGGTAAACAAGCATGTGAAGTAAGGAAACTTGTCCAACATTTCGCCCTGCCGGGAATTGAACCCAGGTCTCTCGCTTTCGAGGCGAGTGCTCTAACCACTGAGTTACAGGACTCCACATTATCGAACCCTGAATACCTCATGCGATGGCCAATAAGTGATCTGCCAATTATCTCAACGCCTGCTCCTGGGGCCATCACCTTCAATGTTAATGCCTGGAGCTGCCTCAGATCTTCTGTTATTAAAATCTGTGTCCGATCAACAGGTCTGTTATCACCAGCGTTAAAGTAAGAAATTTAAGTTTGCAGTATTCAGTAATGCATTCCTTGCGTTAATTATCGCTGCAAAATTTCCTCCACTTATGCTCCTTAACTGATTTATTTACCACGTAACTTACTGGCACAATCCACCTCCGTCAGCAAGTACTTTTTTTCCACACACGTTCACCACTGGCTGTGTGAACTACTTGGAATGTTACTTACATGGTTCCTGGGCTTGAATGATCCAGCTGCAGTTCTGATTGTCTGGATAGTTATTGGGATACAGAGGTGATGTGATGACTCCTCCAATATTATCAGTGACAATGAAAGTCCCGCATACTGTAAACAAGACAGAATGTGAGAAAGGGCATTGCAGACGTTTGAGGGGGAAAGGAGGGAGATGACAAATTGCATTAATTTTGCATTACAAATGCTTAGATTGGACTTGCCTTGATTAAATTGTGCTCTGAAACCCTTGTTCTTGACATTGCTTTCTGAGAGGAAATGCACATACATGACATTGCTGGTGGATGTGAAACCTCCTGGAATCTTGCCATCACAGATCTTTTCTATCAGGGGGTCACCTTGATTTGAACCATCATGAACCTGCAAAAGAGGCAGCAGCTACATTAGGTAAAATGTTGAATGTATGTCAGGATTTTTTGGGGTCAGACAGGTGTCTGATACATACGGAAACCCATCACCATAATTTAGAATAGCCAAACTAAACAAAATTCCATGCAGCCCACTGTACATGGAAATTCCAGAGATATTTATTGGAATCAATCATGCACTTGAATTCCAGAGAGTATTAGGTGCAGGGTGGCAAGAGCCAAGACTTGGGGATCCCAGAGTGTGCGTTGGGGTATTGCTGGAGGCTAACCAGCTAAAACTGCAAACCCTATCCGTTTGGACTTCAGCTTGCAGGATTCACAGGAGCTGAATGAGAAAAGTCCCTGTCCCCAGGATTGATCTGCACTTCCATGACCTGCTGATGAAACAAGCTGACTGGGCTGTCATCAGCAGTGCCCTAGTATACCGTGGACTCGTCTGACTCAAGAATTGTATTACAGAGACCGCCACAGAGGGTTCACTCGATTCTGACATTCCATTGCCAAAAATTTCATCTGCAGCCAGTTCAGCTCCAAGGATAGTTAGGAGGACATTTCATAGAGCTTCACAGGTTATATTGTAAAGTGTAGTGACTGTAATTTGTAGGTGAATGCACCAGCCAATTTGAGCACAGCAATATCCCACAAACAGCCATGAAGTGAGGGATTTTTGGCCAGGACACCAGGAGAAGCTCCCTTCTCTTTTGAATAATGTATAATAACAATAATTCTTGCATTGATATAGCGTCTTACCATGTCATTGAGATGCCTCAAAGCGCTTTCCAGGATATATTGTAAAGTGTAGTGACTGTACATTTTGTGGGCGAAACAGGGCAGCCAATTGTGCAAGGCAGTATCCCACAAACAGTTGTGGATTGAGTAATCAGATTATTATTATTTTTGGAGGGATTATTACCCCTGGAAAAGCGATCCATCAATCAATTAACAACCAGGTTCCTACTTACTACTAGGTAAATGGAAGGCTGTGATCTTTAACATCTGCCTGAACATGCAAACAGAACCTCAGTTAATGTCTCATCTGAAGGATAGCACAGCACCTCCAGCAATTAATGCTTCCTCGGCACTGCACTGAAGTGTCAGCATAGACTATCAGCTCAAAGTCCTGAAGTGGGGTTTCAGCATTTCTATTAGAACTGCGCTTGGGCATGGGACACTAAACTATAGTCTTCAATAGAAGTACACAGTCAGCACTCTGCACATATTATCCCCATCTTTAAGACTCCTTCAAATGGATTTCCAAGTGCATGTAACTGACTCTCAGGATTTGTGATCTAATTTTGAAATGCCCGCATGTTTAAATTATATTTCGCCTCCAATTTTTGGAATGTGGTCAGTGGAAGAAAAGAGCATTTCAATAGACTTTAAAATCAGCCTGGAGAAGCTCAGGATCAGGAAAACTAGACCCTCTGCCTTTGATTTTGAACTGAGATACAAGAGGCTGCCACTGACTGACTATTTCTGCTTAGCAGGTTTCCTTTCCCTCTCGGGGATGAGAGATGCTGATATTGCACTGCTGTCCTAATGGAACCCACTGACAAACACTGCATTCAGCATTCCAGTTAATAGGCATACTGACTCAATATTTAACACAGCTAGATAGTCAATTGGTTCATTTTGATTACTTTAGAAATCTTAACTGAGTAACAACAATGCTTTGGGTTGTCCTCCTGACGTGAAACTTCCCAAATCATACAATTAATTGGATTCATAATTTCCAGATTTACCAAAGGACGAGTAATTAGTGTAGCATGGATACTTCCTGGATATATCAGAGCCAACTTTCTGGGAATATGCTCGGACACTAACATCATGAAAGTTGAAGCCGAAGTTGATGTCTGTGTGGATTTCCAAAGGGTTGGCAATGAAACATTTTGGATTTCCAATATAAATCCCACATTATCCTCCAGGGCGTGGGGAAATTAAGCAGTGATTCCTTGGAGCTGAGCTGGCTCCAGGCTGACATGCTTGGCAACAGGATGTCAGAATTGAGTCAACCCTCTGTGGTGGTTTCGGATATCCGGTTCCCGAGCCAGATGGGATTGGATTACTCCAGGGTACTGCTGATGACAGCATAGCTAGGCTAAATTATTGGCAGCACTTGAGGAACTGGGACTCTTCCCACATAGCCTCTGTTAACCCTGCAAGCCAAATCCCTAATGGGTCAGGTGGTCCTAGCTGGACAAGTGGCAGAAGCTTGCCAGACAATAACATGACCGACAAGCTATGTGGGTTTAGCTGGCTTGACTCGAGCAATACTCCAATGCACATTATGGGGTCTTGACCATTGTCAACATGGACCTACTACTTTCCAGAATTAGATAAGCAGCATGCATCCCTCTAGGGCGAGTGTGTGCCATTCCATTCCAGACCCAGGGAAATATCCATGTGCAGGTGGCATACATATGTAGAACTTTCAGTTTTAGTGTAAATTCTAAGCACAGTGATGGATTTCTGAATGTGTCATACACCAGAAAAATCCAACAATTTATCTGCAAAACTCTGCGTAAAGGGAAGCTTCAGTATAGAAGTACAGTTTAGGAGTTGTATAGCTTCACCCCTGAAGTGCCAAATATCTCTAAATCATGTCATTATTTTAATGTTCTCATTGGATTGCTTCACTGAGCCGATGTACTGAAGTTTCCCTTGAAGTCCATCTGCTCATAATACTGTTCTCAGGGGGCATCAATCTCTTTAATGAATGACTTCAGGCCACATTTTGCTCTATCCATGGTCCCCAGGTGTTAGACAAAATGTAGCAACTGCTCAGCTGAAACAAAGCCAAAGGTCTGATTCTCCACGTGTCCAGTTCCCAGACTATTTTGGTGATCAGGGGAAGGATAAAGGAGAGGTCAACAGCTTATCCACAGGAAAGAACAGGTTAGGCCAGGGCAAGCCCTGCAAGCAAGCAATTTAACTGTCTGAAAGACCTGTATAAAAAACTGAAATGAAAGAGGGAATCAACGAAAAATATGACTTTAAGGTGAACAACAGTTCAGATTTTAGCACTCGGATTTTAGGGCTTTTTTGGAAAGTTGTGGAATCATAGAATCTAAAACTAGTCATTGCATTTGATATTGGATGACTCAAAATGCTTCACATCATTTTATGGTAAAGTTTGTATATTTGTAGATGAGAGCAACAGCAAATTTGTGCACAGCACTGTCCCCCGAATAGCTGTTAAGCAAATGACCAAATCGGCCACAAGATTCCCCACAAACTGTTTTGCTCCCTTGCATTTCCAACCAGTGTCTAAATACACAGAAACCACAGCATCAACTTATATAAACTATGGAGCTGACAGCATGCCTTCAGCCCACTGCGTCCATGCTGGTGTTGCTCCCCCACTGGAATGGCCTGTTCTAATCGGATTCCTCTGCCCTTTCCACATACCCTTTGGTATTTCTATAGTTTATCCAATTCCCTTTTAGGCATTGTTATATGCTTCGTTTTGACAACCATTTACGCTGAGGCTTTCTAATATTTTAAAATCCTCTGTATTCAGAAGAATCTCAAACTCCCCTATTTGTTTCCCAAATGGATTATATTACACATTTAGCCTCAACATACTCAAGACATGCAGCTGCTCAGAAAGACTGACTTATGGCTGTGGTGAACGACCTGGTATTTATGAACATGAGCTTTCATTATTAATAGCTAGAATTTTAAAAGAAATTGTAAAAACTTGTTTCACTTCATCCACAAACAGCCACACATTGAAGGGGTTCTCCTATCTCCTATCTCAGATATTAAAGTTTAAAAGGGACAGCTTTTCAAACTATTTATGCAAGCATAACCATAGTTTTGTACCAATGAAGGGGTTAAAGTGTATGAAGGTTAAAGTGAACATGTGTTTCCAATTCTATTTTCTGAGACTGGATTGCAGTTCCCTCTTAATTTATACTCCGCACTACATTTCCTTTCATTTGCAATCAGGGAAACCGACACATCTGGTGCCATGTACAGTATATTTAATCTAACTCTCGACAAAACTTGTCTTCCATCCCTTGTGTAAACCATCCAGAAACTCTTTACAGCTGTCCCACTGGCAATGATTCACATAGAGAGAGACATAACTAATTTCAAAGAATTTAAGAAAGCAGAAGCATATTCTATTTTACCATTTCTTGATTTTATTTTGAATACCACGGTAGATTTCTGTGTTCACTGAAATTGTGCCATAACTAAAATGGAATCACTACCATTAATCATACTTATTTTTAAAATAAATGAAAACCTCACAATAACAGGATGCCAGTGAGGGCAGAACAATACTTTGTTTCCACTCAGACATTTAATTGAGCCTTTGCTGTAATGCACCAAACCAGCTCAGAGGAAGCAACCTCCTATTGAAGGAAGTGACACTGGAAATAGTTTCAAGAATGAGGTTCTCTGGTTTAACTTACAAGCATATGGTCTGACATTTTCAGCTAAGACATCATAAGGGTTTAGTTTTAAATAGAACAATTGTCTCATAAGTTAATTTGGGCTGAGTTTAAGTGAAAGATGGACATATGAGTAAGTTGCCCAAATTCATTTCAGTTACAACCAGAATTTTTATCCAAATTGTATATCTAGCAGTGTCTATCACTATTTTTTTTTACTAGGTGGTTTAAAACATTGTGTGAAGCCTATTCCAGTTGCTGACCCTCTTACCTTTAAGTCAAAAACTGTGGGTTCTTCACAGTCTTGGTTGACACATCAGTGCAATGCCTGGGGTATGCTGAATGATCGCAGGTGCCATCCTTCGAATGAGATATTAAACCAGGGACACATCCGCCAGAATTTAAAAATCCATGGTACCATTCAAAAAGTGAGGGGAGTTTTCCCCAATGCCCTGGCCAACATTCCCCAAGATAACATTGGACATTCACTTCATGGCTGTTTCCAGGGCATTGCTGAGGGACAATTGGCTTGGGGGTGGGGCGGGAGGTGGCAGGGAAGAGCTGCCTACAAATACACAGTCTGTATTTGCCTGGCATTTGCTTACTACTGGTTTGATGCAAGACAACAGTTTCTGCTGTTTTCTAACAATAAGCGGAGGATGAGTCTAATCGGTGATACAGCAACAAAAACTTGCACTTATATAGCGCACTCCATGCAGGGTAACAATGGCAGAGCCTAACTCCGAGCCGGTGGGGGGGGGAGGTGGCCATAAGCACAGTCAAAGAGGAAGATCTTCAGGCAAGACTTGAAAAGGGGAGCGAGGGGGCAAGGCGGAGGGATTGAAGGAGGGTAGATTGGGGAGTGAGGAGTTCGGAGAGGTAGGGAGGTGCAAGGGAGTGAAGGGATTTGAACACGTGTGAGGATCTTGAAGTCAATTCGTTTGGTGATGGGGAGCTAGTATAGCCTGGCCAGAACTGGTGAGATGTGGAGTCCTGTAGCTCAGTGGTTAGAGCACTCGCTTTGCAAGCGAGAGACCTGAGTTCAATTCCAGGCAGGGCGAAACCTTGGGCAAGTTTCCTTACTCCACACGCCTAATAATAATCCCTCCAAAACTAAAAATAATAACAAATTGGTCATTTTCAATCTACGACTGTTTGTGGGACATTGCTGTGCGCAATTGGCTGCCGCATTCGCCCACAAATATACAGTCAATTCACTTTTCAATAGTGGAGCTGGGGGGGACCGGCGAGGAGTGTGTTTGAGTAATCCAAGAGGGAGGTGACAAATGCATGCACCAGGGTTTCGGCTGCATTTGGGGTAAGGTATGGTCGAAGGTGAGCAATGTGGTGGAAGTGGAAGAAGGCGGTCCTGGTCAGGGACTGGATGAGGTGGAGGAAGGACAGCTAGGTGTCGAACTGGATGCCTAGATTGCGCACTGGTTCGGTGAGTCCGAGGGAGAGCCCTGGGAGGTTGGAGTTCAGATCCGCAGGAGTGAAGACATTGACGGGAGCCAAGGAGTATGGCATAACATGCATTCCTGCTTTTCCACAGTTCTGGATTGTCACTCCGTTTTTTAAGTCATGGTCCCTATTACTTCCTTTTTCACTGTCTCCTTAGCTGCCTCCTCCATAAGATGCAATTCATACACAATTTTGAAGCCCATAATTTCTCTTGTACCAAATTCCACACTCCTCTGTTACACCCTTTCTTGCCAGTTTCCAGTGGCTTCAATATTCCAGCAGATCGTTGTCACAAATCCCTTCATAATCTTGCCCACCTCTACCTCTGCAATCCTCAATTTGTCTGCCTGTAGCCTGTACTCGTCCAACATTGATCTACTGCTTATTCCTCACACTCTGTGTGCCACCATCACTTACTGAGGCTTCAGACTCAGAATGCCCTCATTCTCTGAACTCTCTCCCAAAGCTCCTTTGCCTTGATGTTTCTTGGTTTCAAATCCCTTTTAAAAGCCTAGCTTGTTCACTGTGTTTTGGGTCAACTTCCTAAATTCTACTTCTCATCTCTGAAGCGCTTTGAGACCTTCACCCTATGTGTGCTATTATTTTATAACCACTTTAAATATTATGTTATTAATAATAACATACATAGATTAAATAACTCCATTGGTGATGAACATATTTAATTGTAACTTCCTTGTACTTACAGCTATGTAGGCAGAGTCACAGGATTGACGATTCTCAGTGTCAAAGTCAGTGAAGTTAAGGAAAACACGATAATGGGTGTCCACAGTAATAACCCAGGAACAATCCACATTGTTGCCATAAGGATTGGGAAAGTTTGGTGAGTGGATCTCTCCTTTAGGAGCTACGAAATTCCCTCCGCAACCTGAAGGCAAAGCAATGTTTGAAATTAAAGGAGTTTATACCTTGGAAGCAGAGGGAACAGGATGGTGTTTGCTAAACTGAAATAGCATTGTACATGCAATAGCAAGTCTGTCATTACAAATTCAGTATGGTACAAATATATGGTTTATGCTCCTTAACTACATAAATGGAACACAAATACATAAACAAATGGAAACACAGACCAGTTCTAGCATCTTCTTCTAAAAGGTGCTGAAATGGGCTGGTTTCTAATCATACACAGGTGAATGTATTAACAAATATGCTGCAGACAAGTGTGTAAATGGTAGAGACCCCATCACCTTCTTGATACTTCCAGAACTCATCTTTCTGACAGTGACTATCCTCCTGGGGAACGGTGGGTTGGGCATAGAAGAAAGCTACGTGGAGTTTCTTTAGGGCTGAACTGGCTGAAAGGTGACACAATTGGCAACAGAATGTTGGGACTTAGTTAGCCCTCTGTAACCTCTGTTGTCTTGTTCCTGAACCAGTCTAGCAGATTTGCAGTACTTCAAGGCACTGCTGAAGTCAGACCAGACAGTCTGGCAGGACTTGAAGGGGCAGACCAGTCACTGGGCGAAGGATTCTTCCCACTTAGCTCCTATTAACCCTACAAGCTAAAGCCCGAATGGGCCAGATGGTCCTAATGGGATAAGAGGTGGAGCACTTATAAACAACGTTCTCTGCTGCAAGATGTGCTGTTTTAGCTTGTTAAACTGCAGCAATACCCTCAACACACACTGTGAGATCCCTAAGCCTCGATTCATGCCAAACTTTGCCTAATATGTTTTGGAGTTAAGTAAGCAAAGTGAGTGCCTCTGAGGGAGTTGGGTTGAGGATGTGGAAATCTGGAACCCTCTGCCCCAAAAGGCTGTGGATGCTGGATCAATTCAAAGACTGAGGTGGATAGATATATAGATAGAAAGGATATGGAGCAGAGGCAGCTAAATAGAGTTGAGATCCAGATAAGCCTAATAGAATGGTCTAATGGTCTAATAGAATGGCGGAACAGGCTCAGGTAGCATCAAGCTCCATGGTTGCACACTACAACTCACCAAGCCAGTCAGGAACCCAGGTGTCTTGTTCGATCCTCAACTGTCTTTCCTCCCCCACATTCAAGCCATGACCCGCTCTGCCTTCCCTCACCTCCATAACATCACTCGATTCTGCCACTATCTCACCCTCAGGCCGCTGAAACTCTTGTTCATGCCTTCATCACCTCCAGGTTCGACTATGCAAATGCCCTGCTTGTCATCCTTCCCAACTCCTCCCTCCATAGGCTGCAGATAATCCAGAACTCTGCAGCCCGTGTCCTCTCCCGCACCAAACTCCGTGACCCCATCTCCCCCATTCTTGCCTGACTCCATTGGCTCCCTATCCTTCAGAGGATCCAGTTCAAGATCCTGGTCCTCACCTACAAAGCTCTCCATGGCCTTGCCCCACCCTACCTCTGCAACCTCCTAACCCCCTACCAACCCGCCCATTCCCTCCGCTCAGCCGGCTCTGGCCTGCTCCACCCATCCCCCGACCCACCCTCCCAACCAGTGGTAGGAGAGCCTTCAGCCACTCTGCCCCCAACCTCTGGAATTCCATCCCCCAATCACTCCACTTCGCCCCCTCTCTAGCCTCCTTCAAGTCCCGCCTCAAGACCCTCCTCTTCGACCATGCCATCGGCCACTCCCCTTCCCCTTCCCTCTCTCCCCCTTGACTCCAGCTCGGGTCTGACATGCCATTGTCTAGCGCCTTGGATGTCCTCCCGACACAAATGAAAGGCGCTATACAAATGTAATCTTGTTGTCTTTTTGAGGGGCTGAATGGCCTACTCCTATTCCTTTGTTCCTATGTATTCCATTTCCAGATGTAGGGAAGTTTCATGTGTAGCTGGAATGTGTATGTGGATCTCTCGGTCTAGTTGTGATATTCTTAAGCATGATGATGGGTTTCTGCATGCGGCAGACACCTAGCTGACCAAAAGAAAGTTTCATTCTGACTCACCTCCTGGTTTCTCCTTCCAAGTGGCGTTGAAACCCTTTCCATTGCCTTTTGAATTACTCTTAAATCGGACTGTGATGGCATTGCCAGTGCTGGAGATCACAAGTGGGTTGTTTGGTAGGCGAGTGTTGCAGAGCTGTGCCAGGCGTGGAGATCTAGTGTCTGGACCAGCATACACCTGAAACAACAGAAAAAGACATATACACTTAGGGCAGAGTCTGGTCTTGTGCACTCATTCTGAATTCACAACAACAACAATAACCTCCATGCCGGATGGCATCTCAGAGCACAGAACTACTTAAGCAAAATAAATTATTCCGGACAGTGTTGGGGGAGGGGAAGGGGTACAAAAAATAAAGGCACTTTTCCTTTTGCAGAACTAGCAACATATTTGAATGTTTTGACTCAAGTTAGAAGCCAGACACCACCAGATTTTTGTATCATGAATCAGTGGAAAATATTTTCCTAATCATTGTGGGGTATTTTTGTTACAAGACTGATAATCTGTATACGCAGTCATTCAAAGAAGAGATTCCATGTTTGAATGAATGGGCATTATTTAAATGCTTAGACCAGGGGACATCAGCATAAGCCTGTGGTTTTAGCCTGGCTTTTTCTCTCTTCTGCTTTATTAGTTCCATTGATTTTAGTGTTAAAGTCAGCATTCCAAACCTCTGAGCAAAACAGAGCCTGGTTTATAAGGCTGGCAAATGTTGAGGAAAAAAACGCTCGAGCAGAGATATGCTTGCAATGGGGGTGGGGTGGGGGGAGGAATAAAAGTATAAAGTGACTGAAAAGCAACTACAGTAAACCTATGCAACATAAACACAAGAGGCTGGGCTACCACTGCTATTAAGCACTTTTATTACTGGGGTTGAATTATAAAATCGTTGAATTAATTGAACTCAAGAAAGTATTACATTTTATTTTGCCTTGCTCCCCTCTCCTCTTCCATTTTTTTCTTCTTCTGTCAACACACAACATACACAATTTCTCTCCCATACTCATATGCTCTCTGTCTCAAATCACCACAGACAGCAACATAAGCCACTAATCCAGTTCTATTACAATTTGTCGTCAAAACACTCTTTAAAACCTCTCTCTTTAACCATGTCTTTGGTCAACAGCCTCAAACTCTACTTCTCCCTTTCCTGTGTGCGAATCCCCATCATCCTTGTAAAAGACTTTCAGAAAATAATAATAATCCTTGCATTTGCTATAGTGCCTTATCATGTCATTGAGACGTCTCAAAGCGCTTCACAGGATGGATGTTACATGAATGCAAGCTGCTGTAATGTATTGAAATGTCTGAGTTTTCAAATTGCTCTATTTTAGTTTATGCTCTGGTGTTACTTTGAAACTGGATTAAATCTGACAGCTACCAAAGTGGAACATCTTATCCATCTTGCATTTGAATTCATATTTGAGCCAAAGCAATATGAGTTAGGGTCCTGTCTTTTCTTTCTTTTAATAAATAAGAATAGTTATTCTCTGGATGTGCAAGACACTTCATCTCCAATACACTTGAATTCTGTGTGAAACTACATTGAAAAGATATGTTAGAACGTAAGAACTTAAGAGATGCTAGACGAAAAAAGACTAAGGTCCATCTAGTTTGCCTTCCACCTTTCTGGCGGTCGCGATACACACATATGTCTCAAACTGCTTGTGTACTATATCCCATACTGTTATTTCCTAAAATAAAACTATCTAATCTGTGTTTGAAAGAATCAACACTTCCTGTTTCAAACATCTGCCTAAGGAGCCTGTTCCACAGGTTCACTATTTGCTCACTGAAATAGTGTTTGTGTATATTTGTTCTGAATTTATCCCCCAATCAATCACAGGCTGCGTCCTTTGGTTCTACTATTCTAGACAAGTTGAAACAGCCTGTCATGATCTATATTATTTTGGCCCTTTAGAATCTTAAAGACAACAATCATGTTGCCTCTCAATCTTCTCTTTTCCAGCATGAAGATGCCCAATTTACTTAGTCGTTCCTCATAGTCCAGCCCCTACATTCCCTCAATCATATTGGTTTCCCTCCTCTGTATCTTCTCAATTTCTTCAATACCCTCTTTATACTGTAGTGACCAGAACTGTACCCAGTACTCTAAGTATGGTCTCACCAATGATTTATACAGTGACAGGATTACCCCACTATTTCGGCTTGTAATTGATCATTTGATACACCCGACCTTCTGGTTTGCTTTACTCACTGACACACAGCATTGTTGGGAGAGCTTCAATTTATTGTCAATCAGGACCCCCAGGTTCCATACTATCATTTTCCTTCCGTTCAAATGATAGTCCTTCCAGGATTTTTTGTTCCCATGTGAAGTATTTACATTTTTCCACATTGAATTTCATCTGCCACTGATCTACCCAATTCCCAAGTATGATCAAATCCTCCTGTAACCTGTCTTGTTCAGCTTCATAATCTACTACCTTCATTAGCTTGGTGTCATCTGCAAACTTAGCCACTGTGCTTGCGACTCCTAGTTCCAGATCATTTATAAAAATATTAAACAAAAGAGGTCCCAAAACAGACCCATGTGGAACTCCACTGGTAACATTTTCCCAGTCTGATGACATTCCCTGTTCCACCAACCTCTGGGTTCTTCCGGTCAACCAATTGAGTATCCATTGTAATATACCTCCATTGATTCCTGCTTTTTTTTTACTGTCAGTACCAGCCTCTCAAGAGGAACTGTATCAAAGGTTTACTGAAATACAGATGTACAATATCCACCACAGACTTACCCTTATCAAGCTCCCTTGTCACACCGTCAAAGAAAAGCAGTAAATTAGACTGTCAAGACCTCCCCTTCATGATCCCATATTGGCTATCATTTATGATATATTTCTATCCAGATGCTCTGTGATTTTATCCTTGATAAGAGTCTCCATAATTTTACCTACAACGGATGTCAAGCTTAGTGGTCTGTAGTTTACTGGGTCACTTTTGTTAGCTTTCTTAAAAATAGGAGTAACATCTGTCTTTCTCCAATCCCTCGGCACCTCTCCAGTATTCAGTGATTTTTGATAGATGCGTGTCAGCATTTCTGTGACTTCCTCCTTTAGTTCCTTAAGGATCCTTGGATGCAATTTATCTGGTCCCCGAGATTTATTTACCTTAAATATACACAGCTGCTTGGCAACCATGCTGGTAGTGATATCAATCGTGTTGCAACTTTTCTCTGCGATGTTGATGCTGGCACAAAACACACAATGCACCAAACAGGATGACTGACATAATGTGCCAATATGATACATAGGATGAAGGCAATGTGAAATGGAACATGACCGTTTCAATCTCATTTAACGTTTGACTGTGGCTCAATACAAAGAGTAGACTAGCAGTAGGAAGCATCTAGTGAGCCCTCAATAGGTTGATTTTATCCTTGCGAGCTTCCCAGTAAGCAGCACAGCTCCACACGAAATGCATGAGAGCAAATTCACTATCTTGGTCATTTGACATTCAATAAGCGCAGGTTTCTTGGAATGTAGCGCTTGTACCTCCAGTACATCGAAGTTGCAGGTTTTGTGATATTCCACATCAAACTCATGGATAGTAAACTCAATACTGTTGCCCTCATCCACGTGAAGGAACCATAGGCACTCCCTGTTATGAGGATACCAGTTGGGAAAGCCTGGGCTGCTGACTGCTCCATTCGGTCCAAACAGATCTCCACCACATCCTGGAGAAAGAAAAGTAATATCTATGAGAACAATAACTGGCATTTGCTGATACTATATTAGCTAAATTAGTAAATTGATCACATCTCCAAATATATATACTGGGCTATACAACGGGATAGTTAATTTACTAAGGCATAGCAAGACTAGGGCTCCAGTGTAGACTGAATTAGCTGATCTCAGTTGGGCCATTACAATTCATGGGATTCAACCCTATGCCTTTCCGAACTGTATGACTTAGGGCTGTCTCTTTATCTACCACAAGCCATTGGAGGAACTCATTAAGCAACATTTTAATAGTGCATTTGTTTCCCTTTTTCTTTAACCCACTGTTTGAATTCTTGGTACATCCTAACTGAAGGGAAGCTGTGCCTTTGAAATACATTCAACTCTAACCACTTCAGTAGTTTTCAGCAGCATTAACCACAATGAGACATTCAAAGATATTTGAAGCCTTTGACCAAAGTAATTGAATGGAGCATTTTCTAGAATTCCTTTGACAAATGCCACTGGCCTGCGATTGTACGCAAGGTTGGATAGTTTTCTTTTAGGAAATAACATTATTAGATATAGTACATAGGTAGTTCGGGGCATATGTGCATGCAACTGCCAGGAAGGTGTAAGGTGAATTAGGTGGACCTGAGTCTTTTTCCAATGAGCATTTCTTATCTTATGTTCTTATAAGCACATGTTTGACACAGAAAGGCTACTTATATTTGTGAAAATACAATTCCCAGAACATGCATTGTTAAAGAAATTTAAAGGGGCGGAGAATTGCCTATTAAAAGTCACTGTGACTTATAAAGGAATCCTATTAAGAACACTAAAATTAGACTCCTTTGTAGCAGATAGAAACTGCCATTTCTATTTGCTTTTGCCTCACAAAAACTCACGATCTCTTTCACTGCTTGGTTCTCTTAGATACACTATAGGTGGGACAGTTTGCTTCTTGGAGCAATGCCATTCAATCAAATGTCTGATCTGGAGCCGCACAATCATAGAAAACAGTTTGCCATTGTGGTTTAATTTCGAACTAGCAGCCCCCACACTGCTCTGAGGTGCTGACCCCATTGAAGTGAATGGAGCAGCTCCAGGATGCTGTAACAAATGGAGTGCAGCATTTGAGCAGAGAAACATGGTAGAAGGTTTTGAGAAAGGCTACAAATTCAGAATGTGCCACAATATCTTCATTCCTATATTGCTTTTTAAGTCAGGGATTCGGGGGAGGGAGAGGGGACGAGAGTACTTCCTCACCTTTCTTCCTCTTGACAGCTAGGAATTGAATTTAAAGCCAGCGGTGATCATTGAATGAATAGTACCAGAAGGCCATCAATTTCCTCTTCCCTCACATGGGGGCTCAGGGGAATTGTAAATAGAAACAATGGTCTGCAGTTTTGTTTTATCATTATATCAATGGAATCATGAAAGATTAAGGTCCAGTTGGCATTCTTCCTTTTTAGTCAATTATATTGTTGAGTAAACACTGAGCCCATCAGATTTCTGAAGCTGCTGATAAGTGAGGAATCCCTCTGACAACAGAGAGACACTCCATCTTCATAGCAAAGGTATTGGACATCATCCCACTGCAACCAAATAATGCAATGGAAACTGAGCAAGTCTCAGCACTAACAGATGATTAGGGAGAGGGATATGCTCCACTGTCAAGATAGGGAGTGAGGAGGGGAGAAGGAGGGGCTGCATTATAAATACAGAAGCTGTGAGTCATTTCCCTCTAACATATATTCAACGGTATTATCTTGTGCAATCATTGCTTTTCCACACCATTTTGTTCTTGCATTTTAAAAGGACCTTAACCTTATTTTGAATTTTGGCATGTGAAGCTCTAAACTGTGGTGATAATGATTAAAAGGCTCCTCCTATTCCAAAATTCACAGAGTGAGTCCCAATTCAGCAGTCTGGTAGCAATTTTATTTTGTGAAGTATTTCACCAGTCATTTATTTAAATAAAGCTTTCCAGTTTTTCTCAGTATAGAGATGGGAACAGTGTTGCAGTGGGTTCAATCACAGCTGTAATTTCCTTCCTTATTCTAGAATGACTCATCTGTCTGCTCTGACTTCACATGGAAGGAATCATTCGCAAAGCCTTTTTCCAGACCCAGATTGTTCGAATAGAAGATTTTTTCACCCATTAAGTTTTCTCCTCTCCCCCAAAAGTATCTGTACTCTTTTTTTCCCTGACTGAGGTACACTTCCACTCCAGTAACTCATCAGTCACTTGTGAGCAATCAATATGGGCAGGATATTTCACTGTGAGCCCAATCTTGTCCTCACTTGATGTCCACACCAACCCACACACCAGTAGGCAGGATCTCAGGTTAGCAATAGACAGTGGAGGGAAATTCCACCTGGATCTAGTTTTATATTTTTTTGTCATCATTACAGAGCTTGGACCATTCTGAAATTTATTCTTAATTTTTGAAGCAGTAGGTTCTTTTAAGATAGCCTTATCTGTACAGAAATAATAATAATGCTTGGATTTGATAGAGTGCCTTATCACATCTTCGAGACATCTCAAACTGCTTCACAGAATATAGTGTAAAGTGAATTGACTGTATATTTCGTGGGCGATGTACAATGAAGAGGATTTGCATGTATGCAGAAATGTACAGAGAAAAATCCTTGCAGGTTTTATTGGTGTGCGGTTTCTAAATGTCATTGCAAACTGGGCTCCTCAGACCTTGCAGTTTAGGAATCCACAAGTTGCAGTTTTTATAAATCTAGTACACATCTTTCATTTCTTTGAAATTTCACCAACTACATTTATTTTCAACTCTCGGAATTTGCCAAACAGTTCAATAGGCCAGCCACCTGCATCGATTCTTAGATGTAGAGTTCCCTACGTGAAGAGAACCATTTGAGCACACACCACTGAGGGTTGAGGTCAGTGAAACTCACCTTTCCTTCAAAGTTAATTTTCACACAAATATCAGGGGCATTTCAAATAAATTTAGATAAGCGAACAAAACAAAAGATAGCCTCAAGTTCCACAGAAAAAAAACTATAGAATCACCCATTAAGATAATATTTACAACAAGTCGAAAGAAAAAAGAGTAAAATGCCTTCCATTTCACATGCTACGAATAATAGGAAATTTAAAAACAAATTCAGGAATCTAACCCATTTCAGGAAATCTCACAGACGGTGAATGTTTTTGCAGCTTCACATGTGTAACTAGAAGCTGCTCGCACAGACTTATCTGTTCTTTGTCAGGCACAATGGAAACAGAGAGCAATTTAGACTCTATTGCCTTATGACTGCACTGCAATCATTTTGGGGAAATCACTGCCTGGCACAAAAATATTCACAAGGAATTTAATGCATTTACCTAACGACAAAGCCCCTGGCCTTATGAAAAGTTAACTTTCAGAGTGTGCGGATAAATTGCTGGAAACTCCAGAGAGCCATTTTAAAGGACGGACAGAAAAATTCTGATCTAAACTTTGCTGAAAAAAAACTGTACAATTAAAAAAATGTTTCCGTGCAAGATTATCTAAAGTTGATCTACGTACGCTTGACTTGGTGACTAAGCTGTTACGAGCCAGATGGGGAAATGACCATCAGCTCAGAAACTGAAAAAAATTGCATAATTTTTTCCATTTGGCCCCAAAAAAACCTGAAAACCCTAGCAAGAGTCTGTGATAATGTCTGACCTTGCAACGTTGCTAGGAGATGAAACAACAAACAGAAGATTCCAGTTAAAAAAGAAACTGACCTACAGCAAAATATCTGCAGCTTTTGAAATGCTGAGTTATTCTGCTGAAGCACAGGGGCACATTGCTGAAGTGATGATTTATTACACCAGTAAATGTTATGTTGTCAACCAAATAAGTCCCGTGGCAGATTGAAATACACAGCAGTGGAAATGGTTGCTGATCCATGTAAGTTCATAAAAATTAGTCATTTGTGTTGAAAAACTGCACTATCAGTGCTGAATTTGGATCCTTAAAGTAAATAGTAACAAAAGACTGGCTTATACTTTTGAAAAAGATTGAAAAATTTTGATTTAAGAATGCTCAGCCACAATATACACACAGCCACACTGCAGTATATCCTGTGAACTGCTTTGAGTCGTCTCGACAACATTAAATGCAAGGATAATTATTAAGAATTCAAGTGGTGATTGTATTTAAAGTTTGTGTGGTTCTCTGTATCTGGGGCTGTTGATCAATCAAAATATAATAATCCTTACATTTGACATAGTGCTTTTCATTTCAGGATGATTTATCAAATTAATGAATTTACTGTAAAGTGACTGTAGATTTTGTGGGTGAACTTGGCAGCCTATTTGCGCACAGCAATTTCCCCACAATCAGCCATGATTTGTGGTGAGGATTTATCTCACGGGGTTCAGTGAATCATAAGGGAATCATGCACTCTCACAACATGCTGTTTGTAGACCTCCTGCTTCAGTGCGACATTCCCTCTGTCTCCAGGAAGCAACTACAGCATGATTTTGGACATGGATAACATTACATCAAAATGAAAGCGGGGATGTCACAATGTTGGAGAATAAAGTTCATTAGAAAACGTTATCCATATATGGTCTTCAGCGAAGCTAAAAAGGAGTTAGGAATCCAGAAATCTGATTTAAAAAATAGAAAATGCTGAAATTTCACATCATCTAAAAGACAAAGCTACGTTAGCACTTTGTGTTAACATTGTGTAGGCCTGATGCCAAGCCCAAGCCCTCTGCTCCACCATCGGCAGCCATGCCTTCAGCCATTATGTCCCTAACCTCTGGAACTCCCGGTTTCAAACCTTCTGCCTGGTCTCTTCCTTATCTATCTTGAAGACCTACGTCTTTGACCGCTCCCATGTTCACCTCCACCTCCCCTTTCTCCCTTGCTCAACTTCAACCCCCGGCAATGGGCAGTGCCGAAAGACGCTATGCTTCGGGCAGGGCCCTATACAAGTTGTTGTTTGCATGTCCCTTTATCAGTTTGATTTTTTCTCATTAGTTAATTAGTGAAGGTGTAAAGTCACTGCCTTCCAAATATCCTAGATGGAATATTTTTGGCAATATACACAACAATCTGCTTGTGTGTTGGCAATGAACGCATGCCACAATTATTAACTTTTCAGAGCATGCTCAATCCAGAGGAGAAAAATCTTTGTTGATTTGTTATTTGCGTGTCCTTTTCCATAATTATGCTGTAGTTGCTTTCTGGAGGACAGAGGGTGTGGCGCCCTTGAAAGTGGAGCAGTAGGTCTACAAAAAATTTGTTGTGGGAGTGCATTATGATTCACTGAGCCCACAGGATGAATCTGTCGAGCATGAAGTTCTAAGACAACAGATGTTGGGATTCAAAAGTAAAGGTCAAAACCTGATTCAGATGCAATGCAAACCTACATTTATATAGTGCCTTTCACATCAGGAGACCATTCCAAAGTGCTCAACAGTCCTGGCTTGGCACCCGAGCTGAGGGTGGGAGAAGAGGGGAGTGGGAAAAGATGACCAAGGTGTGGTCAAACAGGAATGTCTTGAGATGGATATATACTGTTGCAAACTTTTTAAATTGCCACAAATCTGAACGCTGCTCCCTCCAACCCAAATCCTCAACAGGAGGTCCTAATGAGGCACAATTCCAGTGAGTTTGTAATAAGAAAATTTAACTGTACATTGCCTCTGATCCTTAAATATGGGTTAAGTTAGCTTTTTCCTCAGGCCAAATCCCTTTCTTCTAATCTCCCTTATTTTTCCCATAACTGGCCAAATCGGATCATGGATAGGGATGAAAAGTAGACACAATTTAGACTTTTTTTTGGCTTGAAATTCCAGGTTTCTGAAATTGTAAACTGTGACCACCTCAGTTTAGTAACACATTTAACCAGTCTTGCTATGTGGAGTTGAATTGCTTTATAGAGCAGCACTGCCTGGTATAAGTAATGAGCACACATATCTGGGCGAAACTTGCTATCAATGATATGTTGATAATTATTGCTAGTAACTGAGGATTATGACTTCTTTGGTAAATGTGGTCAAAAAGGCCCGTAGAAAAGTCTATAATTAAAATTGGTTATGGGATAGGGAAGGGGGAAAGGAGTAAGAGAAAAGAGGACAGGATCTGGGGGGGGGGTGAAGTCGATAAAGTAGCTAAAATCAAGAGTGCAGTGATCGCAGAAAGCACCAAATAAGACCAGGCAACCAGACAGGAAGATTAAGGGGAAAAGAGTAGAATTTGGTGTGTATGCATACTTTAGCCAGAGGTTAAAGGGTCTGGATCAACTAGAGGTTAAATCAAGAATGCATATTAGGAGGAGCTTTTTCACAAGAGTGGTGGAATGAGAGGTAGTGTGGATTCTCTGCAACGTAGATTGTTAAAGTGTCAACCATATGCACATTCAAAAAAGACTGGATACACAGTGGGAGGAGAATAAAGTTGAGGGATATGGGGAAAGGGCTGGAATATGGGACTAGGGATAGGATCTAGGATGGACACTTGTGTGGAGTATAAGGATCGACCAGACTGGAGTGCCAAATATTTCTCAGCTGTACTTTCTTAAATGTTGTGACAATGTATTTGTAGGCGGAAATTTTTTAAATGTAACAAATAGCTTCAGTTTGGTGAAAAAGTAGGCCCCTTGGAAACTAATGGAACACTACCAGTGGTGAAATCTAATGTAGTTATTTCGTCAACCGCTTGGTGGTGTCACACAACAGGAAGCGATCTCACTGCAGAGAGCTAAATCAAAACCAGGCCAGTGAAGGCAAATATCAGATTCCCTAAAAATCTCCAGAGAAATGCATAAAGCATTTCTCATGTGAAGAGCCGAGAAGCCGACATGCCCTCTGTGACTATCCCTGCTGCTCCATAAATACATTTCACTGTTGTTCCCAGTCCTCTCAATGCTGGCCCTTTCCCATTATTCCTTAGCTTTGCTTCCTTTGAAATGTCGGTGATTAATTTATGAGGCTTTCAGGCAAAAGAGCTGGAGATAATCCTTAGTTTGAGACACTATTTGTAATATCATTAAACTGCCCTTCACGTGGGGCAGCATCTCCGAGCGCTTAACAGTGGCAGAGTATAACGCAGAGCCAGTGGGAGAGAGGAGGTGACAACAAACATGGTCAAAGAGGAAGGTATTGGGTCATAATCTAAAAGAGGGGAAGGCGGGGGCAAGGCAGAGGGATTGGGGGAGAGAGTTTCAAAGCTTTGGGGCATAGTGGCTAAAAGCAAATCATAGAGCATAGATCATTCAATCCACAGAATCTGTTCTGGTGTTGCTAGCTCCCGACAATACTCCCTAAACCCAATTTACTGCTCTTTCTCCCTTTTATATAGTTTCTCTAGAAATACATATCCAAGAACCTTTTAATCGCCATTATGGTCTTAGTTTCCATAGCCACTTGTTGCAAAAGATTCCATTATTATGAGTTCATACTTAAATAAAACATTAAAATCTTTTTTAAAAACACTCTGAGGAATTACTCGTGTAAGAATTCACCCAGCAGAGGAAATTTAACCAAAGCCAGATTGATTAACGCAGGAAAAAGAACAGCCAGTTAGGAAATGAGAGTGTCACATAAGAGTTTGGCAGCATAACATCCAAACAATTCTTAATGGATTAACACTAGGATAGTCTGGGACAAGCGACAAGTGGGGCAGACAATGTAAGGAAGCATTGTGATTTATCTTACCGTTCTGTAACCACAGCATCTGAAATCCAGCCGCCGAACTGTAGCTAAGCTCTGTACAGAACACTACATGAAGACTGGAACTGTTGGATGTGCCTGCTGGGGGAATGGTTTGGTCACAGAAAGTACCAATAAGTGGAGATTTGTCGTTGGGTCCATCATATAGCTAAATTGGGGAGAAGAGGGAAGAAAATATCATGAATGAGTTATTAGTTAGTTACAAGGGAGAGAGAGAGAGAAACAAATATTGGATCATGACAGGGAATTAGCTGGTTCGAGCACAAAAAGATAATCCAACTGATGAGAATTCCAGGGTAAACTAGCAAGACTCTCTCTCTCTTTCCCCTTTATGCCAAATCCCACAAAATTATAATCCAAGTCATCCAGGTGTCAGCCTGGCTCAGTTGGCAGGATTCTTGACTCTGAGTCAGAAGGTTGTGGGTTCAAGATCTGCATTGGGACTCTGAACTCACAGTCCAGGCTGATGCTCCAGTGGAGTATTGAAGGAAGCATTGAATTGTTGGAGATGCTGTCCTTCGAATTAGATGTAAACTGGGATTCCGGCTGACTATTTAGGTGGATTTTAAAGATCCAAAATAAAGAGAGTTTTTCCCCAGTGTCCTGGCCAATAATCCCTCAGCTAAAATTTGTCATTCACTTCATGATACTGCTTTTCGGACACTGCTGTGTGCAAATTGGCTGTCATGTTTGTCTACAAAGTACACAGTCAATAAACTTGAGAGTAAAATCCTATGAAGCGCTTTGAGACGTATTTATGACCGGTGAAAAGAGCGATGAAATACCAAAATTAATATAATCTTTTAATTTATGTTTTCAAGCACTTGGAAACCACCTAAGTTCTGTATTGCTGGAGGAGCAGCTAACTCAAACAACTCATCTGATTGTTGAACTTCAACCATCTCAGTGAAGCATTTTATTACATGGGTTTTCTGTAACAAGAGTAAGTGCTACGAAACTGGTAGTGAGAATTCTGGCAAACCGCAACATTTGTAGAGGTGAAATCTGAGTGTTTCATAGTGTGTCTATGATAATAGTCAGTGATACACTATGGGTACTATTGTAATGTGCTTCATTGTAGTGCAAATTCAGTTATAGCACTTGGACACCTTTCACTGTGTACCTGTACACAGCCAGATGACAGCCTTCTCTCAAATAGGAAGTGACGTTGGCAGCAACCTGATAACATGGATTATCAGATGGCTGGTAGAAATGAGTCCTCTTTAGGTAGATAACTGGTACCTGAAACACCCTGCAAGCTTCCTGGTGAGAAGCACAATTCAGCATGAAACATGTGAAGGAATTATCATTGGAGAGAAAACTACGAGAATCAGAAACCTGGAGTAATGCATTGCATACAGGCAAGTGCTTAAGGTTGGTATTACGTAAGGAATTAGTAACACATTTTCTGATATTCCTCAATTTAGTCTTTGTATTCAAAATAAATGGCAAAGGAATACTGCAAATTTTGCTATCCTAGATTTCCAGGGTCAAATAATCCCTGAAGACCTGCTGTAAAGTACAATTTGGGGTGAACTGTGTTCGATACGTTAAGGGATGACAATGCTAGGGTTCTAAATGTTGGTTTCAAGTATGTGAGGGCCACACATAGCGCAGTGAATCTGCCTCTTCTGTGACCACCGGTTTAGAAAAGCTCCCTTGGACTACCAGGATGTTTTCATTCCCCTCAGTGGCCTTTCTTGTTCTCTCTCATTGCCAGTCTAATGTACGATTAAGGGAACATTAGTCCATCAATAAGGGAATATTTGGCCATTAAACCCATAAACATTAGGGGCTGTGTTTCAGACTGCCCAAACTCATTTTTCATAGAAACTTTTACCCATTTATTTAGCAAGCAAGGATTGTGACATTGTTAATTCTCTGATTCCAGGAACAAGAGTAAACATTTCATCCAGATACCATCTTAAAATTTAATTCATAAATTAAAAGTAAACCTTTCTCCTTGCTGCATCCCTTTAACGGGATGAATTCATATAGTTGTGACAATAATTATTTATTACACCTTATCACATCATCAAAATGTCTCAAAGTGATTCACAGGATTTAGTGTAGTCAACGGTGTATTTTGTATGCAACTCTGAATTTCGCACAACTGAGCCAGTTGACACAATATATCTGTTAAGCAATACAGGTATTTCCATTTGGTGCCACGATTCATTGAAGTAATCCAGCATGAAAATATGGTGGTTTTTAACACTTGGAAGTTAAAAGGAGAATGAATCCTTTCTTTGAAAAAACAATTAAACTCAGTAAACTCCTGATAACTTGACCCTGGACTAACTTGTCACTATCATTTTAAGTCATCATGTTATTAATATCCTGACTGCATCTATTTATGTATTTACACATATGCCTCACTCGCCACTCCTGATAACTCGTCACTGAGCCTTTTACCCTTGGAGTTATCAGGTGTTTGTTGTAGTACCTTTCACATCGGGAGGATGTCCCAAGGCACCACACAAGCTTACCTTAACCCACGTGAAATAGCAGCTGGGATAAGTGGAGTCCAAATCGAAAGCATTGAAGGAATAATCGATTGTGTTCCCTTCTGTTGCTTGTATAGTCCAGTTACAGTTGTGCTCAGGAGGATAATCCTCTGGAAAGTTTATACTTTCCAAGACTCCACGGCTGTGATTTGCAATGATTACATTCTGGCAATCTGGGAATTAAAATAAAGTTATTCTTAAAGTTTGAAAAATCGGACATTGGAACGAGATTGTAACTCCAAATGTGGAGTTTTAACTTAGGCATTCACTTATCCCCTATTAAATTGTGGTATTCTGAACACATTTCCCCTTAAATGCCTTCAATGTCCTGTTCAAGGAATAGAATCATAATGTGATTTGTAATACTTCACCAAGCAGTAACTTCCAAACCTCTCTGGAAAGCTGTGGGTGCCACCATCTTGGAATCGCACAGAGATTGTTGTTGAGTATCTAAACTGGTCTTTCTGAGTTTATTTAGGAGTTATTGGCTTATCTCGATCCTAGCCAGGGAAGTAATTTTCTATCATTTACAAATTGCCACCAAGGCCTCGTTCAAATTTTTGGGCTCAACCAGATTTAGCAATATCACAGTTTTGACCCTAAAGTGATTTCTGACCTGCCTGAGTTGTTCATTCATTTACTTACTAGATTTGTATTTGGCAAAAAATCCCCCTCGACCAATTGAGTTGTCAGTTCGGAGTTTTATGTACATATTGTTACTTGTGGAGCGGATGGTTGTTGGCTTTTGATTACCACACAACGTAGCTAGGAGGTAAGAATTTGTGCTGTTTCCATCATAGACCTAGGAGAGATACAGAAGATAATGCAGATAAGGTCTTAGCTTAAACTGGCACTATGTACTGCCAAACTTAGATTTGATGAAAGTACAATACAGACACAACAACAAATTACATTTGTATAGCGCCTTTCTTGTCGGAAGGATGTCCCAAGGCACTGGACAGTTAAGGATTTGCACCCAAGCTGGGGGTTGGAATCAAGAATGGTGGAGGATAGGAGGGGTGAGGGCCAAAGACACAATCAAAGAGCAAGCTTTTTAGATGGGTCTTGAAGGAGGCCAGGGAGGGGGCAAAGCAGAGGGGTTCTGTGATGGATTCCCAGAGGTGGGATCAGAAAAGCTAAAGGCTCAACCACCAATGGTGGGGCAGATAGGGTAGGGGAAATGGAGGATGCCAGTGTCCACCAAGCGTCATGGTACCAATAGTTCGCTGAGGTAGGGAGGAGCATGACAGTGGAGGAGTTTAAAAGTGAGGACGAGAATGTTGAACTCGATCCTCTGGGGCATGGGGAGCCAGTAGAGATGGGCGAGGATAGGGGTGATCAGTTCAGGGAGCTGACAAAAGATGATTAGTTTCTTCCTCAGTTCATCTTCCCTGGCTCCTCTAGCACAGTTTCTCATAAGCATTCTTTGTGAGGATGTGAAGAACCGGAAATAGGTCAACTGCAATGATTCTTGGTTCTTGGTAGATACTAGGCAAAGGAATAATAATAATCTTGTATTTGATATAGTGCCTTATCAAGGCGTTGAGACATTGCAAAGCACTTCACAGAATATACTGTAAAGTGGATTGACTGTATATTTTGTGTGAAAAAAGAATAGAATTCAAAAATAACTGTTCCACTTAATATAAGTGTTTTAGGACTTCAACAATAATTTACTGTGAAGTGTTGCAATTGGTTAACATGGGCAAACTTGGCACCAAACTGTGTCAGCATCCTTCCACAAATAGGGATAAAATGCATGGCCAAACGTAATCTGTGAATTTTGAAAGAGTAAGTTTATATGTACAAATAAGGATTATCATCATGTACAACACATTGAAGAATGAACTATCTGCTTTTAATTGTGCACAGATCCATGAGTCTTCTGATCCTGACCCTTTCTTTCAAATAATTGTTCAGTTTTTGTGTACACTGCTGTAACTCAATCATTCTAACTGTCCTTATAATCACCTGATCTTTTTCTTCATCAGTGACGACAGAGAGAATTCCCTTTTTAAATGTTCAATAAAATTTCCCAGAATAACCTCAATGGAACATGAGCTTTTACAGGATCTGACATGTTAGCAGAGATTAAATCAATTTGGATCAACTTGCAATAATATAACAGTGATTCAAATCAATATTTTGCTTGAACTATCTCCAAGGGTTTCTACTATGATTTTTGCTTTGAATTAAGATATTTTTTCTTTAATTAGGTGGGAAAGGCACAGTACAAACAGGGCACGAGTTATTGTAGCCTGGACGTTTTGATCTTGAGCAGAATTAAATTATGTAGAATTGATATTAGCCAAGAACTTGGAGATTACAATGAAGGGAACATCAAATGAGGAAAGGTTTAATCTTTAAATATCTGTGGATCAGAGTTGGGGTGAATTTGGGACCTGTGATGATGGTGAATCCAGTCAACAAGGCCAGTCAATAACTGAAGACTTACTGCATCTCCACCCTGCTCTTTCATAATGATTGAATCTTCTTGTTGTTGATTGAACCTCCTGCTGGGTCACATTGTCATTGGACTTGTGGACCCTCGGGATACCAACTTAACTCAACTAAAAATAGAAGAGTTCAGTTGTCATCCTCCTAATTGGTATGCCACTTTGCTCCAGCAGGAAATTCCACAAAGTTACCTGATTCACAAGATTTCGGCCCCAAGGTTATTTTGTGTCAGAGTGAGCTTTTGCGAGTTAGTTTGGTGTACATGGAATTCTTCACAGAAGTTTGTTGTGAAGCACTTTTTCTGGTGATGAGGGATTTCTGCTTTCTTGTACTTTTTCATTTCCTTATGTTGCAAATATTACTTAGCAGTGAGAACCACATATGCGCTATATGATGCAATAATTAAAACAATGCTTTGAAGCACGGACTGCCTTTTCTATCAACTTAAGCCAGCAAGAAATAATATCTGGCACTAGAACCTGTTTGGTATCCTAGCCAACAAACTCCAAATAATCATGGCTGTTTGTAGGACATTACTGTGTGCAAATTGCCTGCCATAGTTTGCCTATAAAACAGAGTCACCACACTAACAGTAAATCCTGTAAAGTGCTTTGAGGCACCCTCTCAATGTAAAATAAACAATATCAAATGCAAATGAATAGAACATAAGAGAGAAAGGAATACATGAGGAAGAATGGAATAGAAGGGTATGGGAGAGAGTGAAGAAGTGAGTTGAGACTTGTGGAGTACAAACACTGACATGGACTAGTTAGGCTAAATAGTCCACTTCCGTGCTGTACAGTCTGTATTATTATACATATTCAGAACACAGAATTTGGGTTAAATTTGAATTGTAAATGACTAATTACATGTATTATCATTTACCTTCAAATATGCAGTCACTGCCCTTGATGGCAATTACCTGTGAAGCTCTTTGAAATGTTATCAATGCAAGGAATAATATCTGTTCATTCAAGAAACTATTTAACAATTCAAATCTTAGTAGTCTGGCTGGCCTGTTTTGGCGTTGAAATAACATTGTTGGCTGGAGATTTTTTTTTGTACATCAAACACAAGTAGGAACCTTGAATACATACAGCTAGGTAATCATAACTGCATCCAGAGATGGAATCCAAGTGGAATGCATCAAAGTCCAGTTCAATGATACTGCCCGCATTGATCTGAATACGCCAGTAACATTCTGTGTTGTGTGGGTACGGCATTGGATAATTGGGAGAGGTGAAGCTTCCTGTTGATGTTGTGAGTGTCCCACCGCAACCTGAAGAAAACACAGATTTTATTCAGCTGCCAAAACAAATAGCATTTCTAATATATGGGAGCAGCTCCAGAGGTGTCATGATGATGCAGTCAGTCACTCTCTGCAGCCAAGCTGGTTGTGTCCTCCCTTGTTCAAGTGTCCTCAAGTCACACACCATTCCTCAACTAAGGGGAAGGGGTAAGAAATCTGCTATTATGGTTACAAATCTGGGCACTCAGAAATGTACGAGTGCAGCCTGGGTTGATTCCTACTGGGGTTGTTATACTTGAAATAAATAGAGGTATTCAGTACTGGAAACCTATGGTGTGTACACTTGTAAAAATCATGAGGATTTATCCAAGTCCCAGCCCAATAGGCTCCGTATAACATTTTTGGAACATTTTCAGAGCAAGGCCACTATTTCTGCTGGGCTATTATTTGTATTTGTTCCTTTAACCCATGGACTACAGACTTTTTAGACTTGTGAGCAATAAAAAGGATTTCTCAGATTTCCAAGATAATTCTTAACAATCAGTGTGGGGTTGAATATGTGTTGCTAATTAAATTACTTATTCACTTGGCTGGGATTATTCTCCTTAGAGCAGAGAAGGTCGAGGGGAGATTTAATAGAGCTGTTCAAAATTATGAGGGGTTTTGATAGAGCAGATAGGGAGAAACTGTTTCCTCTGGTGGGTGGATCAGTAACTAAAGGACACAGATGTAAGATAACTGGCAAAATATCCAGAGGGGAGATGAGGAGGCATTTTTTTTAACCCAGAAAGTTGTTATGGTCTGGAATGCACTGCCTGAAAGGGTGGTGGAAACAGATTTGAAAATAGCTTTCAAAAGGGAACTAGATAGGTACTTAACAAGGAAGAATTTGTGAGCTATGGGGTAAGATTGGGACTAATTGGTAGCTCTTTCAAAGTGCCAGCAGACATGATGGGCCGAATGGCCTCTTTTTGTGCTGTAATATTCTATGATTCTATAGTCAGCCAGGTGTCTGAAACCCATAGTCATGCTTAAGAGTATCCAAACCAAAATGAGAATTCCATGCATCCCACCCACATATGGAAATGCAAGAGATAGATTGTTCGAATGGAACGCACTCTCTCCCTAGATGGACGCATCCTGCTTACCTAATTCCAGAAAGTATGAGGCACAGGTTGGCAAGAGCCAAGGCTTGGGGACCCAGAATATGCTTTGGATAGTTAAAAATCCTTGTTCTCGCCTTCAAAAGCCCTCTACTACCTTGCTCCTTCCTACCTCTGTGATCTGCTAACGCCACATCAACCTGTACGCTCTGTTCGCTCAGCAGGTTCCATCTTGCTCCACATCCCCCTCCTGCCCACCTCATCATCGGCAGTCGGGCTTTTAGCCTCTCACCCCCCACCCTTTGGAACTCCACCCCACAGTCCCTTTGCCTTGCTCCCTCCCTTGCCTCCTTCAAGACATGTCTCAACAACCTCATCTTCGATCGTGCCTTCGATCACTCTCCTACCCCTATCCTCCCTGCCCTCTATCCTTCCTGATCCCAATCCCCTGCTCAGGTCCAAATCTCTGACTGTCCAGCACTTTGGGATGTCCTCCCTACGTGAAAGGCGCTATACAATTGTAATTTGTTGTTGGGTTAGTGCTGGAGTCTAACCAGCTAAACTCGAATAGTTTGCCATTGATATCGCTGTCTGGCAAGCTTTCCCACTGCTCGTCCAGCTAGGGCCATTGTACCTGTTAGGGCTTTGGCTTGGAGGGTTAACAGGACTTGAGTGGGATGGATGATTTCCTATCCCCAGGTCGGCTGTGCTGTCATCAGCAGTGCCCAGTTCAACTCCAAGGAGACCCCACTTATCTCCGCCTCCCCAAGGAGAATAATGAAAGAGGATTTTGGTACTAATGGTAGTAATTCTTCACCTCAGAGAGAGTCCCTTGGGCATAAAGTTCATATTCAGCAGGGAATTGACCCCAACTCCTGAGATCTCAGCTCCAATGCGATCTCAGGTCAGAGGCAGTGATAACATCTTCTGATTAAGGAATGATGCACTGGATTCCCTGGGGAAAAAGGTTTTCCTCTTTGATGTTGCTTTAGTTCTGACAAAGCATTGTGGACCTGAAATGTCACTCACTTTCCTTTCTCCATAGATGCTGCCTGACCTGCTGAGTGTTCCCAGGGACTTCTGTTTTTGTTTTCACAATGTAAATTGTATTTGTATTGTATTGAAAATGCAAATATACATTAGGATGTGTTTTTGCTGTCAACCAGGCACTAGCAAAATCTCATCTTTCCATCCACAGCCTTGTTTCAGTCCCTGTGCTGAATCTTATGTACCACAAATGAATCATCAGCCTATTTTGAAACATTCTCCAAGTGGTATTCTTCTTGTGTGAACACAGTTAACAAGTATTGGCATGCTACTTGATCAATGGAGGGAAATGAGAGCCAAGCCCAATCTTGTCCTCATCCAATATCCACATATATGTACTCTCCAGCAGAAGTCATTAATTATCAATTGGAAGGGACATTGATGTTTTCCCTCTCTTTAGTACAAGCACACTGGGGAAAACTGTTTGCCAAGGCTACTTACCTGGCTGAAAGACAATTCAGCACAGTTGTTGACTACTTAATGTGGATTTTACACTCATCCCTACTATGAACAATGCTTAAAATGCTTTGAGACATCTTAACAATGTGATAGGGCACTATATCAAATGCAAGGATTATTATTATAAAATTAAAACACACACTGAGGGGTGGCATACTTAATGTAGGGAACCTGCAACATCCTTAAGTTAAATAGCACCTCTAAAAGTTTTTCAAGAAGCTACTTTTCAGCAATTTACAGCAGCAAATAAGCAGTGTGAATAAGTAGTAGCTCAGCTTTTTATATTCAATGAAACCAATATTATTACCTGTGGAAGTACCATCCCAGTGAGCCATGAAACCACGTTTTTCAAAAAAACTGTTCGACGAAAACTTAATCCATAGCCTATTGCTGTGAGACAAGATGAGTGGTGGGGCAGTCTCACTAAATGTACCAATCAAATTAGATGTTTCATATCCTCCATTCCTGAAAGAAAAAGATACAGTAAATTAGAATAAGCAAGTAATACAAGTTTATGCATTGTGATCTTATAACAAAAATTGGAGTCAAACTGATATAATCGCCTGCTTGGGAAGTCTGTCAAATAAAAAGCAAGTATAACTGGTGTCCCAGGGTAGCTGATGAGAGAAGGAGCTGGAGATACAAGGATGGAAATTACAAGGTGTGATAATTATCAGGTAGAAATTCTGACTGAAGATGATCGACCTCTTCTGATCTCAGCACAATGGTAAACTGGGTAAGTATCATTTGCTTCATTTCCCAATTCTTTTTCTTGCACAATTAAATGTAATTTACCAAGAAAATATTTATGGAAACCTTTACTACTAATTTGAACTATGTGCTTTGCAACTTTGTGCAAATACAAAATGTTTCATTAAAGATTGTGCTGAATGAACAGTTTACTTTCTCTGTGCTGGTTGCACATCCTTCGTCCTTTCCGCCCCAGCATCAGAGGCTGTTCTTTCATCTATTCCCTGAAACTCTGTACCTCAATCCCTCCTTCTTGCCTGTCCTTGCCCAAATTCCAGGCACACCTGAAGACCTTCCTCTTCACCTCCCTTCTCTCCCCAGCTCAGAGTCAAACTCTGCTAAGTGCTCTGAGCTCTGTTAAATACTCCAAGACACTACCTCATGTGAAAGGTGCAAATAAATGTAAGTTATTGTTGCTTTTATTCTGCAGTCATTTCTTTCCCTCAAATCTGTTTTCGCATTTCAAGCAGACATAGTTTTCTCTGAATCCAACATCTGTTTACCAGAGCAATTGCGTTAAATTCTCAAGTCTCTGCCAAGACCCAAATCGGCCGAGACCCACTTTGTACCTTGATCCAAGGCCCATGATAACTTAGAGATCTTGCCACTAATTAGGTGAGTGGGCTTCACCACTCCCTTATCCTGTCCAATGAATAGTTACGGCCATCATGTAGCCCCCAATCCTGACTTCCTGACCGAATTTGCCAAGTCTAGTGATTGCTTGTGTTGACGTAAACCGCTACCATGTTGGAAAATTGTTATGGCTGGGGGCCAAAGAGGGCTGCAAGTTAATTTGTGATACCTTATCTCTCATGTCCATCTTTTCTCTGACTGGGGTGGGGGGTGGTTCTGGAAATTGGCAAACTCTAACCGACCTTGCATGCTAACTCAAGTCAACACTTCCTAACTCTGGTGCAACTATCATAAATCAGTCCCCACTATTTTACGAGATTTGCTCCATTTCCTCACATTGAATTGTTGGTACCCACATTGTAATTACACATAAGCCGGAAATTCCGACTCACCAACCAGATCTCCCTTATATAATAATAATAATCCTTGCATTTGACATAGCGCTTTTTCACGTCTTCTAGATGTCTCAAAGTGCTTCACAGAATAGACTGTAAAGTGAATTGACTGGATATTTGTGGGCAAAATGCAGCAGCCAATTGCGCACAGCAGTGTCCCACAAACAGTCATGGATTGAAATGACCAATTTATTATTGTTTGTTTTGAGGGATTATTATCAGGCGTGTGGAGTAAGGAAACTTGCCCAAGGTTTCACCCTGCCAGGAATCGAGCCCAGGTCTCTCGCTTGCAAATCAAGTGCTCTAACCGCTGAGCCACAGGACTCCCTTCATTAGTCTGGCTAGCCAGGGTTTTAGTGTAAATGGGATCTGTGTCTCCAGATAATAAAGAAACCTCCCTAATTCCTGGCTGCTGTCTATCTACCCATGTTAGAACAAATATGCATGGACACTGGTGAGAGCATACTTGGGCACAGTCGTGCTTATCCTCATCACACAAAATCACAAGATTAGTTTGGATGAAGAAGGTCCTTTGACCCATCTGATTTCATCCTTGCAGAACTCCCACCCTAACACCACCATCATAACATCAAACTGTTTTTTTTTAAATAAAACAGTCCAGTATTGTGACCTCAAACGCATGTCTTGGCTACCTGTTCCAACTGTTGATTATTCTCAGAATAAAAACTTACGGTATCTGTCCTGAATTTCTGTTTACAACTCTACACTTATGACCTCTTGTTCCACTGACTTGGTGAATCCTTAAGTATTGATTTGGGTTTATTTTTTCAATCCCATTTAAAATTTTATACACCTCTATGAGGTTCCCTCTAAGTCGGCTTTTCTAAAGACTGAAGAGCACCAGCTCCACTTTTCATTGTTCACAGCTCATATCACCTCCTAATATCATTCTTGTTGCTGTCCTCTATGCTGCCTCCAATTACCTGCACAGCCCCCTTATGTCGCAGTGACCAGAATTGTATGCAGTACTCAAGGTGCAGTCTGACTAGAGCACTGTACAGCTACAGTTTGGCAATATTAACCTGCATTCTACAGCTCGGTGATTGATTAAAGATAAAACACCAGATTAAAGAGCAACATTGTGGTCAAAAATGTTATACAGATCATTGACCTCATGATGTATGTGTGCATTTTGGACCAAAGTGTTCAGGGACACTTTGCCGAAGAAATGCCAAGATGTAACACAATACTCAGAGTAAAGCAAAACAGCAGCAAGACTTCTGAAGGCAGTACTCAAATTGCCTCTGGGGTCTGGGCAGCCTCTTTATGTTGTGGGGACCAGTATTGTATGCTGTACTCAAGGTGCGGTGTGACAAGAACACTATACAACCCGAGTACAACATCTGGGGATCTAAACTCAACCTATTTGTAATATAGCTCAGAATCCTGTTTGCCTTGTTCATTGTTGCCTCACACAGTTTTGACATAATGAGCAATAAGTTAATTAACACCCTTAGATAACTTTCAGCTTCCCCTTGGTAAGTTCTATCCCATCCATGGAGTACTGTACTTCATATTCAGAACAAGATGCTAAATATATTAAAAGTTTAATCTGTATTAAACTTCATTTGCCAGTTATCAGCCCACGTACATAAGCTGTCAAGCTCTTGTGGTTAAGCATTCTTCTAACACTCAAAATCCACATATGGAACCATTCACAGTAATGGGTCCTCATCTTCAGTAGAGTAAGAGCAAAGAGAGAGATTTGTGGAAAGTGAGAGCAAATATACTTTGGAAATCAGTTAAGCATATTTTCAGAGATGAACAACAAATAATTCTGGATAAACTTTCTCAGGAGTCCTGGTAAATATTTCTGACTCATTCAAATTCACCAAAAACATAGATTATCTATCTCATGTGTTATTGCTCCTAGCATTAAAGTAATTAGCAACAGGATGGCTGATTCAGATTTCCTGCTCTGAAGCCAGGAGCTGACGAGAGCTCTGCACGCACAACTCAAACTTTCTTTTTAAATGTTAGGAGTATAATTCTCTCTTTATTAAGATTTAAAATCCCTCTGTCCACTAAAGTTCTTGGGTTGTTCAGTAAACTATTTGAGAGATCATGTTGAAGTAAAGCTGAAGCTACTCTCACTACCCATACTGATTCTGCACTGGTGATCTTTTCTTGATGCAACTATCTTGTTAATGTGTTCAATTATTTCACCCACAAAATATACAGTCAATTCACTTTACATTATATTCTGTGAAGCGCTTTGAGACATCTTGATGATGTGATAAGGTGCTATACCAAATGCAAGGATTATTATTATTTGAGGGAATCTGGCAGATTTATAATAGAGAAGATAGAGCAAGATCTGTAGAATGAATGGACTTGATAGGCTGAGTCATTTTCTCATCTCAGGCATTCTTATGTTCTCATGGGCATAGTCAACATTCCTGACCTCTGGCCAGATGTCAACCTGAATCACTTACCAGGACTCTCTACCCCGAGTCAGAAGATCATAGGTTCAAGCCCAACATCGGGACTTTGAACTCGCATAGTCTATGCTGACACTCAAATGTAGTGGTGAAGATTTGCTGCATTGATAGAAATACCGCCTTTCGATGAGATTTTAAACTGAGGTCCCATTTGCCTGTTCAGTTGGACTATTAAGATCCCAATATTTCAAAAGAGAATTGGGTTTCTTCCAGTGTCCTGGCCAACAGTCCCAAAATAAAATTGGACACTCACTCCAACTGTTTGCGAGACATTGTTGTGTGCAAATTGGCTGCCATATTCACTCACAAAATACAGTCAATAGACTCTACGGTATATCCTGTTAAATGCTGTGAGATGTCCTGTAGGTGTGGAAGTTGCCACATCAAATGCATTTGATTTTTAATTCCCTGCCTTTATACCTCCAGCAATCCCCTTTCTATCTGTCTTTAAATCCCACCTTAAAATGTATCCCTTCGATCATTTCTATGGCCACCTCCTTCACCCTTCTTGGATGTCTGACCCAACCAATGAGAGAGCTCAGCCTGTTATGAAGGATCTTATACTTATCTATCGATAAGAGTGCAATGTCTAATTACATTTCAACAAGACGGAAGAGAACAGGACACTTACCTAATTTCCACATAGTCAGAATATCCATCCAATTCAAAGTCAGTGAAGTTGAGCCTAATTTGTTTGTTATTTTTTACAGTGATTGTGTAGATGCACTCCACCAAACTTGGGTAGTCATTGGGATAGTTTGGGGATGTCAACGAGCCAGTCGATTCAGTGAATTCTTTTGTACATACTGGAAATGAAATAAAAACAAGTTACAATTTTATAAAACAAGCAATAAAAGTAAATGCATTTATGAAGCATCGAATAATAATCCTTACATTTGATATTGTGCTTTTCATGTCCGGAGGACGTCACAAAGCACATCACAGAAATAACTGTAAAGTGGAGTGATTGTATAGAAGATGGCAGCCAATTTGCATACATCAATGTCCCACTAACAGCCATGAGCCATGAGTGACCAATTTTATTTGGGGGATTGTTGGTAAGGACAATGGGAGAAAGAAACTACCTTTTCTCTTCATGTAGAGCCTTGGGATCATTAACATCCATCTCAACAGATATAAATGGCCTTAGTTTAATGTCTTATCTAAAGGATGCACCTCCAACACCTCTAGCACTGCTCTGGAGTGTGAGTGTAGAATTAGGGGTTCCAGATCCCAATGAAGGGGGCTTGAACCCACAACCTTCTGACTCAGAGGCAAGTGTGCTACCAACTGAGGCAGACAGACCAACACACATGGGAGTACAAGTTAAATCAAACCATCAGCAAGTGAAAGCAGAACATTGCTAGCATACAATAAAATGATGTCCAGGGCATTCAAATAGTTCTCCTACATTAGTTTCCTTCCATACCCCTCAAATGCTTCCCCTCCATTCCTGAAAGCTGGAGTATAGTTCAATGGGTGTTGGATATATGTATAATATGCAAACATGATTATTATAATTAGATTTTTGCTGAATTGATAGCAACTTTGCAATTTTCAATTTATAAAATCCAGTTGGCAGAGATTGGGATACGTTCAGTCATTCTGCGCATCAGCCTTTTTTGTAGACCTTGGTCCTTTTGGATTCGTGATTCACGGGTGTGAATTTCACCGCAAATCTTGCAAACTGCAAGTTGCAATTAACACAAGAAGTCCGCTTTGTTCACATCACAAATTAGATACCGAATGTCATCCTTTATGAATATCAACACTTGAAACCCATTTTCTTAGCAGAACTCTTGGTGACTGACCAGGAGTTGAAGTCAATCAAAGCCTCTCTAGAACTGTTATACTTTCCAGTCAGGATTACTTCAGCCATGTTCCAGTCTGAATTTGAGATTTCACTGACACACGCACGCACATGTGTGCATGCAAGCACGCACACACACACACATATGCACACAGACACACACACAGTGGGATTTGTGCAGAGAGAAAGATGAATCACTGAGCACTAACACAGGGTATAATCTGCATGGAATGCTTACAATCCTTTGTAAATGCACAATAACAATCCTACAAACAAAGCTCTATTATCTACTGTAGATGGCCTTTATATGGCAATATCATTCACCATTAGTAAAGGTTGACCTCATATGGCAAACTATGTGGTTTTAGCTGGTTAAACTCCAGCAGCGCACCAACTAAAACTCAGGGGTTCACAAGCCTTGGCTCGTGTCAACCCATGCCTCATGCTCTCCGAAATTAGGTAAGAATAATCCATCTCTCCAGGGAGCGAGTATGCATTCTATTCCAAACATAAGAATTTCCATATGTAGGTGGCATATATATGTGGAACACAATCTGACTAGGATACTCTAAGCATGTTGATGGGTTTCCGCAAGTGTCCGACATCCGGCTGACCCAAAAAAAGTGTTTCGATGTAGGATTCACCATTTTTTCATCATCAATTGCTTTTTATCTATTAACAATTTTAATTAATAAGGAATAAGAAAATATTGAATCATTATTTATTAAATAAAACACTTCTGATAGAGGTGATGCATACTGAAACATATTAAAATTGATAAGTTTTGTGCTCTAGCTTAGCAGGACAGCTGCTCAGTATTGCTTAAAGTAAACGGAAAATTGTTAGGCACTGGTAAAGATTGTCCCTGAAGTCATTGACTGAGTTGCAGTCTGGTTACTAAAACAAAGATTTCTACTGAAACTCCTCTTATTGGAGTAAGCTAATCATACCCCTCCATGTTTCAGATGTTTTATATTGCAAACCAAGGCACATAATAACTATTACAGTGAAAACCGATGCACATTAGCAGTTTATATTAAAGAGACTGTATATATACAGTACTGCCTGTTTTTATACATCAAAATTGGGCACGCATTTAGAACTAAATGGAACCATAATTCTCTGTGCGCTTATCTTTACAGGCAATGGAAATACAAACAAGCCCCAAAGTGGAGTTTTAAACTATGCAGGTTTACCACTCCAGCTTTCATTAAGCAGCAGAAGACAAGCCAGGAGAGCAGAACTAACACAAAGCCCTTTTGTACAGCGCAGCAAAACATAAAACCATAAAAATCAGACTGTTCACAGGATGCCAGCATTTTCACTGTAGTTTAAGTGTAAGCCCAGGAAAAAGCTGCAGCTTTATGAGTCATTACATAAGCTTCCACTTGGAGTCTATTCACTTAACCCAAATGTCAAAATCGACATTAGGATTTTTAGTTACAATTTCATTTCTACTCCAAAGATTCAAAACTTCTATCTACTTGGCTTTTATTTCTGGGTTCCAGACCACCAACACGCACACTATAATCATGATTAATTATGGTGCATGCCAGTGTGCAGATAATCACATATTCACTGCTAGCAGGCCAGAGTGAAATATGTGTGCCCCATTTAAAGAAAGAACTCACATTTTTGTTGCAGTTCATCACTTCAAATCGTCTCAAAGAGACAATTATTGTCAAGTGCAAGATACCACAAAAATCCATGAGCAATCAATGTGGAGGATTGTTAACCAGACACTCCCTTTTCTTGACCGGAAACTCCACAGAATCATGAGATGGTCAACATCCATCCAAAATATGCAGATGAGACCTTTGTTCAACATCTCATCAAAAAGATAGGATCCAGCACTGCACTGGAGCTTTTACTTGGACGATGAGCTCAAGTCTCTCTCTGTATAATACTTGCATTTGATATAGCGCCTTATCACATCTTTGAGAAGTCTTAAAGCACTTCACAGAATATACTGTAAAGTGAAATGACTGTATATTTTGTGGGCAAAACGAGGCAGCCAATAAATTTATTATTTTTTTTGAAGGAATTATTATCCCTAGAAAAGCGATCGGCAAATCGACTAACAACCAGGTTCCTATTTACTGCTAGGTAAACAGGAGCGTATGGAGTAAGGAAACTTGCCCAACATTTCGCCCTGCCGGGAATCGAACCCAGGTCTCTCAATTGCTAGGTAAGTGCTCCAATCACTGAGCTACAGGACTCCATGATGTGGAATCCATATGCTCAATATGTGGGATTTCAATCCACAACCTCCTGACCCAAAGGCAAGAGTGCTACCAACTGAGCCAAACTTGCACTAACTATTTCATGCAGATTAACAGCGGAACTATGAAATGTGACATTTGTCAGATTTCATAAGTTTGTTTTAACACAAAGCATACTAAATGCCTCAGATGAAGCTGAGGTACAGTTTCTGAGCCACAAGCGTAGCCAAAACTCTGTTATTTTGTGTTGCCCCAAAGTCAAAGAGTCAAGCAAATTCTGTCATCACTTTTTGAAAGCAATTTTTAGGTACAACTCTGGGAAATATTAATTTTTCAGATGAGAAGTGCTCCCAGTTTCTTTCAACTAGTAAGTTGCCTGCAGTTGGCATGCAGTAACAAGAGCAGAAAGCATTTGGAGTTTTATGTATTTGACATAGAACCAAAAATCAGGCCGATCTTTGCTTTTGCCAGCAATTACGCTGTATTTCAACACACCCACCAGAAAAACTGCAGTCAATGTCTGCTTTGTTACAGAAAACCCAAGAGTCGCAGTTTCGCCTGTTCTCTCATAATTTCTTCCACTTAGTCACAATCTATTTCCAAGGCGTTTCTCAACTTAATTGCGATCAAAGGATACCCATATGTTGCAAAGTTTATTTTGAAAGCTTCCTTTTGAATCATATCCTACAGTCCTCAAATTCAAACCAACCCTTTAGGTCGGGAGCACTCAATGCTATTTGAAAAAAAGTGAAGCAAAGTGAAGCATTTGTTCCATTTTTTTTAAAATGACCTAAAAACTGATTTATGACATTTATTTTGTTTTGCGGATCTGGAGTTGCACACCTTCTGTGGATTAGTCTTGAAATAAAATGACATGAAACATCAAGGTTGCAATAAAAGGAGAAAGCAGTACTCCTCAAGTCCAATAGTAAGACCCGCCCTATCATTTCAACTCTTGTACTTATTGATTTCTAGAGACTCCAGTTTGCCGCTTAGCAACACGTGCAGTTAGGCATGTGATTGATAACTGAGCTTTCAGATTTTCTGACCAGCATTTTCAGTGATTGAACAGTAAAACATTTGCACAGTGTTTGTGCCTGGCTCAGTTGGTAGGACTCTCGCCATTAAGTCAGAAGGTTGTGGTTTCAAGTCCCATATCAAGACTTGAAATCCTATAGGATCGGCTTGATACTCCAATGCAGCGCTGCGTGAGTGCTGCATTGTCGGAGGTGCTGTTCTTCAGAGACATTAAACTGAGCTTCGGTTTGCCTGTTCAGGTGGACGTTAAAGATCCCATGACACTATTCAAAAAGAGAAAGGCGTTCCTGCTGGTGTCCTGGCCAACAATCCCCCAAGTAAAATTAATCATTTGTTTCAAGACTGTTTGTGGGATGCTGCTGCACAGAATTGGGCTGTAGATTTGCCTGCAAATACAGTTACTACACTACACAGTAAATCCTGTGAAGCACTTTGGGATGTCCTCCTGATGTGAAAGGTGCTATACCAAAATACTGCAAGCATTAGGTGCATATGCGATTACTGCCTTTAAGGAACCAGATCTTGAAAAACTAAACATCAGCCTTTAAAGAACTCTGGTTTCATTCCCCAGAGATTTACTGCAGGGTACATTTTGTAACATTCTTTGGGGGTCTAAAATTTGATTCCTATTTGCAAGCCAGACTTGATAGGTGTATAGTCTGTGAATGTTAGATTGTGAGATTCATGAGGGATTTGTTTACTAAACGCAGCAAATTCTGATAAAGAAAAAGCCACTGAGCAAAATACTAGTCGTTTCCTCTCTGTATTTCGCTTGCCAACCATTTTTCAGACAAGGATCTCTGGATAATGATCAGTGAAAACCTTAACTGATTTTCCAATCCCTAGCCTGAAAAACACTGATGTCAGCTCCATCTATGGTACAGTGGGAAGAGATTAATAATAAGAGATTATTATTTGTTTTATTATTTGTATTATTTGTCAAGACTTTGGGCTCTTAGTTTGCACTGACTTCAATGCAGTGGATGAACACTACATTGTTAGAGGTGGCGTCGTTCAGATGAAATACTAAACCAAGAGACATGATCCGAAAGGAGAATTTCTTGAGATGTTCTGACCAATAATCCCTCCAAATAAAAATATAGTTTTTCCTTCTTGGTAGTTTGTGGGATATTGTTTTGGACAATTTGGTTTCCATCTTTACCTACAAATACAGTCACTGCACTTTACAGTAAATATGAAATGCATGGCCACATAACATGCCATATCAAATGTCAAGATTATAATACAACTTCTGACCTATGACTTCTTCAGGATCAAAGTATATGAACTGAAAGCTTAAGCAATGGGTTGCGATGCCAATACCTGGAATTGCCAGCATACTAAGGGTTAATCCCATGTCAGCCTTGATCATTTCTTGGATAACAATGCAGAACAAAAACAAGAACATTACAGATGAACAATAACTACACACCTGTTGAACTTTCAATGGAAACGTAACTTGCTGAGAATCCCTCAGTGGCTATGCTTGAATCAGACACAAAGAGAACACTCATTGAATTGTCACTGCTGGTAATGGAAGGAGGGATAGAGGTGCCACAGTACCTGTTCAAATAGAAGAAATATAGTTCAGATGAAATACAACACTGGCTTTAGAAAACCAAATATTTTAGAATGAGTGTACAGAATTATTTTGAAGCCGTTCATTTTTCTTGTGATGGTGCTCGAGATGATAGAGTCATTTAGGGGGAAAGATCAGATCAGTTTAAGATCGACATTCAAAGGTCTGTGAGCATCTTAGATCAATCAGAGAAACATAGGACAACAGGAAAGGAGTTGGCCATTGAGCCCGTTCCACCAGTTTAATAGGTCTTTATTAAGTTTCCTCTTAATATATTGATTTGATACAAAACTTTGTATCCTCGCTCACAGTGATCTCCGCATACCCATCACCCCATTCTTCGGCAGGCTCCACTGACTCTGAACAAATCAATGTCAACAACCTCACTCTCATATAGAAATAGTTTCACACTAGAGTACCTCCCTAATGCTCTGCCTGCCCTCTTTGCTCAGTTGACGTAGATGTGTTCCGTATCCCTCAACCTCTCCACGCCACTGTCAGTGGTAATACCTCCAGCCATTCTACCCCTCATCTCTGGAATTTCCCTACCTCATGCCTCCACCTCGCTCCCTCTGTATCTATCTTTAAACCCCACCTGAAACCTGACTTGCCTATGGTAACCTCTCCCTCCTTCCTTGCTCAGCATCCAAACCCTTGCTATTCTGCCCTCACTGTGAAGGGCACTAAATATATGTTAAGTTGTTGTTTTGGTCTCGGATGAAGAAGTTTCAGAATCATCTGCCTACTAATGCTTATAATTAATAGAACTTTCAGTGGTTACAAAATGGAAAAATCTACTATTTCTTACCTTCCAAGTAGTTTTCCAGAATTAACGGTACCTCGATCATACAACTCAACATAGTCTTGGTGCAATTTTCATGGTATTCAAGATTAAAAAGGGTGAATGTAAGGCGGACGACATTTCCAGGTTGAACCGAGATGAACCAAATACAACTGACATCGTGCGGATAGTCTACTGGGTGGTTAGGGCTAGAAATGTCACCCTGTGGATCTGTAATGGTATCGCCACATCCTGCCAGAAAATTAATAGGTTTTTGACTGACCATAAACATTTGGAACAGAAAAGAAATTCTCAATAATAATGCCACAGGCTACCGAGTGAAAACTGGAGAGAGTCATATCAATCACCTGTCACAAATTTAAATTCTCAGGCATAACATTTTTCAACTGTGAGTTTAAAAGGTAAAAGGTGTGAGGAGGACACTTTCTTTTAAATAAGCTCTGGAGACAGTGTGTTTGCTTTCCATCACTAAGATGTGGAATAAGCATTATAAAATTGTGATCGTGAGATTGGGAATGTCACAGCTGTCTCAAAATGTCAAAGTTCAAGATGAACTTTCCAATGCAGTGCAGGGGTTGTGGTACATTGCTGGAGGTGCAGCCTTCCAATGATACATTTAACTGAGGTCCCTCTCAGTGTCCTGGCCTAACCCTAACCCACCAGAAAACAAATAAGTCATTCGTGTCACGTTTCCAGGACAATGCTCTGTGCAAATTGGCTGCAACATTGGTTTACACAATTCACAGTTAATATACTGGACAGCAAATTCCATGAAGAACTTTGAGATATTTTCTTAACTTGAAAGGCACTGCAGTTATTGAATGTAAGAATCATTATTACAGATTAATGATAATTAACACATCGATTGGTCCCTCGGTAACCTGTGTTTTCAATAGTTAGTTGAGAATACTTGGGTTAATGCGACACTTGAAGAGATGTGACTTGAATGACTCATTTGTTTTCCGGGAGGTTAGGGTTAGGCCGGGACACCGAGAGGGACCTTAATAAAATGACTCATTGGAAGGTGGCACCTCCAGCAATGCACCACAGCCCCAGCATTAATAATAATATCTAAATATTTGAAAATACCTTTTTTAGTTGATCCATATTCAGCGCTAAATCCTTCTTTAGCCGTAGAGGAGTCTGTCTTGAACTTGATGTACATTGACCTCCGTCCTGACTGTGCCATGGGTGGATTCCCAGCACCACAGTACTTGTCGATCAATGGGGATTCTACATCAGCTCCATCTCGGACCTACAAACAATGTAAACAGATTTTACCATTAGAATGAAACCACCTCCACTCCTGTTAACCCAGCAAACCAACCAGGAAGGTGACCTGAGCTGGTTAATAACAATCCTTGCATATGATATAGTACCTTATGTTGTTGAGACATCTCAATGCTCTTCACAAAAATATACTGTAAAGTGAATTGACTGTATTTTGTGCGTGAAACGTGGCAGCCAAGTATCCCATAAATATGGGTTGTTCAAACAGTTGTCAATGCCAATGTATATGGTTTTAGCTGATTAAACTCTGGGTTCGCAAGCCTTGGCATTTGCCAACCTGTGCCTAAAACAGTCTGAAATTAAACATCCCTCTTGCATGAGCATGTGCTTTCCTTTTGCTACAGATTTCCATGTGTAGGTGGCATAAATATATGTGGAACTCAGTTTGGTTTGCATATTCTAAGCATGGTAATAGTATCTACACACTGCTGACCAAAGGAAATGCAGAAATAGAATGGTTCAATTGGAGAATTTGACAGCAAATTGGATTGATTTTTTGATTCAGCAGTTAGCAGATTGACAGTGATCTGAAGTAGCACAAAATAGGACAAACATGGTTACATTGAGTCAATGATGCATTTGTTATATGACTGATCTAAGGCTATTCTAAACAAGCCTGTATTTCAAAATTACCTGTAGTATTACACATTAAACATCCAATTCATATTTCAGAGGTATATTTTTAACTGGAACATTATCAATCACATTCAGATGGTATAAAGTGCAGTGCAACAATAATTTATTTCTGAAGATACATTGTTGCCCTACCTCAACATAGTCATGGGTGCAGTTTGCAGCATCATCAATGTCAAAGGACACAAAGTTAAGGGTGACAACTTGTCCTTCTGGCTGATTGATAATCCACGTGCAGGTTTTGTCGGGTGGGTATGCATTGGGATAATAAGGAGACCGAATCACTCCCGTGCCACTTAGAGTGCCACCACATGCTGTATATCAAAATAAATGGAGACAAAGCAGATTTTTTGGACTAAATATTTTATACAGAGTTCCAACAACGACAATGGCTTCAATTTAAGCGAGGTAGCACCTAATTCAGAGTTAGAGGTAATTGCCATTTTCTATTATAATAATAATAATCCTTGCATTTGATATAGCACTTTTCACGTCTTGTAGACGTCCCAAAGCGCTTCACAGAATATACTGTTAAGTGAATTGACTGTATATTTGTGGGCAAACGCGGCAGCCAATTGCGCACAGCAATGTCCCACAAACAGTCGTAGATTGAAAATGACCAATTTATTATTGTTTTTGTTTTTTGGAGGGATTATTATTAGGTGTGTGGAGTAAGGAAACTTGCCCAAGGTTTCGCCCTCTGCCTGGAATTGAACTCAGGTCTCTCACTTGCAAAGCGAGTGCTCTAACCACTGAGCTACAGGACTCCACAATTATGTAAAAATTAGGGCTGATTAGATATGCATATGGTAGGTTATTATTTATACAACATCTTACAAGCTATAGGATGACGAATCTGTGGTATAAACCAGTTTTGAATACTATACAGGACATGTGTTTCAGCTTGACTCAGCACTCTTGTCAAAGCGTTAGAAAGTTATGGATTCAAACACCACATCTGGAATCAAGTTCATGGTCAAGATTGCCACTTCAGTGCAGTTCTGAGAGAGTGCTGCAGTGTCAGAGGTGCCATCTTTCAACAACAATAAAACAACAACAAACTTGAACAATATAGCACCCTTCACCTGGGGTAACATCTCAGAGCTCTGGCTTTCAGATGAGATATTAAACTAAAGTCACGTCAACCCATTCAGTTGGATTCAATTATACTATCAAAAAGAGAAGAGCATCCAGAATTTGATTTTTTTTAAATTTTGGCTTAAATTTGAAGTCAGTTTCTGTAGAGCTTAAAATAACTTGCAGAACACAGATTCAACATTAAGGCCATTTTAAGAATTTGCCAAATTCAAATGCTATAAAATGCATAGAGTAAAGCTAGACCCAGGTTGAATTTCTGTACACAGCTATTTTGTTTCATTTGTTCTCAACACCTTTTCTGATTTTTTTTGATAGGCAGTATATCTGACACACATTGAGAGCCATGACCTTGTTTAAGAGTATTCAAACAAGCCAGTAAGAATTCCACATAGCATGGACATTTTTGCTTGTATGAAATGGAGTATGCATTATCTACCCAGAAGGACACACCCTGGGATGACTGCGCTCTGGAGATCCTCATAGGGACAGACGTAAATGTCCGATTTTTGGAGCTTACCAATGTGACGCATTATATGTAAATAAATCATAATAATCCTTGCATTTGATAAAGCATCTTATGTCATTGAAAGGTCTCAAGGCAAAATTGTACTGTAAAGTGCAGAGACAAATTTTATCTGGGCATTGTTGGCCAGGATACTGAGAGGAACTCCCCTGCGTTTTTTGAACAGTGCCACGTAATCTATAACATTAACCTGTAAAGGCAGTTGGAACCACGGTTTAAACTTCTCATACAAAGGATGCCACGTCTGACTATACTACACTCTCACAGCACTGCATTCGAGAGTCAGCCTGGATTATGAGTGCTGCAGCCAGGCTGACACCTCTTGAGAACGGAAGAGATGGGAAGTCCGGCAAGATGAGAGTTGGTGTAATCTAGGCCTGGTTGTGATGAATGAGTGGATCAGGAACTGGGTGACCCGAGGGATGAAGTAATGGCAGAGGCTTGTTACTACTCTGCAGTTGTCCATTATCTTCTGCACGAAAACAAAAAGCATTCTTACCAACTTGGTATATAGCACGGAATCCTCCTTTCTGGAAGGAGTCACTTGATTTAAATTTGATCCACAAATTGTTCCTGCTCGTGGTGATGACAGCAGGGATAGTGGAACCACAGAATTTGCCGATTAGTGGATCGGTCTCTGAATCACCATCACGAACCTAAAAGGTGAATAAAAATTAAAAATAAACTCAAGCAAAGCATTCAGAATTCCCATAAAGGAAGGTGCTTGGACACACACACACAAATTGTGTGACTATGACAATCATGTCAAGTATTAGATTAAAATGACCATTGACGGAACAGAACTTCAATATATTTTCCCGCTTTACTTTTAAATCATTGGGTTAATTGTTGGAGGCTCCTTTATTAAGAGGAATTTTATCACAAAAGAATGTCATCCGTCTGTCTATTCAGTTGGATTTAGAGTCCATGGCACTATTTAAAAAGAAAAGATTTTTCCCAGTATCCTCATTCTCCATGCAAGGATGTATCCATGCACTGGAGCTGGTTACTTGATTACTCTTTCCATGTTCTTTCCTATATATTTCACTTGCAAATACACAGTCACTAGATATTACAGTAAATCCTCTGAAGTTCTTTGACATATTCTCCTGACGTAATCAAAGACTCTACGTCAAATGCAAGGATTATTTATTATTTGAAATGGGACTATGATTTGACTCAAGTCCCACAGTACACAGACCAAAGGAGAATATTGTACTGGTTTATCACACTACTGTGCTGGTTTGCTTGCAAGTGTTTACTTGGATTAAGCTAAGTATTGTGTATAAAAATATCTCACGAATAGAGTCTTGACTTGAACTATTTATCAGTTTTGTCTAAGTCTCACTCAATTAATCCTGAATAAACAGGGAACACATATATGCTAACAGAGGCCATGAAAGCCAGTGAACACCCATTAACTTTCTCATATACTCTATAAAAGGAATTATATATCTGGAGATTTAAGTGGAATCCAACATTTTTTCATCAATTCAATATTGTGATTCATATCTGTCCCTCCTTATTCTCTAGAGCGATTGATGATGGGATTAAAACACTTGAGGGACGGGTGTGATTTTTGATGTTAATCAAACTGCTATTGAGTACCAACGCCGTTCTAGCTATGAGTCAAACCATGAGAATATTCCAAGGAGTTGCTTCTGAAGCAAGTCGCTTTTCTAACAGGATCATGTTTACACATGCAGCAAGCAGCTTTGTGCCCACCAGACACATCTGTAAATAAATGATAAGCCACTGTCGCCAACTATGGACCGCTCTCATTTCCTCCAGCCAACCTTCACACAGGCACACATCTACAGATTTCAGAACACAGCTGGAGTCTTCACTCGAGAAGTAGTACAATCACAGTATGTCACTTGGTTGCCCCTCTCTCACTGTATGCTTTGATACCACTTTGCTATGCTGGGAGGGCAAGGCTTTGCAGTGCCATTTCTCAATGAATAGGATCAATATGGAAATGGATCAATATTATCCTGAAGCAATCTTGTATTTCAAGCAATTAATCAAATTAAGTAATTATTAAAATCTCAGACGTTTATGTCAATAAAAGATCCCCTCCCACTCCCTGGGAGCCTGAAATCACAGGCAATTTAATACGAAAAGAATGTGCTTGACCAGAGTATTTCCACACTGCCAAACCACAGCATAATTGTTCCGTATTGTAATGGTCATTAACTGCGCAGTTACAACTGTGATCACTTGTTTTCTTGAAACAATCTATTCCCAGGGCACGTGTGCCAGCAAATTTTCAGTTACAAAGGGTGGCATATGGGGGGGTACTTCACCTCAACATAGTCCAAGGAACAGTTAGATGCCAAATCCATGTGCGTGATGTTGAGATCAATGCGCTCCCCAGAGGGCTGACGGATAACATAGATACATTGCACATTGCTGGGGTATGGATTAGGCCAGTTGGGGGAGATGATAATCCACTCACTCTCTGTGTATATTCCTCCACAGCCAGTGTCAACTATTTGTTAGAAAAACACAAGAACAACTGTTAGTCCAACCATTTGTGCTGAGTCGTGCACAAAGGCCATTTGTTAGGGTGTTGGTTATTTTTACACTCCTTCCAAACTCTTCACTTGTAGCAGTGGTGAAAACTATTGAATAACTGGTTACTTCAGTATACTGTACACATTTTAATGCAGACAAATCTGAGCTTATATATTTTGGGAGGAAGAATAAGGACAGACATATGTTGGATGGTAAAATATTAAAAAGAGTGGAAGAGCAAAGGATCTTGAAGGTTAATGTACATAAATCCTTATAAAGGGAAGGCAGTGACAAAGCTTTGAAAAAAAACTAATGCAATTTAGGTTTCAAAACAGGGATATAGAATATAAAAGCAAAGAGGTAATGCCAAAAGTCTATAAATCATGATTCGGGGATGAGTGGCTTGGTTTATGAGCTGAGATTCGAAGAACTGGGGCTTTTACCGCTGAACGGAGGGGTGTCCTGATAGAGGTCTTTAAAATGATCAGGGGTTTCGATAGTCAAGTGGGAGAAATGATTCCACGGGTCGATGAGTCAGTAACTAGAAAGCATCAATTTAAAATAGTTAGTAAACAAGCAAATGTGAAGGTGGGAAGAAATGTTTTCATTCACAGAGCAGTTAGGATATGGAATGCCCTGCCAGGAATGGTAGTTGAGCAGAATCCATATTGGCCTTCAAGAGGGAACTGAACAGAATCAACTTCAGGAGTGTGAGGAAAAGGCAGGTAAGTAGGACTGATTCTGTTTGACTTGTTTATTGCTACTTCTCACACTGTTTGGATGTGGTGAGCAACGTTCTTGTGATACGCATCTCATCCAAATCTGCGTTCATCGCTGGTAAACTCACAATCTCAGTCAGAAACCACAACAGAGCTGCAATAAACAGAAAGTTTGCACTGGTGCAGTATCCTGCCCTATCTAGCGGTTGGGGGTAAAGATTGACCACTGTGGCATTAAGCGGGCCAACAATCTAAATAATATGAGAGGGTAATAATGATAGAGTAAAAATGTGGTAAGTAACATCAGTCTACAGGATAAAAATCATGATACCCATTTACATGGTGACACCAAAAATTGTGATCCAATGCAAATACAAGTGCTCACACGGTAAGGGGAGTCTGCAATATGGTCTCCTCCTTCAAAGGCTGCAGTTTGAGTACTTACGCGGTGATGTGATGTACACAATGCTAAACCCTCGGTCACTGATATTTCCATCACTGTGGAAATGGATCCGTGCAAAGGGGCCAGTTGTCACCAGCGGGGCAGGTGTCTCGACAGTGCTACAGTACTTTTGAAGAGAAGGATCATCTTGATGCAGACCATCTTGAATCTAAAGCAAAGTATAGTATACATGCAATGAGCACTATGACTTTACTATGTCTGGTAGTTTGTTATTTTACCTACCATATTAATAATCTTTGCATTTGATGTGCTCCTTATGTCTTCGACAACAGCAGCAAACCAGATATATAACATACATATAAATAGGAGACAGATACACACCAAAGCCCCACACATATAAAATAGGGCTTTGGTCAGGCTCCATCTTGAACACTGCATACAGTTCTGGTCACCGAAGCCCATATAGAGCCAATACAACGATGATCCCAATGTTAGAGGGATAAACGATGAGGAATAACTCAAATAATCTAGGGCATTTCAGCTGTGAAAAGAGACATCTCAAGAGACACACACGCAAATTAAAGAAGAACACTAACAAAGTAAATAAAATGAACCAAACTGCAAATCAACAGCATTACATTTTTAGAGCGCCTTTCACATTGGCGCAAGGTGCAGGACAGACAGAGTTACGGACCCGAGACCCCACGTTTCTGGACTGGCTCAGTGAGGTGGAGTGTGCAACCGTGGATGGTGATGCTGTCAATGCCTGAGGTGAGGAGGCGCTGATGGAAGCCAATCAGGAGAGCCTCGGTCTTGTTGACGTTCAACTGAAGAAAGTTAAATCTCATCCAGGACTTGATGTCTGACAGACATTCTGTCAGGACAGCAGTAGTCCTGGAATCAAGGGTGGAGGCAGAGATAGAGTTGGGTGTCATCCGCATATATGTGGAAGTTGACTCCATGTCTACGGCTGATGTCCCCAAGAGGGAGCGTATAGGTATTGAAATCAAGCACTCATTATAAACATAAGAACAATACACATCTTGTGATGTAGCAGTAAACATTACATGTGAATCCTCACATCTATTTACAGTATCAATTACCTCCAAGAAATCACTGTTGCAAGTGTCATGGTTTTCGATATTTAGCAATCCAAATGTAAATGTTATCACCAGGTTGGTCGGCACAGAAATGGTCCAATAGCAGTCCCTGTTGGGGGGGTAGTTGCCTGGGTAACCCGGGGAGTTAATAATTCCACGTGTTTCATTAAAATGACCCCCACACTCTGAAAGAGTAACAGTGGAGATGTTACAGAAGCATAATGAGTTAGAATCATAGCGCAAAAGAGAAACATTCGGCCCATGAGTCTGCAAAGGCTCTCAGAGCAAGATGTCCATTTAATTTCACTGCTCCACCTTATCCCCACATCACCTTTATCTTTCATGTACCAGTCTATTTCCATCTTGAATGGAAAGCTTGCCAGGCAGTGCTTTCAATGGCAAGCTATGCAACTCCATCAGTTACCCCAATGCACACTCTGGGATCCTCAAGTGTTGGTTCTTGACAACTTGCGTCTAATTAGGTAAGGAGGTTGTGTCTCTACAGGGAGAGAGTGGGTATTTGATTCCAACAAATATCTCTGTATTTATCATGTATTGGCGGTATACATGGAATTCTCAATTTGGTTTGGATACACTAAAACATGGTGATGGGTGTCAGACATCCGGCTGATCAAAAATAAAATCCACGTAAAATGTAGCCCTGTTACAATGCCTATTGCCATATTGTGGCCAATTTACCAACAGGGTGTGGATTCCATACACTTCTTCTTTAGAATCCTGTATACCTCTATAAGCAGCCCTTTGAAACATGTCTTTTCAAGGTTGAAGAAACGATCCAATCTGTTCTTCACAGATCATCACAGTTGCTCTCCTCTGCATTATAACTAAGGCCTGGGCAGCTCTCTATGTCAAAAGGGGAAAACCTGTAGGCAGTGCTCCAGGTGTGGCCTGACTGGATCACTGTACACTGAGTAAGATACCGGTGGGGGTGGAGGGGTGGTGGGGGGAGGGTGGCAGGAGGGTGGTCTGAAATTCTCTTGTGTTGTCCCCATTTCTCATAAACCAATGATCCTGATCCAGAAATGATACAGACTCACCAGGATCTGTTGACTCCCAGACAACGGTGAACCCATCCTTCACCACCGAATGATCAGAGGAGAACCAGAGGTACAAGGAATTATGAGAGCTGATGATCTCCTCCGGGATGGTGTTGCCACAATAGCTGCCAATTCTGTTGCTTGAAAGCGAATCTCCGTCACGAACTTCCAGAAAATCAGAAACGCAACCTGTACTTTCCTCCAGCTGGAATAGTGGGAAAGTAATCCGGAGAACCTGCAGGGGAGAAAAAGGGGATCAACTGCATACCGTGTGGCATTATTACTGTTGCAGTAAGTACTTGGAGGTGCTCGAAAGGGCCAGAGAGAACACAGATTTTTCACTTCTTTGCCAGATAATGGTTTAAAAATATTTTGGAAGGATTGAAGTTTGTAGGCATTTGCCTACAAAATACACAGTCACTACACATTACAGTAAATCCTGTGCAGCGGTTTGAGATGTACCTCGCAATGTGAAACGCACTATATAAATGTAAACTGTATTAGATTAAATTCTCTCACAAATATACAGTCAATTCACTTCAGAGCATATTCTGTGAAGCGCTTTGAGATGTCTAGAAGATGTGAAAAGAGTTATGTCAAATGCAAGGATTATTATTATTATAGATTAACTTCAAGGCTTTTTATTATAAATTAAGATAACTATTCTATATAACAACAGCAAAGTTACATTTGTGTAGCACCTTTCACGTCGGGAGGACACCTGAAGGCGCTGGACAGTCAGTGTTTTGGACCAAGCTGGGGGTTTGGATTGGTGAGGGTAAGGGGAAGCAGGGTGTTCGAAAGCATGGTTGAAGAGGAGGGTTTTGAGATGGGTCTTGAAGGAGGCAAGGAAGGTGGCGAGGCGGAGGAACTGCGGGATGGAGTTCCAGAGGGTCAGGGCAGAGTGATAGAAGGCCTGCCCGCCAATGGTGGGGCTGGCGAGTGGGGGGGAAGTGAGAGAGTAGGCAGGAAGGTAGGGTGTTAGGAGGTCCCAGATGTAAGGGGAGCAAGGCCATGGAGGGCTTTGAAAGTGAGGACCAGGATCTTGAACTGTATCCTCTGAGGGATGGGAAGCCAGTGAAGTCAAGCGAGGATGGGGCTGATAGTGTCACGGAGCCTGGTGCAGGAGAGGATACGGGCTGCAGAGTTCTGGATGATCTGCAGCCTATGGAGGAAGGAGTTGGGGAGGCTGACAAGCAAGGAGGTTGCAGTCAAGCCTCGAAGTTTTGAATTATGAAAATATACATTTATAACGATATAAATATTATGAGGGTCGAACAGGATGCCAAGGTTCTGGATTGGCTTAGTAAGGTGGAGTGTTCATAAATGCTAGATTAGCATTTATAGCAGTAGGAATTTACAGAATAGCATTTAAATGCTAGAATAGCATTTGTATAGAATAGTTGTTATTGTAACCAACTTGGTACCTCATTGGGAGAAAATATAGGAGGATTATAGTTATTTGGTTTGAACTTGGACCAGATTTGAAGCTGCCCTCCTGACCCCACTCCAGCCTTTTCAATATTGGAATGGCGCTGGCTGGATTTTAGCATATTGATTACAGGTGGGTTTTTGAATCCTAGCTATTGAATAGCTTTTTAATTCTAATTCTTTATTGCAAAATAATTATTAAGTCACTTCCTGGTAGGAAGTGCCAAATTTGTGCTCTCTGTGGGCCAATCAAACTTTAATAAAAAATTCTCCTTTGAGTGCTGGCCAACAATAACCAAAAAAAATGGTTATTTACCTTGCGACTATTTGGCGGACCGAGCTTGTGCAAATGAGAGCTAAAGTTGCTTATTTGACAATAGCAACAACAATTTACGGTCATGAAGAATCTTTCATGTCTGACGAGAAAATATCTCAAAGCACTTCACACGGCTGAGTGGAAGCCCGAGGCTGTGGAGCTGGAAGCATGGTTGAAAAAAAAAGGGTATGAAAGCAGCCTCTAAAGGTGGAGAGGAAAGGGAACAAGGCAGAGGGACTCTGGGATGGAGTGCCATAGAGTGGGAGTAGAATAACTGAAAGCTCACAAAGCAAGGCTGATGGGCGGGGGTCATGAAGCAGGGTAGGGAACATGTCGCAGCCCAGTGTTCGCCAAGTGGTGGGAGTGATCAGGGCAGTAGGGTTGCAGGAGGCCATATAGGGAGAGTGGGGTGAAATTGTGGAGGGATTTGAGCATGAGGAATAATTACTTGTGAGCACTACGAGTCCTTTTATAACACAGTAACCCAATCAAATGACATACTTTGTCAAGATCTGTTGTGATGACCCAGACACAGTTGACCTCAATACCATATTGCTCTTTTCCATCGGGATAGCTGAAAGTACCGTTTAATCCTGACAGCCTTTTACCACAGACTGTTGGAACACAAAGACAATCCGTATGTTACTTCATATGGTTTGCATTACATAGGAGAGAACATGAAAAAACATAGGACATGAAAATATGCTCAGAAAGAAATAGTAATAACAGTGTAGCCATACAGCTCCATTGTGGTTCATTCAACAAATTGATTGAATTTGTTTGGAAGGATTTGGAGCAACAATAAATAACAGAATCTATGTCTGTTCACCTATAAAATATCCATTCACTCCACTTTGCAGTGTATCCTGTGAATCGCTTTAAGATGTCCTCCTAAAGTGAATGGCGCTATATCATACGCAAGATCTCATGACACTATTCGAAAAGAGAAGGGAGTTTCTCCTGGTGTCCTGATCAAAAGCCCCTAAGTAAAATTGATCACTCAGTCCATGGCTGTTACCCCAGAGAATTGATTTCAAGATCCTCATCCACACCTATAAGGCCATTCACGGCCTCGCTCCCTCCTACCTCTCTGACCTACTATCCCCCTACCTACCTGCCCGTACCCTCCGTTCCTCCGGCTCCGGTCTGCTCCACGTCCCCCGCCCCAATCGCCCTACCATCGGTGGTCGGGCCTTCAGTCTCTCAGCCCCCAGGCTCTGGAACTCCATCCCCCAGTGCCTTCGCCTTGCTTCCTCCCTCTCCTCCTTCAAGGCGGGTCTCAAAACCTTTCTCTTTGACCGAGCCTTCAGCTCCCCTCTCGACTCTCTTCCCCCTCCTCGCTCCCTCCCTTCCCTCCCCTCACCCTGACCATTTCCCCCTCCTCGCTCCCTCCCTTCCCTCCCCTCACCCTGACCATTTCCCCCCTGCTCGGGTCCTGACCCAACTGTGCAGCGCCTTGGGACGTCCTCCTGACGTGAAAGGCGCTTTATAAATGGAATCTTGTTGTTGTTGTTGTTTGTGGGACTTTGCTGTGTGCAACTGGTTAATGCTTTCGCTCACAAAATACACAGCTAATTCAATTTACAGTATATCCTTTGAAGCGCTTTGTCTCAAAGATGTGATAAGGTGCTGTATCAAAGGCAAGATTATTAATATTTATCATCATCCATGTTTGAAAGGAGAAATTTTGGACAGCTGATATGATTTAAATGGAAGCCAGATGCAATTTTTGGAGTTGTAATAACTATCACACCACATTAGTCTCTTCCACAGGACAAAAAAAGTTTATAGAAAAGAGCTGAGAAGTTATGTTTACTTTAAAAATAAACAAAGTCATCTATGCTGAGTTCAAGAGATGGTCAGATTGAACTTTAAATCCCAGTTTATTTTTTTATAATACCATCAATGTGCTGTTTGCTAAACTGTAATATATGAAATAATTATAATGTGGTGGTGGTGGAGGGGCAGGGAAGATGATCTATGATTCTCTGAACAGAGCATTGTGCAATTTGAAAAAAAAGTCTCAACAGAATTTGCAGAATTCTAGAAATGAAAATTGCAGTATTCCTAAACACATTCCGTTGCCTATTGAAGTTTGGAAATACCACCCTCCCCAACTTCTGGTAACGTCCAAACTTGGCTGCAAAGGTCTCAGTGACCACTCTCTTGGATTCATGTTTAACTGAGAATGTTTGACTGTGTCTAAGAAACAACTTGAGGCCTGTAATGAGAGGACGCTAGAGCAGGTATTTTGAAATGATGACAATCATCAATTTGAGGGTTTAGCTGGTTAACTCCAGCAGTACCCCAACGCACACTCTGGGGTCCCCAAGCCTTGGCTCTTGCCGACCTGCGCCTAATGCTTTATGGAATTAGGTAAGCAGGATGCGTCCCTTTAGGGAGAGAGTGCGTATTCCAATAATCTATCTCTGGAATATCCATGTTTGGGTGGGACGTATGGAATTCTCAGCTTGGTTTGGATACTCTTAAGTACGGTGATGGGTTTGCACATGTGTCAGCAATCCAGCTGACCAAAAAAAAATTGCATTTATATAATTGGATTGAAGGGGCTTCTTCACCTGAACCTTTCTTATGAACTCAATTAAATTAGGGCAAGGCCCCCTTAAAAAGCCCAGAGACAACATTGTCAGAACTTGCAAGTGGCAATGAAACCCTTGTGCTGGTTGGACTTGAACTGAATTAACCCAGTATTCCTTGAAGAAGATAATCTGTCAGCTCATTTCAGAGTTGCCATTATTCAGATGTCAGATGGAGAGATGGTATTTCAAAACACATTTAAACAGTGCTCCTTACATACAGGACAGAATGAATTTAGCATGAAGTCAAATACTGCAATTTGACTTCATACGGTTAATCAGAGCTAATTTACAAAATAACTTTATTTAATCTTCACGTACTAACACACACACTTGCCTTCACACAACAAGAAAAAATGCATTTATATAGAACATTTCATGTTGGAATGATGTCCCAAGGCACGAGACAGTCAAGGGTTTTGCACACACGCAGTCTTATTCTTTTACCTTCTTGTTCTATCTGGCACTGCGGGCCTGTCCATTCAGCTGGGCAACGACAGAAGTATCCATTGACATGATCACTGCAGGTTCCACCATTCTGGCAGGGGTTACTGGCACATTCATTAGTGTTCTGATCACAGTTGATCCCAGTCCATCCTGGATGGCAGATACACTCATAACCTAAAGACCCTCCCTGTAGATAGCAGGGTTTTATTACAGAGGTCAACGTGAATAAAACACCAGAGAAAACTATAGCTGCAAAGAATTCTACAGAAGAAAAACTATTCAACAGCCAGATTTTGTAACATCTATGATGTATATACAGTCAAATCTGTTTAAGCAGCCATCTCCATTCAAGATACACCCCTGTTAACTATCCTCCTACCTCTCTGCCTTCCCTCATCCTGCCCCCTCACGCTTGGGTCCTGATCCCGACTGTTCGGCGCCTTCGGACGTCCTCCCGACGTGAAAGGGGCTTTACAAGTGTCATTTTGTTGTTGTTGTTAACAACCATCTTGGAACAAGTCCTTCAGTGTACATTCACATAGCAACGTATCCTTACTCAGAGGCCACCCTCATATAAAAGCGACTTTGGCCAAGTCCCTTGGGAGGTTGTTGAAGACAAATTATATGAATAAATGACAAACTGTTCTATTTAAAAATCGCACTCTTGTTAATGTACACTCAATACAGTAAACCTCACATAAGCCGTTTCAGTTGGGACCGTACTTTTAATATGACTTTTTATACATGCAAAATATGAGTTACGTTAATTGATCATATACGACGAATGTAAAGTGATATAAGTGAGATTTCACATGACTAACATATACCGAACTAGCTGGTGACATTAAGAAAGGTTTCTGTACCATGTTTAACACATGCATATTAAAGCTATGATAGCCCATTCTTCCCACACACAGTACTGCACAGTAATGTACCTCATGTGCAGAAAAATTTACTGCACAATGAATGGCACAACCGAACAGGTTTCAAAACAGAACAGTTTTATTACAATATAAACTCTTGCAAAGAATTACAATATTAACACTGGAGCTGAATAATCTATCACTTTTTAAGAAAATGTTGTGTTAAAAATGTTAAGTCAGACATAAACCCTCAATTCATCGGCCTGATCTCCCCCATTTAAAGTTTGTGGCATCAAAGCAAATTTGGAGGCAATGTCCTTTTTCATTTCAAGTTTTGTCTCACAAAATTGGAAAATCTGGTATTTCTCTTGATAGATGTGTGGTGTTCCATTTGAGGTAGGCACTGGAAACAAAGTTTTGTTACGAGTTACCCAATTGTTAATACGGCTTGTGCAGATAAATTTAAATGGATTTAAATGGAAATTTAACGGGACTTGGGCAGATGTACGACTATACAGATGTGCCATTAGACAGATCAGGCTTATGCCAGTTTTATTGTACGTTGAATTATCTGTGTGTTGAATTAAGGCAGAATTCTGTTTGACTGTGATTACCCTTCCCCACAATAAATAGCCTTCTGACACTCACTCTGAAACTCCCCACACAAAGAATTACACAGAATGCTACGGTATTTATCAGGCTGTTTGGCTCACCCAGTGTGCACTGGCGTTTATACTCCACATGAGCCTCTACCCCTCCTAATCCCCTCTTTCAATACCCCTATATTCCCATCTTTTTCCTCATGAATAATTGGTGTTTAGACAATTTACCAGAGGCCGGTCGGCACCCGTAGAACTGTACCCACAGGAGAAAGGAATGAGATACCACCAGGAAAGGAATGAGGTGGCGGCGAAAAAAAAAGAAAATTTGGCAAAGGAGAAAATAAAAATGAATATCCTGACTTCTCTTGGGTTTTGTTCAGAACAATATGTTCAGATGCACGAAGGCAGGAGAACAAGAGGACATGGGTTTAGAGTTGCAAAGCTCAATTTCAGGACAGACACCAGTAAGTTTTTGTTTATTTAGAGAGTAATGTAATTAATGACTGGAAGAAGTTGCTGGGAAAGGTGGTTGAGGTCAATAACATGGACTCATTTAAAGAAACACTTTGATGTTTATGATGGGAGGACGATAGGGTAGGTATTCTGGATGGATGAGATCAGATAGGCCAAAGGGCCTTCTTTATCTAAGTAAATCTTACGATTTAGCACATGTGAACGAGCCAACAAAGTACTCGCTTCAACATTGCCAAGGAAAACAGAGACAAGAAAAGCTTTTTTGCTTCACACAATTATGAATTACATCTATACTACACTTACTGTACATTCCCCATTCACACAAGGGTTCAGCTTTTCACAGATGTCTTCTGCAGGAATGCAACCATTTGGCCCATAGCCATTTCCAATCAATTCAGGAGGACATTGACAAGTCGGAAAGTTATTACCTGGGAGAGAGAGAAAAATAAGAAAATTTTACTAATAAATCTAGTTTACTCCACACATATGCAGATTAATACTATTAGTGTTACTTTGAGAAATATATATAAAATATAAATCAAATAGTAAAATAACTCTGCATGTTGATATTCGTATTTGTGCAAACTGCAAGTTGATCTATTGATCTGGAATACTTATTTTCAAAGCGCTCCAATATGCTACCTTCATGAAGGGCACTATATAAATGCAAGTTGTTGTTGTTATCATGGTTATATTACAGCTGTGATAAACAAACAAGTACACTTCAATGGAGACAGTGAGTTCTCTTAACCTTCTCTGCTCCAAGGAGCTTCTCTAGCCTCTCATAACTGACGTCTTTCATTCCTGGTACCATCCTGGTAAATCTCATTTCCACCCTCTCCAATTACTTGTCATCCTTCCTGAAGTGTGGTGCCCAGAACTGAACACAGTATTCTAGCTAAAGCCTAACCAGGGTTTTATAACAGTTCACCATAAGCTTTAGAAAGAAACAAATTGTAATCTTCAGTTGATGAAAGATCATTTCTGAGGTCGGGCTCAAAGGATATTTTATTAACTCCTTGAATTAACTGTAAGAGGTTAATTCTAAAGAGTTGAATAATAAAAGTTCATTTATTTCCATGCACTTTGTAATGGTTGGATACCATGTGAAACATCTAAATTAATCTTTATTACCAATGGCAAGGAAATAGCTTCTTTCCAGTACCAGAATTTGAACTATGTGCCAAGGAATCCATGATTCCAAATTAAAGTTTAACTAAGGACAGAAAGGCCCTTGTATTTGTGACATTCTGCGTTTATCATATAACTGCTTCAATTCTAACATCATTTGTGTAGTTCTAGTGCACAAATGATTAGAGTATTTTAACTTTCAAAGTCTTGTAATTTTAAAAAATAAATTTCTTCTACCCAACACTATTATTTTCATTTTCTATTAAGTCCTGCTGTTTCCCTATGCAATGACCTGAGGAGATTTGCTCTCAACTGGTTCCTGGGAAATAAACAAAAAATAATAATGCTTACATTTGAAATAGCGACTTTTTCGTCAGGACAAAATCTCAAAAGGCCTACTAACCCTCTACAACCTATCCATTCCCTCAGCTCAGTAGGCTCTGGACTACTTCACATCTCCGGCCATGCCCACCCCACTATCAATGGACGGGGCTTCAGCCTCTCTGCCCCCACCCTCTGGAACTCCATCCCACAGTTTCTCCGCCTTGCCCCCTCCCCTTGCCTTCTTCAAGACCCATCTGAAGACCCACCTCTTCGACCATGCTTTTGGCCATCCTCCTACCCTTACCTTCCCTGCCCTCCTGATCCCAACCACCAGCTCGGGTGCGGACCCCTGACTGTCCAGTGCCTTGGGACGTCCTCCTGACGTGAAAGGTGCTAAACAAATGTCATTTGTTGTTGTTGGATAAATTCAGTTTAGCACAGATTCAACCAGCCAACCCACCCATCCATTCTTCCTCTTTCCCTTTCCTGTGGAGAGGCACTGACTTGGTACAGAACAAGTAAAAATTATAAACACACATCTTGCCCCATCAATGCATCACATGCTAAGTGTTTGACGCACTGGAGCATGGATGTGTCACACCGCTTTTATAAACATCCTCCTTTGAGGTCAGTGATTGGCTTCTTGGATGGATTATTATTTCTTGAGTTTCCAGTTTTTTCCTGTTTACTTTGAAAGGGAATGTGATTAAAATTTCCTGCTGACAATGTTTTAACACAGCAATCAACAGGTTTGAGTGGCTATTTTGGCACTATTCAGCACTCCAACAGATTGCAATGTACATCTAGAACACAGATATCGTTGTTATTACTATTGTCAATTGGACTTGAAGACAACCGGATCATTCTCAATCTTTGTTACTTTTTAATGTTTTAAAAAGCATTTGTCCGCAAATATCCATCTTACTACATTAGACAAGGTTTTGATTTAACTATTCTAGTTCAGATTAGTGCTTTCAATATGTGAACTTCAAGATTCAATTGAGGATATGTGCAATATTGGGCAGCATTATGCATCTATAATGAAAAATAGCAAGCAGACTAATGTGTGGAAATTTCTCATCAGACCAACCGAACAAATAGTCCCAGCAAAGGAAGCTAAAAAACATTCTGTGCACGCTTTCACAAACAAATATCTTGTGGTTAGTAAAATTGTTAGGGGTCCTGAAAGAATGTGAAGTGCACTGTGATAAAATGTACCGTATGAACAATGAACTATTTTAACATACTTCAGAAACACTGTTTATAAGCAGGGAATAGTTGCTAATGTGACACTTTGTTTTTCGTGTCCAGATTTCAGCACAGTTTGCAAAGTAATCAAAACAATTAAAAGCGTTTGCAAGAATTTATAAACTAAAGAGGAAGATTGGAAGCATCTGTGATATCAGCTGAGAAATAGATAGTCCTTTGCTGGGGTTTGTATCTTCAATAGAGGATTCCATTCTCGTGAAATCAGTGTTTGGAACGGAGAAGGTTTCCTTTGATCCTGTCTCTTGGCTGAGCCAGAAGTTCATTCTTTCACTGCGCACCATCCGTATTCTATGTTTCAAGTGCATACCACTAACCAAATACTGCACTTGAATAATGTTCTTAGTCGTTGGTACAGGCAAGCAGCTCTGCCGCAGCTCGTATCTCTTTTTCACTGGATGTCAGGCTGCCCATAAAATATGAAGATCACCGTTTTGTGGCTGGAGCCATCACAATGGGCACATTCCAGCCACGGTCATGGTTTGGTGACTTTGATTGACATATGAAGCAGGTTCAATGCACTGTCGTACGTATGCATCTTTACTCTCATTAATTGGATAAGAAGGACTTTAATCTCACTAGAGCCTGGCTACCATTTACACACAGTATATTTCAAATTCTCTATATGTAATCCCAATATGCTTTCTGTGTGAAGAAAAATGGATTTTTAGCTGCAGACACAACTCTGGAAAGGATAAAGGAGTTACGTCAAAGCTCCTGAATAAAGAGAGAGGTCATATTCAGTGCTCGAGAATAATCCTACCCAAGGGGAAATCCAAGATGGCCCTACCACACTTTCAGTTAACTTTCCCCTCCCCAGCTCTTCGTCTCCCACTGCCAGCTCAGGCGCCAAAGTGAAAGGCGCAATATAATGTAAATTGTGTTGAACAATTATTCAGATATTAGAGAAGGGATGTTTTAAATGACATTCCTTTAGAAATGGTGTTTAGGAAACTCCAATTTTTACTCCAATAGTATTTAATAAATGTACTGGCGGCAAACGGAAATAATATTCCTGCCAGCTACGATTATTTTATTTGGAAAAATTTCAAATTTATACATCACTGATCCTTTTCAATTAGATTTTTCTCTCTCCAATTGAACTCTTGGACATACTGTATACACTGCAATGTAACCAATGGTTTCTGATAATTCGGCATGAGAATTTTAGTCTCTTGAGAAGTTCGAAAGATTCCAAGCTAATCATTGATACTTCATAAAAGCTGCATAGACAAAATGTAATCAGGTGAATTACTGGGTTTATTATGCTTAGGGCTGTACTTTCATTTTGAAATAACTTTCCCTGATGCAATATGGCCTTGATAAGCACAGTTTTAAGAAACTTTTGAGAATACTGCAGCATAAATTGACTTTTTTTNCCCCATTTGGTTCAACTGAAATATCTGTTCTTGAAGAGCATCACCATTTATAGATATGTAAGAGTGACCATTCAACAATAAATACACTGACTGGTTGATATGCTGGCTGAGTTCCAGAAAGTAATGCTTCAATCAACATCACGGTATATTAACTGAACAACATGGGTTAACATAAATTATCACATTGCATCAAAAACATTTGTTGTTTGAATGATTTTATCACAAGCCACAAATACTGAATTGCAAGGTATTATTGCAATAAATGTAACAGGTTTAAAACTCAGCAGCAATGCACTTAGATAATTATTTACCTTAAACGATACCAATAGTTTGAGGTTCTCTTTAAAATAATCATAGTTATGTGGCTTTATTGCATATTCCAGTTATTACTGATGCAGCCTTTTGATGATGACAGTATACTTCAGTACTGTACCTGCATTAGGTGTACACGATGCATTGGGAGCACATCCTCCATTATTCACGGAACATATATCAAATGTAGTGCACACTTTTCCGTCTCCTTCGTAACCTGAGATTGCAATACAAAATGTTATCCTCTTTTGTATTCATATCATCATTTTGTATAAAGAGCTGCGTGGGAGAGATTACACCTGAATTCAAAGCAGTTCAGATAACCTTTATCCATCTTCAAATCCCCCCTTAAAATCTACCTCTTGGAGCATGCCACCACCCCCCCAACCCCCCTTTCTTTCCCTGCATACGCTTTGTTGCTGCATAGCACTTAGAGATATTATTCTACATTAAGTGCGCTATATAGATACAGGTGGTTGTTGTTCTTATTGGTGGTGATCATTTACCTATCACAACTGGTAATGATCAGCAATGTTAACATTTATTGGGAAAACAATCGATCTGGGTCTGGATTCACCTCAGTGCATCCAGAATTTGCCAAGTTCATAAATACAGCCAGAAGTGACACCAGTTTTTTTTTTAAAATTCTTTGAAAGTAGATCATTTTCACTGATGATAGTTTTATAAACAGTGATAATCTTCACATTGACCAACAATGCTGTGAAGGGCTGGAGGTAGCTACCATGAGCTTCAAGGAGTGAACTGCACTCCCCCCACCGCAAGAAATCAGAACAATGTGTTGGGCCTGAAATCGCTTAAAATATAATGGCACCAACTCCCCATTTGGAAAGAATCTCTTTTATCCACCTGCCCCCACCTCATCACTGTTCTACGTATACCAATGTTTATGTCAGTACTGCTACATTGATTTGAGCTGAAGTTCTCATAGTTTAACAGAGTTCATACCTGGTGGACATGAACCACAGTGGAAGATCCCATTGTATTAAGACACAGAACCATTGGATCCTGGGAGCATCCTCCATTACTGGTCTCACACTCATTGACATCTTGGCAACTGTGTCCATTTCCTCGCCAGCCTGTGGAGATTTTAGTAAATAAAATAAATTCATCCAAATGTACATAAAAGAAAAGTCCATACCTTTTAGGTATTTATCTAGTTCCCTTTTGAAACACAATTATTAGCTGCTCAAAAGGGAACTAGATAAATACCTAAAAATAAGTCAATTACAAGGATATGGGGAAAAAGCAGATAAATGAGACGTAAAGGATTACACTTGGAAAAAGCCAGTTCAAACACAAAGGGTCAATGGGCTGATTATCCTTCTGTAAATTTCTATGGTTCTATAACTTGGAACACACACACACACTACAATGCTATGAGACTACCTCAGTTATTTTTGAACCCGCAGTTCAGTTTGTTCCAGTCTAAAGAGCAATAACAATAGGCGTTGCATATAAATGAAACCGGAAGAGATGGAAGTTAAGTTCCAATATCGCTATTTATAAAATAAATTTGACTGCAGGTTTGGTGGCTAAATGGCCTACTCTTCCTCGTCCCATGTTCCTATAGATTCTCATTTAAACTGCAAGACAGTGTTCTCAATCACAAGCTACACGTTTTCAGCTAGTTTAAACTCCAGCAGTACCTCAACATGCACTCTGGGGACTCCTAGCTTTGGCTCCTGCCAACTTGTGCCTAATACTTTCCAGAATTAGGTAAGCAGGATGCTTCCCTCAGGGTACGCATTCCAGACACAGGGATATTTCCATGCGTAGGTGGCAGATATAAAGGAAACGTGCAGCCTGGTTTGGAAACTCTTAAGCAATGGTAATAGGTTTCTGTATATGTCAGCTCCCCAGGTAACCAGTAAAAAAAAATCACTAAAGCTGCCAAATTTCCACAGTGTTAATAAAAAGGAATACTGGTGATCAATTTACAGTTTTTAAATTGTGAAATCGAGTGTTAGTACACATTATCGTACCATACTATTCATGTAATAAGAATAATGGCTGTAACATAATTATTGTAAGTTTATTGAGAAATACCGTAATATAAAATAAGGCAATTTATAAACAGGATTCCATAATAAGGAAAGTGAGAACAGGTTGTCATAAAGGGTGGTTAAGGCTAGGGGTCTGGACTCGCTTAAAAACAGCTCAACGATTTAATGGGAGAACTGTAAGTGGGGGTCGGGTATTCTCGAAGGGCGAGATCAAATGGGCCAAAAGGCCTTCTTTGCCCGAGTGGAGACTCCTTCCCATACTTATAAGTGCATCACAATGATTGATGCAAATTCAATTCCATCTACGTTCTGATCAGAGTTCCCACGAGCGTCCTTTTAAGAAATCCTGTTAGAAATGACTATATATTTGATCAGTGATGTTGATCACCAATAAATTCCCTGGGTACTCATGATTTTTCTCTTTTTAATATGATTTTTCTTTCTGTTTCACTGAAAGGAATAAAAGTCCAATTTCTACATTGGAGACCTGTGCGGTAATAGAAATGCTGCTAAATGGGATTGTACTGTGCTCCTTAACAGGATTCTTTAACAAGGAATTTGAATCGTGCAAATGGAAACTCCTAGAAATCATAAGAACATAAGAATTTGCTGGTGAAAGAAGACCAAGGTCCACCTAGTTCGCCTTCCACCATCCTGGCAATTGATTGACATGCCATGTCCCAAACTATACACTGTATCCTGAAATATTATTTTCTAGCAGAAATCTATTAATTTGTTCTTGAAACAAATGACATTTTCTGCTTCCACTGTCTACCGAAGGAGCCTGGAGCCTGTTCCATAAATTTACTACTCTTACGTACTGTTACTGGAATCCAGAAGTACCTCATGTCGACTCCTGGGAAGTCTACTTGAATCAAAAAGACCTTTCAGATTGTAACAATCCCTCATAGTGAATGAAGGGAGCAAACAACCGTTACCTGCTGGGCAATCCCCACAGCTGTAGGAGCCTTCAGTATTCGTGCAATTGACAGGTGGGGTCTTTGAACATGGACCATCAAGAAGGCTGCACTCATCAATGTCAACGCTGCAGGCTTGATGTCCTGAAGCCTGCTCCCAGCCAGCATCACAAATACATCTATACATAGGCTAAAAGTGGATTTCAAATGAAAGCAAGGGTCACTGAGGAATGCTTACCACATGTCTAGAGCATGTCTGCACTGCTTATGTGAATTGTGCTCTGCGCTGAATTCATACACATATATATGTTTATACACACACACGCATGCATTCACACAAATGTATACGTGTACATTTCAGCAGGATTACTAACGACAAGTCAGGATTACTAACAACAAATCAGGATTGGGAACCTTGCCTTATTTAATGCCCTCCCTAGCCTGGAGATGTTGAGGTTAATTATAATGCACCATTGAAAGGATGGCTAAAATTAGCTGATTCAGTTCAGACATTGGAACTTCCTTGGCCTATGTCATATGATACTTTTATTCATTGAGCCTTCAAAGTCCTAGGGCCCTCTGGTATGAGTTAGCTTGTAGTTTCAGTCCAGGGTTTAGAAACATATGTTACAACGTTAGATTGATATCCTGAGGCACGACCAAATGGCCCATTGGCTGTGTTTAGAGATCAGGAAGAAGTTCACAAATATTCTTCTCAGAGATTTGATTTGTGGTTGTTCCCCTCCTTCAGGAGATAAGCAACGTGAAAAACAACGCTTGCTTGGCAAATTATAAAATTTAAACTGCCTTTTATCACCTCACGTTCCAATATTTTCCTTCAAGATATCAATGAAATTTGATTGAAACATTTCTCTTTCTCACAAATATTTTCATGCAGCTGAATTTCCACTACAATTCATAACTGTTACATTTGAGCACAAATAGTTTTCTGAACTTAACTTTAACTCAAAACAGATGCATGATTTTTACCTGGTCTGGCTGTTCTCTGTTCAGATCAATACAGATACCATGCTCACACAGATCCTTTGAGGTACCTTGGCAGTCATCATGTTTGGAAGTGCACTGTAGACCATACCATTCTGGATTGCATTGACAGCTAAAGATGTGGAGCATCAATAGGTTTTATTTCACAATATCATGTCCTTAGTTTGCTTCAGATAGCTTATAACACCTACATAGTTGGCTATTCAACTACACTACAGCATATTTACACTGCAAATTGCCCACCATAATAACCTCAGAATGGGCAGCTGCATTCATTGTAAACGTGGAAATAATCTCCAGGGGAGGTTTGATACTAAATAAGGCCATATGTCAGGCAGCAATAGACTATTCAGTCAACCTTGCTTTGTCCAGTTTCTGAAAAGAAATTTCTGACAAGGGCCTTGAAGGAGGCAAGGGAGGAAGTGAGATGGAGGATGGAGAGGGTGAGGGCCGAGAGGCTAAAGGCCCGACTACCGATGGTGGGGCGGGTGGGTATACATGGAGCTACGCTTGCAACCAAAGGATCCAATATGGCATGTAGATACCACTCACAAACCATTTAACATGCCATATACACGTCTAATAATAATCCCTCCAAAACAAAGCAATAATAAATTGGTCATTTTCAATCCACGACTGTTTGTGGGACACTGCTGTGTGCAATTGGCTGCTACGTTTCGCCCACAAATATATGGTCAATTCACTTTACAGTCTATTCTGTGAAGCACTTTGAGACGTCTAGAAGACGTGAAAAGCGCTATATCAAATGCAAGGATTATTATTATTATTATTATTAAATATTCTTTCTGTCTTCTAAATTGTCAGTCTGGCTCAATTGGTCACACTCTCGATTCTGAATCCGCTGTTAAAGCCTCAAAAAGGGTGCTTTGAGTTCGCCTGTCACTCAAATGCACTGTTGCGGTTGCAATGCATTATCGGCGGATACTACAAGCTATCTCATCCCCCTGTTCACGTGGACAAGGAAGATACCATGGCACTTCGCGAAAAAAGAATTTCCCCTCGTGTTTTGGTCAACAATCCATAGATAAATTGGTCGTTCACTTTATGCCTATTTGCAGGACATGGTTATGTGCTAATTCCTATCACATTTGTCTACAAAATAAGCTACAAGCAATATATAAAAGGAATAATATGGCTTGTTCCCACTTTGTCTTCAAAAGCCTCCTAAAAGCTCCCCTTCTAGATTCTTGCTTTTAAGGCATTTAATTAGTAAACAGCTTTCAATCTCTCATTTCCCTGCTTATTTTTCAAGTACCTTAAGAAGCTCTGTGTGACAACCAATTTGCACACAGCAAGGTCCCCAAAAACAGCCATGAAGTGAATGACCAATTTTATTTGGCGGATTGGTGGCAAGGACACTGGGAGAAATTCCTTTCTCTTTTTGAATAGTGCCATGAGACCTTTAACATCCAAGTGAGCATGCAGACGGGACCTCAGTTTAAAGTCTCATCCGAAGGATGGCACCTCTGACAATGCAGCACACCCCCAGTATTGCACTGGAGTGTCAATGTGGGGCTCGAACCCACAACCTTCTGACTCAGAGGAGACAGTGGTACCAAATGAGCCAAGCTGACGTAAGCCTGAGGTATTTCAAATATGGCTAAATTGGACACATTACCTATAGTTTCCTTTTGTGTTGTAGCAAGTTGCTCCATTCTGGCATCCTAGAGGTGTTCCTACGTAGATCTGACATTCATCCACATCATCAGTACATGTTGATCCCTGAGTAAAATAATTGAAAATGACAAATAGAGAGTTATGCTCCGTGTTTGTCTTTGCTTTGGCGAAATCGTTTCGCCCACAAATACACTGTCAAGTCACTTTATAGTATATTCTGTGAAGCTCTTTGAGATGTCTAGAAGACATGAAAAGTGCTATATCAAATGCAAAGATTATTATTTATAATCAGGCATTCTAAAACTGAGCTTTTAATGAGCTATTATTCACCCACAGAAACTATTATTCTGCTCAATAGGCAGGGACTCTAGAGGGTCAGCACAACTGATGGATGACTCGAGCTTTAAGAAATGACACTAAAGCTATTATAAGGAAGACAACATATCTACTGACTCATAGGAAAAACTGTGCAACTTTACATGCAATTCATCACAAAACATACAGTAAAATCCAAGTTGAGCCAGCACAATTTATATTGGATTTCTGCTACTGACACTTCCTTGAGGAAGTGGATTCAGTGACACTTATATCTTCATCTATACAATAGAAACAAAATGGTACAAATTGCTTTGGCCTGCTCCTCAACAGACATTTAATGTCCCTCGAGTCCAGCAATGGAATGTCAGAGAACTTCCAAGATATGTTTTTTAATTTTATTAAACAGAGTATTGCATAAAACTAAAAATCTAACATCTAGTTTCAGCTAATTTGATATGCAGATTTCTTATTTTAGTCCATAGGCACTATATCAAATGCAAGAATTATTATAGCTATCGCAAAGAGCGGTGAGAAATACAAATCCAATTCCCTGCTCCATATCAGTCTACTGCTAGAAGGAATGTCACTGTACAACCAGTAATTATGAATGATAATTCTTACATTTGATACACACCCTCAGTGATATAAGTAATTACAGTGCAAACTAGTTAATATATTCCTTGCACTGTACATCCATGAATGTTATGTCATGGATTTTAGTTCAAGATGATAATCCAACATTTTCAATCAAAGAATAAATGATAAAAATGATGACTTCTGATGGCATACCTTCCAGTTGTTTGGGCAGAGACAGTAGAAGGAATTCAGAAGATCCATACATATCCCACCATTGTGACAAGGATTGCTGCTGCATGTTCTTGTTTGTAATATCTCAAATAAGTAAAAAAAAGCAAGACAGCATTGGTTAGCTGACCAGTAACACAGTGGGACTGTACTCCAAACAGTCAAAAACAAAGCTCGTTTTTTCTGAGTCACCTACTGTTGTCTAAGGGGCAATATTACTCAAGTTCTGAGGTCAGGAAGGGTTGTTGAAAAATTATAAATACTCTGCCCCAGAAAGCTGTAAAAGAGGGAATCAAAAGGGATGTTAAAAAGAAATAGATAGACAGATACTTCGATAATAGAGACATAAAGGGGTATGTCAAAAGTATCTAATAAACTAGTGGAACAGGCTTGCTGGGCCGAATGGTCCTTTGAGCCTATTGACTTAAATTCCTACCTGGCGTTTTAAATTATTCTTGTTCTATCCTTCCATTTTCTTCCCTATTTTTGCATTCACATTATCTTGCAGTAAGAGTCTTGTGACTCGTCACATCCAGAAATCATTGTACACTATTTTTACTTGCAAATTTCAGATATGACCAGATTGATAGACAACCAATCTGAAAAAGTGCCGTTTCACTTTCTTTGTGCGAAAAGGTTTGCACCAATTATTTTTCTTAGAAAGAACTGGACATAACAGAATATAAAAGCATGTATTTACACAGGCTAAAATAAGGAATTGTATCACGTACCAAAGTGGTGAAAAATTGTCCTGAGCTCTTCCAGCTGTCTTAGATTTAAAAGCTTTCCACTTGAATACAATGCCGTTTTTCAATGCCTTATGATCAGTTCTAATACTGACCTGGTTTTGATTTCAAACCCTTTTGGGTTATCAATATTAATGCTTTTATTTGAACCTTTCCTGCTCTAGATCCACTTATCTTAATGGTTTCAGGTAAGGACTATTTAAGTCATTTTTTTTATTCACAAAATCAAAAAGACCTGCCAAGATCTAATAAACTGGTGGAACAAGCTCAATGGATTTGTGTCTACACAATACACAGTCAATGTACTTTACAGTATATCCTGTGAAGTACTTTGAGATGTCCTCCTGATGTGAAAGGAGGTATATTAAATATAAGGATTATTATTAATAATAAAAACCCAAGTATTTTTCAGGGTCCATTTTTTTCTATCGAAAAAGGGAGAAAATTTAACATGAGAAAATGGATAAATAAATGTTTTAAAAATCAGAATTTATTTAGCAATATCTGCTTACCTCGCAGATTGGGAAATTCGCCTAACTGCAATGCAAGTCATGGAAATACAACAACAACTTGCATTTATATAGTGCTTAGCACGTAGGATAGAGTCCCAGAGCCTTTGACGGTGGCAGAGCACGAAGCCAAGTTGGGGAGAGGGGAGAGGTGACCGATGGCAAATACCCTCAAAGCCAGTTTCTGGCTGCATGAGCACACTCGCACATAGCAAAACAATTGGATAATTCAGATTATTTCGGGTGAAAATTGTTTTTTTTTAACCAATTAACTTTCACTGAAACAACAGGTATTTATCTTTTTTTTAAAAAGTTTAAAAAAACATTTATGGTCTTTTGATCCAGGCTGGATTTTTCCAATATATCAAGTTGGAAAGTTAGACCACGATCATCAATATTATCACTTAGATGTGGGCACTTGTTGTTCTGTTAAGTTCCTGAACATGGTGAGTTAACGTCCTGCAGTTGCTGATCTCCTGGTTGCAGTTGGTCGATTAACAACATGTTGCAGTCCAAAAAATAAACAAAGCAACTTACTCCTGATTCCAGATCAGACCAGGGCTGGAGAGCTTACTAGATCTGGAAGGAAGGAAAGCTTCTTTTGTAAGAATGAAGCCTCAGTTCCATTGGTACCATGTTAAGCATTTAAGTTAACCAGTGGTGTCACCATTGCATATCCCAGTTCGGAAACCAGTGCTTCGCTCAGATTGGACTGAAGTAATGACTTGCTGTTGCTTTAAAAACATGTATAAAATTGAAGTACTTACTGTATCTATATTCTGGATCTTTCTTTCCAGAAGGGATAGCTGCAAGAACAGAAGGAGCAGTTAATATACAGTGTCAAATATTTAGGAATACGTATTTTTCTGCTGTGAGCAAGCAGCAACCAAAATACTAAAATTGCTTGGCACTTTAATCCGAAGCTATAAATAAAATTTGTACCAATTGAAAGAGAATATAACTCATTAATGAAAAATAAAATTTGCATTATTTCTTAATGGGATCCTTCAACTGACATCAGCCTGCTTCCATGTTCCCAGCCCGATTTGCCTCACCATTGGTGGGCAAGCTTTCACCCATTTTGCCTCAGCTCTCTGGAACTCCAGTTAACAAAGAAGAGAGTTTCTACCAGTGTCCTGGCCACAATAAAATTGATCATTCACTTCAAAACGTAGTGGCCTTGCCACTCCCTTTGCTCAGGGGACACCGGTCTGCTTCATGCCTCTGTTCTACCCAACTCACAATCGGCAGTTTTGCTGTCTCCAATCCCTGGAACTCCAGTGCCTCTGCCTCACCCCCTCCCTCCCTTCTTTCAAGGTCCACCTCAAGACCTTCCTCTTCAACCGAGTCTTTAGTCATCTTTCGCCTCCCCCACTTCCCCCTTAGCTCGGGTGTCAAGCCACGACTATCAAGTGCATTGGGACAATCTCCTGACATGAAAGGCACGGTATGGATTTAAATTTGTATTGTATGTCTACTTGTGCTATGCGTAAGTTACAAAGTATATTACAAAGAATTTACAGCACATAAACCGGCGACCTGGCCCAACTAGTCTGTGCTGGTGTTTATACTCCACACGAGTCATCACCCATTCCTAAATCCTTTCCATACCCTTCTATTCAGTGCCCTGGGAAGTCCTCCCTGGGTAAGGTGCTATATAAATGCAATTTTTGTTTTTGTTGTTATTCCCCTCTCCCTCAACAACAACAAAATTACATTTATAGAATGCCCTTCACGTCGGGAGAACATCCCAAGGCGCTGAAAAAGTTGTTCCTCGTCCAGGACTTGATGTCGATCAGGACACCAGTAGTGCTGGAGTTGAGGGTGTGGAGGCAGAGAGATAAGAGTTGGGTGTCATCCGCATACATGTGGAAATTTACCCCATGTCTGCGCGATGATGTCACCAAGGGGGAGCATGTAGAGGGTGAAGAGGAAGGGACCAAGGACAGATCCCTGAGGAACACCGCACGAGACTGTGCGGGGGATGGAGAAGAAGCCGTTTGCAGAGACTAAGTGGAGGCGATGTGAAAGGTAGGACCTGAACCAGTCAAGGACAGAACCTTGGAGGTTGAGGTGGGAGGAGAGGTGGTGGAGGAGGATTGAAGGTTCCACAGTGTCAAAAGCGGCGGAGAGGTCGAGGAGGACGAGGAGGCAGAGGGAGCCCTGGTCACACATGGTCAGGATGTCATTTGTGACCTTGACCAGAGCAGTTTCCATGCTGTGGGCAGCACGGGAATCCAATTGGAGGGGTACATGGAAGGAATGGGAGGAGAGGAAGGAGCAAAGCTGGGAGGCAATGGCTCTCTCAAGGACCTTGGACAGAAAAGGAAGGTTTGAGATGGGCCGGTAGCTGGATAGCTGCGATGGGTCAAGGGAAGGTTTCTTCAAGGTGGGGGTGATAGTGGCTGTTTTGAGGGGGGAAGGAACAGTACCAGATGACAGGGAGAGGTTGAGATGTCGGCGGGTAGTGGGGCAAGGAGGTGGAGCTGGGATTTAAGGAGAGGGGTGGGGATGGGGTCCAGGGAGCAGGTGGTGGGCTTCATGGAGGATATGTTGGTGATGATAGAGCAGGGGGTGACAGGTTCAAAGATGTGGAAGGAGGGATGGGTAGTGGTCGGAGTGTGAGGGGTTGGAAGGGCAGTGGCAGCTGAGAGGATTCCCTCGATTTTGGACTCGAGGAAGTCCAGCATTTCCTCGCAGTGGGAGTTGGAGGAAAGAATCTGTGAGATGTGGCGGGGAGGGCGGAGGAGCCGGTTGGTGGTGCAAAAGAGGAGCCTGGGGTTGCCCTTCGCCTCCAGGATTACACCTGGAGTAGAAGGACGATTTGGCCGAGGCGAGAGTGGAGCGGTAGGTTTTGATGTGGTCCAGCCAGATGTGCCAGTGGACCATTAGGCCAGATTTGAGCCAAGTGCATTCAGCAGCCCGCACCTGGCTCTTGAGCGAGCAGAGGTGGCTGTTGAACCAGGGTGAGGATTGGGACTACGAAACAATTCGGGAGGTGAGGGGGGCAAGGGCATCGAGTGTGGTGGAGAGGGTAAGCGCAGCGAGTGGGTTAGTGCAGGAGGTGGGCCAGAGCCAGTAGGAGTTTATAGGACTCCAGGGCAGTGGAGAAGGATTGCGGGGAGATCTTCTTCCATGGGCGGTAGGAGATGGTGGTAGGTTTGGAGGCAGTGAGGAGAGGGATACAGAAGTGGAGGGAGATGAAATGGTGGTCAGAAATGGCCTTGTCAGTGATGATGACATCTGAGACCCCGGGTGATCACCAGGTCAAGCGGGTGGCCGTGATGTAAAGATAAAGGTGTAATCATGTAAAGGTCTCATGTAGAACTGTCATGTAAAGGTCCAGCTTCCTCTCGAATGCATCTGTACTATCTGATTCAACCACTGCTCCAAGCAACAAGTTCCACAATCTCACTGCACTCTGTGAAGCAGAGAACTGCTGGATTCACCTCAACAATAGTCACAATTTACAATGAATCCTATGAAGCTCTTTGAAATGTCCTCTTGACATAAAAGGTGCTACAGCAAATGCAAGCATTAATTCTTATTATTATTTAACTTGGCTAAGTTGCTAATATATTAACATTTGTATGCTAACAATTCTATGTTTGTGACACTGGGCATCCCAAGCAAAACTGATCACTCTCCGTGGCTGTTTATGGGACATTTCTGTGCACAAACTGGCTGCCGCATTTCACACACAAAATAAACAGTCAATCCATTTTGCAGTGTATCCCGTGAAGCCTCAAAGTGGGGCTTGAGCAAGTTTGCTACCAATTGAACCAGGCTGACACCTGAAATTAATATATTTGAGAATTATCCAAAATTTTAAACAGCCTTAAAGTTTATGATAATGGTCTTAAAGTTAAGGCCAGGTGAATTTCTGGTTTCTTTACCTTCATACCTCAGGATGAAACAACTTCAATGACTATAGAGAATCATAACTCAACAGCAGTTTGGTCTGGCTTCATAGGGGATGGGCTGAAGGGCTTTCTTTACTCAAAACCAATCTTGTGATATAGTGAAAGTTAATTCCTGACAAGTCTAGTTGCTGTTTGTGGAAGCAAACCAGGCAAGAGTGCATGCAAGTTAAGTCCCACAAACAGCCTCGATTTGAGATAAACAATGAATTAATTTGGAGGACCTTGGTCCAGAACACCAGGAAAAACCCACTTCTTTTCCAAACAATGTCTTAGGATTTTTTAACGTTCACCTCAACAAACGGACAGGCCTCATCTAAAAGACAGCACTGCTGACAAAAGAGCATTCTTCAGTATGCCAGGGAGTATTCGTTTGGATATAAATACCATAGTAAGTTATTCTACAATATAAAGGCAGCTTGGCACTGGTCATTTCTCACATCAGTCAGAAGAACAAAAATTAATCATTCATAGACAAGCTGGTCAAGGGATTGTTTCCATAAAATGTATTGGACTCTTCACCGCTTCATTATATGTGTACTTGTGATTTCTGCATTTTCACACACACACTGGCCCCAAACCAACTTGGAACACATACACATCTCCAATTCACTCCTGACCACCAACATATACCCTTCACTGCTACCTACATCTTCTGCAAACTGCTATCACAAGCAAACACCTACAAAATACAGTCTCTACACTTGACAGTATATCCTGATGAAACGCTTTGAGATGCGCTCCCAACATCAAATGCAAAAGCATTATTTTTTTTCACAAACGGGCATTTTTTTAAGAAACGAAAGTTGAAATACGAGGAAAAGCATGCCATAGAAGCAGCTGTGTAAAGAATGATCTTTAAAATGTGGGTTAGGTTAAGAGGTTAAACTCAACCACCAATAAAAATGATAACAGGTGATTCAAAGACCCTCTTAATTTCTTGTTTAATTAAATAATTAAGTCACCTGTATGCATTTGAATATGGTTAGCCCATGGGGTTTTAGCCCAACCCGGATTTTGGACTCCAAAGTAACTTTTTTATATTTATAAAAGCTTTCCAGAAATACACACAGTAACACATGGCTTTTTCCATAGCCTTAGATTTTATAGGTGAGGCATACAGGCTTTTTGGTGTACTTACCTTGTCAGATAGCAGATTGATTTGACTTGAAATATTCTGAGGAATTCCACTTCCATTAATTTGTAGTTGTGTGATATCATCCTTATTCATTGTGATCTAAAAAAAGTACGGCAAAAACACATCATACTGGTCTATTGCAACAATGAACTTGAACAGTCAGAATAGTAACATATAAATGCACTCAAACAACTGCATTTCAGTTCATAATTCAGATAGAGCAGAAAACGTGCATAATGTTCATCCAAAGCAATTCAATGTGCTTTTAGGTAGGGACTACTTTTACATGACACCAGATAGTAAACGTTTCTGCACATGAAACAGGTTTCTTTTTAAAAGTACAGGCTTAAATGTACTAATTTGTTACCACATTAAAGAAATTATCAGGCATTCAGTATATTAGTCAGCTCCACAATGCTACGTTCTTTAAAGAAAACAGTAACAAAATATTTCAATGTTAAAATTGTCTTTTATTTCAAACGTCTTACTTGTTTAAGTGCTTCCTCAAGATCTTTATTATTTAGTTTGATTGCCCCAGATGATAAAGTCCTGAATTCGATATTCTTTAAATCACCCGGATGAAATATTAAATTCCCATCCTCCGAGGTCATCCTTGGTCTGTAAGTAAAACATAGCAAGAAATAAATTAAGGTAATTCAAAAAAGAACTTTGTCTGTGCATATATTATTGATAATAATAATTGCATTTGATATAGCACCTTATCAGGTCACTGAGATTTCTCAAAAGTGCTTCAAAGGATATTACTGTAAAGTGATGTGACTATGTATTTTATGTGTGAATTTGTTTCTTTGAAACGTAGCACTATTCTTTGTAATTATAAAATGAATACTTACTGACTGTTACTGATATCTCTCTTCTGGTGAGTTTTTGAATCATTTTCTGATTCACATGTTAATGTGCAAAATATAAACATCACAAATAGCAGCCATGTGAAGTGCCCATAGGTAGGCATGTTACTTTCATACCATTACAAGCTCCACTGACTCCAACAAGCTCAAGTAACTATTTACATTTAAGACTGTAAAGTGACCTTTAATCCAAGAAAATGGATATTGCCCTTCACTGCTAGATAATATCTGTGTGACTTCCAAATGATTTTCACTTAGGTGCACAAATTGCAATTAATATATTTTATGGCCTTAAGCCAGTTTGCCTTTTATTTGTCCCACATTATTCTCTGAAGCTTGTGAGGTAAGGAAGCAGAGGGTTGTAGTAAGGGGAACTGAGTTTAAATGAGGTGTGGTTTGATGCTGAACCTCCTCCTCTTCTTTGTATATATTAATGATCTGAGTTTGCAAACTCAATCAAGCTCATCAAGTTTGCAAATAGGTTTGGAGGGAATTGGAATCAGGGGTGTTCGGGTGTCCCAAAGAGAGTTTGGCAGGATATGCACCTCGGCTTCTCATTGGCAAATGAAATTCAATACAGATAAATGCAAGGTATTACACGTGAGAAGTAAAAATAAGAGGCACAAATACTTTGTTTGTTAAATAGAATTTTGTCAAGGGGAAGTTGAAAGAAATCTAAATGTCTGTGTTGACTTGTTCCTCACTATGTGAGGCAGTAATTAAACAGGCAAGCAGGACGTTAGGCTATATTAAAATACAAATTTACATTTATATAGCACCTCTCAAGTATGGAGGACGTCCCAAAGCACTGGCTGGGCACCAGAGCTGGAAATTGTCAAATCAGTTTAGGTCAGATCCCTCAGATGTCCTGCATAGGTGTTATTTGTTATATTTGTCTCTTATTGCCAGTAATCGGAAATATTTTCAGAACTATTTTGCCTGGAAGCCATCCATTCAAGATTATGTTTCCTTCTGGTCAAAAGGCCGGTTAGTGTTTCATAAATGTAATTGGTTGCATGGTATTTTGGAAGGATGAGATCAAATTTCATCCACAGAATACAGTTACCACTTTACAATGTATCCTGTGAAATGTTTTGAGGCCCCTCAATGATGTGTAAGGTGCTACATCAAATGCAAGGATTACGTTAGTGGGACCACTCAAGCCTGGTTTGAGTCCTACCTAACAAAGTGCCTTCACTTTGTCTTTTCAAACGGTTTCTCCTCACGCCTCTGCCTGGTCACCTGAGGGTTACCCCAAGGCTCCATCCTTGGCCCCCTCCTCTTCCTCATCTATATGCTCCCTCTTGGCGATGTCATCCACAACTTCCACGTTTGTGGATGACACAAAAATCTACGTCTCCTCCTCCAGCTGTGACTCCAGGTCCCCCGATGTTCTGTTGACTTGTCTGGCAGACATCAGTGCCTGGATGAGCGCAAACTTCTTACAACTAAACATTGACAGGATGAAAGCCATACTCCTTAGCTCCTATCAACACCTTCTGTCCGGCAGATCTGACCTCCTCAACCTCCCCAGCCTATCCCTTAGACTCACTGAACCGATGGCAACCTAGGCGTCCGGTTCGACCCACAGCTGTCCTTCCTTCCTTTCTTCCCCACATCCGGTCCCTGACCAGGACTGCCGTCCTCCACCTCCACCACATTGCCCACCTCCGACTATACCTTACCCGAGTCGCAGTCGAAACACTAGTCCATGCATTTGTCACCTCCCGACTTGACTTTTCAAATGGCCTCTTTGCCAGTCTCCCCAGCTCCACCATGTACAGGATCCAGCTGATCCAAAACTCTGCCGCCTGCATACTCACTCATACTAAACCCTGCACCCCATCATACCAGGCTCCACTGGCTCCCTATCACTGAACGGAGTGTTAGATCTGAACACTCGTTTTCAAATCCCTTTACGCCCTGGCACCTCCCCGACCTGCTTACCCCCAACCCACTACCCACTGCCTCCGCTCGGCTGGCTCCAGCCTGTCCCCTCGTGCACCCCAAAACTCTGGAACACTCTTCCTCTATCCTCTTTGACCGTGCCTTCAGTCATCCTCCACCCCCATCCCTCTTGGCTCCCACCCCTTTCATATCCAGGTGCAAACCCTCAACTGTCCAGCACCCTGTGTTGTACGTCCTATGGAGAAAGGTGCCATATAAATGCATTTCATTGTAGTTGTAAGAATTGGGACCTAATATCACACAGAAAATGTGGAAAATTCAGCTACAACAAGTTGCATTTATGTAACGCCCTTCATGGCGGACGGCGTCTTGAGAGTGGAGCCCAATGCTGAGCTGGGGGAGGGGAATGTGACCATAGGCATGGTCGAAGAGAAAAGTCTTCCAAGTGCGACCTGAAAATGGGGAGGGGGCAAGGCGAAGAGATTGAGGGAGAGAGTTCCACAGCTTCGGGGCATTGTGGCTGAAGGCAAGGACGCTGATGGTGGGGCAGAGGGTCTGGGGGACAAGGAGGAGGCCAGAGCCAGTCGAGCGGAGGCAGCGGGTTGGAGTTTAGGGAGAGGAGGTTGGAGAGATGGGGGGGGGGGGGGGGGGGGAGGCAGGGCATGAAGGGATTTAAATAAAAGTGCGAGGATCTTAAAATCGAACCGCTCTGTGATGGGGAGCCAATGGAGTTTGACAAAGCCGTCTATGGTGGAGGTGCGGAGTTTACCTGTGGGTGAGAATGTGGGTGGTGGGGTTTTGAATTAGTTCAATTTTGTGAATAGTGGAGCAGGGAAAATTCTTTCCCAGAAATGAAGAAGCCAGCTTCCAAATTAAGACTCAATTTAAGAATTTTAGCACAAATCAGTACCATCTCAAATTTTAAGGCAAAATGGTCTTACTGGGTAAGTTTCAATGGATCTCAAGAAAATGAACAACTGAATGGGCACATATTAGATTAAAATTCAGAATTCCTAGTTCAACCAACAGAGGAAATTCAGGATATTTTCAAACTGTGACCTTTCCCGTTTCTTGGAATTAGCAAAAAATGAAATGGTTAAAAATGCCTTTTGATCCGCACCTTTTTTTACATGAAATATTATGTTTTGCATTCATGTTCTGAGATTTTTCTTGAAACGCAAGTATGTGAAAATGTTGAAGCCTTACTAAGGTTATGCACTTCCTAAAAAGTGAATTTTACAGCTTTATTGCTCCGATTGCATATCATAAAGGTCGATGTGACGTTTGCTGAATCGGAAAATTATAGCAGGAGCTATCTGGTTATAGATATGAAAGATATTCCTGTGCAGTTCCTAACTTCCTTAATATTATACAACAAGCAATCAGAGATCATGGTCATTGCCTATAGAAAAAATGCCTGTACTGCAAAGTTAAAATAACCCCTAAAATTACTGGATATCTTCTTAAATAAAACCAGAAAATGTTGTAAATGCTTAGCGGATCCTTCAACAGTGGAAAGAGAAAGATAGGCCGAAGTGTCCTCTGAAAATCAGCAACTGAAATACTCTTCAGAGGTTACAAGCAGTTAACTTTAATTGAATTACTGAACTGTACAAAATCGAATGAGCACTTGTAGTGCTGGGGGTGTTCCTTGCAACATGACGAAGCTGACCAGAAAACCTTTCTAAAGAGGCTGCAAAGTCTATGTAAAGGTGTGTATTATGTGCACAGCTTTTTAACAGTACAGATTTGTTGAGTGAGAAAATGAACAGAATTTGGCTTCCAAATTGGAGATTTAAAGAAATTAAAGTGAGATTCTTTTGTCACTAAGATCACCATCAAGCATCCTAATATAAACATAGAAGACACAGGATAAAACTCTTCTCACTGCCATAACAATTTACATAATTGCGACTGAATACGTACAGTATTGCTGAGTATGCATGACCTATGTCGGCTTGCTGTGTGCTGTAAGCGAGGTAAGGGCAACAGATTCTACAGGTTTCAATTAATCAAGGGAATGTTTAAACTCTCCAGAGAGCAAAACCCATGCATTTCCTTTGTTAAAATCTATTTAAACAGTTACACAAGATGCAGATACTTTCTTGAGTTCAGGGAGAAACAAGTTAGAGGATGCGATTAAGAATATACTGTAAAATGAATTGACTGTATATTTTGTGGGCGAAACCCGGCAGCCAATTGTGCACATTAGTGTCCCACAAACAGTCGTGGATTAAGTGATCAAACTATTATTTTTTTTATTTATACTTTTTGAGAAGGGATTATTACCACCGGAACAGCGATCCCCCAATTGACTAGTTTGTAATGTGAAGTAACAAACTCATTATTGTGCAAACATAGTCCACCATAAAGGAACAACAGCCTCAATTACAAAGCAGGCTTGTAAAGAAAGATTTTATCTGTTCTGTGATGCAATACAAGCATTTTCTGCCATTGAGTTTTACTGAAATACAAAGCTTAAAGATCATTTGATGTTTAGACAGGAATCACTATTTAACAATTAAAATCTTACTATGTTGAGAGATGAATGTGTGCTGAATAAGAGGCCTAACAATTACAAAACAAAATATTCAGCATGCAATGTTGATAAAGTTTTTGTTAAATGTAAGGAAGGATTATTTTACTCATCAACAAAGCATAATTCAATATCCACATTTGAACATTAATTTTGATAACACAGTGACTAATCATCAAAAGATGGCGCCTATTTCATATGATCTATTGTTTACTTATCACTTGTGAAGTAACAAAATAAACATTTTCATATATTTATTTTTACACATTATAAAACTTTAAAACGATGCTTTCGAGATGCTATTGTACCAACAGCTCAATCAGTTTGGCTACAACGTGGATGTTAAGGCTGTTTCCCAGTAGACGGTAACTTTGTTTCACTGAAATTTTCTCAGGAAAATCTGCAAGAAGAAATCAAAAGAAGTTTTAAGATTAGAGAATAAACACAACACATATTACATTTTAACAGTTTTCTTGTCTCACATATGGAGCAAAGAAAATGCAGCGTCTGACTAACTCACAGTGAATTCCCAACACTTTTCACGACAACATGTCCAAAGCAACTACAGTAAAGTGATAATAATGCTGTGTTATATTATAGCACTAAATTGTAGCATTTGTAGCAATATACTAAGACTGCCTGATTAATGTATGTATCCACTATTCATTTCACTCTCTTCAAAACACATTTTAATCCCATAATTTCAGTTTAAGATCTAAGGGAAATAATTGGAAGCTCTTTTATCTGTGGCTATATTCATAGGCATACTCAATGCCCTCACATCCACCCCCCCACCGGCCACCCATTAATTAGGTCTGTTTTTCTTATCAGTTACACTTTCATTTTTTTGTTTTCTTCTAATGCCACAATGTACTCAAGCATTTGTCCAGATGAGCTACTGTATCTGCCCCAGTCTCGGTTTATTGTACTTTGCACCATTTCATGCTGTTATTTAAGGAGGGAGGTGCTTCTTCAGTTTTCATAGCGCTGGTCAGATCTCATTTGGTGTACTGTGTTCAGTTTTGGGGAATGAATCTTAGGAAAGATATACTAGCCTTGGAGGGTGACTAGTGAAAGTTCACTACTCCTATGAGAGACTGATAACAGAAGATAATAAAAGATGATCTGATTTTTTTTAAATAATGAAAGGAATTGACAGGTCAGATGATGGCCCACTCTTCCCCTCAGTAGAGGAATCCATAACAAAATCAACTTGCATTTGTATAGTACTCTTCACGCAGGATAACATCTCAAAACACTTCACAAGGATGAAGTTGGACACAGAGCAAGTGAGAAGTAGGAGGGGAGGTAACCACAAGAGTGGTTGAAGAAATAGAAGAGGGCAGCGCAGCTTTAATATCAGAATAAAGACTATAATTCAGGTCAGGAAACATGCAGATAGTTGTGAAGGTACGGAATACTCTGCCAACGAAATCAGCAAACTTCTTACTGCGCTACACGGATTTACTGTAAATTGCTGTGACTGTGTATTTTGACAATGAACAAGCCAATTCGCACATAACAATTGTACCACAAACAGCCATCAAGTGAATGACCAAGTTGATCTGAGGGAATTGTTGGCCAGGACACCTGGAGAAACTCTCTTCTCTTTATGAAGAGTGCCATGGGATCTTTAACATCCAATTTTAAGAGGCAGATGGAACCTTGCATTAAAGTCTCATCCAAAGGACCGCATCGGCAAAAAGATAGCATACCCTCATCACTGAATTGGAGTGTCAACCTAGACTTTGTGAGTTCAAAGATCTTGACGTGAGGTTTGAATCCACAACCTTCTGATTCAGAGGTGAGAATGCAACTAACTGAGCCAGGCTGACATCTGTTAAACTGTTACTAGAACCAAAATCCACCAAGCTATAGGTTAGCCATCTACACTTTTAAATATAAATTGGTTTAGTATATTTTGTTCCAAGACTTGGATGCTTTTCTGTAATGATTAACAGTCAGGGTTCCCACCACCACGGACAAATCAACTCAAATTTAATGCAAAGCCATTCTTTCCAAATGAAAAATCTCTGAAGAAGAGCATAAAATAATTCATGCCTACCATTTGGAAACTAGAGTGATCTAATTACAATTCACAGTTCTAACCAGTCATTTGTGAACCAGGAGTGATTGTTTGCAGACGTCGTGGTGGGCCATTGAATCATTTGTCCCTGGTTGATCTCACATGCATGTCTGTCACATTCTCCTTTGTGGCTACATCACAATCAACACATGTATTGGTGTACTCTCTTCAACTGTGTCTTCACCTCCCCTCTCGATTCTCTACCCCCTCCTCACTCCCTCCCTTCCCTCCCCTCACCCTGACCATTTCCCCCCTGCTCGGGTCCCGACCCAACTGTCCAGCGGCTTGGGACGTCCTCCCGACGTGAAAGGCACTCTATAAATGCAATCTTGTTGTTGTTGTTGTACTCTGATGCCTCTGTAATACCAATAATAGCAATATTATTATATGTAACAATGTCATTGCCATCAGTGCAGTGCTGCAAGATCTTTCCAACATAGGGCTGGGAAGACAACTGTGAATTCTGCCATGACACAGATGATCAGGAGCAAATTGAATTTGCCCCGAATATATGAGAATACATTTGAAACCGCATTAACCAAAATACATGAGAAACTGCATTAGCCAAAAAGCTGATTGGACTTAATTGCTGACGGAAGCAGTTCCCTTAACTAACTGCTTAGTACAAACACTCGACTCATGGAATATGAAACTTTTCCTCATTAGCCAGACAATGCTAATCTCCAAACTGAATGAATTTCAATTGCAAAAACAAAGCAAACTTAATTGAAAGATCTTCCATTTTTACAGCCTCTTGTCAAGTCGAAAGGTCTCAAAGAGCTCACTTGAGTGTATCCTTTCTTTTTGTTCAACACAGTATTAATTATCAACACAATCTTTAATCAATAATCATCATAAAATACTTCTGATCAATTGATTATAATCCAAATTAATCTTTTCAAAAATTCTTAAACAACATATATTTATATAGTGCCCTTTTTCGCAGGATAATGCCTTGCAGCTTGGATAAATTCAATAAATTTAGTTTTACTCTTGAAGCAAGTTTTTTTAAATTCTTTTCAAGAGCTGCAAAAAACCTGCTTCCAAATTAAGACTGATGTTAATAATTTTCCAAAATTCTGCACAATCTTAGTGGCAGAGTTTTCAGGCCTTGGGGTTTAAAACCTTTTTAAAAAAAAGTTGCTCCAAATTGGACAGAGGGAACTAAGAGGTAGAATAGTTAAACAAAAAGATTTACAACATGTGTATCAATGTTGTATATGCCCATATGCAGAAATGAATGTAGATGAGAATAGATACAATAAATAACAAACACTAAGCAGAGGAGTAAAATAAAGGTTGGAAATGAATCTAAAAAATAGTCAAACAAATTTTCATCAAGAGATTACTCTATGAAAATATGCCATTGTGAATTACTGAATTACTGTAATTCTCTCTGTACACATGATTTACACATGGTGAACAATAACACCTGCACTTACACATAGTGCATAATAGACAAACAATTCCCATAATGTGTATTCAGATTCCAACACAATGAGGATGCAGGATATGTTTGGAGCTTGGGGGGAAAAAGAGAAGATCACTTGGACAAACAATGCCCATAACGTATCATCAATAAAAGAGGAAAGACAGGAAAGGGTGCCACAGACAGAAAGCATATTGAACCTAGATTAAACAGAGGAACAGAATTAGCTCAAATCCAATAAACTTTCATTTTATCTTTAACTTGTCAAGCAAGCACATATTGAAGGCATTTATTGCTATTAAACTGCTCCCAAAATATTTCTCTTTGAACATCAAGATATCCAATTATATATACACACGATATACATACACACTCAAAGCCCATATCTAGTCTTTTCCAAAATCAACAAGATATTGCCTAACAAATATTCAATGTGAGATTGTGAAGCTACACTTCGCCTTTTCCAGAGACAAGCTTCAGAACTAGCTTTATTATGGAAAATAAGACAAATGGAACGCAGCCACTGACAACACCACAGAGGTGGTCACGCTTGGCCAACAGTGATCAAAATGTCTTTGATTCAAACTCAGCTCCACATCAATGGTCTAACTCAACACTCTTCCAGTCCCCCCAACTGGTTACACTTTAAATTTTGTGGCATCCCATTGCAGAAACGATTCAGTACATAGAGACGACTGTGTTCCAGAAGACGTAGGTAAAATATCACAATTATTTCAGTTCAAAAAAGTAATATCCTCAGTTTGAAAAATATTTCAGTGTACTGTATTCTTATTTTCTGCTTGTAGGACTCCTATTTTTTGACTGAAAAGCACGATGATCTGCTTTCACTGTCTCAGGATAATTTTAATTTGTCACCGGGTGTCTGGCATACGGAAACAACAACAAAATTACATTTATAGAGCGCCTTTCACGTCGGGAGGACGTCCCAAAGTGCTGAACAGTCAGATGTCGGGGCCTGAGCATGGAGGAGGGGTGAGGGAAGGTAGAGAGGTGGGAGGGTGACCAAAGGCACGATCGAAGAGAAGGGTCTTGAGACCGGCCTTGAAGGAGGCAAGGGAGGAAGTGAGGTGAAGGGACCGTGGGATGGAGCTCCAGAGTGTGGGGACAGAGAGGCTGAAAGCCCGGCCACTGATAATAATAATAATAATAATAATAATAATAATAATAATAATAATAATAATAATCCTTGCATTTGATATAGCGCTTTTCACGTCGGGAGGACATCCCAAAGCGCTTCACAGAATATACTGTAATGTGAATTGACTGTATATTTGTGGGCGAACGCGGCAGCCAATTGCGCACAGCAATGTCCCACAAACAGTCGTAGATTGAAAATGACCAATTTATTATTGTTTTTGGTTTTTTTGGAGGGATTATTATTAGGCGTGTGGAGTAAGGAAACTTGCCCAAGGTTTCGCCCTCCCTGGAATTGAACTCAGGTCTCTCGCTTGCAAAGCGAGTGCTCTAACCACTGAGCTACAGGACTCCGATGAAGTCCTGATGGTAGGGTGGGTTGGGCGGGAGCCATGGAGCAGGCCGGAGCTCGCTGAATGGAGGGAGCAGGCAGAGTCAGCAGGTCAGAGAGGAAGGAGGGGGCAAGGCCATGGATGGCCTTGAAAGTGAGGACGAGGATCTTGAACTCGATCCTCTGGGGGATGGGGAGTCAGTGGAGTCAGGCGAAGGTGGGAGTGATGGGGTCACAGAGCCTGGTACGTGAGAGTACATGAGCTGCAGAGTTTTGGATGATCTGCAGCTTGTGAAGGGAAGAGTTGGGAAGGCCGATGAGGAGGGAGTTCCCGTAGTTAAGCCTTGATGTGACGAATGCGTGGGTGAGGTCTTCAGCAGTCTGAGGAGTGAGGCAGTGCGGAGTCTGGCAATGTTGCAGAGGTGGTGGTAGGCAGTGCCGGTCATGGCATGGATGTGGGGGAGAAAGGACAGTTCAGGGTCAAACAAGATACCCCAGTTCCTGACTGGCTTAGCGAGGTTGAGTGTGCAGCCGTGGAGGCTGATGCTGCCAGCGCCCGAGGTGCGGAGGCACTGGCACGAGCCAATCAGTAGGGGCTCAGTCTTGCTGACGTTGAGTTGGAGAAAGTTGTCCCTCGTCCAGGACTTGATTTCGGACAGGCAGTCGGTCAGGACTCCAGTAGTCCTGGAGTTGAGGGTGGAGGCAGAGAGATAGAGTTGGATGTCATCCGCATACATGTGGATGTCGTTTGTGACCTTGACCAGAGCAGTTTCCGTGGAGGGGTTCACGGAGGAGAGGAAAGAGCGAAGCTGGGAGGCAATGGGTCTCTCAAGGACCTTGGATAGGAAAGGGAGGTTTGAGATGGGCCGGTAGCTGGAGGCGTCTTAAAGCACTTCACAGAGTATACTGTAAAGTGAATTGACTGTATATTTTGTGTGCAAAACGAGGCAGCCAATTGTGTACAGCAGTGTTCCACAAACAGTTGTGGATTGAAGTGACCAATTTATTATTTTGACTGCTGAGGGCCGGAAGCCCTATTTGAGAAACATCTGCGGGCCGAATAAGCAACATATTTGCGTTTCTCTTCCAGAAATATAACATTTACGGCTTATGAAAGGAGTGGGTGGGCCAGATGAAATGGAGAGGTGGGGGGGCATGGAATTGGGGGTGGGGTGGGGGTGGTGGATGAAATCGACCGGCGGGCCACCAGTTGGACCACCCTGTGATATACAATGAGCAGTTTGTCTCCACTATGTTACTTAATCCTGAAGAGTTTAAGTGTAGATTGGCAAGAGCTTGAGCGTCCCAGAATGTGTGTTCGAATATTGTTGAGTTTTAATCGTTTCTCAGTGGTTTCCTATCTAGGTTCACCTAATCTACTAGGGCTTTCTCTTGTGGGGTTAACAGGAGCTAAGAGGATAGATTCCCTGCCCCCATTAACTGGTTTCTCCTCCAGGTTCTGCTAATAAGTCATGCTGATCCGTAATCAACAGTGCCTTCAGGTTTTATAGACCTGCTTGGCTTAGGAACTGCAACAGAGGATCAACTCAATTCTGATTTTCCATTGCCTGGCAGGTGACCTTGGAGCCAATGATCTGTTCCCACAGCTCAGAGTAATATCGCTTGTGAACATCACTGGTACGTGCATTCGTTAGGCACGTGGGGACCATCTGCCCTTTCTACCTATGGGGAAATCATCTGGCTTACACTTAACGTTTAATCCCTAATTGCATGCAAGATAGAAAAAGATATGGAATAACAGGTATAAAGTTGTGCTATAAAGTTTATAGCACAACGAAGCACCTAAAAAAAACTCTGAGCAATCTGCACCCTTCCACTCAATAAGTTAATCATACTCAGTCATATTCTCATAAAGTGAACAGATACTTCTCAAAGAGTGGATGGGAAAATCAAAGTCTTTTCTGAGCAGTCAGTTTTGAAGCAACAACAACAACATGCATTTTATATAACGCCCTTCATGCAGGGTTGCATCTCCAAGCGCTTTAAAGAAGTTTGAATCAGAGCCGGGCAACAGATTCCCTACTGGCCTTCATCTGAGAGGATGGTGTGCATTGGGGAGACTCAGCAAAAGGACTGGGAGGAAATATTTTTAAACCTTGAAGCATTATGGAATAATACATCTGTAAACCTTCTTAAATTAATTTCTGTTGAGAACCTTTGTAAACCTTGATGGAAATGAATCGTGCCTGTTTTTTGTTTATCCAATGCCCTTGTGTAGTTATGTAGAAAACATGTGTGACTAGTAAGCTTTGGTATGCAAAAGTGGGAGGGAATGTGTTGGAGTTATCTCACACTATGAGAAATGTTATGGGGGGAGGGGGGTGGTAACCAGTCTGAGTTGTTTCACGTTTATGTTGTCTTAAGTAAAGTACAGTATGGGTTTGATAAAAATAGCTGCTTTTAAACAAGTGTGGGGGATGACATTTGTAACACAATTGAAAAATGATGATGAATTGAAGGAGGTGGGTGAAGCACAAGATCAGAAACATGCTGTTAAGGGGCTATAAGTATTGGTCCCAAACTAGCCTAGTTAGTGATCAATAAAGGTATTGGTCACTAACTAAGTTGAAACAGCCTCCCTAGGATAAAAGACAATAATTATTGTTTCCTGGATCATTAAATATGCCTTTCTGTACGTACATTGTTAAATAAAGGTTTCTTGAATAAAGTATATCAATGAAGGAGCATCGGTCTGTGTGAGCTTGATTATCTCTGTGTCCAAAAACCTAAAAGATTATAAAAATTATGATAATTTTATTTAAATTAATTATACAGACTTGACTCATTGCAGTCAACAACCTCAATACACAAGAATAATTGTGTACTCACTAAACTCTGCAGGAAATCCATGGAGATTCGCTATTTCTCTTGGAGTGAAATATCGTAGTTTTAATTTTGATAACTGGGCCAGCTTTTCATTCTCTGACAGAGTTTCAAATTCCTGAAAGACTGTGGAAAGCTGTTAGAGGGAAAGAAAACAGTAAGTACAGTAAACAGGCACTTGATTTTCCTCAAGTCCTCATCAACAATCCAGAAAAATTACCAATTAAAGTTATTGAGATACATCTTAACTCACTATTACAACAACAACCTGCCTTTATATAGCACTCTTCATGTGGAGTAGTCTCGTAGTGCTTGACAGAGGCAGAGTCTGACCCTGAGCTGAGGAGGGGGATGTGACCTTAAGCACGATCAAAAAAAGGTCTTTTGGCAGGATTTGAAAATGGGGATGGAGAGGGAAAGTCGGAGGGATTGAGGGAGAGAGTTCCAGAGTTTCAGGGCGTAGCGGCCACCGATGATGGAGCGAAGGGGATGAGGGACGAAAAGGAGTCCGGAGCCAGCCGAGCCGAGGCAGCGGGTGATGGAGTGGGGGGTAAGCAAATTGGATAAGTAGGGAGGTGCAAGGACATCAAGGACATGAAGGGATTTGAAAACGGTGAGAGGATCTTGAAATCGATCCGTTCAGTGATTGGGAACTAGTGGAGCCTGGCAAGGACTGGTGTGATGGGGTACGGAGATTTGTGCGGGTGAGAATCCGGGCGGTGGAGTTCTCAATTAGTTATATTTTGTGTATCGTAGAGCTGAGGATATCAGTGCGGAGGGCATTGGAATAGTCCAGCTGGAAAGTGACGATGGCGTGGAAATGATGCTTTTAATCAAAAGGATTAGATTTAAATGCCTTCTTGAATAACTATACATGAACTCTGAGACTTCAAATCCTTATGGTCTTAACTTTAGTCCATTCTAGTATAGAATTTTTGGAAAAAAAATAATTTGGAAGCCGTTTTTTCTGCAGTTTCAAAACGTGCAGGAAAAAAAGACTATTAATTTAAAATTGAAAGTGTGAACTTTCCACAATTCTGCTCTATTGCAAGTTTTAAGACAAAAACAATCTTCCAGGCTAAGACTAGACAAGATATCTTTTGGGTAAACCTAAACAAAACATTTCTGCAAATGTGAGATTACATCCAACTCATTTGAGATCAATGCCAAAAATGTTCAAAAGATGTTTCCTAAGAAAATAGACACATTCCTAAATTTGACCTGGATCACAGCAAAGGTAGAACTGCAGTACTTTTTTTCTGGTTCGTATATACAACACAATACAAAATTACATTTGTAAAGCATCTTTCACTTCGGGAGAACGTCCCAAGGTGCTGAACAGTCAGAGATTATATGTACAATAAACTCATTTTGCAGCAATTATGCTAAAGTTATAGAAATCCCATTCTGTATGTAACTCAAAGTCTTGTTGCAACTTTTTTTGCTTCCAATAGTTAAACTCAACAAATAAAACAAACATATTCAAATTGTCAAGCTACATTTTTGCCTGTATACTAATTTTCATTATTATTTAATGATATAAAAATACTCAGCACATAGTATTTGTACAACCCAAATATGAATGTAGCCTCAGTTCATTATTTACACCATGTGCCAATTAAAAACATGGAGACTTGCTTGTAAACAGTTCTTCACATAAAATTACATTGCAACCAGCTATTCCTAGTACAGGCAAACTTAATCTACATTCTTGTATGAAGTGTCAAATGCAGGGAAGCTGAAACTAATTTCTGCAGTTAACATTGTTTTGCATCTAACTTCAATTGTTTATTTTAAAGAAAGCAGTCAATTTAGTAAATTCTGCTTCAAAAATAGTGAAAATGATTGGCAGCCTAAAGGAAAGTATGAATCGGTTGTGAAAGATTGACATTGCTTAACCAAACAAACAAAAATAATTAATATTACCAGAGATACTTAAATAAGTAAATAAGCAAAGATAGGACCTGTTGCATGAATTTACCACTCCCAAAATATTTTTGGACCATTGAAGTTAATACCAGTTAATAGGTGCTACTAAATGACTCGAAGTTTACATTATTTATCAAATCAAATAGCTTTATCTCAAAAGATTCCTATTGTGCTAAACAAAAGTGGTAACCCGCTACTTCAAACGACAAAAAAAATACATACCTCTACATCTGACGCAGTTTGCAATACTGAACCAGTTCCTTCAGCATAATGACCATATCTGAGTTAAAAAGTAGAACAGAACTAATTAAGCAAAGCAACAGATATTGAAATGAAGTTCAATATTGACATTTTCAAAGTCCTGCATGTTTAAGTAAAAGTAGAAAGCACAATCCTTCGTGAATGCAATAGAATTTGGAACAGCATTTGCCAAGGACGAAGTTCAAAAATACATGCACACTGAGGTTAAAAATGGGCCAGCCTAGTGTAATCGCCTTAAAATTGCCTGTATCATTAACTGGACTTTCTGCAGATAAACCCCAATATGTCACTTCAACTCCTGAAACTTAAGGTCTGAACTGATATCTCCTCAGAGTCAGTTTTAGGAGTCACAATGATATAAAGAAAAGACAGTTTACGTACTGAGTGTGTTTTCTAAAGGTTCCATGTTGAAAAAGCAATTAAAGCATATTTTCCAAACCCCACAACCACCTCACCCAATGGAATATGAAGTTAACCCTGGGCAATCTTGCTTGAACATGTTCCAACTGAACATTTTTTAAACTATAACTTTAGGATGTAGTTTTCTCAAAATTTACTTGAAGGCTCTTACCCTTTAGTGAAGCATACTGATCTCCTGCAGGTCAGCCCCACTATATCTAGTACCAAAGCATAGCGCATTAAGACCTTCGGAGATATGAGATACTGGCTTGGATTCTGCAACTTCTCCTCCAAAAAATCTTGAATCATCTGAATGGATAAATTATTGTTCTGCTTTAGTTTTCGTTCCAAGTGTCCAGACGTTTCTAATTTATAAATTAAAGTCTCCATTTCTTGGCATTTGCTGTTGTCAGCATGTCCACATTCAGAGTTATTCAGCTTCTCTGTGTGATCACCAGTGGACAATGTTTGATCTGAACTGGGCAGCTTAGACTGTTTCCAATCATCACGTTCATGGTGAGGGAAGCCTTCTAGTATCTGCATACACAAGAGAAAATGTTAGCCAGGCCACATTGGAAAACATATATACTATTTTCAATATTTTTATCTTGAAAAAAAATTCAACATTCCTGAGTGATTAATAAACACATGAATATTGAACTTTATATCCAGTCAAAGACTTCTCATTGTTCTGATACTCCAGTGCAGTGCCTCCTGATCTGAAATGTAAATTAGTATTAATTTTGTATCGTATTCTTGGAGGTATAGTCTTTCAGTTGAGATGTTAAATTGATATCCCACCTGCCTATTCAAAAGGGCCTTAAAAATCCCATGACAGTAATTGAAAAAGGCAATCCTTATGATGCAGTGAATAGCGTTGCAACGTACGGATGAGAAGCTTGCTGGTTCAAATCCCATCTGTGCTGATTTTGATGGTCTCGACTGAGGCTAAATTGACCTCCTCCTCCCAGGATTAATGAAGGAAAAATCAACCAGGGCCCTGGAGCTGCTCCCTCAGCAGCACCTTCTACTGCCATTACCGGGTATAGAGGGATCAAGCACACTGTGACACCCTCTAAATTTGAATGACCTCCTGACACTCACTGCTGAGATTCACACGTGAACAATGACCACTTGGGTGGGATATCTGAGGGCGACCAGTGTCCATGGAAACTGCACCCCAGTAAGAGGAGGCCAGACCAGGAGCATATGAAATTAGAAAAATAACTGGGCAAGCTAAATATATTTGAAAAACATTATTCGAAACGAGAAGGGAATTTCCCTGGTATCTTTGCTAACAATGTTCCGACTTGAGCAGAATCATGAAAAAATTGAAAATTTGGAAGGTAGCTAGAACTGACTTTCAATTTAAGACTTCATACAATACAATGTGGATTTACATAGTGCCTTTCACGTCCGGGAGACATCTCAACGTGCTTGACAATGCTGGGCACATGAGCTGATGGTGGCATAGCTGGGAATAACAAAAGAATTTTCCGCAACTCTCCAATGTTACATTTTAGGTCACAATAGTCTTACAGGCGAAGTCTGGATAGAATTTCGGCCCTCAGAACTATCATGGACTGGTGCCCACAGTGAAATTGACCAGAGCTGGTCACATTGCTAAAGGCTAGAGCAGACTGCTATTCAAAACAGTGCTTGTGAAAAATGACATCAAAACTTGCAGACCAAGCAAAATATAGTCAATCTTGATAAACTTCAAATAAACATCCTTCCTACAAGTTCCCAGGAGAGAGTTTTATTTAAAAACTGTTTGGAGGCAAGTACAAAACTAGCCAATGGTAATTTGAGTGAAAACAAAGGGAGGCAGAAACAAGAGGAAAGTTTTAGAACAAGCAGAATTCAGGGTCATCTGACCGCCCATGCTATGAATCTTCACAAGGGACCCTGTTTCTGGGTGAATTTCCCTCACTGGATGAAGACAATTTCTGTGTGTGTGTGTGCACATGTGTGTGACAGAGTGATATGTAAAAATAGAATACATTTCCCCACTTTTGTCATGGTGTCCGTGTCAGGCCATTCTGTACCATCATAGATGCAGAGTAAAGGTTTTTATGCTTCCTAACAATGAGCCTTAACTCCACTGTCACAAGAGTACTTCCACTTCCAGCTCGTCTCTTGGAATGAGATTGTTTGTTTAGTGAAAGAGAGCATAAAATGAATGGGTGATTAATATGGAGGTATTTTGGCCAGGCAATGTGATTACAATGGACAATAGGAAGTACATCCACTGTATGTGTTGTATTTGAATTGTAGTGGCATGGAGTGTAGCAGACGAAGCCGTAGTTCGTGACCAAAAATATAGATTTTAATAGGCCCAAGGCCACCAAATCAGGTAAACTCTATGCTTTCTTTTGAAGCAAGCAGCCTTATTCTGATGCTCCTTGTCACTTGGCTGTGCCCCTGGTCAGCATGGAGTGTGCTGCCTGCCCCAGCCTCAATCAATTTCTCTCCAAGGTGCGAGGCCAAGAATTCAGCGATCCTGGTGTTACCCCCTCAAGGACTATCCACTTGTGACCTCAGCCGGCCTCCCTCTGATTGCTCATTACATTGTTTCCTGATTCAATTCCGCGCTCACCAAGCACTAAACAAGATTAACTAGTAAGATCAGAAGCAGGTTCAGACACAAAGGCGCTAAATCTAATGGCATTCTGCTGCCTTACATTGGCACTGAAGCCAAATAAAACAAGCCAATTTAAAGATAGCAGAACAACAATTAATAACAAGCCACAAGTTTCATTTGGGCATGCTGTCGAATTCGAGTTGCATGGTATGCAATACCAAAGATCACAGACAGTAACAGAAACCAATTAAAAATGTGGAACATTTCTATGCCAGTTCTAATCATGCAGCGTGCACAGTTGCACAAAATGTTTTTATGCGTTCTATCCAGTTCTTCAGAACATTCATTAAGATGAGATGAAATGACTTGTTCCAAACTCTTAACAAGCAACTTGCAAAACATTGCTTCATCAAGTGATCACTTCTTTCACAATCCGCTGATACTAAGCAACACATCATTAAAATTGCAACCTACCCAGTTAACGGTTTGAAAGCAGAAAGCGCCAGGCTGAAGCTTTGCAATTAGAAAATACCGCAGTCTTGAATTTGGTATGCCCAGCTACAATAAAACACATGTTAGCATCATTATAATGGTGAACAAATACAAAATGACAGTTCCTGCAGAACTCAAAATTAAGTACTGTACAAGATTTGAACGAATGTGTGTTAAAATCTATACTAATAAAGACAAAACATCTGTCTGTCTGCCAAAAACACAATAACCGATTGATGCAGAGACATGATTTATGCCTTCTCGGAAAGTGTCCCCGCAGGAGTCCTCCCAAAAGGATATGTGTGCAAATATGTGAACAAGGGATGCTAATGAGTTCAATGGCACATTTTCTTAATCTTAAGGAATAAAGATGCCTAAGTAGAGAAGTTCAAGTCTTTCAAGGACAAATAAAAATGCTAGACGAAAGAGAGAAGGCCGATTAAATGAAACTGTTTTCAAGTCAGCTGCAACAGGTACAGCCAGTAACATAATTGCTAGCAGAAAAAATGGGACAATGACAAATATTATAGTGGCAATGAATACAAATGAAGGAGGTCATTTTGAATCTGTACAAGACATTGGTAAGGCTACAACTATAACATTTTGTGCAACTGTGCACACTGCATGATAGAAATATCAGAGGCATGTGTAACGTAGACTCACGAGGATGATACCAGCAAATACAATTATAATACTCTTCCAACTCTTCTCTCCATAAACTGCAGAGTCCTGTAGCTCAGTGGTTAGAGCACTCATTTTGCAAGCGAGAGACCTGAGTACAATTCCAGGCAGAGGGCGAAACCTTGGGCAAGTTTCCTTACTCCACACGCCTAATAATAATCCCTCCAAAATCAAAAACAATAATAAATTGGTCATTTTCAATCTACGACTGTTTGTGGGACATTGCTGTGTGCAATTGGCTGCCGCGTTCGCCCACAAATATACAGTCAATTCACTTTACAGTGTGTTCTGTGAAGCGCTTTGGGACGTCCGCCCGACGTGAAACGCAAGGATTATTATTATTATTATTCAGAAGTTTGCAGCTCGTGTCCTCTCCCGCACTACGATCCTTGAGCCAATCACCCCCATCCTCGCCCGGCTTCACTGGTTCCCATCCCCCAGTGGATTAAGTTCAAGATCCTTAGCTTCACTTTTAAAGCCCTCCATGGTCTTGCTCTTCCACATTCATTGTTAATTAACCGTTAGAGTTGGAGTCACTTTCCTGTGCAAACTATAGATTTGGAAATCCATTTTCTTCAGCACATTGAGGTCATTTATTTGCATCAACAAAATGGTGAACTGGACTTTATATGCTGGATATTTCCTAGGTCTAGTATGGTTGTAGTGTAATAGGTTATTAATCTTGTAGGAAAGCTTGGAACCAAACTCTCATAATTAATTAAATAAGTAACTTTTAACTTCTACTTTCATGTGACACCACATAGACAATAAAAAGGGACAAATGACTTCCTATTGTAGTGAACAATTCTGTATTTCCTTATTGCTATTAATTTATTTCCTACTGTATTAATGGCAGTGTTGTCATCTGTGATGCTATGCATGGTTGAATAGCCTTTCACACTTTCACATGTTAAAAATGGTCCTGTCAATGTTAAAAATGGACATTTAAAAAAGTATTCTAACATGAGTCATTTTCTCCACAAAGAAAAGTGAGATAAATGTATCATGAATCTTTTTTTCAGATGTTAGAAACCTCATTGTATAGCTAGACAACGTCAAAGGATGCATTTTAGACAGATAAGTTGAAAGAAACTTGCTAGATAGTGTTTTCAATGGCTCGCTATTTGTTTTTTAGCTGGGGTCCCCAGGCCTTGGCTCTTGTCAACCTGTGCCTAATTACTCTCTGAATTTAGGTAAGCAGGGAGCATGACTCCAGATCAAAACATATCAGGAAGTTTAGAGATTCCTCCATCAAGTGGTGACCCTGTATATCAGTAATTACTAAACTACACAAATAGCATTTCCGAGATCTATCACTGAAAGAAATTGTTGGTCCAGTCCGGAAAGCAATATATTTGTATTCACAAGTCTATTTCACAAAACAATAAAATATAGTTGCAAGGTTCTTTAGCGGTACTCATTTTAGAAAGACTACAAACACAGGTAAGATGTCAGCCCATTTGATACATCTACTTACACATGTTGGAGTCAGAAGGAATTCCTGGTAATTGTACCCACAGCTCTCCAGTGTCTGTATCAATTTATCTCTGCAGAAAACAACCAAAATTAGAATGTTACATCGTATATTAAATGTTTAATGAAATTCAAGTGACACAGAATGCTTTAAGATGATCGTTTTTGAAGAATCAATTTAACATCAGCCCTTTTTACGAGACAGAATTACTCAAATGATTCAAATGACATCAAACCAAAGCTTATAACTCCAAAAATAACAACTGTGAAAATAGAATATCTTCATGCTTTGTGTATGTTTGGACGGTTAATCATTTGGTTAAATGGATGCTGAGTGTTTTACCGCATTTCCAAGTGGGATTGAGGGGAGGAGGAGTTATTGGCAGGTTACCAAGCTCATTAACAGAATGAACAACTCGAGGATAAAATTCTCACCGCCACTAATACTACAATAACCGATGTGATGGGAAATTCTTCATTAGTGGAGAATCATTTTAACCATGAATAATGATTCCATTCTGCTGCACTGCGCTCGGATTGTTGAATGAGACGTGACTTATTATCCATGCATGACTACAGATACAAGAGAGGATGCAAGATGAAGGTTGGTGGTTTACGCTTATTATACCAAATTATCCAACTGCATAATTCACAAACAATGAGGTCAATGCATGTACCAATGCTCTCCATTTCCACTTGTGTTTTTTTTCCACCTAGGTAAAGGAAGTGAATACCAGGAAATAGAACATGGAGCATCAAGCACACTGAACATGCAAAAACATGGTCAGAAAAGCACCTGCTAGCTGCATCTATGTAACATTTCAATTTGCTTTTCGTCTGCGTGACAGACTACCCAATATACGGCCTTGAATTCCAACCTGGTGTTGGCCTATTAACCAAGATCATGCTCACGGGAACACAGCTCTGAAAAGTAGATTGTGTTAAAGTGGAATTTCCATGAGTGGTAGTGATGAACTCCCAATTTCTTAATAAGAAATCTTATTGGTCAAAAGACCAAGAACATATGTTTAGCAAAAAAGGAAACATACCTAGCAACAGAAGTTTCAAATCCCTTGACGTTTTCTAGAAGAATATATTTTGGTGTCTTTGAAAGTCTGAAGAAAACCAAAGATAGTAACTTTCAGAATTTTTTTTGGATTCTGGTTTTCATTAGCTCCCATTAATGTGAATGGTTTATATTTAGCAACAAGCATTGATGAAACTCTTTAGAATTAAAATTGACTGCAAAGTGTACAACTGCAAATTTTGTGTTAAAACATTTAATTCAAGGTTCTAAATATACAAACCAAGCTCAATAACAGCAACATCTGTGTTTTTCCTAGGCAACACAGACTAGAACTATAAAAACTAATTTAAAGACAGTCAGAAATAGGCGGTAACACTTCTTGTGAATATTCACAAAAATCATTAAAACTGGATTTGTTCATCAAATAAATCTACGAAAAAAATCACATTATTATCGCAGAACTGTATTACAATTTGCTTTATGATAATGCTGGTTTTCTTGTAGTAGATTGAGGTCTCCCAACATTTAGTTAGCCAAATAAATCAATATTGCGCATGCTGGCTCCATCAGTGCTTCAAAATGCTGGCTGGCATGTGGGTCCACTTCTGGGTCATTTGGTCACTGTTGACATCATGATGAAGTGACATTGAGGGTTACCTAATACCCCAAAGGGTGTCATTTGGCTTCCGATGCATTGGTTGGTATTTTGAATAGAGCCAGTCAATAGATTCAATAGAGCCAGTGATTTTTCTGCACACATGCGCAGAGAATGCAGAAGCACTGACTGATGATTTTGCGCCAGTATAGCAGTGATTGGGATTTTGTGGATCCCGACTATAGTGCTGTAATTCAACTCTGCTGTAAATTAATAATAATGGCTATTAGATGACCAGCAAAAAAATCTATTTGGTTAATATGTCCATTTTTCAGTATTTTTCGTTTTAACAAGCAATTAACTTCTTTTGAATGGTCTTGCAGTAAAACTGTGCCTCTTGCTGAGTTTTCACAACTCAGGGAACCTATCATCATCTAATTAAATAAGACATTTACTACACTTAGAATTAGCTTTGAAAATGTGTTCTTTAGCTGTGCTGCATGATGTAATGCAGCGCAGTAACAAACAAACTGGTTAAAGAGGGGAGCTCCATGCAAACTACAGTATTGTGAGACAAATGGGTTTGAAGCAACAACTTTTTTTACAATATTTTCTACTCATTTACCATCTAGCGCTTATGTGTTTGCTAAAAGAGCCTTTTCTAATAAGCATAATGTCGTTGTTTTTGTTGTTGATAATGGTATGCTGACAAATGTATACAAACCTTGGAAGTATGTCAAGGATATACAAAAAACTCTTTGTCCTAGGATCCAATACATCCTTTTGTGACCCTATTCTGTTTGAAAGATAAACACACACTGTTAGACTTTTGTAACAGGAACTTGATAGAGCTTGTCTTTGAAACATTGCAAGACGGGGTTTGGGGTCCAGAACATTCCAGCCGCCTTACACCAGGGCACGATGGTGAGCGGCCGTCACATTGTGTTGGCGCTGATCACACAACTGGTGATATTACTGACCACATAATGGATGAGGTCACTGGCAAGTGTTGGTGCGCACAAAACTGTCCGGCTCCATCAGCCCACGACGCTGGTTAATCCACAATACTTCAAAATAACGCCATTCAACTACCTGTCAAATATACTCGACTTGACAACATCAACGTCCTGCTCGTCAGCCTTCCCAACTCTTCCCATCCACAAGCTGCACATTATTCAGAACTCCGCAGCTCGTGTCTCCAAACCGATCACCCCCTCCTTGTCTGGCTTCACTGGCTCCCCATCCCTCAGAGAATTGAGTTCAAAACCCTTGTTCTCTCCTTCAAAGCCCTCCATGGTCTGGCTCCCCCCACCTCTCCGACCTCATATCCCATATCAGCCTGTCCGTGTCCTCCGCTTGGCAGACACCGACCTGCTCCAGGTCCCCTGCACTTCCCGCCCCACCCATGGAGGTCGGGCATTCAGCATCTCTGCCCCCACGCTCTGAGGTCTATCCCACAATCCCTCCACCTCACCCCCTCTCGTGCCTCCTTCAAGTCCCGTCTAAAGACCTTCCTCATCGACCGTGCCTTCGGCCATCCTCCCACCTCCACCCACCCTGCCCTCCACCCCTCCTGACCCCCAACTCCCAGCTCGGGTCCAAATCCCTGATTGTCCAGCATCCCGGGACGTCATTCTGACGTGAAGGGCGCTATACAAGTGTCATTTGTTGTTGTTGACACAGAACCATAACAGTTTACTATCTGTTTAGGGCCATTCTCCTGCCAAGCACTGTACAAGGACATCAGGAAAGCACTGAACAAGAATAGTATAGATACCAGGGAGAAGGCGAACAGACCACCCGTTGGTCACCTCCCCAAATACAGCTTTTTCATATTTTAGCTTTCAAAACAGTACAAAATTTTCTATCAATTAAGCTTTTTTAATAGTTAAATACTGAATGCCATCTTTAAATTCTCAAAGAGCTATTGAGTGATTTAAACTCATAATATAATTTTCCTAACTCTATTCTAATTTATAAAGGAAGGATTGAACTTCAAATGAGCTACTTTTTTAAAAAATTGAAGAACCTAATTATAATAATTCTTGCATTTAATATAGCTCCTATAATGCTGAAATATCTCAAAGCACTTCAGTGGAAATTGCTGTCAAGTATAGTATCTATATTTGTAGTCAGATGGGACAGCCAATTTGTGCACAACAGTGTCCCACAAATAGCCAAGTAGTAAATGACCAATTTATCAGAAGAATCATTGGTAGGATTTAATGGGGTAGGGATCCATTCTAAACATGGGAATTTCCATGGGGGAAACTCAATGGAATTCATAGATGTAGTTGGAATGAATGGCACTTTGTTTGAGTTGGATACTCTGAAGCATGGTGATGGGTTTCTGCATGTGTCAAACAGACACACGGCTGACCAAAAACAAAAATCAGAAGAACTGTTGGCCAGAACACCGAGAGTACCATGGGACCTTCAACATCTATCTAAACAGGCAGACAGTATCTCGGTTAACATCTCATCCACACGGTAGTATCTCTGACAATCCAGTGACCACCCTCAGCGATGCACTGGAGCTTTAAACTAAAAATTTCCAAGTTCCTGATGTGTGGTTTGATCTCACAACCTTTTGACCAAGAGGCGAGTGTGCCAATTGAGCCAAGCTGACAGGTCCACAATGCAGGTCCACCAAGTGATAAAGTTAGGAGAGAACAAGTAGAAACAAGAAATCAAAAATGATGATTAAATGAGTCATTCACTTTACAGTTTTGCAAACCAAATATGTTTAAGGTCAAAGTGCTTTTCAACTTTCGACATTTGATTTTAATACAATTAAGTAATTCAGCTACACTGAGTCTCTAACAGCAATTAAAAGGGAAATTAGATAAATTCTTGAGTAAAAGAAAACGGTTTGTTAGTCATGCTCCGCCACTGTCAAGCACTCTGGGACTCTACCCTGCATGAGGACTGCTATATAAATGCAAGTTGTTGTTGTGATATTAAAATGTATAGGAAAAGGGATTAGAGAGCTCCAAGCATAAGCAAAAGGCACAGACAGAAAACGTGACTGGCTACCTTTGTGTGTTGTAAACGTTTGATGTTTCAACTACCATTTTGTTTGGCAAAATTGCATTCATCTTTAGCATGGAAATTTAAATTTGATTTTCTCTACACATTAACATGCTTGTCTACCATGTGTTATTCATTAACCCATCAGATTACAGGGAACAGTTAATAGTGATCCGTGGGTTGACACTGTACCTTGTGTACGTGCAATAGATGTGCAGTACATATAATAGAGCGTTTGCTACTTCAATTGTTAGAAGCATCAAGAACAGTTCGTTGCACAATTTAATCAATCAGTAACTTTGAAGCACATTGAAGCACAGTAACTTTAGTCTTAAGTCCAATGTTTGCTGCCTATTATTCTACATAGTATAAATTCAGCATCAGAAATTTATATCACTCAAGTTGTTAATATTCAATAGAAAATGTATACTGCAAATGAAAAAGCTACCCAACAGCAATGACAACAATAACAACTTGCACTTATATAACGCTCTCCACGCAGGGTAGCTTCTCAGAGCACTTAAAATGTTTAGTATCAACTGAAGACACTAAGTAAGTTTGAAGAATACAGTAAAAATGTCTTAAGGGATATTTTTGTTCTAGTGGCAAATAATTTTAATATAGAGATGTTTTGCCAATGGTAAATACTTGAGACATCCTCCTGACAAGAAAGGCACGATATAAATGTAAATTTGCGTTGGAGTTGATTGTCTTGTCTACACAATCTTTTCACTTTCCTCAGTTTCTGTCTTGGTAAGAAAATCTGGTAATTTCTGCCTTAATTATGGAGTGGGAAAGCCAAATGGGAAAAAAAGTTTACAGCTAACAGATGTAACTCATCCAAAAATGCTATTTCTTTTTTCTCTAACAGAAATAGAATAGATGTACTCAAGATCGTTATGACATAGTGTAATAATAAAACAATCCGAGAGTTTGAGATGAAAAAGGCTTATTTAATTCCACCCTTCTAATTGTACCAGCATCATCATGTAGAGCTCTCAGATAAGTTAAGTTTTAAAACGATACTGAACTTATTTGGCAATATTGTGAAACTCACTGCTGGAGGCAGCTGTGGTAAAGACAGAAAGCATCAACACAAAGAGGAAACTTGATACATACATAAGAGAGAATGAAAAAGAGGGTTAAGGGAGAGGACATCATAAGTGATGGATAAGTTCACGTGGAGTATAAACACAGGTGTTTACTGGTTGGGCCAAATGACTTGTTTTGTGTGCTGTAATGTTCTACATAATTTTCATTGGAGAAATAACTTGCGCACATCTAAATTATTCATGTGTTAGCTTAAGAACAGGCTGGAAGATTTTAAGGATAAAAAAGACAGAGATCAAATATGTTATGGAACACCATGCCTCTTGTACTGATCGATGTGTGATTTGTAATATTTAGGATTGAATTGATATCCTGAACATTTTGAAAGCCCTTATAATTTATTGTACAATTTCTACCTTTTCCTTCCAATCCTGATGATGATTGATATCATCAGCTCCTCTGTTCCCACTGATTCCAACTGCCCCTTTGTTACCACCGATACTACCTGTTGTAACTCAACTGTTATAACCTCTGTTATCTTACCTGAAGGGTCTATCTTCATGTCAGAGCCTGCACCGTCACTCACTGTCAACGCTCAATTCAACTGTTTAGAACCAGGCATAATTCTATGCACAATTCGCATTCACACTAGCAATTCCAGCCAGTCACTGGACAAGTCTCAGTGAGAAACGTTCAGAACATCAAGCTAAACTAAAATTCATGTTGCAAAACTTCACTTGGTGTTAGATGTTATAGATTTTAAAATTAGAAATTCATTATTCAGCACCTCGTAAATGGCTGGCAAGGAGGACTCATGAGGATCATATCGAAGTCCAATCGATTGAAATCATCCAGTGTCATACCCTGAAAAGAAATAACAAGATATATATTACAAGTACAACAATCTATTAAACAGTAGATATAAGTCTGACTCGTTGTTGGGAGGGAAGAAGAGAAGTGGGTATTGTGTTAAACTGGATGAGACATGTCAGTAGAATACTTTCCAATCATCATGGCCAGAATGAACACCAGGCAATTTCAGATATAGAAGGATTAGATGTGGGACAAAGTTCCTGTTAAAAAATGTCAAAATACACCTGAACGTCAATCTATGATCTGAGTGAATATGTCAATTCAGGACAAATTAAAACTGAATTATGGCTATTTGGAGCTCAATTGAGATGCCCAGACTGTTTTCACATAAAATCTTTACATTGATCATAAAAGACATTTTTGGCACACAAATGTGCACATATCAAATCTATAACGTAAAGCACAATGTTCTAACTCTTGAGATAATGTGAATGGGATGTGGCCATATCATCTATTTGTATGTAAAAATTTCGAACTTCGTACATATTTAGATTTTTCCTGAATATAATTTATTCCACATTTCTCCTGAAGGCAATGATTCATGTCAGAGTTAGGTCCCACGGTGCCAGCAGCCCTCTGAGACATTGTCGATTAAGTCATTCTTTATAGGTGGGCCTGGATAATGAATGTTGGCAAACTATTCAACCATGGAGTATCACAGTCAGTTCTCTGAAGTTCACATAAATGCCCTTTCAGTTACAGATTGCAATCGAGAGGAAACGGTGCTGAATTTTCTCCTTCAGAACTAAGGCCATTGCTAGCCAAATTGAGATCAACTAACTCAGGATTGGCTAGGAATTTAATCTCAGACTATTAAGGTCTTTTTTATATAATAAAAAATAATAATTAGAATCCTTGCCTTTGATTTAATGACTTGTTGCGTCATTGAGACATCCCAAGGCGCTTCACAGAATATATTGTATAGTGGAATGACTGTGTATGTGTGTGCAAAATGCAGCAGTCAATTGCACACAGCAGTGTCCCAGTTGTGGATTAAATGACCAATTTTTTTTGAGGGATTATTACCCCTGGAGAGCAATCTGCCCAATCGACCAACAACTGAGTTCCTACTTACTACTAGGTAAACAGAAGTGTGTGAAGTAATGAAACTTGCCTAAGGTTTCACCCCAGATGGGAATCAAACCCAGGTACTCTCTCAAGCTAGCCAATACACTATGGGACTCCACATCCACAAAGCAAATCCCTGGGTACTTTTCAGGATCTATTTTTGGTGATAAAAATGTGAAAAAATTGGGGGAGTAAGTGGTTTGGGAGTAACCTGATATAAAAAGTTAGCAATCCTGTGCATATGCACAACCAGATTTACACTGTTCCCGCAAACTGAACCATCAGCAGAAAAAACAAATTAGTTAATTTGGACATGTTGAAATTACGTTCTGGAGAAAACAATAGATTTCACTGATTGATATTCAGAAAAAAATATTGAAAAAGGAATTGGTGAAACTCAATCTTAAGACATTTTTACTGCATAAACGATTGCATTAAGGAACAGTGCAGTCCTCCAGTTATCCTGCACTGCTTATTTTGGCACCAGAGAAAAAGGACTTCAAAGTTTCCAATTAGCAAAATATTGTACAGGAAATGTGCAACGTTTTCAACAACAAAGAAATGGAGCAAAATGCTTACTGTGCAAATGTTCTCCAATTCCATTTGTGTACTTTTATGATCAGCAGCATGACAACAATTAGATTTTATAAGCATGCAGTAAAGCTTCGAACTCAAGGCCCAATGTTCCTAATGCTTGATTTTGGTTATCTCAGGATTATGTCTCACCATGACAAAGTTCATGTTGTTGCATGAATTTGAGCTGTTGCAACAATATTTTCAGTGAAAATGAAATATATTGTGGTGGGCATCGGGTGTTGAACTGTGAGGAAGAGGTCAAGCTCCCCCAACATGAGGGCACGTTGGCTGAGCATACCTCCTGGTGGTCAGGTTGAACTCAGAAGCCCCATAAACCTGCTGGAGAATGTAGGCAAAGCCCTGAGTGTGGACCTCTAAGAATCTTGCCAACACCAAGGTGAGTTCAAAGAGTGAGAAGGCATATGCCAAGGGAAGGGCACAGAGACTCAGGCCACAGTGCAATCTATTGCCCAGGATTATTGAGTAACTATTACATATATTTATATATAGCGCCCTTCACACAGGGTAGAGGGGTCCCAGGGCATGAAGTGATTCGTAAATGATTGTGAGGATCTTGAAGTTAATCTGTTCTGTAATAGGGAGCAAGTGGAGCCTGACAAGGACTGGGTGGTTGGGATACAGAGTTTGGTGCAGGTATGTACACAGTGATGGAGTTTTGAATTAGTTGGATTTTGTGGAGCTGGGGAAATCGGCAATTGGGGCATTGGAATCATCGAGATGGGAGATGACAAAAGCGCGGATGAGGAGTTTGGGTTGTGTTACACATTAATCTCTGAAAATGGAGCATGTAGCAAAAACGTTTGGGAACCTCTGGCCTAGTCTATGTGAGTCCAAAGTCTAAAGTGAGTTTGAGTTAGGAGTTACTGCAGAATTAGTTTTTCCAACAGGTAGTTCAGTTTAATTCTTCTTATTCCTGCTAAATAATGATTGCTTAATACCCATACACCTTGGGCAAATTTTCTTACTCCACATGCCTGATAATAATCCCTCAAAAAAATAATAAATTTGTCATTTCAATCCACGACTGTTTGTGGGACACTGCCGTGCGCAATTGGCTGCCGCATTTCGCTCACAAATATACAGTCAATTCACTTTAGTCTATTCTGTGAAGTGCTTTGAGACGTCTAGAAGATGTGAACAGCGCTATATCAAATGCAAGGATTATTATTTTGTTATTATTTATACACTTCAACCTGCTACAATATATACGAAGAGAAATACAAACAACTGTTTGTCACTGGGCTGGAAAATGTAGAAATCTACAAAGGCAGGACCCTTCCATTTGAATTGTCTAATCTGGGCATGTTTCCAGTTGGGTTTTAACAAGAAGGGCCATTCCTCATGTTGAAAGAAAGTGAAGCTTGCAGTGTGTTGGACATGTTGACCTTTAAGAAATAATTAATAATCTACTTCCAAGCTCTAAAATCGTAACCGCTGCCAAGATAAGATATAGTGGAGTCCTGTAGTTCAATGGTTAGAGCACTCGCCTCACAAGCAAGAGACCTGGGTTCGATTCCCGGCAGGGTGAAATGTTGGGCAAGTTTCCTTACTCTACACGACTCTGTTTACCTAGCAGGAAGTAGGAACCCGGTTGTTAAGTCATTTGGTGGATCACTTTTCTGGGCGTAATAATTCCTTCAAATAATAATAAATTGTCACTTCAATCCATGACTGTTTGTGGGACACTGCTGTGCGCAATTGGCTACCGGTTTTCGCCCACAAATTATACAGTCAATTCACTTTACAGTATATTCTGTGAAGTGCTTTGAGACGTCTCAAAGACATGATAAGGCACCATATCAAATGCAATTATTATTATAGTTGAGATCCTGCGTATTTATTTTACAGTATTGGTGAAAAGTTAAGTTACTTAGAGCAAGGAATGTCAGTGCTGGAGAATAGAACATTTTTCCAGTGTCCAGCATCAAGTATTCCCAAGTCAATTTGGGATTGATCTTGTGATAAAACTACGTGGCTGTATCTTCTTCAAAGAGTTCAGCTGCATCATTGCGAAAGGGCAACAAGAGGTGATGAAATTTTGATGTACCCAATTTGCACTATTTCCTGAGGATTGGTAATTACTGATTGTTTGCCATATTAGTGCGCTTACCACAAAGATCCTGCCATTAGTGTGCTCAAGTAATATAATAAATAATAACCCTTGCATTTGATATAGCGCTTTTCACTTCTTCGAGACGTCTCAAAGCGCTTCACAGAATATACTGTAAAATGAATTGACTGTATATTTTGTGGGCGAAACGCAGCAGCCAATCGCACACAGCAGTGTCTCACAAACAGTCGTGGATTGAAGCGACCAACTTATTATCTTTCTTTTCTTGAGGGATTATTATTAGGCATGTGGAGTAAGGAAAGTTGCCCATCGTTTCGCCCCGCCAGGAATCGAACCCAGGTCTCTCGAACTCCACACGTGAAGCAAAAGCAAATAATTGTTCTGTCCACAGCGAGTAAATGATCCAGTTACAGGTTGATGTAAATGGCATAAATGGCGTAAATGCAACAGTGGAACTGTGGTGTACACGTGCAGTCAGTGCATTTCCGGCTTCCTGCACTGATTGGCTACCTTTCTGCGCATAGTACACCAACGCAGTGTGTAGCAAGTGACATCAGGAGTAACTTGCTAACCAGAAACGAGACCAGAAACTATTTATTTTTCCGCACCATGTAATAATGCAAGGTCTGAATTTATGGACTCAAATCACTGCATTATAATAGAGTCGGCCTGCATGGCTTTGCATGCAGTTGTGAGTTTTAGTGAAACTTAATATCTTCTGGGGCTTTGGTACAAGAAATCAGTGAAGCCTTTGATAGTTTCCAATTCTAAATCTGGGTTTGGACAATTTTCTTTTTTGCTTTCCAATTCTGTAAGTTGTTCCATCTGTAAACTGATCATTTATAGCTTGTTTTTTCTCCATATTCATTGCATAAAAAGTAACATGATCTCAACTGAGTGTTGGTTCCCATCCAGAATTCCCATCCAGAATACAGCAAAACTAATAATAATAATCCTTGCATTTGGTATAGTGCTTTTCATGTCTTCCAGACGTCTCAAAGCGCTTCATAGAATATACTGTAAAGTGAATTGACTATATATTTGTGAATTGAATAAGTGAATTGACGGTATAAACTCTCAAAGTATCAATAATAATAATCCTTGTATTTAATATAGCGCCTTATCATGTCTTCGAAACGTCTCCAAGGTCTTCACAGGGCAAACTGTAAAGTGAATTGATTGCATATTTTGTGGGTGAAATATGCTGTATATTTTACAATCCAGTAATACTGGACTATAAGATAATCCAACAGTTTTAACCTCAACATAATCAGTAAAGTCAGGCCCTTCCACAAGAGTTGGGGTTATTCTCCACGGGGTAGGAAGTAAATCATAGACAGTAGGTGAAAATATTCTTGTGGGGGATGGGGGGGTGGGGTGAGTAGAACTCACATGCTCTTTTAGACAGGTGAGCTTGACTGGTCTGTCTTAACTTGCCAGTCGACTTGACTGGCAGGTCCATTGGCTAATCAGAAGTGAAGTGAAGATGCCCCAATGCGCAGGCCATCATATTAGAATGGGACTCCCGGGCACTGCCAAAGAACTGGGAGAGGGGCAAGATGCAAGGATGTGATTATTACTACAATACCATAGGACAGTTTTTTCCCAGGTTGTCTTTTTCAAATCCCTTTGTGCCCTGGCGCCTCCCTACCTCTCCATCCTGCTTATTCCCCAACCTACTACCCGCTGCCACTGCTCGACTGGCTCCAGCCTCCTGCATGTCCCTTGTGCCCTCTGTTCCACCATCGATGGTCGCGCTTTCAGCCACTATGCCTCGAAACTCTGGAATACTCTTCCTCTATCCCTCCACCTGCCCCTCCCCCCAGCTCAGTGTCATGCTCCGCTACTGTCAGGTGCTCTGGGACGCTATCCTGCATGAGAGGCACTATATAAATGCAAATGATTGTTGTTGTTTTCCAGCACATATCATTGAACTATCTGTGAGACACCTGTCCTGGTTGTATTCAGCATCATGATGTTATGGCACTGAATGGATTGGCAAGTTTATTCCTAAGAGGTTTTAAACTGAGGTACTCTTATCTTTCTCACAACCTTGTTATTTCGAAAAGATACAGGTTGTGTCCATAAAAATATTTTTCTACATTATCCAAATGACCTGTTGCAATATTTTCCATTAAGAACTTGTTTAGATGGACCTCCGTTCCTCTGGGTTTTCATATTCGGACTTTATTATGGTCAGAGCTGCCAAGAGGTATCTGCAAACCCTCAGTACGCCATCCAGACCTCTGCTTCTGCAGTGCAGTGGCAAAGAAAACATCACTACTTTGGGGAACAGATTCTTCTCCACATTGAAAGTTCCCCTTCCCCTCCCAGCCCCCACCACGAATCCCCCCCCCACCACCCCCCTTCACCTCTTATGTCCAATTTCCACCTCAGTAACTAACTGGAAAACTTCTGCTGATCTCATGCCCAAGATAAGTCGATATGATTCTAGCATTTTGACAGCAGTTTGGATACCATGTTAATGGAGAGCTTGCAGCTCTAAGATGGCAAATTGTAGTTTTTCTGTCTGTCGTGCATTTTGTGAACAGGTCAACACATATCACACACAATGCTGAATTGAACATAACCAGTTAACACAATCAAAATTGAATTAAGTGGAAATATTATGAATACCCAGCACATCTATGGAATAATATACAATAGTTCCAGACCCTGTAATAACGTACAGAGTGGGTCCATTTATAGCAAGGTCACATTACTGCAAGTTTCACATAATTCATACTTTGCATAAGTCATATTAAATGTATGGTCCCAACTGATATGACTTATGTGAGGTTTACTGTATACACTTCAGCCTGAGCCCTCAAAATGAAACCTATAGAATCAGGAGAACTAACAGAGGTCTGAAATCATTTATTCAAATCTTTGAGTAACAAAAAAAATGACTTTCTATTGCTCAAATACATGTTTGTAAAACATTTTAGGAATAAGCTTCCTGAATTTTGTTTAGAAACCTTGGTACTGGACAACATCTACTGGTTACTGGATATTGGCCTATTCACTCGTTTGTTGCTCAATTGTATTGGCCTGTCTGACAGATCAGTGAAAGAAATGACTTCCAAATACAAAATAATAATAATAAATAATAATCCTTGCATTTGATATAGCGCAAGGATTATTATATTATTTATTATTATGATTCAGAAACTGTATAAGAAAAGTTCTGCAATTCCCCATATTCCTCCACTTATATGTTACACTAATTTAGAAGACAAATTTATAATTAAAGCATATGTTGCAGATGTTCCTGCAGAAGATAGAAAACACATGGAGGTTTTTAAAAAAAAATACAAAGTTCATAGAGAACCTAAAGAACAAATTAAACTTGTGAGGGCTAAAAGAGAGCGTTTTTTGTTTTAACCACAGAGAAGAGATTTTTTTTGAACACACATAGGAAGGGATCTTTGTTCGAGCTTTGGGCGGAAAGATGTTGACAACATTCTCACGCATTTCATGCTGAACTATGTAGCCTACCAGGAAGCTCGCAGGGAGTCAGTTGGTCATTTGATCAATTACCAAGTTAATCAGTAATTGATCGATATGATTAGTATTATAAAATTTGCCAGACCTTATATTTTGCTGTACAAAAGTAGTAGTAGCACCAGCACGGAGAAGAGATGGACAGCATTTTCAGTAACTGAAACACTCCTCAAACACAGCACTTGCAGCATTGTTTCCTTGCAACAATATGTGATGCGCACTTGAAAGGGACCATCTGACTTTTGCAGAAGCAACTTGACCTAAAGAAAATGAAATGAGTATCCCTTCAAAGGTTTTAATGTTCTAACCTTTGCACATTAGTATCTCAAAAGCACCAATACCATCTCATATTTAACTGCAGAACTCATCAGTGTTAAAACTCAGGCTGCAAACTTATACTTCAACGGACGTGGGCCATGGAATTGGTTTGTTTGCCAAGTTTAAACAGGGTTCTTATTAATACTAAATCAACCTAACACTCCGAAATGAGGTAAGCAGAATAAGTCCCTCATGGAGAGAATGTGCATTCCATTCCAATATTCAAGTGTTTCCATGTGTAGGTGGGTGCATGGAACTATTGATTTGGTTTGGATACTCTTAAGCATGGTGATGGATTTCCCCATGTGTCACACACCTGACTGATCAAAAAAATATAGGTCAATAGTTTTCTATCAAGTAATGTTTGGAAGTTGGTTGCACAGTGGAGCTGAACGAGGATGGAGGAAGCGCTTCAAGATGCCATCTGCCATGAAGGGTGCTATATGAATGCAAGTTCTGGTTGTTCAAGAGCCTGATGGGGTCTGAGAAGTCACCAGAACTATCATGTACAGCAGATTCCCTGAAGAAATGTTCAGTTGGAGGATGATCCATTACCACTCAGCAGGTTTCCACTTGGCACATTTTAGACACCATTTCCCAATAATGTAGCAAGCATCCAAGACCTACATTGGTCGGCTGTTTTGCACTGAAATCAAGCCATTTCGTCTAGGATTGGAATATCAGTAAATATCACACCGATTAATTGTTAATTAGAAGCACTTAAATCCCTTCCCCATTACCAACAACAGGAGTTCAAGCAAACATACACTTTAACGTAAGAAAATTGTGTTTACCAAAATGAGATAATGAGAATGTATAATAAAGCCCCTCGCTCTGGCCAGTGATATAAATTTAAATTAAACAAGCAGCAACAACAACAAATTACATTTGTATAGCGCCTTTCACGTCAGGAGGATGTTCCAAAGCACTGGACAGTCAAGTATCCAGACCTGAGCTGGTGTTTGGGATCAGGAGGGGTGGAGGGTGGGAATGCGAGCAAGCACTATACACTTTTTTTTNAAAAAGTACTAAAATAAGAAAAATATGTTTGTAACTTACTTCAATTGTCTTGGGATAGAGATGTGTGCTAGGGAAATTGTGCTTGTAAACTTCATTAGCAACAGTATTGATGTCAATCGCAGCAATGACTTCTGCAGGAATGCAACTTTCTGCAACAGAGAAAAAAATATGCATTGCAGCAATTTTATCTGATGTCACTCCATTGCAGAGCTCCATTGCATTGTTTGAGGTGCCATCCATTGGATTAGACTTCAAGTCGAGGTTCTGTCTGCCTGTTCAGATGAACGTTAAAGATTCCACAATACTATTTGTAAAGAAAGAGACTTTTCCTGGCCAACAATCCCCCAGTTAAAATTACTCGTTCATTTCATGTCTGCTGCTTTTGCCTGCAACAATTATTATAATAATTGTGGCGTTCAATAATATTTGTCAAGGGATACTGCGATGTCTTAGTTTACTATTTATGAAAATACTGGTTAAACTTGTGCATAACATGTTTTAATGCAGGTAAATGGAGAGAATTACCCTTAGCTTATCTAATTACAATACAAACTTACATTTATACAGTGCCTTTCGTGTCGGGAGGACGTCCCAAGGCCCCTAACTTTCCTGGCTTAGCACCCTGGCTGGGGCTGGGAGCGAAGGGGGTGGGGAGGGGAAAGATAACCCAAGGCATGGTCGAAGAGGTAGATCTTGAGACAGACCTTGAAAAACGTGAGGGATCTAGTCAGAGAGACTCTGGGACGGAGTTCCAGAAAGTGAGTAAAAGCCCGACCGTAAATGTTAGGGCATGGTACGTAAAGCAGGCCGGTGCCCCCTTGAGAGAAGGGAGTGGCCAGATCGGTACAGTTTGAGGAGGTTGTAAAGGTAGGTTGGAGCAAAACCTTGGAGAATTTAAAGGTCACTAACCAATGAAAAGGACTGAGTAAAATAATAAAAGGCCTTGCATTTGATATCATGATTTCGAGACGTCTCAAAGTGCTTCACAGAATATACTGTAAAGTGAATTGACTGTTTATTTTGTGGACAAAACGTGGCAGCCAATTGCACACAGCGGTGTCCCACAAACAGTCATGGATTGAGTGACCAATTTATTTATTTATTTATTTGTGGAGGGATTATTACCCCCAGAAAAGCGATCCGCCAATCGACTAACAACCTTCTTACTGATAGGTAAACAGAGTTGTGTGGAGTAAGGAAACTTGTCCAACGTTTGCCTTACCTGGAATACCATGCATAGAACTTCTGTACATCTTGTATATAAAATATTTTACATAAAGTCAAAAAGTTCCATGTTATTTATTAATAATAATTGTTACATAGCACCTTTCACATCAGGAGAATGTCCCAAAGTGCTTCACAGGATACACTGTAAAGTGTAGTGACTGTGTGCTTTGTGGTGGAACCTGGAAGTTAGGTTGCGCACAGCAATGTTCCACAAATAGCCATGAAGTGAATGACCCATTTTATTGGGGGATTGTTGGCCAGAACAACAGGAGAAACTGCTTTCTCTTTTACAGCAGTGTATGAGATCTTAAACGTCCACTTGAAAAAGCAGACAGGCGCTTGGCTTAACTTCTCATCCGATGAACGTATTTTAGAAGACATATTTCACATGATTACAAGTGGCAAGCAGGTTACAAAGTGATAAAATGTTCTCGTCTCAAAAAAGCAGAACCGTCAGGCCCACAAAGATTAACATCAAATTCTTATCCAACTGTTTTGGCAATTTCACAAAGAATATAAGAGCCATAAAAGCTGGAAGCTCCAATGCCACCAAACCCATGAGAATCTAGTTTCACATATTCAATGCACAGCAGGAAATATCTGTGGTTTAAGGAAGTGGGTATGATTCACTGCTTAAAACTTTCAGCCTTAAACTCCTACAGATTTCACAGTATTACTCATGTTCAGCTGAATAGAAAAAAAAACAATGTTTGATCCAGATCTGTTCATCATTAATATAAACGGACATAAAAGAGGTTTGATTCAGTCAAAACAACAACAACTTCCATTTATAGAGTGCCCTCCACGCGGGTAGCATCCCGGAGCACTTACATACAAAAATGTATGTATGGTGGTAAAGTATACACAGAATTTACATTTGAATATAGCTTTCTGTTAACTTGTGGGACATTTCTGTGGGCAAATTGGCTGCTGGTATGCCTACAATATGTCCTCTCCCTTGAAAGGTGTTTTATCGAATGCAAGGATAATTATTATTTTATTATAGGACCTGATTGGCAGCTTTATCAGCAATCAACTAGTAATTCTTATTTATGTTATTAGCAATTGCCAATTTCCATGGCAACTCAAAAAGGTTACTAAATGTGTTTTACTCAACAATCATAAAGCTTGGCACGAATGTAAATTGGATGGGAGAAACTCTTCAATTAAGTATATGTCAAAGGGTAATGGCATATGGAAGTCATATTTGTAATACCACAGAGTAATAATGGCCTGAAGAGATCACAAGAACTCCACAAGAGTCATTACAAAAACGACATCACAAGTGGTATTTTCCAAGTACCAATTTTCCCCAAGTCACACGATTGCAATTAAGTTTTGTTTATATTTATACATTTCACCAACGGATGGTTGGAGACAAATGAATGTTCCGTTTGCTGCGTTATTGAGGTACAACAAACAATCAATCAGATATTAAGTCTGATTGATGAGATCATGACTCGGTCTATTTTTGGGGTGTAGACCGAGTCATGATCTCATCAATAAGAATTACTATCTGATTGATTATTCTTGTACCTCAATAACGCAGCAAATGGAACATTCTATGTCCAATGCATGATTCTATATATATTTCAAAATATAGTGTAGGATACAGTATAAGTGCTAATTTTGCAGTAATGGGGGGGCTCTGCACTACAATTATGAAGGTCTTCACCTTCAAGTTAACTTAACCCTTAATGTCAGTCTAGCTCAATTGAAAAGATCTTCAATTGCCTCTGAAAACACAACCTCCGAGTCAGAAGGTTGTGGGTTCAATCCCTGCATTGGGACTCGAACTCACGTAGTCCAAGCTGACACTCCAATGCAGTGCTAGGTGTATTGCATTGTCAGAGGTGCCGTCCTTCGGAAGAGTTGTTAAACCAAGATTTTGTCTGCATGTTTAGGTGAACGTTAAAGATCCCATGGCACTATTCAAAAAGAGAAGGGAGTTTCTCCCGATGTCCTGGCCAACAACCCCCCCAAATAAAATTGGTCATTCACTTCATGACTATTAGTGGGACATTGTTGTGTGTAATTGGGCTGCTGCATTCACCTACAAATACACTCGCTCCATTGCACAACATATCCTGTGAAGCGCTTTGAGATGTCTTCCCAATGTAAAAAGGCGCTTTATCAAATGCAACGATTATTATTATTAACAAGATGACTGCTCAGATTCTATAAAAACTTGCATTTATATCACACTTTTCTTGGAAGATGACTGTCTCAAAGCATTTCACAACAATGGTAGGAATCCCTGATGAGGGAAGAAAGGTGAGGGAGTTTGAGGGGTTCACCAAAGGCAAGATCAAAGCAATATAATTTGAAGGTAGCATTGATAGTAGGATGCAGCGAGGAAGAAACAGAAGACAGCCATTGGAATGATGATGGGTACAGACAGAATAGAGCTGGAGGAAATAAATTGCAGAGTGGGCAAGATCTTGAAGGGATTTCTTGATCTTAATGTCGATCTGCTGCAGTACTTGGTACCAGCAGAGCCTTGTGAGGATGGAGGTAAAAATGTGAATAGCCAGGACAGGATCCGAGACAAGTAATTTTGAGATTATAAATAATAATCCTTACATTTGATATAGTTTTCATGTTGGGAGGACATTCCAAACTGCTTCACAGGATTTACTGCAAAGTGTAGTGACTGTGGATTTTATAGTTGAATGCGGCAGCCAATTTGTGCACCCCAATGTCCGACAAGTAGACACAAAGTGAGTGACCAATCATATTTTGGGGGAATTATTAGCCAGGGCACCAGAAAATACTCCCTTCTCTTTTCAAATAGTGTTATGCAATCTTTATAAAGTCCACCAACATAAGGAATTAAGATGCGTCGTCATGAAGATTGGGAATTAGCCTTTTCAAATTTTAACTGGCTGAGCACTACACTGAAGGTCAGCATAGCCTCTGTTTCTGCAAATATAAATCCACAGTTCTAAGGTGCCAGACTTTCTATTTCAAAGCACAAACGTTGGACAAGCAGATCTGTGTGTTAACTCTATAACTGTTCTGCTCCATGCAATTAGCGGTCTCGTTTCACCCACAAAATGACAGTTAATTCACTTTACAAATATTTTAGCAACAAAATTACATTTGTAAAGCGCCTTTCACGTCGGGAGGCCGTCCGTCCAAAGGCGCTGAACAGTCGGAGATTAGGACCTGAGCATGGGGGGGCAGGGTTGGGGTGAGGGAGTGCATAGAGGTAGGAGGGCGGCTGAAGGCACGGTCGAAAAGGATGGTCTTGAGTTGTGCCTTGAAGGGGGCAAGACGAGGGAGCAAGGGGATGGGATTGTGGGATGGAGTTACAGAGGGTGGGCCGAGAGGCTGTAGAGGGTTGTCCTCAGGGAGAGGTTTCCTAACATTCCTAATATTGATTAACTAGCAGTTCGCCACAAATGTTTAATTGCTGAAATAGGATGGAAAAGAAAACAATTGTAGCACTTCTTCAGAAACCTGAGAATGGAATCTGGCAGGAAAACAGTCTAAATTTCCAGTTGGTAAGTTTGTATTGTGTAAGGATGCCAAGAGGTGATAAAAGGCTGCTTTTAAGTTTAACATTGCATCTGAAAATTTACATAAAAGTTGTTCGCAGAAAAGCTTCGAACAGCTGGAAGACTGCTTTGCTGTTTCTCACATAAATAAAAACATGAAAGAACAGGCATGTCGTAATAGAGTGCTTTAGATCCTTTTTATTTTCGTCACCAAATAAAAGTAAACTTAACGAAACAGAACATTGTATCTTCAGCTAAGTGCTGCAGCACGTTTCAGGTATTATAAAATTTGTACAATCTACCGATACAGAATTCCACAGCAAATTATAATGCTGTTAGACCCTAATTTTTATGAAATTCTGCCAAGCATATACATTAGGAATCTAAATTGAACATTATTTGGCCCCACAATGCAGGTTGTCTGCTCATCTCATCCTTCTTCATGGAACATCACTATGTGTTGGTCTATACACAACATTCACAAAGCTGCCAACAATTTCCCCAGATCAGCACTTGGTCAACGTTCACAGTTTCGACATAACGTTTCTCAGCTGCCATCTGAGAATCCGAGCCATTGCTCGGGCTCGGCTGTTTGGTGAGGTTTTTTATTTGGTCCACCCGGTATCTGACCCAAGTAGAAATCCATTCTCATGTATAAGATTATCCAAACCAGATGGAGAGTTCCATATTTAGCACCGAACGTTGCCATTTTTTTTGGTCTGGAACGGAATGCGTACTTTCTCCTCGGAGGGCGCAAAGCAACCCTTTTACCTAATTTTGGAGAGTCTGAAGACACGAGTTGTGTCATGCTCCGGGCGTGGGAGGCGGGAGGCGGACACGGTCTGCTTGTGAACCCGACCGGGGGGGCGGGTGGGGGGGGAGAGCCCGGGGGGGGGGGAGCCGGGGGGGGGGAGAGCCCGGGGTGGGGGGGGAGCCTGGGGGGGGATGGGGGAGTGCCGAGGGGGGGGATGGGGGAGAGCCGGGGGGGGGGGGGAGAGCCCGGGGTGGGGGGGGGGGGGAGAGCCCGGGGTGGGGGGGGGGGGGAGAGCCCGGGGTGGGGGGGGGGGGGGGGGAGAGCCCGGGGGGGGGGGGGGGGGGGAGAGCCCGGGGGGGGGGGGAGAGCCCGGGGTGGGGGGGGGGGGAGCCCGGGGTGGGGGGGGGGGGAGAGCCCGGGTGGGGGGGGGGGAGAGCCCGGGGGGGGGGGGAGAGCCCGGGGTGGGGGGGATGGGGGGAGAGCCGGTGTGGGTGGGGGAGAGAGAGCCTGGGGGTGGGGGGGGTAATGCTGGAGTGTAACCAGGTTAAGCCCACACGGTGTGTGAGTGACATGATGGCCGGGCTGGGCCGGGTTGCCCCGGGGCTGGGCCGGGGCCGGGCAGGGCTGGGCTGGGCCGCCCCGGGGCTGGGCCGGGTTGCCCCGGGGCCGGGCTGAGTTGCCCCGGGGCCGGGCAGGGCTTTGGTTGGAGGGTTATCAGGGGCTGAGCGGGAGGATTCCCGGCCTCTCGCCTCTCGGCCCCACGTTACCTCTGAGCGCCCAGTGCATCCCCCCGATACCGCTGTACAGCTCCAGCACCCGCGGCCCCGGCCCCGGCCTCGGCCTCGGCTCCCCCCGAGCGGCGGCCTCCATCTGCGGCTCCGGCTGTGCCCGAGCGGCGGGACCCGGGTCTCGGCTGTGCCCGAGCGGCGGGGCCCGGGTCTCGGCTGTGCCCGAGCGGCGGGGCCCGGGTCTCGGCTGTGCCCGAGCGGCGGGGCCCGGGTCTCGGCTGTTTCTCGGGGCCTCAGTCCCGCCACCTCCGGCAGCCGCGACCTCCCGTCACACCTCGTCACTGACCCAGTCACGTCATCACACCTTATATACACCCTATAGCTGTACACCCTATAGATATACACCTCATACATATGCATTCTATGGGTATACACCTTGTAGATATACATCCTATATAGGTCTTGTGGGTGTAAAGCCCATAGATATACCCCCTATAGGTATGTACCCTGTAGATACACACCCTATAGATATGTGTCCTGTACATATAGGTCCTGTGGGTGTAGCGTCTATACATATACACCCCATAGATGCACATCCTATAGATATACACCCTGTACACATACGCTCCATAGATATACACCCTATAGATATACACCCTATGCACATACGCTCCATAGATATACACCCTATAGATGTACGCCGTATAGATATGTCGTCTATGCAGATATACGCTACAGATATACACCCTATATGGATATACACCATATAGATATACACATTATAGAGCCATATAAATATACGCTGAATAGATATACATCCTACAGATATACACACTATAGATATACACCATATGGATACACACACTACATATTTGCACACCATATGGATATACATACTGTAGATATACACACCATATACAACAACAACAACAAAATTACATTTATAGAGCACCTTTCACGTCGGGAGGATGTCCCAAAGCGCTGAACAGTCAGGTGTCGGGGCCCGAGCATGGGGGAGGGGTGGTGTAGGTCTTGATACCGGCCTTGAAGGAGGCAAGGGATATACTCAGATCCATATAGATATTATACACACTTGTGCACCATATAGATATATACAGACCCATGCACCATATAATAATCCTAGCATTTGATATAGCGTCTTATCACATCGTTGAGACGTCTCAAAGCGCTTCACAGAATATACTGTAAAGTGGAGTGACTATATTTTGTGGGCAAAACGCAGCAGCCAATTGCACACAGCAGTGTCCCACAAGCAGTCGTGGATTGAGTGACCACATTTTTTNGAAGGGATGGACTATTACCACCAGAAAGTGATCCACCAATCGACTAACAAGCGAGTTCCTACTTACTGCAAAGTAAACGCGTGTGTGTGGAGTAAAGAAACTTACTTAAGGTTTTGCCCTGTCCTGCCTGGGTATCGAACCCGGGTCCTTGCTAACCAGTGCTCTAACCACTATGCTGCAGGGGTTATCACTGACCTTGGGTGATCCTGTGGTGTGGTGGGGGCTGAGCCTGGGGTTAGGGGGTAGTATATCTATACATCCATAAATATAGATATTACTACAAACCAATATACCATACAGATATTATACATAGACCCATATATCATTTAGATAATATACATAAACCCATATCCCTCATAGGTATATATTATACATAGATCCATACACCATGTTGATATATATAGACCCTTACATCAGATAATATTATACATAAACTATGGAGATATATACACAATATAGATATGTTATGCATAAACCTATACACATCATACATACTATACATAAATAAACCAACCATATAGACATATTATACATATAACAACAACTTGTATTTATATAGCACCCTTCACACCTGATGGCATCTCGGAGCGCTTTGCTATGGTATAGTATATACTGGTATACTATATATTTTTCATGAACCTATATACTGTTTGCTCTCTATACACTATAGATACAGACTATGTGTTTACTCTACATGCATTACATACATTATAACATACATATACTTTATACACATTGTCAAAAAAAAATCATTTTCTTTAATTGAGACAAGTTAGCATGGGGATACTACTTTTCAAAGGGGAAATCATGGTACCGGTTTGAATGGCACAGCAAACACCAATAAACACCTTGGCTTCAACATCCTCACAAACAAGACACCGATCTGCCCAATCAGACCACCATTATCATCTCTCACCGAAACTCTGATGAATATGCTCCTGGCCCCAGGTGCTATGCCCCCGCAATCTAAACTAATCCTTATCAATGTCCTGTCTTTATTGTGTCTTTCACACAATGATGGAGATGGAGTCTAAGAGAGGAGAGTTCTCAAAACAAGGGAGAGTAGGAAAAACAAGACAGTGGGGAAAACAAGTGAGACTGGGGAAAACAAGGAGATAAGCAGATTGGAGGGAGGATTGCTTGGTGAATCTCCTCTGGGAACTGAGAGAGGATCCAGATCTTTCAATGCGTTGAATCTAAGATCGAGTGTAGTATCTGTTCTTATCACTTATTCCTTGGGTTGTACAGTTCCTGGCAGTGAGCTCAGCCTTTGAGGTCTTGGATCGGTGTAGCCACCATTCGTTCTGAGCCTCCCCCTGATTTATTCAACAGCAACAACAACTTGAATTTATATAGCGCCCTTCATGCAGGATAGCGTTCCAGAGTGCTTCACAGTGGCGGAGTCTGACACCGAGCCAGGGGGAGAGGAAGTGAGAGGTGACCGTAAGCACAATCAAAAAGGAAGGTCTTTAGATGAAATTTGAAAGTGGGGAGAGAAAGGACAAGGTGGTGTTTTGAATCAATTGTCTTTTGTGTATGGTGGAGCTGGGGAGACCAGCGAGAAGGGCATTGGAATAGTCCAGCCAGGAAGTGACAAAGGCGTGGACGAGGGTTTCGGCTGTTTTGGTTGTGAGATAAGGACGGAAGCAAGTAATGTGACAGGTGGAAAAAAGGGAACGGATGTGGGGTAGAAAGGAAAGCTGGGGATGGAAACCTGATCAACTCTAGGTTGCGCACGGGCTCGGTGAGTATGAAGGAGAGCCCGGGCAGGTCGAGGAGTTCAGACCCGCAGGAGTGAAGATGTTCATGGGAGCCAAAGAGTATGGCTTCCATCTTGCCAACATTCAGCTGCAGGAAATTTGTGCTCGTCCAGGTCTTGACGTCCGTCAAACAAGCTAACAAGACATCAGTGGACGGAGTCACAGCTGGAGGAAGAGATGTAGATTTGGGGGCCATCCCCATTCATGTGGAAGTTGACATTGCCGAGAGGGAGCATGTAGATGAGGAAAAGAATGGGGTCAAGAATGAAGCCGGGGTGCTCCACAAGTGGTACCCAAACGAGGAAAAAACATTTGCCAAGATGTATTGTTGATGGTTTATTAAGTAGGACTCGAATCATGCGAGCGTGGTCCCACTAAGGTGGTTGAGGGAGTAGAGGCGGTAGAGGAGAGTTGGCATGAGCGACTGTGTCGAATGCGTGGAGAGGTCTTTGGAAAATGAGGAGGCAGAGGGAGCCTTGATCACAGAGAGAATGTCATTTGTTACTTTGATGAACGCTGTCTCTGTGCTGTGGGCAGGGCGAAAATCTGCCCACAACACAGAGAAAAACAATTCATGGGATACAGAGACACCTTAGAGCAGAATTGCCAGCCCTCGACCCCTTTTAGCTAGGATTGGGATTGCAGGGACCTCATTCTGAGGTGTATGATCCACCTTCACAAGGAGGAGTGGAGAAACTGGTAGATGGATCTACCCTGACCCCAGGCTCAGATTGAGCTTGCCGAGATCGGAGAGGTGATATGGCCACTTGAATTGTTTGAGTTGTCGTGAGCAAGGAATTGGGCTCCTGTCGCCATTTGATGATTTGGGACCCACAAACTGCCGTTCCCATTTGTGGGTCCCAAATATTAAAAGAGTTGAAGTAACATCACCTCTACCTGTAAAGGTCATTCGTTCTCGTTCACATTATTATATCAAACAACAACAAGATTTCATTTATAGAGCGCCTTTCACGTCGGGAGGACGTCCCAAGGCGCTGGACAGTTGGGTCGGGACCCGAGCAGGGGGGAAATGGTCAGGGTGAGGGGAGGGAAGGGAGGGAGGGAGCGAGGAGGGGGTAGAGAGTCGAGAGGGGAGCTGAAGGCACGGTTGAAGAGAAACGTCTTGAGACCGGCCTTGAAGGAGGAAAGGGAGGAAGCAAGGCGAAGGCACTGGGGGATGGAGTTTCAGAGCCTAGGGGCTGAGAGGCTGATAATAATAAAATAATCCTTATGTGAAAGGAGGACATATCAATGTAAATTGGAGTCCAATAGCATAATGGTTAACACATTCACCTCACTAGTGAGAGGTCCCAGGTTCAATTCCTGGGCAGGGTGAAACCTTAGGCAAGTTTTCTTACTCCACAAGCCTCGGTTTACCTAGTAGCAAAAAGGAATCCGGTTATTAGTCAATATTCATATCGCTTTCTGAAGTTAATAATCCTTCGCCCCCAAAAAATTTAGTTACTCAATCCACGATTGTTTGTGGGATACTATTGTGTGCAGTTGTCTGCCATGTTTCACAAAATACACAGTCAATCCACTTTACAATATATTCTGTGAAGCGCTTTGAGACGTCTGAATGGCATGATAAGGCGCTATATCAAATGCAAGGATTATTATTATTAAATCGGTATTGTATATCCTTTACATGTCCTATTTATAATATCTACACAACCCATATCCGATTGATTACACACAGGGCTCTAACTCTCAACGCAGGCGCACTTGGAATCTTGACTCGCCACGTGGTGATATAAGCCAGGGGCCCTGGAGGAGAGGAAAGCTGCCACCACTGCTGCCAAGATGATGATGAGTACGTTAGCAATCCGCCACTTGAGATTGCCACAGAGTATTGACTTGTTTCTGACATTCTGACACTCCAAGGATATCACCTTGGAGTCAGGTCAGCTTTAAAGTACCTCTTGCACACACACACCCCCACCTTCCCGGGAAGAATTAGAGCAAAATACTAATGATGATGAATAAGGCAAGCAGACAAAGTCACTGAAAAAATGGGAAAAAAGGAAAACAAAACATGAAAGTTTCCAAGGAACAGGAAGAAAAATAGAACAACAAGGGGCAATATTGTGGAAGAAATTGAGTAATGGATTGAAAATAGAAAACAAAGTGTTCTTCTGTTCATTGTATAACAAACAATAAATAATAATAATAATAATAATCCTTGCATTTGATATAGCGCTTTTCACGGCTTCTAGACGTCCCAAAGCGCTTCACAGAATATACTGTAAAGTGAATTGACTGTATATTTGTGGGCAAACACGGCAGCCAATTGCGCACAGCAATGTCCCACAAACAGTCGTAGATTGAAGATGACCAATTTATTATTGTTTTATTTTTTTGGAGGGATTATTATTAGGCGTGTGGAGTAAGGAAACTTGCCCAAGGTTTCGCCCTCTGCCTGGAATTGAACTCAGGTCTCTCACTTGCAAAGCGAGTGCTCTAACCACTGAGCTACAGGACTCCATAAAATGATATGACTCTTCAAAGTTGGACAACTGAGAGAATGGAAGAAGAACAAAAGTTGGAAAATTAATCTAAAAGGGGAAGGAACTGAGTAAGAAGGGAAGGAACTGAGAAAGGGAACTATTTTTCATCATATAGTCTCAAAGGTACTTTATCTTTGCTCTTAATAGACACTTGGAATCATAATATGGAATGTGGTGTTCAAGCACTGCATAATGTACTGCAACATTACAATATGCCTATAAGTCAGCAATTATGGGTAAAAGATCAAAAATCAAAAATAAGTAAAATACTTTTTGTATGTATATCTTGATGCTACCTTGTGTGAAGGGCGCTATGTAAATGCATGTTGTTGTTATCAAGACTTCTCAAAGCACTTCACAGGATATACTGTAATGTGGGGAATATATACATTTTGAATTATTTTAATGTGTTAAAGGCTTGTCTTCTGTCTATGAAATTATCCGACCACTTGTAGGAACTTAATATTAGCAGAAGTTGCAGTTATGCAATATATAACGGGCACTGCATTTCACCACTTAATAAAATGTGATACTCAAGATATTGACAAAAGCCTTGCGTTTAACCTACAAGTGATTGCCTGAACCAACTAGCAGTGACAGTTGCAATAATAATAATAATCCTTGCATTTGATATAGCACCTCAGCAGGTCTTCAAGACATCTCAAAGTGCTTTACAGGATATACTGTAAAGTGAATTGGCTGTTTATTTTGTGGGTGAAACACAGCAGCCAATTGCATCACTCTCAGCGATTGGTTGAGTTACTTGCCATCCTAGTCACAGAGGTTCTTGCTTCATAATATATGGTGGTTAGGAGTTTTGCTATAAATATCAAACAGTTGGTGGGTCACCACTGCCTTGGTCTTCTGCTGCTGAGCTAACACATGCGCTCCAGACGAATTGTTACAAGAAAGAAGCAATCACCAAAAAGATTACAAAATGACTTATTCTGAGGGCAGTGTGAATTCCCGAAGGATACCTATGCGAGTAAGACTAAGCACAGGATCACCTGGCTCAAACTCGACCCCGACTCTTTTATTTCAGAGAAGCAGCATCCAGAAGTCCATCAGAACCAATTCTCCAATTGCTCGGTATAGCAGTGCTTCCCTTGGGAGCAAACGCAGTGATATTGACATGGCAGACTTCTCCTTGGTGGACGGTTTCAGCAGCGAGTACAAAGCCACTCGCACCAATGAGAAAGAAGAGATGACAAAGTTGAACAACCGTTTTGCCAACTTCATCGATAAGGTGAGGTTACTGGAACAGCAGAACAAGATCCTTAGTGCTGAGCTGGAGCAATGGAAGGGGAAAGGGTCATCCAAGATTGGAGATCTTTATGAACAGGAGCTGAGAGATGTACGTCACCATCTGGACCAGACCATCAAGGAGAAAGCCAAGGTTCAGTTGGAAAGAGAGAACCTGATTGATGATTTGAAGAAGCTCAGGAGCAGGTATTTTTATTTTCACTCTCTATATTTATTCCATTCTCACTCTATACCTATATTCCATTCTTTACCTATATTTAAAAAGGGAAAAAGAACAAGCCCAGGGAATTATAGACCCGTCAGCTTCACATCGGTGATAGGAAAGATAATGGAATCCTTACTGAAGGAGGTAATAGAAAAACATCTAGAAACGGAAAACATAATAAAGAACAGTCAGCACGGATTTCAAAAAGGAAGGTCATGGTTGACCAACCTCATTGAATTCTTTGAGGGGTAACAGAAAGAGTAGACAAGGGTAATGCGGTAGATGTAATATATTTAGATTTCCAAAAGGCATTCGATAAGGTACCACATAATAGACTAATGAATAAGGTCAGAGCATGTGGAGTCAGGGGAAAATAGCAGAATGGCTAGCAAGCTGGCTGCAAAACAGAAAGCAGAGAGTAGGGGTACAGGGTAGCTACTCAGACTGGCAGGGGGTGGGCAGTGGTGTTCCACAAGAATCGTATTGGGACCACTGTGTTCACAATATACATAAATGATTTGAATTCGGGAATCAGCAGTACAATTTCAAAATTTGCAGATGACACCAAATTGGGGGGAGTAGTTAATAAAGAGGAGGCCTGCCACAAATTACAGCAATACGTTAATAAACTTGCTCAATGGGCATTTAAATGGCAAATGCATTTCAATGTAGAAAAGTGTGAAGTGGTACATTTTGGTAGAAGGAATAAGGAAGTCACGTACATCCTGGAAAATAAAAACCTAAATGGGGTAGAGGAACAAAGGGACCTAGGGTTACACATACACAATTCACTAAAAGTAGCAATGCAGGTTAATAAGGTCATAAAAAAGAAAAACAGTTATTGGGGTTCATTTCTAGAGTGATAGAAATGAAAAGCAGGGAAATTATGGTAAATTTCTACAGAACCTTGGTTAGACCACACTTAGAATACTGTGTGCAGTTCTGGTCCCCACATTAAAGAAGGAATGTAGAGGCACTGGAGAGGGTGCAAAGGGGATTCACAAGGATGATCCCAGAACTGAGAGGTTATACCTATCAGGAAAGGCTGAACATACTTGCATTATTTTCTCTTGAAAAGAGGAGGGTAAGGGGTGACCTGATAGAGGTCTTTAAAATCATGAAAGGTTTTGGTAGGATAGACATAGGGAAGATGTTTCCACTTGTGGGAGAGACCAAAACCAGAGGCCATGAATATAAAATAGTCACAAATAGATTAAATAGGGAACTTAGAAGAAATTTCTTCATACAGAGAGTAGTGGGAATGTGGAACATGCTACCACAAGGAGTTGTTGAGGCAAATAGCATAGATATATTTAAGGCAAAACTAGATAGGTACATAGGGAGAAAGGAATAGAAGGTTATGTTTGAAGGCTTAGTTGAGGAAGGGCAGGAGGAGGCTCATCTGGAGCATAAGCACTGGCATAGACCAGTTGGGCCGAATGGCCTGTTTCTTTGCTATATATTCTAATGTATTTGATGAGGATTGTTATTCATCACCTGTTACTGATAAAAAAAACCTTTGTGAGTAGACTTCTCTTGCCAGTGTTTCAAAAGTCGAAGAAATAATATTTTTTTCAGCAGATCAGCTAAAACTTCCACCTCAATGCAGAAAGAGAGATCTTGAAAACTGACATTAGACCCATGCTGGGTCACATTTTATTTGACCTTCTCAACTTGATTCCCCACATTGTAATTTCTCCAATGCAGCTTTATCAAGTGCTCTGAGACATCCGCCTGACACGAAAGGTGCTTTAAAAATATAAATTGCATTGAATTGCATTGACATGCAAATATGGAAACAGACAGAATAATGATATGAATTTTGACAGCCTTTCATTTTTAATGCACGGTGATATGAATTAGCTTTCTATAGTGACATTACTGATATCCTGGTAAGCCTTATATTTTACTAAGTATGAATTGATAAAAACAATTTAGCATGCTTATTTTATTTTTTAAATTTTACCAGTGTAACATTCAATGTAACAATAAAATTCTTTGAAATGACCTGGATCAACAACAACAAATTACATTTATATAGACCCAAGGTGCCGGACAGTCAAGGGTTTGCATCTGAACTGGGGGTTGGAATCAACAGGGGTGGGGGCCAAGGGGAATGGAGGCTGGAGGATAACTGAAGGCACAATCAAAGATCAAAGTAGAACTAAATCTCCATTTTTGGGGGGCCGTCAGTCGGATTTCTGACACAAACGGAAACCCATCACCATGCTTAAGAGTATCCAAACCAAACTGAGATTTCCATGAGTCCCACCTACACATGGAAATTCCAGATATAGATTGTTGGAATCCCTCCCCTGGAGGAATGGATTGCCTCCAGGAACTGCTGCGACTAGCATGGCATGTAACTCAACCTAATTCTGGAAAGTATTAGGCACAACTTGGCAAAAGCCAAGGCTTGGGGTCCCCAGAATCTGCATTGGGTTACTGCTGGAGTATAACCAGCTTGCCATTGATATTGCACTGTCTGGCAAGCTTTCCCACTGCTTGTCCAGCTAGAATCACCCTATCTGTTAGGGCTCTGGCTTGTAAGGTTAACAGGAGCTGATTGGGATGACTCCCTGCTCCCAATGACTGGTTTGCCCTTTCAGGTCCTGCCGATGAGCCAGGCTGACTGTGCATTCATCAGCAGTGCCCTGGACTACTGCGGATCCACCGAGCTCAGGAACTGGATTACCAAAACCACCACAGAGGGCTGACTCGGCTCTGACATTCCATTGCCAAGCATGTCACCCTGGAGACAGTTCAGCTCCAAGGAAACCCCGCTTACCTCCCTCCATGGAGGATGCTGCCTCCAGAGACACAATGGAGTCCCTGATAAACAAGACCTGGAACTTTTACTGCTTCGAGTTTGAACTGTACGGGTGGCTCCTGTACAGGTGTTGAGGGAGGCAAGGGAGGAGGAAAGACAGAGGGACTGTGGGATGTAGTTCCAGAGATTGGGGGCAGAGAGGCTGAAGGCCCGCCCGCCAATGGTGGGGTGGGTAAGACAGGGGGACGTAAAGCAGGCTGGAGCCCACTGAATAGAGGGAGCGGGCAGGTTAGTATGGGGTAAGGAGGTCACAGATGTAGGGAGGAGCAAGATCATGGAGGGCTTTGAAGATGAGGACCATGATCTTGAACTATATCGTCTGAGTGTGCAGAGCCAGTGAAGCCAGTCGAGGATGGAAGTGATAGCCAGTGAAGCCCAGAGTTGCGGAGTCTGGTGTGGGAGAGAACATGGGTTGCAGAGTTCTAGATGATCTGCAGCCTGTGGAGGGAGGAGTTGGGGAGGCCGACAAGCAGGGAGTTTGCATAGTCAAACCTGGATGGATGACGAAGTGGCGGAGCTGGGCAATATTGCGGCGGTGGAGAAAGGTGGAGTGGGTCATGACACGGATGTGGAGGATGAAGGACAGTTGAGAGTCGGACAGGACACCGAGGTTTTGTATTTGCTCTGTGAGGTGTAGAGTGATTCCATGAAGGTAGATGCTGTCAGTGCCTGAGTTATGGAGGTGCTGACGGGATACAAGCAGGAGGACCTCGGTCTTGTTGACATTTTACTGGAGAAAGTTAGCTCTTATCCAGGACTTGATGTCTGACAGGCAGTCTGTGAGGACAGCAGTGATCCTGGAGTCGAGGGTGGAGGCAAAGAGGTAGAGTTGGGTGTCATCCGCATACATGTGGACGGTGACCCCATGTCTATGGATGATGTCACCAAGATGGCGCATGTAGATGTTAAAAAGGAAGGGACCAAACACAGAGCCCTGAGGGATGCCACACATGATGGCACGGGGGCTGGAGGAGAAGCCATTAGTGGAAACAAAGTGGAGATGGTAGGAGAGGTAGGAATTGAACCAGGCAAGGGCAGGTCCGTGGAGGTTGAGCTGAGAGGAGAGGTGGTGGAGGAGGATCAACTGGTCGACAGTGTTTAAGACAGTAGAGAGGTCGAAGAGGACAAGGAGGCAGAGAGAACCCAGGTTGCAGATGGACAGAATGTCAAAAGTGACTTTTACCGGGGCTGTTTTGTGCTGCCGACAGGGAAGGATTCATAGCGGGAATGGTGGGAGAGGAAAGAGCGAAGCAGGGTTGAGACAACTCGTTCCAGAGCCTTGGAGAGGAAAGGGAGGTTGGAGATGTGGCGATAGCAGGAGTAGTGATAATAATAATAATAATAATAATAATAATAAAAATAATAATAATAATAATAATCCTTGCATTTGATATAGCACTTTTCACATCTTCTAGACGTTCCAAAGTGCTTCACAGGATATAAAGTGAATTGACTGTATATTTGGGGTGAAACTCAGCACAATTGTGCACAGCAGTGTCCCACAAACAGTCATGGATTGAACTGACCAATTTATTATTTCTTTTTTTGAGGGATTATTATCAGGTGTGTGGAGTAAGGAAACTTGCCCAAGGTTTTGCCCTGCCGGGAATCAAACTCAGGTCTCTCTCTTGTGAGACAAGTGTTCTACCCACTGAGCTACACGCCTCCACTTAGCTCCAGAGAAGATTACAGGATGGGTGCAGGGAAGGTTTTTTGCGTATTGGGGTGATGACAGCTGTTTTTGGAGGGGTGGGTACAGTGCCAGTGGATAAGGAGTGGTTGATAATGTTGGCTAAAAGAGGGGCCAGAAGGTGGAGCTGGGAGGTAAGGAGAGGCGTGGAGATGGGGTTGAGGTAGCAGGTGGTGGGCTTCATTTTTTAGATGATGGAGGTGAGGGAAGAGTGGTAGACGGGTTCAAAGGTATGTAGAGAGGAATGGGTAGTTATACATCTGCTTACTTTCTGTAACAAGGAATAGTTAGACCCATCTTGTCTCAGGTCAAATATATTTTCTTTGTCCATGTTTTTTTCAATGTGAACCTTTTCAACTCAGATATTTTGCTTAGCTAACTGAATAATTGTTGATTGTGCCATCTTTTGATGTTACAATGTCTAAAATGCAGAGCAAAGTTTATTATTATTATATTCTAACTGATGTCAGAAATCTTCTGCATTTTCTTTGGAACATTATACCCATACTTACCACAGGCTTCAGTTAGTAAAAGCCAGTGCTCTGTGCCCAGAGATAAATTTTATCATTCAGCAATTAGTTTCATAAGTATTTTCAAAGTTACTTTGGGAAACGTATTTCTGCCATAATGGGCACCAGTGATATTCACAGTTATCTGAGCCAAATGTGTTCACCTACAGTTGTTATTTTATCATCAATTGCTACACCACATGAGCATTTTTAGCAAGTAATTTCTTCTTTTGTTTTATTTTCATTAGACACACATAACGAAGCAGGGTTCCCTTCTACTTGATACCATAATTGGAGTCCTGTTACTCAGTGGTTAGAGCACTAGCCTTGCAAGCGAGAGACCTGGGTTTGATTCCTGGCAGGCTGAAACCTTGGGCAAGTTTCCTTACTCTACACGCCTGATAATAATCCCTCAAGAAAAAAATAATAACAATTTGGTCATTCAGTCCATTACTGTTTGTGGGACACTGTTGTATGCAATTGGCTGCTGCGTTTCGCCCACAAATATACAGTCAATTCACTTTACAGTATTTTCTGTGTAGCGCTTTGAGACGTCTAGAAGATATGAAAAGCGCTATATCAAATGCAAGGATTATTATTATTATTCTGTCTGGCACCAAGGATCGAGTATTTAGATTTTCTGCAAATGTCTTATCACAATACAAGCAATAGCTATTATCTAACACTATCATCTTAACAACACTTATTTTATCATCTGTGCAAAACACAGAGCAAACAATTCAACCCAAAGCATCTCTATTGTGATTAAATATCACAAATGACCTATTCTTTAGTTATTTAATTCTGGTTAATTAAATATTGATAAAACATGGAAGATAATTTTAATATGAATTAAACAATATTCATCATAATGGTTTGGTTGAATATCCAAATACAAGTACCTGTCCAAATATCCAAATACTGGTGAAATTGAAACTCTTTCAGAAAGGATGAATGGGAGTAAGTAACTAAGCTAGTGGGTGTATAATAATGGTTGAATTAATGAAATGCTATCTCCAGTTGTAGACGCTCCAGATAACCACCAACTGTGTTTAGAGACCAAATGATAATAGGATTGCTTAATGTGCCAGCCACAATTCATCTTCTGAACTTTTATTTGCAGCCTGCAAGATGAAATACAACAACGGCAGGAAGCTGAAACCATGCTATCAGATTTCAGAGAGGTACAAAGATGTAATAATTATAAAGTTGAAAATATCACGCAGTTATTAATTTAATAAAATGTCAATAATTCAAGTTGCAGACAGATTCCAATGATCAGGTGAGTCTTGGTGTAGCAGAGACATCTAGTGGAAAAGAAAAGGTTAAAACCGGACACACCCATTTCCATTCGTTGGATTGGAAAGGAAGTATAGAAATATGTTTCACAGGAGAGGTTTGGGAGAAAAAGGTTGCCCTCTGCCAGCTGCGTCAGCTGTGTGACACACTTTCAGACGTCCTCTTGACATAAGAGGCGCATATAAATGTAAATTGTTTTTATCCATTCGAGCAATGAGGATGATCCCCGTTGTTAGAGCATTGGCCTATCAGCATTGATTAGTCAAGCTAATCCAGGGCTAGGGCTCTTCAGGCTTGAGAGAAGAAGACTCAGAGGGGACCTCATAGAGGTGTATAAAATCTAAGTGGGATCAAAAAAGTAAACCCAGATCAATACTTTAGGATGCACAATAGAAGACAATAGAAATCAAGTACATATGTTTAGAGTTGTAAAGGACAATTTCAGGACAGATACCAGGAAGCTTTTCTTCACTCAGAGGGTTATTAACAACTGAAACATGTTACCAGGAAGGGTGGCTGAGGCCAGGTCACTGGAGTCATTTAAAAAGTAGCTTGTTGCTGTGATGGGCAACGGTAGGGTCAGTGTCGTTAGAAATTAGGAGATTTTGGGATGACCAAAATTGACCTCTTCAAACTTTTGAAGAAGATTGACAAAGATGACAGATAGTTGTTTACATGTTAAAGTTTAGGAAGTTCGGAGTGAGGAGGAAAGTCAGCAGAACCTTTTTAAACCCAGAAAAGATTAGATTTGTCGACAAAGTTATCAGAGAAGGTGATTGCATCAAATAGTACAAATGGGTTCCAGAGGCCACCTGATGCTTCTTTTTTGGAGAGAGTGGGTTTGGTGGATGTGATGATAAAATAAAAATGTGGGATTGCAAATAATCAAAAGAGGTTTGGTTCATTGAGTCGAATGGCCTTTTTCTGATCTTAAAACTTCATTATGTGCTATGTCTCAGTGGGGACATAAAATGTTGAGATTTGAGGTACCTGAGGTGAAATTGGCTACAACAACAACAACAACAAGATTCCATTTATTGAGCGCCTTTCACGTCGGGAGGACGTCCCAAGGCGCTGTACAGTTGGGTCAGGACCCGAGCAAGGGGGAAATGGTCAGGGTGCGGGGAGGGAAGGGAGGGAGCGAGGAGGGGGTAGAGAGTCGAGAGGGAAGCTGAAGGCACTTTTCATTCATGAGGCCAAAGTATCGGACTGATTTGTGGTTCAATTTCTTGTCTGATTCCTGGCTATTCTAATTCTTCTATAGTATATAAAAAATGTTTTCTTTTTAGCTTTTTATTTTCTTTATATTCCAAGTGGTAAATGTGAAGCAATGCTCACTACAGACCTCTTGGCAAATGCCATCATTTCCAGTCCAAAATTAGCCAACCAGTTCAGTCAAGCAATTCTAACTGCACAATGCCAGTTTTTCCACTCTTGTTGACATTAATGATCTTGCCTTCATGTAGCACTTGGCTACAAATTTCAGTCACTTTGAGACGTCGAAAGGGGCTATACCAAATATAAGGGTCAATTATTACTCCTGATATGTTTCAGTACTAGAGCAAAACAGACACAAAATTTACAAAACTCAAACCAATTTAGACAGTCTAATATTGACTGCTAGAGCACCCTGGGAATCACACCTCAACATTCACACTTAGAGTAAAGATTTCATCTGTAAAAGCTTCTTACTGTCCAAAGTGCTGAACGCTTGAAAGTCTTGGACCAGCTATCTTTAGCAATGCCAATTTTACTTTATGAGATTGGTAGGCCAAAAAGGATATAATGCAAAATCTGTTTTAAGCGAAACATTGCAGCTTTTTTTTCCTTGTTTGTGTTCCCATTTCTCATTCAATGGGTTCAATTTAGCGATATATTTGATGCTTATCCCAATGAATGTACCAGATGTACATGTCGCAGACTCGCACAATCTTGGCTAGGAACACGATCTTATCAGGAAGTCCTTTGCCAGTGGCCACACAGCAGTGATGCTGTGAGAGCACTTATCAGATACACTCCATTGTGTGGGTAAAGCGAGTTGGCACTGTGGTGGGTTTAGCTGTCTCTGCCAGGTATCTCTATGGAGTGGCATGACAGACTGAGATTCTATCTGAGACATATTTTTCAGCCTCAAGATTGAAAGTACCATAAAGCTCAGTGAGTGAAGTCTAAACACTGGTCTAAATCAGGGAAACAGTTGTTTGCCATGGAATGCAGCCATGCCGAATGCAGCAAGCTCTAGTATTAAAAATGAAATTGAATGGATGCCTTTGTGTAGCTGAAAAATAGCCGGGATTAGTGCAGTTGGTTTAGCGGCAGCAACATGATCATGCCATTAATGAGGAAGTGACATGGGAAAGTTGGGAATATTTTTTGTGCTGATGCAATATAATATACATTCCTGCCGCATATTCTTTCCAGGATAATCTAGCAGGTTTGAGTGCGACTGTTACTTTAGCCTGGGTCAAAATTGCTCTGCAACATACACTTTTGTGTGACTGGAGCATCAAATGCGTTGGATTGCAATAACAAAGAATATGCAGCGCGATCTATATTGCACAGTATCCGCTTGAAAAAAAATTCTTTGTCAGTTCCTCACCAATGGCATGACCTTTTTCCCACATATTGTTATGTAATAATTGTGTTTATTACTTGTACAATAGCTTTTGTAGCCTTGTTGTGAAAGATTATACTCTATGCAGTTGGCAGAATCATTGTTGCCATGTAAAAATATAACTTACAATAATCATCCTTGCATTTGATATAGTGCCTTTCATTTCAAAACACTTTACGGGATATACTGTAGTGACTGTATATTTTGTGGGCCAAATAATTTGCGCACAGCAATGTCCCAAAAAAAGCCATGAAGTGATGAACAATTGTTTGGGGGAATGGTGGCCAAGACATCAGGAGAAACTCCCTTCTGTTTTTGATTAGTGCTATGGGATCTTTAACATCCGCCTGAAAAGGCAGATGTGACCTTATATAACATCTTATTGGAAAAATGTTACTTCCAACAATATAGCACTCCCCCAGGACTGCACCGGGATGTCAGCCTAGAGTATTCAGTGAGCAAGTTTTGAATTTATTGTCATTCATCTCATGGTTCTTTGTGGGATCTTGGTATGTGCAAAATGACTACCATGTTTGCCTATAAAAAATAACTATAACAACAACGACTTGCATTTATCAAGCGCCCTTCACGTGTGGTAGCGTCTCAGAGTGCTTTAAGTAAATAATCATTTACTTGACAGTAATTACTATAAAATGATGGTTCAACATGATGCAGCACTATAAAAATGCAAATTTTTTCTTTCTTGCTTGCTTGCCTTGTAGTTTTAATACACAATATCATTCCCTTTCACAAGCAATCTTTTAAACAGTTTTCTCTACTCTTAGACAATCTTAATTCAATTTATTTACGGCTGGCTGTACCTTTCAAGAGCTTTGAGATATCCTCCTGACTTGAAAGGCGCTCTATAAATGTAAATTGTATTGTATTTACAGATGATCAGAGAATCTTGCGGTTATTCTGGTATGTTCACTATGTTTGAACCAAATCTTTTGAAGTCTGCCTAGTTATAATGAGAAATGCCTTTGAAACAATAATCTTGAAGATTTGTTGCACTTAGTTAACAGAACAGTTTAATACCAACAGTTTGTTCCCTCGCATTCTTGATCTATTCATACACTTGTAATCTGTACCCAGGAATTCAAAACATCTGTCTTCATCCTCGCTTGTGTAAATATTTCATGTCTGGTCTGCTTCATTGGTGCACAAATCCCCGTACTAAATTGGACACAAAGTCTATTTATGTTCCAACTTCATTCTTGAGAATATTAGTTCAAAAGCAAATATCAACTCAGAAGTGAGAGTGCTGCTAACTTCTCAAGAGTCATTTATAAGAACACTTAACAACCTCTCTTTGTCAATCAGGAGCTGAAAGCAAAATTTGGATCTTTAATATTTGTTAGTCTAATAATCAAACAACTAGTGATGAGGAGTCCTATCAACAAAACTTCACACAGTGTTTCTTTCCCCCACCGAACATTCTCCCTGAAAATGTCACCTAGAACCCTTGAATACAGAAATCGATAGATCTCTGTTAGGTGTCAGGCTGGCTCAGTTAGTAGCCCTCGCCTCTTGAGTCTGAGAAGGTTATGGGTTCAAGTCCCAAATTGGAACTGTGGACTCACACTCCAGGTTAACACTCTAATACAGTCCTGAGGAGCACTGCATTGTTGGTGATGCAGTCTTTTGGATGAGACATTAAACCAAAGTCCCACCTTCCAGTTCATGTGGACGTTAAGAATTCCATGGCACTATTCAAAAAGAGAAAAGAGTTTATTTCAGTATCCTGGCTAACGATCCTCCAGATAAAATTGGTCATTCACTTCATGACCAGTTGTGCAATACACAAATTGGCCTGTGTTTGTCTAAACGCTTTGGGACGCTACCCTGCTTGAGGGGCACTATGTAAATGCAAGTTGTTAACTACTAATACAAAATCAATACTCTTTATAATAAATCTTGTTAATTATTTCAAAATGATTTGTTGACGTGATAAGGCAATATATCAAATGCACAAATTATTATTAATTTATTATTAACTGAGTGTGTTTTTCTCTAAGCTTTTATGTACTCCTTTTGAACTGTAGAAATTTACAGCAGAAAAGAAGGCCATTTGTCCCATCATGTCTTTGTTGGCTCTTTTAAGAGCAATCCTCTTAATCCCATTTACCTGCATTTCTCCATTCCCTGTAGCTTACTCCTTTTTAGCTTCAGTATTTATCTAGTTCCCATTTGAAAGTTAAAAGATTTTGCCTTAGCTCGTGTTCCTGGCAGGGCATCCCATGTTGTAACATGAACAATCTTTCCTAACTTCCCTATTTTCTTGTTTATTAACTATCTTAAATTGATGCCCTCTAGTCACTAATTCACTAATCAATGGAACAAATTCTCCCCATTGATTCTATCAAATCCACTCATAATTTTAAAAACCTCTATCAGATACCCCTAAACCTTTTTTGTTCCCATGGAAAATGTCCCAGTTCTTTCAGTCTCTGATCAGAGGCCAACCCACTCATCCACGGTACTACCCTAGTAAATCTCCTCTCCAGCCCTCCTAACACCTTGACATCCTTCTTAAAGTGAGGTGAGCAATACTGAACAGAATATTCCAACTGAGGTCTAAATATCGATGTTTAAAGCCTCTTTGGTTTTATATTCCATACCTTCTATTTATAAAAGCTAAGACTCCATTTGCTTTCTTGACAGCTTTGTCCACCTGGCTTCCCACCCTAAGGATTTCTGTACATTTCCCAGTGATTACCTGGACTATAATTGCCTCTGCGTGCCCTGTGCTGTCATTTAATGTACAAAACCAAATGATGGCTGATTGTTCAAAACCTCTGATTGCATTCAATAGTGATTCATAGTAATTTCCACGATGAATCATTGCAATCTGGAATTTAAGAATTGTTGTAATTACAAACATGTGACAAGTAGTTGCTACTTTTAACAATCAGCACATGGTAAATCCCAACATGTTCCATTTAAATCAATGTGTTTAAAAACATCTCTAACAACTGCTCATCTGGTTGTAAAGGTGCAATATTCTATTTGCTGTCAACAAGCTGTTCCTTTAAATTAGTTAAGTATGATTCTGATTGTTGAATTATCGTTCAAGTTAGCACTTCAACACGTCCATCGACTCATGACATTGTAATCTCTTTGATTGCAAATAGCCTCTTTTGAATTGTTATGTGATTTTCCATTTGACTGATCTCTTTGCCAACATCCACTTCCCCAGGAAATGTTCAAACAAAGAGAATTTGGATTCTATAAAATTTCCAAACGGGTCAAGGTTTTAATCACTGGAAGCAAACATGCTCCTTGAAGTAGCATTTACTACTTATTAATTCAGCCCCACATTGGACCTTTGAGCTCACAGTGTAGATTGGCACTTGAGTGCAGGGCTGCAGAGCGCTGTAATTGTCGGAGGTGCCGTCCTTCAGATGAGACATTAAACCAAGGTCCTATCTGCCTGTTCAGGTGGATTAAGACCTCCGAGACCCTACCCCACGTGAAGGGTGCTGTATAAATCCAAGTTGTCGTTGTTGTTGGATGTTAAAGATTCCATGACACCATTTGAAAGGAGAAGGAAGTTTCTCCTGGTGTCCTGGCCAATAATCCTCCAGCTAAATAAATTGATTGTTCACGTCATGGGTTCATCAGTGAGCCATTGCTGTGCGCAAATTGGCTGCTGAGGTTGGCTACAAATACACAGTTTATATTAAATCCTGTGAAGACGTTTGAGAAAATCTTCTGACATAAAATATGCTATGTCAATTGTAAGGATTAAAATTTACTGCTGTAATTTTTTCAAAAAGAAAACAGGAAATCTAAATCTAGTTTTTGTGATATTATTACACAGCAGCGGACAGACAGAATCAGTCTTAACAGAGTAGAGTGTTATATTTCTGTACTTAATGATGTTGTGGCTTCATTAAGTAGGAGGCGTTGCCTTCAATAAAGGCTAAAAATAAAATATTGCAATGTAATCCCAACTCCTTTTGAGGGTATCCTCCACTTTTTTCTCTCTCTCTGAATCTTTAACTGAGTCTCTAGCTTTCTATTTCCTCCCCTTTGATGACTTTCTATCTCTATGCCTATCTCTTTCTCTAACTCTAATCCTACACTATATACAAGTATAAACACTTGTCTGCATCCATGTGAGGTTTTGAAGGACAAGATTTAGCTACACGGTGTGAGTGATTCACATCCCTAGTAACCTCACACGTATGTGAGCAACTTCACAAACGGACATGGAGAACAGGACTTAATGAGATTGGAAAGGTAGAGAGGGATAATGATGAGATTTGAAGATCATAGATGAAGTTCTTGAAGTCTATCAACAGGGTACTACAGCAATGGTAATTGGCATTGTATAGCTGCTTCCACGTAGCATAGTGTCTTGGAACATTTCACAAAAATGGGGGTCAAACACCTGAGTGAGAGAGAAGGGGAATGTGACCATTGGCACGGTCAAAGAGGTGGTCCACTAGGAGCCAGAGTATCTGGTGAAGATGATGGTAATGGGTATGCAGAGTCTGTTGTATGAAGAAATATGAACCATAGATATCTGTGTCCTCCTGCCTTTCAAATAATGGACGGATACAGCGCTCAGTTATTAGGTTCCTATCCTTTACTACAAAATTATGACCGTTTGAAACATTGCAATAATTTAAGGCAAGGGAAGTAAAAGATTGATATGATTCTGTACAGTTTCTAAATTTGTGCTGTCCAGAGCTTAATCATAGCCTGTGGGTTTCCTGAAAAAATAGGAACACAGCTGGATAGGGAAAGGACAGGACCAGAAATGACTGTACTTTTGGCCAACGCCCTCAAATATGTCCTGTGAGCCATCCTGCCTACATGAAAGGCGCTATCCCAAATGAAGGATAATTATCCCCATTATCTTTGTAAGATATTTTGGGTTGTTCATTCTTCATGAAGGGCATTATATAAAAGTGTTGTAATAATTACATACTACCAAAAATAAATTGCATTTATATAGAGCCCTTCAAGTCGAATAGCATCTTGGAGGTTTGCAACCTCCTGAATTGCATTTTGATTTTAATTCTCATTCAAAGTCTCATTCAAAATGAAAGACTTCTTTACTTTTTCTGTTCAATAAATCAAGAATTCATACATGGTAGCAATGGGCTATAATTGTCTTACAGCAACTCAATTTAACCACATAACGAGCTACTAGCAATACTATGAGTTGCTGATGTGGCTCAGCTAACGGAGTGTTAAACCTATGCTTCGCATCTGGCAGCCATGTGTTCCCTTTGCAGCGATAACTTTTGGATTTTGTTGCTCTGAAAACTGATTTGAAGTTTGAATGATTTTATATCACAACTCTGCCTTTAAAACAAGTATCAATTGCAACTGTGAGAGCTAATTCTTGCCAGTTTATGAGATATGCCAAGATTGATTGAGGAGTGATGATGATGGTAAATGCCAGTAGACTGAACTACCCCAGTCTCCCAACTAAGGGGAAACGGGTGAATGAAATTGCACATAAATGGGAAAAACGACTATAACAAAATAAGTTTCAAATGTATGACAAGTAATGTGTTTTTTCCAGTTAATGTGGGGATGGGTGAAGAATGTTTCTCCTAATGATTTTTGTTAACTTTAAGGAAGAAAGTGTGCAGTAATTTCTAGCTGCCTTTGGCTTGCAGGGCTAATAGGAACCGAATGGGAAGAATCTTTGTTTTGTCAAAGTCCTGTCAATGAGTCTGGCTTGCTGGTCTGTCATCAGCAGTGCCCTGGAGTAACCTGGGCCTAACTGACTCAGGAACTAGATGACTGAGACCGCCATAGAGGATTGACCCGATTCCAACATTCTGTTGCCAAGCACATCACTGTAGAATCTACTCAGCTCAAAGGAGACCGTGCTTACCTTTCCCCCAAGGAGACCAACAACAGTGAATTGGGTGAACTAATCATCAAATTCACAATACAACAATTTAGTAATTTTGCTTTTTTGAATGAAATTGATTGTTGTCATTACAGCAGATGATGTTGTTGTCCTCAATGGATTACAATTGATAAAATGAACAAATGTCTTCCAAAAATTAATGTTTTGAATTATCTGTGTGTAGGATGTGGACGAAGCTGCTCTATCCTGTGTAGATCTGCAACGTAAAGTTGACTCATTGCAGGAAGACATTGCCTTCTTAAAGAAACTCCATGAAGAAGTAAGCATTCATTGCCATTTACATTTTGAAATCTCTAAACGGCTTAGTAGATAAATGCACCACATAATTTCATGCAGATCCAAACATTCACTATGAATAATCATATTGACCACATGGGTGAGGTATGCCCTCAGAAACAAACAATACCATGAAAACTGTGCCACAGTCACTACACTTTACAATAACATCCCATGATGTTGTTTGAGATGTCTCAATGATGTGATATGACTCATACCAAGTGCAAAGATTATTGTTTTTATGATTATTATTACTGTTATAAGAGACAAACTAGAGTTATGTCAATGTATCTATTGAGTTATTTAACTGTGGGACTGGTTAGATGTACTTCAGTGGTCTTTTCTTGCTGTGTGCACTCCTATAAATGCACATCTGACATCTCCTAAAGTTGTTGCTACAAAAGCCAGAAATGAGAGCAGAGCAAAACATTGCAAAAGTGAATATATAATGACTTAGATTGATCTTACTTTTTCAGGAAATTCATGAACTTCAAGGTCAAGTCCAGAATAATCACATCCCGATTGAGATGACACTAGCTAAACCTGACTTGTCCGCAGCATTACGTGATGTTCGCTCTCAGTTTGAAAACCTTGCCGCAAAAAATGTTTATGAAACTGAGGAATGGTACAAGTCCAAGGTAATTTTCCTTATTATTTCATTGTTGTTTGAGGTAAAATTAGGTATCTTCCATTTGGTAGATATCTCATTTTGATGAGCATAAATCATCCGAAAATGAAGTAATGGCTTTGTAAGGCTGCTGTCTATTTTCAATCCAAGGTTCGAAGCTAGGTTTGTGCCAAATTACCTGATTTCAATACCAACCAACATTCCCCAGGTCTGGTGGGTTACCATCCAATCACCTCTGTTGGAAGGCATGCTGGAGACAACATGCTTGGTTCAACTGTGATGGCCCCCATGTCTGAATAGAGTTTTTTTCCCATTTCAAACACATGCTTTTGTTTAATCAGCTAGCCCATTGCCCTGCTTCAAGCATCCAAACTAGATAGAATTACATGTATGTATGCCATTTATGCATGTAGATTTTGCTGTACTGTTTACTGTTGCTCTCAAGGGATGCATCCTGCTTACCTAATTCCTGTAGTATTAGGCACAGGTTGGTGAGAGCCAAGACTTAGGGACCCCAGCGCGTGCATTTGGTAACTTCTGGACTAGCTAAAACCATACAGCTTGCAATTGAGAATTTCTCACTAGTTTGTCAGCTAGGACCACCAACCAATTAGGGCTTTGGCTTGCAGGTGTAACAACAATAACTTGCAATTATAATGTCCCTTCATGAGGACAACGTCTCGAAGCACTTAACAGTGAAGCCGAGTGGAAAGAATCTTTGCTCCCAGTGATCTCACGTCATGCCAATGAACCAGTCTGCCTGGTTTATCATCAGCAGTGCCTTGGTGGACATCCCTAGCTCAGTAACTAGATGACCAAGACAACCACAGAGGATTGACCTGATTCTATATTCCATTGGAAGACAAGTTACCATGCAGTCAGCTCAGCCCTAAGGGGAATAGTTGCTGGATACCTGACAAGTGTCAGTTTGAGCCTTTGCTGGGTGGATGGCAGGTAACAGGAAGTTCTTGTGAGCCTCTTGGTAAGCAGCACAACCCAACATGAAATATTCAAAAGATGCCACGAAGTATGCATACAAATCAAAAAGGACTTTGAATTATGTACAAAGATCTTTGGAATGCACTTACTCAATGTTTTATGGAGACTGACAATTGTATTAGTTGATTGTCGGATCACTTTTCCGGGGGTAATAATTTGTTCAAATTTTTTTTCCAAAAATGTTCACTTCAATCCAGAACTGCTTGTGGGACACTGTTGTGCGCAATTGGCTGCCACGTTTCGCCCACAAAATATAGTCAATTCACTTTACAGTATATTCTGTGAAGAGTTTTGAGACGTCTCGAAAACGTGATAAGACACTATATCAAATTTAAGGATTATTATTATTATTGCACTATACTTAAAATGCTGATGCTAATCATGTCAAGTCTGATTCAGCTGATAGCACTCTCACTTCTGGGTTAGAATATGGTGCTTTCAAATCCCTATTGAGTTCATAGACTTGGCTGACATTCCATTGCCAGAGGTGCTGTCCTTTGGTTGAGATGTTAAGGGGGATGTTAAAGATCTCATGGCATGATTTCGAAAGAGAAGAGATTCCTCTGGTGTCTTGTGGCCAACAAACCTCCAGATAAAACTCAGTGTCATTCAATGAGACGCTGCTGTGCATAAGTTGACTGCAACTGTTGCCTATAAATATGGATTCATTATACTTTATAGAAGTATTTGAGACATTTTTGGCAATAAATCAAATGCAACAATTATTATTATAATCTTAACTTCCAAGAACTTTGTTTCTTAATGGTTGAGTTTCTAAATCTATAAATTTCGTAAATGTTTATTGTCAGAGCTGAAAACATATTCACATTCTGGCCCTTTAGGACACAAAAACACTTTTAAACACACACTTTGGCAATATCAATTTGCTTTATCTGTTAAACAAAATCCAAATTACAAATACACCTAATGAATAATAATTAGTTTAGAATCCTTGCATTTTTCCTTTCATTTAGTGCTCCGAAATGCTGCCCCACATGAAGGGCGCAATATAAATGCAAGTTGCTGTTTCATTTAACATCAAGAGAACATCTCAAAATGCTTTACAAGATTTACAATGTAATTTGTAGGCAAGCACACTGTTTAGAGAGACTCCAAGTTGTTATATAAAACAGGCAATATTTTATTTGTTTATAATAATAATAAACCTTGCATTTGATATAGCGCCATATCACGTCTGTTAGACGTCTCAAAGCGCTTCAAAGTATATTGTAAAGTGCATTGACTGTATTTGTGGGCGAAACTTGGCAGTCAATTGTTCACAGCAGTGTCCCACAAATAGTTGCGGATTGAAGTGACCAATTTATTATTTTTTTATTATTACTATTATTATTATCAGGCGTGTGGAGTAAGGAAACTTGCCCAAGGTTTCGCCCTGCCGGGAATTGAACCCAGGTCTCTCGCTTGCGAGGCGAATGCTCTAACCACTGAGCTACAGGACTTCACTGTTTAGTGATCTGTATCTGTAATGTTACATGTGGATTTTTATATGCATTAATTATAAGGAGCTTGGTAAAACGTGATGGCATCTCAAAGAAAAGTTCATGACTAATCTTGAGTTTAATACTAACTGGATATCAAAATGCTGGGATTTATGTTTTATGATTAATGCTTCACTGATTTTAAATTCACTGATAGGCAATTTGTCATTGCGTCCAGTAGTCTTACAATTCAGGGCAGAATGGCAGTAGGATCTATATTTTCTACTGCAACTTTGCTGACTTTCAAATGACGGCTAATGTTTTATTACTGCTATTAAAGAACTGTGTACATAATGGGTTAAAGCAATTTTGCAATTGGCAGCAAAACAAAGCCAAATCGCATCAATTTCACTGTGCAGCCTCCTCTAGGAGATGCTTTCGCAAGCAAGGCTCCGTATAAAATCGATGCGTTTTAAACCTGATCTACACTATATTCTGAAGCATGGTTCAAGGTGAAATCAGCTTCAGATCAAACGTAACTGTGGAGCATAAATGGGATATTTAGTTTCACCTACTAAGCCTCCTAGTCAGGTTCAAAACTCAGAAGGTTTGCTTTTATATTTTATTTTGCTCTATAATGTCAGACTGAAGCAAACACCATACATTTTGATATTTTTCCAATAACCCTAAACCGGTGTTTTTAATTAGAATGTGGTTAGTGCTGAACATTTGGAACATTATGTGCAGTTTTGGGCACTTAAGTTTCAAAGAAACATTCATGCATTGGCAATGATTTAGGGAAGAATGATGAAGCTTAGGCCTGTAAGTCATGAAAAGAGAATTGTGGAACTGCATTATTTTCGCTGGTAAAAACAAAGTTTAAGAAGAGACATGGTTTTAAGATTTTGAAAGGAATGCTTGATGTAATTACAAACAGGCTAGTTAATATAAACTGAGCCCAGAACTACAGAAATCGATGGATAAAATGTACAAATTCCACACTATTTCAGATAAGAAGGATTTGTTGCCTGATCATGTCATCGAAAGGTCTCAAAGCACTTCACAGGAATTACAGTGCAGTGTAGAGACTGCACCTGGCAGCCAATTCCATACAACAAATGTCAGCAAATAAGCAGTCCCCATCAATGTGTAAAATAATAGCCAACCAGACAGCCAAAAGGTGAATGACTCTTGAAGTTTTTTGGCAAGGAAATCGGGAGAAAGTCCCTTCTTTTTCCAAATATTGTCACATGTTTCTTAATATCAACCTGACCAGGCAGTTGGACCTCAATTTAAACGCTCATCCAAAGAACAGCATCTCTTACAATGCAGCACTCCCCTGGTGTGTCAGCTTGGATTATGAATCCAAGACTTGAGCCTACAACATTCTGTCCCAGAAACAAGAACGCAGAAAAAAATGTACCCTAAAATTACTGGATGTGGGAAGTAAAAGCCCACATAATGCAATGTATAAAGTGGCCATGAACAGCTTTTAAAAAGAGCTGGACAAATATTTGGTTACAAATAGCATTGAAAGTTATAAGGATAAATACATATGAGATAATTATTATGGTACAGGTATTTGCATTTAGGGCAACATGAAAATATTATCACTAGGAAGACAACAGGTCACAAAAGTGCAATTTAACCAGAGGACAGAAAGGATATGGCTCGGGTGTTGTCAGAGGGGCCTTCACTTACGTCTGTCTATCTGAACAGTTTGTAGACCTTTCGGAAACCACTGCTCGCAACAATGAAGCTCTTCGTTTGGCGAAACAAGAGGCCAAGGATCACCGCAAACAAATTCAGGTGCTCGGTTCTGAAATCAGTGCACTTAAAGGAATGGTAAGTTATCCCAGTGTGACGAGCAAATGCAGCCACGATGTATTGTGTAAAATTAAATGATTGTGTGATGCGCTGAACAAAAAATGTATCTTCCATCCATAGAATGGGTGAGCACTTCCATGTCAATTAGTTTATTTTATAAAAAATGTATCCTCCAGTCTATTTCCTGAGGACTATTGAGATTTTTGGCCACCCTCAAACCATCAACATTATACAAAATATTGTTGCCTCATGCAAGATAAATAATTCTTGCATTTGATATAGCGCCTTATCACGTCACTAAGGTGTCTCGAAGCGCTTCACAGGATTTTACAATGAAGTGCAGTGACTGTATTTGTAGGCAAACGCTTATAAAAATATCCATAAATATCTAAAAAATGACTATAAAAATAATTTTTCCCACAAAATACACAGTCAATCCACTTTCCAGTATATTCTGTGAAGTGCTTTGGGATGTCTCAATGATGTGATAAGCCGCTATATCAAATGTAAGGATTATTATTATGAATACCTTAAATTTTGGTCACTTCGTAAAACCTAAAGGAAGCAATCTTCCCCACTGACCATGAATTTGCAGAAGAGAGGGAAATATAACCTTATTTATCACATCACATACTGCATATACTCATCTGTCCTTACAAATTATAACATCTGCAAATGAGTTTCACTATAATAATGATCTTTAGGTGGATTGCAAGCTCAGTGCTGCAAGCTAATTGTTAAATTAATGTAAATAAATGATAGAAGTAAGTGATTGAGGGGAAGAGGCTTTAAATATTCATTATGTTTCAAGTCATGACAAGAGTCAGTTCTCCTACCTGCTTAGCAAATATTATAATAAAACGATAAGCTTTCCCTTTGATGTGGCAACATTCACGTTGGGAGGACATCTTAAAGCGCTTCACAGGAATTATGTAAAGCACAGAGGTCTTATTTATATCCAGATGTATTTGTAGGTGAATATTGGGGTCTAATTTGTAATATTTTAACAGGATCCTTAATATGTTACTTGATAAGTAATCCTATTAGAATTTCTGCCAACCTGTGCTAATTCTGCTCTGAAAGTAGATTAAATTGGAGTGGAGTTGTCATACAAAAGAATAACAAACCTTTGGTTGCCAGAAGGAATCCCCTCTCGTGGGGCTTGGATATGTATTTAGGAATCCTCGTAAGAGTATCACAAATTTGACCAAACCATAGGCTTATATACTAGTCATGAAGAAATCCTTACCTTTTCTAAAGTTACATCTCTTTTAGACCATCAATAGAGAAGGAAATACTATTGTCCTCTCTGTTACCAATACAATCCCCCAATACAGATAGTTAGATTGGAAGCAGGAAAATGTTGGAAGAAAATAACTAACTAACACTAATTAACTGTTCTATGTACTAATATTATTATTATCTAGTATTATTATTATATTATTATTAACTTTTTGGGGGCCTAAAAACAGAATGAATCTCTTGAGCGTCAGAAACTTGAAATGGAGGATCGGTTTAACCTGGAGGCAAGTCACTTCCAGGACTCCGTCAATCACCTTGAAGACGACATTCGCAACATGAATGTTCAGATGACTCATCATTTGCATGAATATCATGAGCTACTGAAAGTAAAGATGGCTCTAGATATTGAGATTGAAACCTACAGGAAGCTCCTGGAGGGTGAGGAGAGCAGGTAAGATATTTCAAAACCATGGGTGTTAATTAGCACGTGACACATTACAATTTTCACTCTAATGTAACAAATGTTCCATCCTGCCAGCCTATTCAACATCCTTATAATAATAATAATAATCCTTGCATTTGATATAGCGCTTTTCACGTTGGGAGGACGTCCCAAAGCGCTTCACAGAACACACTGTAAAGTGAATTGACTGTATATTTGTGGGCGAACGCGGCAGCCAATTGCGCACAGCAATGTCCCACAAACAGTCGTAGATTGAAAATTACCAATTTATTATTGTTTTTGGTTTTGGAGGGATTATTATTAGGCTCTATGTGGAGTAAGGAAACTTGCCCAAGGTTTCGCCCTGCCTGGAATTGAACTCAGGTCTCTTGCTTGCAAAGCGAGTGCTCTAACCACTGAGCTACAGGACTCCTTATTTCTAACTGATGGCTAAACCCTGCGAATTTGAGATTAACAAAAACGTGTCTAGCTTCTTTTAGAACACCTGGCTAGAAGGGGAAGCGGAAGAAGATTCTTTCCATCTTAAATTTACTCAAGTATCGCTTCTACCTAATATTACTGTGAAGGTGAGAGCTGATAGAAGGAAAGCAAAAACCTACAAGCATCTTTGTTCCATCATTGCTGTTCCAAGGGATCTTTAATGGAAATCAAAGATGAAGGATGTGGTTAAAGCCTGATGTGCTAACTGAATCCTTTCTTTTCTAGGATGCCTGCTCCAAATCGTGGTTTTCTGAGTCCGCGAGGTAGGTAGTGCAAGGCAAAGGTTCAATTTAGTAAAATTTAGATTTTTGCTGTTAACCTACACACATGTGGATATTATGTTGTTTGGTCTAAAGCAAGAATGGTTCACTGTGCACAAAATCTTATTGCAGTTGTATATTGACTGAACAGAACTTGAGGAAGTTCTCATAAGTAATAATAATGCTTGCATTTGATATAGAGTTTCACCACCTCGTGGATGACTGAAAGTGTTCCAAAGGTTATACTGTAAAATGCAATGAGAGTGTATTCTACGAGCCAACATGGCAGCAAATTTGTCCCCCAAATAGCAACAGAATGAGAGACTAGTTTTATTTGGGATCATTGGTCAGGACAATGGGATAAACTCCCTTAGCACACAGTATCTTACAACAACATTCACAGAACTGATGAGCAATGTTGGAGTTTCTGCTTATAATGTGTGAGTAGAAACACAGATGACAAGAAAATCTGAGATGAAGCTCAAGGTATCTCCGTTAAATATCGTATTTACTCATATCTGAAGCATTCAGGGTGTACCTTAGAAATAGATGGCACTGACCATAAAGGTTGGCCATCACTGCTGTAAGTTTTTTTTTCAATTTTTATTTTCCCGCATCAATCAGCTGAGCGGAGGCAAATCCTGAGTAAAAAATTTACCTATCAGCCCATATGGTAAAACATTTGGCTGGGGAGATTTTGGTTGTTCCCTGTTAGCAGATCATTGCTGTAATAATAATCCTTGCATTTGATATAGCATCTTATCGCATCATTGACACGTCTCAAAGCTCTTCACCGAATATTGTAAAGTGAATTGACTGTGTATTTTATGGAAAAAAATGCTGTAAAATAAGCCTAAAACCTCTCGTGGCTGTGACATGTGCTTCCACCCACCGGCTCAGATTCCGAAACAGGATTGTTAAGCACCTTGGGACGTCCTCCCATCATGAAAGGCCCTGTATAAATATAAGCTTGTATTTGAGTGTTAGTCATGGGATATCAGCTGAGTTGAGATTACTGTATCCAGTTCAAAGAATTGAGCATCAAAGCAGCATAGACATTACAATGCACTGAATAGCTTGCAGCAATATTAGGACTGTAAAAAATAAACTTCAAATTAAGACTCCATTTAACAATTTTCCAAAATTCTGCACAATATTAAATTTGAGGCAGCGGTCTAAAGGCTAAGAGATATTTCAAGCCACTGATGTATGAACTTAATAAAGTGGATTTATTTTTGTGGGTAATGGTAAGTTCTGTACAAAGTTACAATCTGCAATTAAGCTTTGGATATATGAAAGCTGTGGATAAAAGATTACCACTGTACTCAGATACACCCATTAAATTGGCATTCATAAAATCACAAGAAAGGTTTAAATGACCCATTTGATCTCATCCTTCCAGAATACCCACCCTTCCATCTTTCCATTGAAATATTAAACTGTTTCTTAAATGAGTTCAGCATCCTCCAGTTTCTCCTCATGCCTCAGCATCTTGAACCTTACCATCACCGACAAAGCCATTTCAGACCATTACTTTATCTCCCTTAACTACTCAATTCATCTCCTACTGCCCCTGGAAAAAAATCTCCCCTCACTCTTTCTCTGTTGTCTTGGAGTCATCTGAACTCCTCCCCCTCTGGGCTTCCTCCCGCAATGACCTATCCTTCTCGGTCACTCTCCTCCACAACTCCCTCTCCACCACACTCGATGCCCTTGCCCCCTCACTTCCCAAACCATCTCACGGAAGTCACCACGGTACACCAGCCACCTCCACTGCCTTAAGGCTCAGGTGCGTGCCACTGAATGCACCTGGCTCAAATCCAACTTAACAGTTCATCGGCAGTTCTGGCTGGACCTTATCAAGTCTTACTGCTCTGCCCTTGCCTCCGCTAAATCGTTGTTCTAGTCCAAGGCAACCTTGGAGGCCAAGGGCAACCCCAGGCTCCTCTTCTCCATCACCAACCAGTTCCTCCGCCCACCCTCTCACGCCTTGCCTATCCTCTCCTCCAACGACAACTGCGAGATGTTGGACTTCCTTAAAACCGAAGTCGAGGGGATCCGTTCAGTTGCTTCTGCCCTTCCGACAACTACACCCTCCCCATCATCCCCTCACACCCCGACTCCCACCCATCCCTTCCTCCACACCTTCGAACCTTTCTCCCACTCCTCTCTCATCACCACCATAACCCACATGAAACCAACCACCTGTTCCCTCGAACCCATCCCTAGCCCTCTCCTTACCTCCCAGCTCCACCTCCTTGCCCCCCTACTCACAGACATCATAAACCTCCCTGTCCACTGGCATCCATCATCACTCCTAATCTTAAAAAACCCTCCCTGAACCCGTCCCTGCTCTCAAACTACCACCCCATATCCAACCTTCCTTTCCTTTCCAAGGTCCTGGAACTAGTCGTTGCTGCCCAGCTTTGCTCCTTCCTCTCTCGCCACTCCCTTCACAAACCCCTCCATTTGTCAAAGTGACAAATGACATTTTGCCCATCTGTGACCAGGGCTCCCTCTGCCTCCTCGTCCTCCTTGACCTCTCTACTGCCTTTGATAACGTTGACCATTCTATCCTACTCCACCAACTCTCCTCTCACCTCAACCTTCATGGTTAGGTCCTTGAATGGTTCAGATCCTACCCTCACACTGTCTCCACTTCATCTCCACTAGTGGTTTCTCCTCTAGCCCCCGCACCATCTCATGCAGAGTTCCTCAGGGCTCCGTCCTTTGTCCCCTCCTTTTCAATATCTATATGCTCCCTCTTAGTGACGTCTTCCGCAGACATGGGGACAATTTCCACATGTATGCGGTTGACACCCAACTCTATCTCTCTGCCTCCACCCTCAACTCCAGGACTACTGCCCTCTTGACAGAATATCTGTCAGACATCAAGTCCTGGATGAGAGCTAACTTTCTACAGTTGAATGTCAACAAGACCGAGGCTCTCCTGATTGGCTCCTGTCAGCGCCTCCTCACCTCAGGTACTGACAGCATCACCATCCAAGGACGCACACTCCACCTTACTGAGCCAGTCCGGAACCTTGGCATCTTGTTTGACCTCAACTATCCTTTCTCCCACACACCCGTGCCATGACCCGATCTGCCTTCCCCCACCTACGCAACATCGCCTGACACCACCACTGTCTCACATCGCAGGCCACCGAGACCCTCATACACGCATTCATAACATTCATGCTTCACTATGCAAACTCTCTGCTTGTGGCCTCCACAACTCCTCCCTCCATAGGCTGCAGATCATCCAGAACTCTGCAGCCTGTGTCCTCTTCCGAACCAGCCTCTGCGACCCTTTCACCCCCATCCTTGCCTGAGTCCACTGGCTTCCCATCACACAGAGAATACAGTTCAAGATCCTGGCCCTCAAAGTGCTCCATAGCCTTGCTCCCCTCTACATCTGCAAACTTCTAACCCCATACCAACCTGTTCGCTTCCTCCGTCAGTGGGTTCTGGGCTGTTTCACGTTCCCTGCCTCGCCCGCCTCACCATTGGCAGGTGGGCCTTCTTCCACTCTTCTTCCACCCTCTGGAACTCCATCTCACAGTCCCTCCACCTCGCCCCCTCCCTTGCCTCCGTCAAGACCCATCTCAAGACCCTCCTCTTCGACCATGCCTTCAGTCAACCTCCTTCTCGCGCCTTGGGACGTCCTCCTGACGTGAAAGGCGCTTTATAAATGGAATCTTGTTGTTGTTGTTGTTGTTCTCCCCCTGCCTTCCACCCTCCCCAATCCTGCGCCTCATCTCAGGTCAGAAACACTGACTGTCCAGCGCCTAGGGACATCCTCCCAACATGAAAGGCGCTTTACAAATGCAATTTTGTTGTTGTGGTCTTGGCCAACAATCCCTCAGATAAAATTCACTCAATCACTATTTATGGGACATCACTATGCATAAATTGGCTGCCTTCTGCAAGAAACACAAGTCACTACACTTTACGGTGAACTACTTTGATTTTTTCAATGATGTTAAAAAGTGGTATATCAAATTGATTTATTAATTGAAATCAATCAAAATATGCACACTTGACTAGTATGTTATTCCATACCTTCCTTTCTATACAGAACCAAACACTCCAGAGGAAACCCATTCGAAAGTCTATTCCATGGAGAAGAAACTCTCTGTGAAAACATTTGAAGAATTAGATGAACTGGTTAGTAACAGTCACAAGTATTGTGTCTATAAATGGTGCGATTTGAAATACTAAAATAATAAAAATCATAATCCTTATATTCGCTATAGCCCCTTTTGACATTGGGAAGATGTCCCAAAGCGCTTCACAGGATATACTGTAAAGTGCAGTGACTGTTTTGTGGGCGAATTAGAGAATGTGACACAAGTTTTAAAGGAATAGAATTATTCCTACTGAATTGAGTGAAGTCAAATAAATAAATTACGTGTGTTTTTGTTCTTCCCATTATCAGGTGCTAAATGAACCTGTCCGGAATATTGAAGTGCAATTGACCAGCGAAGAGGAAGAACCAGCTGAAGAGTAATCTTACAGTAAAGGCCTGAAATGCTGCGGATTTCAACAAAGACTGGAGCTGTTTAAAAGAAACAAAGTAATGCAAAAATATGCTTCTTCTTAATCACAAAGTAATGTATTAGTTAGCTTTAAATGGCTTCTGCATTTATTTGCTTTACAGAAGGATTATACCTGACTGTTTCTACAGTGACCAGCTTATGGTCAAGCAAATAATAACATTTCATTCTTCAAATTTTGATTCTGATTTACAGATAAAAAATCTCAGTTGTTTATTTTGTTTTACCAACCTTTAAGTATAAAGTTAACAAACTGTCTTCAAGAAACTCAATAAAGTGTTTTGAGAAAATCAATCTGTGTATTTGGGTTAATATTTGATATTCTATTTGGCACTTGGGGTGCCCTGGATTCTTGGAGGTGCCGCCCTTCGAATGAAACATTAAACTAAGTTCCTGTCTGCTGTTCAAGTGGATATTAAAATCCAATGATCTATTGGAAAAGAGAAGAAAGGTTCTCTTTTGTCCTGGCCAATAATTCTCCAGTTAAAATTGGCCATTCATTTAATGGTTATTTGTGGGACATTGCTGTGCACAAATTGGCTGCTGCATTTGCCTATAACATATGCTCACCATATCTACAATAAAATTTTGTGAAGCACTTTGATGACACGATAAGGCAATATATCAAATGAGAAGATCATTTATTATGTAATAGAGGCTCAATGGCCTTCTCCTATTCTGTAATTGTTGTGATTCTGGAAGTGTTCTGATATTTCTTAACAGGAATCCTTATTGAAGAATCCATTTAAAATTTCCATTCACCCACAAGTATTCTGCTCTGAAAATAAATTGCCTTAGAGATTAGAGAGATTAGACCTCTCGTATATTTCAACCGCATTAAAGGGTCAATTATGATCCAATGTTTTCAATAGCAAAAACACCTTTTTGAAATCATTAATTGAGAAATACTGGAATCAGGTGCATGCTTTCAAAGGCATTGTGATATGACATACATAACAATTTAAGAACATAAGAATCGCTAGACGAAAGAAGACCAAGGCCCATGCAGTTCGCAGTTCACCATCCTGGCAGTGGTATGCATCCTTCATGTCCCAAACTATATACTGTATCCCGAGATATTATTTCTCAACAGAAATCTATCTAATGTGTTCTTGAAAGAATCAACACTTTCTGCTTCCATTGGCTTCCCTAGGGAACCTGTTCCATAAGTTGACTACTCGATCACTGAAGTAGTTTTTCCACAGATTTGTGTTGAATTTACGTTTGTAACTTTTATTATTGTTGCATTGATTTTGCTACTATGAACTATGTTCAAGTAGAAATTAGAGCAGAGATACAAGTCATATGACCAAAAATTAAATTTTGCATATTATTCCCCTATTTCTAGAGGTATTTTTCTTCTTCCCGTATGCTCCCACAAAGAGCCTTATCAAGTCATTAAGATGTATCAAAGCTCTTCACAGAATATACTGTAAAGTGAATTGACTGAGAATTCCTGACTGAGGAATCTATTTAAAATTTCCATTCACCCACATGTATTCTGCTGTGGGAGAAATGCAGCAGCCAAGTGCACACAGCAGTGTCCCACAAACAGTCATGGATTGAGTGACCAATTAATTTTTGAGGGATTATTACCACCATAGTAATTTTAATAATATTTTTATTAATAATTAATAAGTGCACAACTAACCAAATAATGATAGTTTGAAAATATTATTAAAATTATTATCCCCATAATATTGTGATATTTTTTATTAATAGTATTTTGGGGGATACACAACTTACCGAAGGACATCACATTGTATAAAACCAGCCATTTGGGGCAAAACCCGAAGAATCAGCATTGAGACAATGATGTGTTTTATACTGTAGTAACATTTATAAGGCACATCACAGACCGCTCCCATAACACTCCTTAAATAACATGCATTAACTGCAAACAATTTCCAGCAAATTGTCACAAGCAACAAAAATAGATTTTTTCGGATTACAGCAAGAGTAAATAAACTAACTGAAACAATAATTTCACGTGTGAAAGAGGCTTCCTCTATCGTTTAAATCGGAATCTAGTGACATGAAACTATGCCCATGGCAATACAATGAATTATGGATATAGCTGTAAGTGAAGAGATAGTATTTTTTTCTGAAACAGGGATTTCAAAGAGGCCCCTGAAGTATTCCAGTCGATGGATGGCTTAAATTAGTTTTCTGGCTTCACTTCCCATCCAGGTTGTTTTTTCAAGCTTTCACTTAAATCTTACATTCTCTTATTTTTGCGAGTGCTTTTTCTTGTAGTGGAACCAGATGCGGTGAGCCATCATCTCTCTCTCTCACACACACACACACATATGCCCACCCACACACATACACACTCACACATACACCCACCCACACACACATACCCACCCACACGCACATACACGCACACATCGAGATTCGTGATCAATGCGAGGTCAAAGGGCTGGAACATTGCATGGGTTTGAAGTGGCTTAACACAGCACAGCATAACAGACGATGCTGACATGCTCAGCACTTAGTTTGGCTTTTATCAGTGCTGTACTGTAGTGTACTGGTAAAAGAGTGTGAGGGGGAGTATGTGAGAGGTTTGTTTCAGCGCTGTAAAAAAACACGCCAATTCTATTCGAACAAAGTTTGTGAGAAATTCAAAGATCTGAGTTTCTGTTGCCCTCATTTATTTATTTGTTTTGTTTGTTTGAAAGATTTTTGGTCACAATGAGCATCACTATTAATGGGTGGTATCAAGTATATGTTATTGTACGCGACACTTCACTGATTTTTATGTCAAAATGTATTACCTGATATCCAAAAATATCAAAAAGGTGTTATTCACCCAGTTCTCCTGAATCTACATGAATTGTTTATATTGAAAATGATCCACAGTGAATTAAAAACTGACCTTTTTTTTAAAAAAAGCAGTCGATTTTATAAATAACGTGTAGTGTTTAAAAAGAAAGATTATTTATTTACTCGTGGCGACAGGCTGTATAAATACTGGGAAAGGTGGAGCTTGAGAAGTAAATGGATTGGATTCTAACGACTGTTAAGCAGAGGCAGGTTCCACATCACAGATTTTCTGGGGGTCAGATTTCTAACATTAAGTCACTTCATTGGTCACTTCAATCCACGATTGTTTGTGGGACACCTCTGTGCGCAATCGGCTGCCACGTTTCGCCCACAAAATATACGGTCAATTCTCTTTACAGTCTATTCTGTGAAGCGCTTTGAGACGTCCAGAAGACGCGAAAAGCGCTATATCAAACGCAAGGATTATTATTAGAACATTAAAGCCTTAAGAAATGTGAGCCGGTTGACACATTCCCCTCCTCAGCGTAGCCTCACAAACATTTTTGTCTGTCAACGCGTTTCCTGAACCATTTCACTTTCTGTATCACTCTTTTTTGTCCCCCAATGATTAACGCTTTTTTAAGTATTTTTGTTTTGTCCTAAAAGAAAGAAGTCTGCATTCCAGTTAAGGCTCTGAAGGAGGGAGGGGAAGGGGGTGGGGGGGAATGATCTGCACTTGGTTACTCTGGCAAATCCGATGGCATGTCTGCAATTCTCTACCGCTCTCCACCTCCCCAGGTCCACACGTTGTTGCCAAGACACTGGAACTGTTTTCTCGCCAGAGACAATATTTTCCGAAAAGAAATCGGCTCGCGGAATCCTGTCTATAGCTCCCCCACCCCACCACCACCCACCAAAGAAAAAGGGATCCGAATCAGTAGCTGTGGGGAGGAGAGAAGCCCAAGTCGCACCCTCCCCCCACCCATCGAATTCCTCTCGAATCCCACAACATTCAGGGGAGAGATTACAAACCATTCCAGCTAAAGCCAGAGAAGTACAGCAATAATAATGTGGAGTCCTGTAACTCAGTGGTTAGAGCACTCGCTTTGCAAGTGAGAGACCTGAGTTCAATTCCAGGCAGAGGGCGAAACCTTGAGCAAGTTTCCTTACTCCACACAGAGCCTAATAATAATCCCTCCAAAACAAAACAATAATAAATTGGTCATTTTCAATCTACGACTGTTTGTGGGACATTGCTGTGCGCAATTGGCTGCCGCGTTCGCCCACAAATATACAGTCAATTCACTTTACAGTGTGTTCTGTGAAGCGCTTTGGGACGTCCTCCCGACGTGAAAAGCGCTATATCAAATGCAAGGATTATTATTATTATTATTATTATTATTATTATAATAAGCCCAGGCAGCAGAAACCTCCCGTTTTGTGTGTGCTCTGTCCCAGTGGTTGTTTGGACAGCGAGTGGTGTCGAAGTGAACAATCTGAACAGATGTCAGACCAGAGTGAAGCATTTATTCCTAACCCTAAGTGTGGGAAGGCAGTTTTCCTACAAAANCGAGTTATATTGTTTTTTTTATATATTAAAAAAACGAAAAAAAACGGGAATCGCTCAAACGTACTATTAAAAAAAAGATACTTTGATATATATATATATATATGTGTGTGTGTGTTGAAGCCGCAAGTGGATTTTCCGTTGAAAGTTAAGTTATGGGGCGGTTATAAATCACGATGGATGGAGATTTACACTCACTCACAAACTAACTCACTAACACACTCACTCACTCACTAACACACTCACTCACTCACTAACACACTCACTCACTCACTCACTAACACACTCACTCACTCACTAACACACTCACTCACTCACTAACACACTCACTTACTAACACACTCACACACTCACTAACACACTCACTCACTCACTAACACACTCACTCACTCAATACACTCACTAACACACTCACACACTCACTAACACACACTCACTCACTAACACACTCACTCACTAACACACACTCAATAACACACACTCACTAACACACACTCACTAACACACTCACTCACTCTCACACTCACACACACTCACTCACTAACACACATTCACTCACTCACACTCACTAACACACTCACTAACACACTCACTAACACTCACTCACTCACTCACTAACACACTCACACACACACACTCACTCGCTAACACACTCACTAACACACACTCACTCACTCACTCTCACACACTCACACACACACACACACTCACTCACTA